CATCTGCCTCTAGAAGCTCTCCCATGATAGCAGTTGCCTGCCCTGGTATGAACTGGAGCCCGGCGGCATATGCTTCTGCAACCAGCTCTGGGCATAAGCAGTCTTGTGCCTTTACCTCTTGGAACTGCTCCCCTTCACCTCCGATAAACCTCCATCGCCCACATATCTCCTGCGGCAGTCCACCTCGGAAGCAACCGCTGAACCTTTCCATCTTCTTCCCCTGGAAGTACTCCTTCTTCACCGATCTGATCCATTCTCGGAGACTGGCCCCTTGCTCGCTCTCTAGTAAACCGCACACCCTGACACTGTGATCATTCCCCCCGCATAGGAAGCATCGGTCCATCCACTCTACTAGCTGCCGCCGGAAATACTCTGCCTCCTCTGCATCCTTCCTGACGTGCTCGGCCCTGAGCCGCATAGCTGATGCACTCTGCTGCTGCTGCTGCCTGAACATCCCTCGTGTGCTTGGGGTCCCCTCTTCCTCTCCATCACCTGACCCTGGCCCTTTTGATTGCTTGGCACTGGCACATGCATCGCATGCTGCCTCGCCTGCCTCGCATGGCCCCGGCCCTGACCCGTCCATCACCTCATCTAGCAGAAGACGTCGGCAGCTGGATCCTTGCGTAAACGCCAGCATGCCCGTGTCCACACCCTTCTGTGCTGCTCCTCCTGACCCTCCGCCCTCCATTACATCTCTTGGGCTAAGGAGAATGGCCTGGCTTGGCTGCCCATCCCGCCCCGCTCGCCCGCTCTCCTGCACATAGTCCCGGAGCTGTCGCGGGGGCCCCATGTGCAGCACTACCCGCACATCCGGCACGTCGATCCCCAATCCTAGCGCATTTGTTGCTGCAATCAGCCCGCCCTGCTTCTTCCACTGCTGCATCTTCTCCATCTTTGCCTCCTGCGTCCCTATCTTACTGTGGAAGATCTCACATCCAAGCGCTGCCCCGACCCTCTCCACGGCTGCAATCGTCTGCGCGTAGATGATCATACGACCTGGGTTCGCCTGTGCCTCCCACTGTGCTACCATGCTCCTGGCCTGGTCGAGCCCGGGCATGTCGCCATCACCTTCTTCCTTGCCGCTCCTGCCGCCCTGGTGCGTTTCTAGCCCTACTACCGAGTATGCAATGTTCTTCCGCCGCGTTGGGCCGCGGTATATGTACGCCTGGCGCCTCGTGATCTGCGCTCTGTGGAGGAACATATTCTCATCCCTCGGCGGGAGTGTCGCCGTCAGAAACACCAGCTGCACCCCCCATGACTGCAGGATCCCCCCTAGTGCTGCCAACGCTGGCCGGAACCGCCCGACTCCGTCCAGGACCACGTGGCACTCGTCCAAGACCACCCGGTCCAGCAGCTGCCGTACCTGTAGCCGCCGGATGAAGTCCTGGAACCCCTTCGTGATCGCCGACTCGGGCGTCACGAACACCAGACTGGCGATCCGGCTCGGCCCCTGGCTCTGCCATATGTGCGTCGAGATCCCGGCTTCTTCGCACCGCTCGTACATGTCTGTACGCAGTGTAACAAGCGGTATAACCACCACCGTTACCCCATCCGGCGAGCAGTGTGCCGGCAGCATAAACGTCAGGCTCTTGCCCCCGCCCGTGCCTGTAATATACACCACCGGGCTGGCCCCTGCCATGATCGTTCGGATTACCTTCTCCTGCTGGCCCCGGAACGCCGCATCTGGCCCTAGCATCGCCCGGAGCTGCCCGTGTACAGATACCTGCTGTAGCCGGTGGAAGCGCTGGTACCGACCGCTCTCCTGCTGTAGCTCCGCTGCCTCCAGCGTCCGCTTCATCTCTCCGGCCACTGCCCGTCCTCTCTCGTGCGTGTCGAACCCCAGTAACCGATGCCACCGCTGGCTGATCCGCTGGAACCTGATCTGCTGCTGCGCTGTCCCGAATGTCGGCTGCTGGAGCTCTCGCGCATATATCATACCGGCGATGTGGCTCCCGTGCCCTGCCTGGATGTCTAGTATATGGTCTGATGTGGTACCGTTAACATCGTCCTCCTCCTCATCCTCTACACTTCCAGTATCCTCTTCTATACGGAAAGCCTCGTTTAGATAGCGGTTGGCGATAGCAATGGCGATATGCCGCCAGCTGATGATGGTGAGCGTGGTCCCCATGCACCGTTCGCTCTGCCGCTGGAGAATCCGCCGCATATGATCCGGTGACCATACTGACTCGGGCTCTGGTGCCGCCTGTGCGGATCCGTCCGTGTTGGCCGCCCTCTTTATCACCTCGTCCGCCCAGAGAAATACACTGGGTCCACCACTGCGCTGCCAGATGATACCCTGTACCTTCCGCCAGAACGGTAGAACCAACCACATATACCATACCAGCAGAGAACCAACTGCGCGTGGTAGATAGCGGTAGATCACCTTGTTGCGACCGCTGATCCTGATGTTCTTATGGTATGCCGTTACGAAGAATACCATGCCCTGGTTGCAGAAGATGTTGCGTAGCCCGCCATTGGCTGTGTTCCACATCCGCACCCCAGCAATCTCCGTTGCACGCGCCGGCATCGACAGCATGTGCATCAGCAAGAATATCCGCTCCCGGAACTGTAATAATGTATCGGTATACTGGTGAATGGCGCTTTGTTTGAGTGGGTGCTCTTTGTTACTAGCGCTTGTGCTGATCCATGTCTTCTGGAGTGATGTGGACTGCACGAGCTGTTTGAACACCCAGCCATCCCCCGCCTGCAGCCATGTGTTACGCTGGTCATCCTCGAACTGCTCCCATCTGATCTCTGGGAGTCCGTCTACCGTACCTGGGGGGTTTAGCGTTAGTGCCCCGAGCAGCTTCTCCGCCTCTTGCACGAGCGTGTGTAGCATCTCCGCCAGCTGCGGCACCCGGAACCGGATTGTCTGGTAGCTCACGCGATCATCTAACCACTCGATGCTGCCGCTGCCCGGTGTGTTATATCGGATGTTCATCCCGTATGCTCGTGCCTCGAAGATCCAGTCTAGTGGTGTCGGCTCGGCCGTGGGCCCCCCGTGCACCCGTACCATGAACCGTGCCATCTTGCCGCGCAGTATGCGGAACACGCTCTCCGCTTCCTCATAGGCATCATGTGCCTCCATCGCCTGCGAGTGCTGGATCACCTGCGCCTCCCGCTCACAGTATGACTGATATAGCACGAGCATCCGTGCTACCTTGATCACGGCTGAGTAGATCGATGTGTAGTTAAGCACGGACTCCCACCCTCCATCTTGCCGGATGCCCATGACGGCCAAGCAGCTCACCAGCACGTTTCGGTATGCATCCCCCTTCAGTGCATGATCAAACCAGCTGATTAGTAGGGTTAGGCATAGATCCTGTTCATCCTGGCTGGGTTGATCACCCTGCTGCCTATCCTCGCTAGACATAGCCTCGATGAATGTATCCCAATGATCGCCTTGTGCTGTTGTGAAGATGAATGGCGGTCGCTCATCATCAGCCATCTCATCTACACGATAGATGATGCATAGTATCTGTCGGAACACATCCCTATACCGCTTCCAAGTATCCTCCTCCATTCTACTGTTAAATGGCCGATTAGGCTTCCCTTCTAGAGCGGTTCGGGCCACCTCGAATAATGCAGCCTTGCCCACCTTGGCGGCTGTCGCAGTTGCCCGTGCCTGGTTGAGCACATACTCCATCACTTTCCATGCTGACTGCAGTGCTGTCTCCTCCTCCCGGATATCCTGCCTTGTACTGTAGAGCTTGGTAACAGATAGCCCCTGGAGATGCGTTGCCCAGCCAACAAACTCGAGCCATCCGTTGGATTCAAGCCGGTCATCACCAACCTGGATGATCATTCGTGTCTCCTGCGCCTCCTTCGCTGCCTCCTCCCTAAATAGCTCCTGAACTCTTTCAATCGCTGCTTCTGTTTGGCCGGTATGGTCAGGGCTAGCAGTCTCTCCACCTGAGCCAACACGGAACCAGCTGCTCGCAGCCCTTCGGATAAAGAACCGCTGGCAATGCACACCGCTTATCCATGGCTGATCGCGAGCCTCTGCTGCTTTTTTCCTGATGTTACCACCCTTCTTCCAATTACTGATCCATTGGTGTGCTTTCCTGCAATGGTCTCGTATCCCAACCTCTGTACAAGCAATATATGGGCACTGCTTGCATTGCTTCCCATCTGTTCTTGGCGGGGAGATATATGGTACTGGCTCTGCGATATATATTGGTAATGGATATCTACGTAGTTCTTCTTGATCCTGTAGAAGCCCATCTATGGCTTGGATAGCTGCCTTGATTTCTCTTCTCTGGGATATTGTGAATAATGGGTGTTGAGCTTGGAGATGTGTTTCCACTTCCTTGGTAACGCATGCATAACTGCACTGCTTGCAGATAATAAATGGATATTGTATAAGATGGATAAATGGCTCCATTATGTTCAGTATAATACTATAGATTATAAGGTATTAAGGTTGAATATGTTAATAAAGCAGGTTTCGAAGGTAGTAGATAGTGCGGCTGAGGATCTCGATGAGGCCTGGTTTAACTAGGCGTTTGGTTGAGGCCTCACCGACATACCGGGTGAATGATATTCCTGGCGGGAATATCGGAAATATCGGTTAAATACTGGGTAAATAGCTATCTTTTGTGGGTCCCTGATAATTATTGACCAATTAATCAACACATCCTACTCAACACATCCTACCCCCTACTTTTTAGTAGCGCGAAAATTCACCCACCAAATTTCAACACATCCTAGTAGGATGTGTCGTGGAATTACTATTAGATCCAATAAGAGAACACAAACCGCGTGAAATGGACGTAAGGATGGCCAGATGCAAACGAAATCGGCCTTTTGGGAATGATGTCGGTTCACAGTCCTCCGGCACGGTGGAGATGAAGGCTCGGGCGACGGTGCTCCGATGTGCGAGGAATGGCGTGAAGCTCTAAAATCCTGCGTATATGACTTACTTAATAACCCTACAATGAGGCAGCTGGCAAAGGCAAATTACCAACAATCAAATTGCGGTCTTCTTAATCCTCGTCAAGATGTCCATGAACGTTCAAGACTGCGGGGTGGTCCGCGAAGGGTTCCCTCGTCCGTTCCCCAACACCCCTTCCAATGCCGTGGAGCAGTTCAAGATGACCGGAAAGGTCGTGGTGGTGACGGGCGCCGGCGATGGAATTGGCTTGGCTGTTGCAGAAGGCATCGCAGAGGCCGGTGGCAACGTTGTCATGTGGTACAACTCGTAAGTCACAGCATGCATGATCGGCTGGTAAAGAGCGCGTGTATTCATGAGACACGGTTTTAGGAATGAGGCTGCCGTCCAAAGGGCCGCCAAGCTATCCCAAACACATGGCATCACTGCCACTGCATACCAGGTTGATGGTGAGCCTCTGGAGATTGTAGTACGTTGTAGCAAGTGCAGTTACACTAATTTGTCTTCCCTAGTATCGGACGTGGACCAGGTTATCGCTACAATCTCCAAAACTGTCAATGAATTTGGAAAGATTGATGTCTTTGTTGCCAATGCTGGTAAGATCCCCCGTACAGGGTAACTCAGCGTTCTTGACAAGGGAAGCTGACTGAGATAGGCATGGCTATCTCAAAGCCCATTTTAGAGATGACCGTTGAGGAGTACCGAAAGGTAATGTCAGTGAACGGTATGTATTCTTTTGAATTCTTTTGTCATGATTTTAGTGAGATTCGCAATACTGACCTCAGAAATAGCCGACGGTGTCCTTTTCTGCGCCAAGTACGCCGGCGAGGTCTTCAAGCGACAGGGGTTTGGAAACTTGATCATCACCTCGAGCATGAGCGCTCATATTGTCAACGTACCCACTGATCAGCCTGTCTACAATGGCAGCAAGGCATTCGTCACTCACTTCGGAAAGTCCCTGGCTCGCGAGTGGAGAGAGTTTGCCCGTGTCAATATTGTCTCCCCTGGCTTTTTTGATACCAAGCTGGGTGCCAGTCCCTTGGCCATTAACGAAGCCTACCGCATGTCGGCGCTAGGGAGGCAAGGCCATGTAAAGGAAATCAAGGGCTTGTACCTCTATCTGGCGAGCGATGCTTCGACATACATGACAGGTAGCGACATTCTTATTGATGGAGGTTATGTTCTTCCCTAGACATGACGAAGGGATATAACGCAGGTCGGGTTATTTGGAAGAAGAAATAGAATAGAATACGGTTCATAGGGAACAAAGGTTTAATGTTTCAGTATCCTCATCATATATAGTAGCATAAGTGAATGGGGTTGTTTACTCTGCGGGCGTTTCTCCATCCCCTTTCCCCTTGTCTCCTCCCAAGAAACCGAGAGCCATCTATTTGACCCTCTCGTGACCAATATTCTCAGCATCAATCTTAACATTTCCTTTGTTTACTCGGGTTTAATAATTTCAATCTACCAATATTGGGGGAAGGATCAATTGCGTTAAAAGGACCTATTCCACAGATAAAAATTGTAGATGTTTCATGAATGGAAGAAAGTCCCTGGATAGATGGCAAAAGATCAGATGCGTACAAAAAGAGCTACCAGATACCCCCGCAGACAGCTACTACTGGGTCAACGGTGGCGAAAGTCAAATATCCGCTCTCGAAGGTGTAGATCTTCGGCTGACAGTGCTCCGAGAGGAGATCAACTGAGCTCACCCCTACCTGTGTATTAAATGGCATCCGGCACAGCACTCCAGAACCTCGATACCAGGCATCAGACTGCATTTGTGCTTGCTTAATTCTTCTTCTTCGTCATATTCTCTGATCTCCCTCATGGCGCCTGCTGCGGTATTGCCAGGCCGTGAGGCTTTGACTTCACGCACAATCCCCTCTATGATCTTCAGCGACGGGAGCTCAACCTCACTTACCCCCGCTCCCGCAGCTACAGTCGAATCCGATCCAGAAGTCGGTGCAAAGAAACGTTTCTCAGTCCGAGGCAACGCTATAGTCACTGGGGGAGCTGGCACGCTCGGTTTATTTGCATGCGATGCTCTACTAGAACATGGTCTCGAGGGTCTAATGATCTTTGATGTCAATGCTTCTGAAAAACAAATTGCAGCATTGCAGACAAAATTTCCAAATGCTGAAATTCAATTTCAAAAAGTGGATGTCACCGATGAGGACACCATTCAAGCTGCGGTGGCCCAGACAGCCCTTCTCCTTGGATCTGTTGATACTTTGCTGTGTTTCGTCGGTGTCGTCGGCTGTGTTGAATCCCTGGAAATGCCCATCTCCCAATGGCGCAGAATCCTGGATATAAATACGACCGGCTCTTTCATATGTGCGCAAGCAGTTGCTCGACAAATGGTCAAGCAAGGCAACGGGGGCTCAATCACATTCGTGGCTTCCATATCAGCCCACCGCGTGAACTATCCCCAACCCCAGGCAGCATACAACGTGAGCAAGTCCGCTCTTCTCATGCTCAAGAGCTGCCTGGCTGCGGAGTGGGCTCGATACGGGATCCGCACTAACACGATTAGCCCGGGATACATGGACACAATCTTGAATGAAGGAGACGGTATCGCTGGTCATCGACAGATCTGGGCTGAGCGGAACCCAAGTGGCCGGATGGGCAGTCCCCCAGAGCTGACAGGGGCTGTTGTAATGCTGGCAAGCAGCGCAGGGACATATATCAATGGCGCAGATATAGTTGTAGACGGAGGTGGCATAGTAGTATAGAGCTGGAGCGGCAGGAAAGCTGAATGTGTACACCCAATAGAATCAAGTAACTCGAATGTTCCCTTTGACTGTAGATGGTTGATCCACCACTAAAGCACCCTAACCATGCACTATAACCTGGAACCTACCCTCTCGTCTCGTGATCGGAACAAGCCGAGCTCAGACCTCCCACCCACACCACCGACTTCCGCCATCTCCGCTGTCCTCCCTCCCCAACCAGACTTCTTGAGATCTCGAGAGATGCCGCCGAGATGTGTGACTCGGGCATGTATAAACTGCCAGAGACGAAAGAGTCGCTGCGTGCGTAGTGTCGGCCGTGGGAGAACGGGCGACGGAGCTCCGTGCTCCTATTGCGCGCAGACAGGCAAATCCTGCAGCTTCGAGAACCCGCCAGACCGGACGCCCCTGACCAGGAACAATCTAGATGCCGCTGAGCTTCGGTGCGCGCAGCTCCGGTCGCTCATCAAATCGCTCAACCCAGATCTAGACATTGACTCCGCCATTGGTCAGCAAGCCCATACTCCCAGCTCCAGCCAAGCGATCGAAGCCGCCTGGGACGCGTCGACTCTGCATGAGTATGAGTGGCACGAAGACTCGCTATCCCCCGAGGCGGAGCACCATAGGCTAGCCGGCTCCGACGGCATGGCTACCATTTCCAATAATGACTCAGGATATCTTGGTATGTCTCGCTCCAGGACCCCTCTACCTCGATACGGCAGTCATTGATAATCACCCTCTAGGGAGCAGCTCGGGTTCATATCTCCTGGGCGAAATCGATCCTGATATAACTCTCAGGCCCCAGGCAGGCCGCCGGAGAGCTCAACGGATGACAGACCCGTCCCAACGCGCTCCTTGGCTTGATGGACCCGAACCACTGGATCTTCCCTTGTCCTACGCTGCCAGTCAACTGATTGATGCATTCTTCATTCGTTACAATACATCTTATCCCATCCTGCATGAAAAGGCTTTCCGGGACCGCGTTGTAGCCAGACCCGTGAGACTTCTGCCTCATTCACCATGGCGGGTCATTTACTACATGGTCCTAGCTATCGGGCATTGGGCCACCAGTGATGAGACGGAGCACTTGCGGGCGAGGTATTACACCGCCGCAAGGGCCAGTTTCTCGTTCCAAATGCTCGAATCCGGCACGACGGAGACAGTGCAGGCCTTCTTGTTGGTAGGCAACTATCTCCAGAAGCGGGATCGGGCAAATACAGGCTACAACTTTATTGGGCTTGCGTATAGAATGGCGGTGGGACTTGGGATGCACCACGACCCGCCGACTTCAGATTCAAACACGGTTGGTCACGAGAGGCGGAGGCAGATCTTCTGGACGGCGTATTGTTTTGAAAGCGGGTTCAACATCACCACGGGTCGACCTCCGGCCATATCGGAGACATTCTTCGATACGAAGCTCCCGTTGAACATTGACGATCATGTTAGGAGTCTGTGTATTTCTATGGGATTTGGATTTTGCTAACCTTGTCTCTAGGATTTATCATTACAATCCCCCGTCCCTCAGGAGCTCAATTACCCAACGACTTGCTCGGCGATCATTGCTCAGGCTCGTCTGGCTAAGATTGGAGACGCCATCTACCGCGAGTTCCTCTTGGCAAGGACAAATGGTTCGAAGATCGAGTACCGCCTCGCCGAGTCTCTCAATAGAGAGTTGACAGGTTGGAAGCAAAGCTTGCCACCATTCTTCGAAGATCCTCCATCCTCGACACCCTGGTTCCAAGGTCCACGAGCAGTCGTCCTCTGGAAGGAACAGAATCTGCGTATCCTTCTCTGGCGCGGCAGCCAGGATCCTCCTGCATTCCTAACCACCAGAGTGACCGCAAATGAAAGGTGTATGGATGCAACACTGGAGACCATTCATGATATTGCAGGATTCTGTATGCTCGGCGATATCACCATGTACCAGAGCCTTGCTTGGTACGCGACTTACTTCATCTTCCAGGCTGCACTGGTGCTTGAAGCTTGTCCTCTCCAAAACAGTGCTCACGATCCAGGGCAGATGATGGTACAAACCCAACTCTGGCAACACTCCACTATGGAGGTCCGTAGCTGTCTACGCAAATTGTCTGAGACGAGCAAATCGGCAGAGCGGTGCCTAGAGCTTCTAGATCAAGTGCAGACTAGGTTCAGGCCGGTTATAAGAAATGGATTCGAGGCCGGTGAAAGTAGGGAGGGCGTTTCCAACCATCAACTAGAGCTTGTGCCGGAGATCCCGGTTGACGTGCAAGTCGCAAACGATCCGGCAACTTATAACCCGGATCAGCAGCAAGAACTTGGCAACGAGCTCACAGATCCAAGTCTACGAGGTTTTCTTGATGAAATGTCGTTGGATTACATGGATAACTTGCCTCTAGACTTTCTCTTTGGAGAATGGCCAGCGTAAGGTTATAGGTTACGACGTTAAAATAAGATAAAATTAAACATGGATAACAATCCTACCAATGGTGCATCAAATGTCAGTCCTTACTCTTCTGTGACCTGAATCAGGTTTTTTATCCCCTCGCCTCTTTTCGTTTTCTCCCAAGCCTCAGTAACATCACGGAAAGGCGACGTGCTGCTTATCAGGGACTTAACGCTAGGTTTCCCAGCCGCCAATAGTTCTAATGCAATCTCGTAATCGCCGGGTCCGTACCGGAATGCCGTCTTAAGCGTGGTCTCCTTCTCACACATGTCGAGCAGCGGAAGACTTTGCTTTGGTCTGCCCATTCCAATCTGGACAAAGACCCCCCCAGCTGCCGATGCAAACAGACCAGTTTGAGCCGAAGATTCTACTCCAGTGCATTCCAGAACGACATCGAATCCGCCCTCGAGGCCAGCAACTGCTCTGAGATTTTCCGCGTTTGCTTCCGGCGTGGACGAAGCATCAGGAATGAACGTCTTGCATTCGACAAACGTCCTAGCAAAATCGAGTTTCTTCTGATTGATGTCCACGACCATGACAGAACCCGCCCCGTAAGCCACTGCGGCCGCAGCGGACAGAAGGCCGATGGTGCCCGACCCTTGCACCAACACCGTCTGTCCCGGCTGCAGACCGGCAAGGCGGACTCCATGAATGGCAACGCTAAATGGCTCGACCATGACGGCCTCCTGCAAGCCGAGCGAGTCTGGGATCTTGTACGCAAAGTCTGCGGGGATCTTGAACAACCGAGTCAGGGTGCCGTGAGTTGAAGGGGGGTCGGCCGCAAACTTCATGCCACGGCAGAGGTTGTATCTTCCAGCCTTGCAGAGCTTGCAGCGCCTGCAGGGGAACCCGGGCTCGATGGCCACGCGGTCGCCGGGTTTCAGTGTGGTGACTTCGGAGCCAACTGCGTGTACGATACCTGAAGCTTCATGGCCCATGACGAGGGGGGCTTCGTCTGAGACCTTTCGGCTGACGCCTCCGTGCGTCCAGAAGTGTACCTAGATTGGTGAAGTTTCAGAGACTGTTGTTGCCATGATGGAGTATAGACACGTACGTCGCTGCCACAGACACCAACATAGGTGATGCGGATGATAGCGTCGTGGGCATCAGTGATCTCGGGAACAGGCCGATGTTCAAATTTGAGCTGTCCGGGCCCGTAAAGAAGGCATGAGAGGTTCTATATAATAGTACGGATTAGCTGGTTTACTCGCTTGATGTTGATGCCGGTAACGCACATCTCTAGACATATCGGATGGAATATATCTTGCAATAGCACTGCGGGGAATCAGAACCATGCCACGGGCTTAGGTGTTCTCTCCTTAATATAGCCCTAGGAGAGGGGAGATAACAGGGTTGTCTGCCTCATGTACGCGTTACAACCCAATATTGGAGCATCGTCGGAGCACTGTCGACCGACGGTCCACAATCAACAAGCCGATCGCTTTTCCCCGCCTAATCTGGGTCCGCGACTGTCGACAGAAAAAGAAGCTTGCTTGATATTGATGGACTTACACCAGGGTATTAGGCAAAACGACTGGGCTAGGCCTACAAGAGAGGGCATCACAAGGATTGTGTTAACGAGAAGTTCTTTACACGGGAGATTCAACTAGAGCGGCTTAAAAATGTTTCCGCTATGTGGCGACTTTCACAATCGTCACTTTTTCGTATGTAATGAAGAGCAGGTTACAAAAGAAAACCCAAAAATATAAAGAGGTTATGCTATACAAGTAAGTAAGTTTAAACGCAGAAAATGGACACACAGCGGCTAGATTCATGTCAAACAGTCTAGGTAGGTAACAAGGCGTAACGTCAGTGAGTAAGCTGGGATATAAACCTTCAACTAGGCCCTTATCTTATATTATTACGACGCCTAGTATGTGTTAATTATCAGACTTATTAATAGGAGAGTTATAGTAAGTAATAGTATAGTTATCATTACAAGGTAAGTCCTTAAGAGTCTTTCTCTTAGTCTTAGAGGTTAGTAATATAATACTATAACTAATAAGTATAAAGACAAAGAATAACTCTCTATTTAATAATAGAATTAAGTTTACTATTAATAGTTAAAATATTATATAAAATTAAATAATATTAATTTTTAAATTTAAATAGTTAATTAAAAAGAAATATTAAAAATATAAAATAAATAGTTTTTAAAACTTTATTTTTAAATAAATTTAAATAAACTTTAAAAATAAAAATTATAGAAATTTCTTTTTCTAAATTTAAGCTAGTATTTTTTATATAAGAGAGGCTAAATAAAACTTAAAAGGTATCTTAGACTAGGCTATAAAGGATATAGTAAACAGCTAGAGTAGTTTAAAGGAGCCTCTACATAACCCCATCGAAGTGAAAACACCGCGTGGATCAATCTGCCGCTGTATTCTACGAAGTCTGTGTTTATTCTCCCCATACCCAGAGAAAGGATCTTGATTCTCCTTTGCATAGTTGATGTAGATCCAAGGGTTCAGGATGCCCAGCTCCGTGGCTGCCTCCGTCGATCGACTGACCCAGGCGTCCGCAAAGTCGGACATTGCCTCATCGTCTTCTGCATTGGACCATCCGAATGTGAGCAGCACAACTGGACCATGTCAACCCTGACCTTTAGCAAAGTATGGCTGGGCTGCTACTTACAGTTCAATGGTCCTGCAGATTCTACGCCCAAAGAGTTACCTCCTCTCTGACGCATGGCCTTGATGGCGTTGACATGCAGAGCCTGGGTGACGACTGAGGGTCGGAATCCTTGGACGCTTTTGACGCGTTCCACCTCTTCTTGAAATATTTGCAGTATCCTACTGTGGAGGATTGCAGATGCCTCGAAGGTGAGCGTTGCGTACAGGCGTCTATCCCGTGGTTAAATACATTCTAAATTGTCGGCGGGAGGGGGAATGCCTACCGTGATCCATGGGGACTGATAGCATCGGCAGCAAATCTGCTCATCCTGTCCACACGTAATGTGCTTGACCTGTGAGGGATACTGTTTAGCTGCTCAAATACCGCAGGAAAGTCAATCGGCTCGTAGTAGGCTTGCATGACTCCTATGGTATACTCATTTGCGGTTTGGTTATATGCATATCGACTGGAGAAGCACATGTAGGTATCTTCACTCAGCGTTGTAGAGAGTTCGTGGACTCGCTCGATGACTGTGGCTGTATATTCGGAGTCATATATGCTTTCACCACTCCACAGAGCTCCTTGAGGGACCAGTCTGACGAGAAAATTGGTGACGATGCCGAAGTTGTTACCACCGCCTCGGAGAGCAAAGTACAAGTCAGGGTTGTGGCCTTCACTAGCAGTGACAATGCTGGCGTTAGGTAATACGACCTTGACTAGTTTATTAGCACAAGTCTGTCTACATGTCTAAACCATCACTGACCTCGTATTCAAAGACGTTGTCCAGGGCCAGACCATACTGAGGGGATAGGTTTGATATACCCCCACCGAGGGTAAAGCCAGGGACGCCGACGTCCGCTACTCTGCCTCCTACGAAGGTCAAATTGTAAGGCTCAAGAGCACTATACGCTTCGCCAAGAACAAGTCCTGGCCCCAGGTTGGCTCGCGTTCGGTCCTGCGAAATGTCCACCCTGTCCATCCTGTGCAAGTCGATCGTGACTCCGCCCACAGAGTTGGACGCGTCGACAGCCTGCGCGTGACCACCGCCCTTGACCGCAAAGCGGCACCAGTGAGTGGTCAGGAGCTCCAGAATCTCAGAGACGTCGGCTGTGCTGGATGGCTCCACGCGACAGGCCGGCGTGACCTCTCGCTGTTTCTCGTCCCAGATTGACCAGTCAATGTCATCCTTCGGGAAGTGCAGAGCTAGGCCAAACCTGAAGCTAAGTTCTTGACACTGTGAAAAGGACCCTAGTTAATGTCAAGTGTTGTAAAGACTAAACTGTGTTTGGACTTACGACACGGGTGCAAGATGTCGCCATTTGACAGCTATCTGGAGATGACGGCGACGCCTCCGCTACTCGAGTGAAATTTCCCGTCAAAGTCAACGACATTATCCAGACGGAGGCCAATAGGCCGCGTAGATGACGGAGCATCATTTGTAAGCGGTTTGGGGATGCGATGTGAACAGCAGATGGAATTGAAAATGTGATAAGGGGCAAAGGTACATGTAGTCTAGCAGCGAGATCATATACATTTGTATGAATCAGACAACCAGGCTCTTGCTACAAAACTAACAAAGGGTCTGCACAGCCCTCAACGGTGGGTGACGATGATAATGATGCAAATATTGCGAGAAATTCAAGTTTGCCAAGCTGTCCCCAGCTTACTCTTGCATAAGGTAGGTCGGAGTGGCTCTTGCTAGATAACTGGCGATCGCCTCCAGCTTCCTTCTGCAGGGAACCTACTTTCTCCGTTAGCGTAGGATTGAGCGTGGAGTCTTAAACCGCAGGGGCTGTGCATATTGTATGGGGAAACGACGAATGACGATGAATCGGTGAAAAGACACTTTCTAGCAATTAACCCAATCGGGCCGGTCATGGCTCTTGAGGTTCGTCCAAAGGAGTCTTCAAGCCTTTGCAGGACCCGACGAGGCCTCTGTCTCGGCCAGACTATAATTGACTTTTACTGATTCGAGCGAAGACCTGAAGCCAAGTGTTGTCTTTACAGTACCTGGGAGTTTGGCGCTGCTGGATATGTGTAACATCTAGTACGGGTCGTGCTAGAGCGACGAGTCATGCTGGACACTCTAACATTCGATCAATTATTCCCCCTGAACTCGGTTATATCAACTTAAGCTAGCTTAGGCCGCAATTGCTCGTCAACGTATTCATAAGCTTTGTTCGTCATCCACAACCCCAACCGACTTGACATCACGTTTGGCACGTTGCAGAGCTAAGATAGGCCTCTCCCCTCTCTTCTGCCTCCAATAATTAGTAGTCACCATCATCTCTTCGCAGCCATCAAGAATCCAGCCCCACTTCCTCCAAAACCCTTCTGACACCTCCCAGGCCCGCGGATCCCACGCGTTGCCCCAGATTATCAGCGAAGCTTTTGGCAGTGGTCCGGTCTCGTCCACGTCGCACAGGTCGTAGCATAGATCATCTTCGTCGATGCCATCACTTGCAATAGCACTCAAGATGTTATCGCGCATCCGAGGAAAAGGAAACAGGTCGATCCATGGGTGGTGTTCCACAGTCCTTTGCAGATCGGTAGGGTAGAGGTTGTGTGCGCAAGGGGGGGTAGCTGAGGGTATTGCGGGCACTGCCATTCGCGCTCCCTGGCTGTAAAAAGACGAGACAGAGTCGTAAATCATCCAACTCTTTTCGACACCTAGGTCTTTCGCATTGCGGGCCAATGCGTGGAAGACATTGATGCTTAGTATGGTCGGGAGCCGTCGGAGAATAATCTTGCCCGTGACGTATTCGCACCATGCCACCTCAGTCTGTTGTTTGATCATCAACATGCTCTCTTCGCTACCTAGCTGGCAATTGTTCCCAGGAATGACTTGGCCGGCGCCCAGACGGCCATGACCAACGAATCCACCGCAGCACTTAGTTCCTAATCCCACGGCCCATACAGCTGCAACACTAGCCTCGCCAGGCGTGTACGAGTAGGTGCCCATTACCCGGTCAGCAGAGGAAGGGATGTGACAAAGAGACGGATCGGGTATGTAGGTAGTGGGACTGCGAGCCGGGCTCGTATCATCTGGGTTTCTTTTTCGCCTCTCTCCTGGCATGCCGCGGATTAGTTCAGGCTTCCAATGTCGTGACGAGAGGCATTGGCTATAGGTTTTATGTACGACGGAGCGGCATACGATATTTTCTTTGGTTCAGGCGGTTCTGCAACTTCCGGCGCTTGCCCGGGTCTGATATCCCCGACCAATCATCTATGCAGGGCAGAGTACGGATCATGTGCAATGGCTCGGGCTCGGGGAGAGCAGTGTTTGCATCCATAGCGTGGTGTAGACAAGAATGCCGGCTCGGCACCCAGTTGCGTGTGTGCTGCGAGAGAAAGGAAAGGTGACAGCACCCTGGCTATGATCCAAGGTCGTATTTATTGCAGAATCCCTCGGCCTACGTTTTCTACTGAACGTCTCCTAGATCGGGCCGACTTCTTTTGTTGAGTGCCGCTCCGAATGTCCGACCCACCACTGATAAGCCTGTTGCATTAGCGCCTGAGTTTAAATAAAGGGTAATTGATTACGGAGTGAGATAAGGTGATTGTTGAAAGCGAAACACTACTCCTTAAATTTCACCCCACCACACCCAGTACAAGTAAACTATGATACTGTAAACGCCATAAGGTGACGAATCGCAGAGCTAATACAGTGTTTGCCATTAACACTTATCATGAAATAAGTTGCTATATGTAACTATATCGAAGATTTTCAATTAGGACGCAAACATATCAAACAACCCCTATACGTAATATCAACCAGACGAAGCGAAAGAGGCCGCACGGGTAAGCCTCCAATATCGGACCCATCCCCTACCGTAGCTCGATAAGGAATCTTCCATGTACCACCAACGTGACTCAATCTCGAGGAAAGTAGATGAACACCTTAATCTCCTCTTGCTTGTTGAAACGGGCGTAGTACTCCGGGACTTCTTCAATGGAGATGCTTGCCGAGGCGATGAAGTGAGGCTGTGCCTTGCCACTTCTGATGAGCTCGACCAGCATTGGAGCATAGAGCTTCACGTCCACGGGACCGGCCTGAAACTGAAGGCGCTTTCCGAAGAAGTCAGACAGCGGAAAGGCAGCCGTCGGGGAGAACGTGGATCCCAGGGGGGAGCCGGGGGTATCGGGCTGTGCCATGTACACGCCGACTTGACCGATGCCGCCCCCAACGTGCGTCACGTTGACCATCTGCCGCAGGATGATGTCCGGTTCGTGGTCAAGAGTGGCGTTGAGTGCCTCGATTCCCACGCAGTCAACGGACCTCATCACACCACCAGGCTGCATGGCCAGGATCTGCGTAGCGGGGTCTTGTTCAGCAAAGTTGACGGGTATGGCACCGATCGAGGCTGCGCGGTCGAGTCGAGCCTGCACGTGGTCCACAACGAACACGTTGGCGGCTCCCCTGATCTTGGCCGAGTACGCCGCCAGCAAACCGACGGGACCAGCCCCAAACACGGCTACAGAGTCTCCCGTCTCGAAGCCTGAGAAGTCGAGGCCAGCCCAGGCCGTGGCAAAGATATCGGAGACAGTCAGATAATCCTGTTCGATGGTCGTGTTGGTTGTGTTGGCCGTGAGGGGAATGGGAATCAGATTCGAGTCGGCGAACCGAACCCTAGCGTATTCGGCTGCAAGGGATGACATGTTAGGCAAACTCACCTCTGCTCCGGGTAGGGATGAAGCTCACATTGAAGACCGTCCGCAATGACGGCGCCGTTTCCAAAAAAGTCCAGCGACTCGGGCTTCATCTCTAGCTGGCCGTGGCCGACAGTATCGGGGATAACTACGTAATCTCCCACCTCAAGACCTGAAACAGCGCTTCCAAGCTCGGAGATGTAGCCTATCGCCTCGTGGCCCATATTCCAAGGAGGGACGCCGCCTTGATACCCACGGTATACGTGCAGATCCGAACCGCAGAGGGCAGAGGTGGTGATACGCACCACAGCATCTGTCTGGTCGACAATGGTTGGAGAAGATATGTTTTCCACGCTCATCTCACCCGGAACACCGCGGTACATGATACCGCGCATCATGGTGTTGGCCATGGCTGGAAGTGTTAAGAGTAGTTTTGCGGGTAGATGAGAGAGAGGACAAAGGGATACTTGAGTAACTAGAGCGAGGCCAGAGCAGGTTGCATTGCAGACGTCCCGGGGGCTCATACATTGGGGTCTTCTAGATTTATAGCTCTTTCATATGCTTTTTGATATTAATATTAAAATTTAATGCATGATTTGTATAGCCGGAGATTGAGGCAGTGCAAGGCAGTTCGGGTGTACGCAACTCCACAAGCTACACAGAAATCGTGATCAAACAGCTATTATACGATTAGGGCATGCAACATAAGGCATGACGCAAAGCTCTGGAAACATGCCACAAATCCCTAGTCGTTCTAGAGATCGAACCTAACATGCCTGCATGCTAAGTATAATGACTACCCGCACAATTAAGCTCAGGCATACCCACATACCCACACTATGATATCATCGCAGGTATCAACTTCATCCAGGCCGCCGGCAGTTGTTGGCGAGTCAGGTGAATGCTGATGCAGTATAGTAATCATGGAACGATAGGACGCATGATTGTTCCATACACTATGACCACTCTAGCATGCCCAGCTATGAGCAGCCTGCATTAGCTTTCCAGCAACTTCGGCGTCTGTGCTAATGCGGCTATAAGCAACCTGCATTAGCGTCGGAAGCTTGGGAAATTCGCCACAACCCTGCAGCTATAAGCAACCTGCATTAGCGTTGGAAGCTTTGGAAAGGCGCTGCAATGCTGCAGCTATAAGCAGCCTGCATTAGCGTCCCCATAGGAAGCTAGATCTCCAACGTTCGCAGTGTTGCCGAAAGCCGAGTTTTGAACCAAGTAATGACGTTTAAACAATGATGGTGGTATTATTGTTGATGATGATGATGATGATAACAATGAGGGCCTCTCTAGCATATATAGCCTCGGGCAAGGACACGAGAGTCTAGTAATTTATCCTGTGGCCCTGGCATTCTGTTTATCAGCATTCTGGTAACCTCCATTGGCTTCTCATTACTACGCTTCAAGTTGCTACACTCCAGTCACAACCTACCCATCCAAACCATGGCCCCTGAACTAAACCCCCCTCCCAATACGGTCCTGGCCCGCCATCGACCGCTGGCCCCAACAGCATCAGTCCGCGTATCGCCACTTGTCCTTGGTGCCATGAACTTTGGGGACAAGATGAAAGATAAATTAGGCGAGTGCGACAAGGAAGCAGCCTTCTCGATCATGGACTATTACTACTCCCAGGGCGGGAATTTCATCGACACAGCAAACAATTACCAACTCGGCCAATCTGAGGAATGGGTTGGCGAATGGCTGGCGTCGCGAAACAACAGAGACGACATCGTCCTGGCCACCAAGTACAGCAGCGCCTATATGCTACACGAGAAGAGAAAGCTCCAGGCAAACTATGGTGGCAACAGCATCAAGTCCATGAAGCATTCCCTTGAGCTGTCCCTTAAGAAGCTCCAGACCACGTACATTGATCTATTCTACCTCCACTGGTGGGACTACTCAACCTCGATTCCCGAAGTCATGCATGCTCTCAACGATCTCGTTGTCTCGGGGAAGGTCCACTATCTAGGAGTCTCGGACACCCCGGCCTGGGTCGTCTCCAAAGCCAACCAATACGCTCGGTCATCAGGATTGCGTCAGTTCGTCGTCTATCAGGGAAACTGGAACGCCGCACAGCGTGACTTTGAGCGGGACATCATTCCGATGTGCATGAGCGAGGGCATGGGCTTGTGTCCATGGGGTGTTCTCAACGCAGGACGCTTCCAGACTGAACAAGGCTTCATCCAACGTGAGAGCGGCCATCCCGGAAGGAGGAATAAGGTAACGGACCATGACAGGAAGGTGTCCAAGGCCCTTGAGAAGGTGGCTACCGCTAAGAATGCGTCCATTCTAGACGTCGCTCTGGCATACGTCCGCTATAAAGCCCCCTTTGTGGTTCCGCTAGTTGGAGGAAGGACGGTAAAGCACATCGAGGGCAACATCAATGGTCTGGGCCTCGAGCTTACAGCAAATGCCTTGCGTGGGATCGACGCGGCATATGACTTTGATCCCGGTTTCCCGCACACTTTTTTGAGTGGCACATCGCTGAGCGGGGAGCCCCCAAAGGGTGCGTACTCACCCGGTGAGGTCTGGCTCACTGCATTGATGGGCAATTTCGAATGGGCTGAAGCGGCCAAGATTCCCCGAGATAGTCTGAATGATTGCATATAATTCCATGGGGTATATTTATATATGCTATATAGATTTATTATTACTTAATATACTCCTATAGTATATTTATCTCTCTTACTATATTCTCTTTTATGATATTTTAAAAGCTTAAGAGAGTATTTTTATAAATACTATATTCTTTAATTCCTCCTCTTTTTATATTAATATTATTATAAATTATATTTAAAAAAAAACTATATAAGATAGTTATATATCTATATGTGCTGTTAGAATCTTTAATTTAATGAATAAGGGCGAATGTAGCTATCTATTAGTCGGAAGACCTTAAAGCGGTGAGTCTGATTGAGCCTTGGATAGTGCTGAGGTCCTATGATAGAGCCTGCTAGTAATGTATGTTCCTATTCACAAGAGAAGAATAACTGCTAAAGATGGACAATGGTATGGAATAACTCTCTGAATCCCTACGCCCCTTCTAATTCTAAGGCTTAACATTTTGAGACTAAGCTAACTCTATTTACTAACATATAGAGTAGTATAAATATAGGATTATATGATTTATTATCCCGCCTGTTGAGCGAGTTAGCTTATTATACCTAGCCTGAAACGTTGGACTCTTTGTCGAAAGACTTATGGTTGGACTGATGCTAATAATTTATGGAACTAGGTTAAGGACTTTCTATTGTGAATGGTTAAGAGTTAGTAATGGTCTGCTGTTTGTATTCCACTTTGTAGATGTTTAAGGATGGGACGCTGTAGAGTCTTTATTATATAAGGACCTTGAAGAAATAACTTCGGGAGTACTAGAGAGCCCTTCCCCTAACTCTAGCGACTGGTTTTTCTATAAGGGGCTAGGGTAATCTGGACCCGCTTTCTATTTGATAGCGAATTGAATCTGGTCAAAGCATCCTAAGTCGTTATTGACGATGGCCTCAGGTTGACAACACCAATCGTGAGTTCGGATGTGACTCAACCCACTGGAAGGAGCTGGTATGTAATCAGCCCTTTGTCAGAGTTTATGTTTCTGATCTAATTGTTGCAGGCGGATTTACTGTAAAGAGCTAGTCATGCCTAGCCGCCTGGCTTTTTTTTGTTCCATTAAGTTGTTCTTCCTTACTCAGCCTCTCAAGGGGAGATGAGTAAACCTGCTTTTTCATTTCTAAAAGCCTTCACTGGGAAACCGTTTGTTAACTTCTGGAATCGATGGTGCATGGTATCCCAACATTGGGAGCATATCCAGTTTCACTTCAGATATCTATCAATTTGGGAACCGCCGCCTAAAAGCCAGGAATAGAATCAGGCCTCAGGGTCAGGGGTGTTATCACACGTGGGATCACCCTATCACGAGAGCAACAAAAAGTCCAGCTCCATGAGAATAAAGAAGGTGACAAGTTTATTTGCTTCATAGAGCGCCGAGTGTCACCAGGTATATGCACATCAACCATATCCGACTCTCCATCATTCGCAACAGTTGTCGCCACCGATTCACAGAAGCTTCTTGACGAGGAAATAGGTGGTGGAGCTGCCTGGGCGAAACCAAAACCCTCCATAGTTTGGTGTCGGGAGCAGCCCGGTCTCTCCATGTATCAAGCCATCCTCCGCCAACTTGCGGATTTCCAGCACGACGAAGTCAGTAGCGCAATTCGTGCTCTTTCGCGAGTAAGTCTTACCTTTATATTACAGTCGTGATACAGGCTCCTACACCTGTTCACATATGTAAAATGCTCCAGACCGCTCACAGCTTTAGCGGATAAAACACGTGTGTCCGTTCTGGGCAGCCAATCTGACAGCCATCATTAAGTGCTTCCGAAAGTGGATCAACGAGTTCGAGATAAACTTTAAGAGCCTCATGAATGACTGCTTGAAGTCGTCCCACGGCAACTCTACATTGATCTTGCAAAACTGGAGAACCTTAAGAAAGGACGTCAAACGCCTCAAGAATCAACTTCTGACCAAGCTGTCTAAGTTAGATGCAAGAAGTAGACACGTCCTAGATAAAGTTCGAAAAGGACGATCCCGGGGAAGCCTTCAGTTTCAGTTTCAGTGCTACACACAGCTAAAGAAGAGGAGTGGCAGGGGGGCTATAAGGAAGTCTAGATAGAGTCAGGCTACGAGATAAATCTTTGCATTAAGATGCCAAGGTACTCATTATATAATGTTCTTTGAGCGAAGAGTGCTTTTGTGACATTAAACCTAAACATATAGGTATTAGTTCGTTCCTCGTCGCTATATCTTCTGTTAATTTACTCTGAGAATTGTCTACCCTGCGAGAGTGTGATATTGGCAAGGTTCGTAAAATCTCTCCAGTCTTCCACTCACAGTGCTAGTCACCCACTATGTGATTTCCATCAGCCTTCCCCCTCTCCCACATACCGGCAGCTGTGCCCGTACTACTATATATGCTTCGTGTTACCTTGTTGAGAGGGATCTAAGAGATTCTATGCTCAGATGTCGCTAGCACATCAGCCGCGCCCTTGTCGCTATCCCCCACGGTGGCCCCAAGATGGGTCTCCCAGGATTCTGAAGGCGTCCACTTGGTTGAGTGGCGAGCGACACTAACCTCAGAGTAAAGGTTGTCGACCTCCTCCAAGCTCAGTCCTTTGGTCTCATAGATGAAGAAATATACAAATGCAATACACAAGAAGCAAGCAGCAAACCATACAAAGAAGATCTTGGACTGCAAGTTAGCATACCCATCGCCATAGTTGACGAGATATGGGGTAGAGTAGGCAATCGCCCAGTTGAGCAACCAGTTAGTCGCTGTGGATAAGCTCAGGGACTTGGCCCGTGTCTTGAGTGGATAGATTTCCCCAGTTACCACCCAGGCAAGAGGACCCCAGGTCGACGCAAAGAAGAAGATATAGACGCAAACAAAGGATATCGCAGCCCGTTGACCACCGAGATTGGTGACGACGATCTCGCCGTTGTCGCGCTGACCTGATGACACGGTACCGCAGATAGCCACAATAAGCTGAGAAACACACATGCCAACAGCTCCCCAGAGAAGAAGAGGACGACGACCCCACCGATCTATGAAGTACATGCCAGGGATGGTTGAGAGCACGTTGATGGTGGACGTGATCATAGAGATGACGAAGCCGCTGGAGACGCCCGAGTTCTGGAAGTACTTGGTCCCGTAGTAGAAAATGAAATTGATGCCTAACTCAGCGGGTCAGCTTGGTCATTTCAACAAATTGGCGGAAAGATAGCGCACCAGTCAACTGTTGCAGAGCTTGTAGAGCCATGCCGGTGAACTGCCGCTTGATAAGAGGCGGCCTGAAACAGTCTAGATAGCTGCCACCGCCTAGAGTCATTTCGAACTCATGGTTCGCCTTCACTTCGGCCAGCTCCCTCTGGATAGCAGGATGGTCTGTAGACAGGCTCCTCAGTCTCGCCAAGGACTTGGCTGCCTTGTCAAAGTTGTCCTTCTTGATCAGGAATCGAGGCGTCTCCGGGAGCAGCAGCATGCCCCCGAACAGGATAAGGGACCAAGCAAGCTGGATGGAGATCGGAATGCGATATGAGCCAGTGTCATTGCGATTCGAGGTGGCGTTGTTTACGACGGCCGCGAGCAGGAGCCCGATGGTGATGGCCCATTGGTAAGCGCCGACAATCAGACCTCGAATCCATTTCGGGGCCGTTTCTGACTGGTAGAGAGGAACTAATACGAACAAGCGTAGAGGTCAGCGGACGGGTCTCTAGCCGTTAGTAGGAAAGGCCGGCATTTGTACTTACCAACGGCAGAAATGAGACCAACACCAAGGCCTGCAAAGAAGCGGCCAGCTAAGAACAGGGGAATCGACGTGGCGACTGTATGGAGGACGACACCAAGATTAAAAACCCAAGTATACACCATCAAGGCCGGGCGGCGGCCAATCAAGTCGGCGAGGAACGGAGAAGCGAGAGCACCGAAGAAAGTGCCGGCGGAGAGGATAGAGACGATTGCAGATTCCTGGGAGGCTGTGATGTTCTTGTTTCCCTCGGGATCTACGTATCCAGTGCTGAAAAGCCTCTGCCAATAAGGCATGGCAAGGATGCCGCTAATTGTACCCGTGTCATAGCTATTGAGAGGAACAAATTCAGCTCTGAGTCAAGAATCTGATGCGTAACGGGGACACAACATTTGCCGGTAGAGCGAAGAGACATACCCGAAGAGCACACCGCCAAATGCCACGAAAAGTCCTATGGCAATAGCAGTCCACGCCTTGCCTTCTCCACGATCAGAGTTAGAAAGTCCGAGCCGAGCCATGACTGAGGCTTGAGAGTTATGCGCCAAAGCGGATAGCTTAATGCTTAGGTTATAAAGATCGGAGTAGGAAGTTATGGAAGAAGATATACTCGAGCCTTTTAGTGGCAGATGTATTCATCTTCTTCAAGAGATGAGAGTTTGCTTTTATACTTGCCTTGAGAAGAGCAGTTCAAGACTCAAGAGCTGACCGGACCCCTTACAAGTATGAACTGTTCTAGAAGTGCCTGTAGGAATCAAAGAGGCAAATTCCGAAAGCTTCAGGGGGTCTGATGTTGGCTGTGTGGGGACTAGGAGCTGTAGCGAAGCTCATCATTCACTTGATGTTGATCTCTTTGACAATGCGACCGTGGGCACAACCAATATAGTTAGTTGGCAACTGGGTGACATTGAAATGGAGACACTCAAACAGTAAGCTGCTTATTTTTGAGTCTGTGAGTGGTATTATCAGACCATCAAGTGCTAATAATATATATTTCAGAGATAACATAAGGTATATTATTACTTTTTTTTTTCCTGAATCTTGAATTTTTTCTATTTATTATAGAAAGGAGTCTGTTTCTAGCTAACTCTTCCATTAAGTGTCTCATTTCTCCTGTCACCCACTTGGCTGGCACTTCCAGCCGTCGCATGTTAGCGGGTCTTCTGCCTATGTGGGGTATGGGGCAAGAGTCTCGCCGAGAACTCCACCATCCGCGGGGATATTTCAATGGTTTGGATCCTAGTTGCAGGCGCTGTGAAGAGCGCTGAAGCATCATAGACTGGTTGCGGGTGCGCGAATTGCCTCTTGGGGGAAAATCCGGAGAACGGCAAAAGGGGCTTACGCTCAACGTGTTGTTGGTTGGTTGTCAATCTTCTTGCAGTGGAAACGGGCCGATATCGTTAGGAGTAAGGATGCAGTGAGACTAACCCAGATTCCGGATAGTGGAAGGCTGTGGTCCAACCGTCAAGGCCATTCCTACCCTACATGTAGGTAGCTCCGCCCTGAGTTCTGGGGTGGTACATGCGGGTATTGCCCTGATGAGCTGCCCCGACGCGCCGAGAAGGGCAATTACCGACAAGCCAGATCGCATCGTATGCAAAAAGAGTAAGTCGTATCCCCGTGGGGATGGGGAGCAGAGGTGAAGGGCCGGGGGAGTGGTTGCGGGGAATAAGGAGTGAGCATGCCAGCACCCCGGTCGTTGGTGTGGCCATCTGTGCCCTTCCTCATCAGTGTTATTTCGACTGTTGTAGGCTAAGAGCTGCCTTCTGCCTATTGTCGCATGTTTTGCTTCGTATCGGCCTCAAGAAGAGACATGGTGACACTGTTCTGCAGGTTAGCCATGGACAACATCATGAAGTTAGGGACAGAAAACAAAGGCTTATACATCACGATGCCACAGTTTTGATGGTCGGACGGCTTAATCAGCTTACCAGTACATTCATAATACCCGTTATAGGTAGTATCTATAGATACGCGTGTGCAAGACTGTGTAAAGTGATATCCTTGCTGGAGGCTACAACTCCATCCCGTTTACGAAGACTACTTCTACACTATCTCCCTCCCACTGATTTGAGCCTCGGAATGTTCCACTAACAAGACTCGCGGTTCCTCCTCGGGCGCCTTCGACCACGGGCTCGGCCTTTCCGTTTCTAAATTGCGAAAAGTCCACATAGGCTGTTCTGGCATGGCATTCAAAGGGAGAATCCGAGTCATTCTGCGCCTTCTTAGCTTGTCGAGGTCAGTCTTGAAGTCACCCAAGATGATGGCGTCTGTCAGGCACTTGGATGGGGATGACGGGAGTTACGGCGAGGACATCGACGACGATAAAGATGATGCTGACAATCATCGAGCAGAGCAGAACACCAAAGCGAGGTGAGGCGACAATAATGTCGACGATACCAAGTTCGTAGCGATAGCGAATATTGTAGAAGAGACTGGCAGTCGTAAAAATCCACCATGGGTCACTAACAGGAGCAACAGTGTAAGCTTCAGGTGGCAGCAAACGATGCACTACCAACGGACTTCGAATACAGCGGTAGTCAGCTCACCGGAACGCAGCCTCGAACGGGCGAGAGTATGTGAAGAGGGTTTGGTCGCCGTTGTTGAAGTATGCAAAGTTGGCGTAAATCTCGAAGATCTAGTACGGCTGCACAAGCAAAACAGTGCTAATATGATGCGACTACCAAGAGGCCCCAGAAAGGGCTGACTCTTCAACTAAGCAACCACGTTGTGCAGGTTCCAGGATATGATGAGTGGGACAACAGTAGAGGAGAGGTACCACCCCCATACTGGCGTCTCAAAAAAGGTAAAGAATCCGTTGGGGACAGCTAGAGCCAACTTGACACATTACGCGGCCGTGTCAGCAAACAGCAGCCAGCTGTGACCCGAATTATTCATTGTGTTGAGTTATCGGGCTCTGGCAGCTTCCATTGCTGTTGAACTTTATTCTCTTTCTCTTAGGTATGACCCGAATATCTATACAGCACATGCCTCAATCAAGATGAGTTTGTGCGGAAGCACGCCGCTACGCATGTTGGCTAGGGCGATAGTGGCCATCATGAGCAGAGCACCCACCATGACGCCCTGTGACCATCACTCGAGAGTGACTTGGTCCACGCTGGTGGGTTTTTGACCCGCGGTCGACTCTACCCTGCTCATTTTGGGAAGATAGTGTCATGTAGAATCGCGTCGCTCAGATAGTAGTGAACTCTGGGGTCACATCACGAAGAGCAGTAACCTGGCGGTATACTGTAGGTGGCCTCCTGACATATTTATTATAGCTTGTGACATCTTGTCAGTTGTCTTAATCAAGTCTTTTGATGAACGAGCTTATTAACACAAAACGAATCTTTCCTCGATCAAAGATAGTTCCCATTCAGCTAACTCAAAAATTGCTGCCACAAAAGCTAGACTTGCGAATCATAAAGATAACAGTAGTGCTTGACAATGCTTGGGCCCTGACAAATAATGTAAAAGAATGGGAATCTACAACTACAGTTTGCCGGTTCGCTACACACGGGTGTGTCACATGTCGTTCCTTTGATGCGGGCAAGTATCACGGAGAGCCGTCCGTATTCGTCGTACATTTGAGACTGCCAATAAGGACATAATTATTGTTCTAGAACAAAGCTGACTTTAAGTGGCGCTATCTAAGGACTGAGTAAATCGGGAGGCCTTAGACCCAGCCTTATTCCTACACCTCACTTGATCTTCTTCTCCCGTTCCTTCCGCCTAGGCATGCGGCCATGGCCACGACAGATTTATGACACACAACCAATACATAACGTTTCTCGAGGGTTAGTGACAGTACCCTAACCTAATGAAATATGCCAATGCAAATTCCTATAACGTGCACACATCGCTCAGCGTGCGTGCTAATGATGTTTCGCTATTGTCGTGCCAGTAAGTCTCATTCCACACGAGCCTACTTTTCTAACTTTTGCAAAGCCTGAATCACTTCAGCCGTCGACGCCGTGCCGCCGAAAATCCGTAGGGCGTGCAAAGCGGCTAAATGGTCTGCCTCGGTGCATGTCCCGGTCGCATCGCTTACGGTAGTAACACGATAGTCCATCTGATACGCATCTCTTGCCGTCGACTCGACACAGACATCCGTTCCCACTCCTGTCAAAACCAGATGGTTAACGCCGCGCTCCTTTAAGATCTTTTCCAGCAAACACGTCCCAAGGAAAGCAGAATTCCTCGTTTTGTTGACAATTTCTTCTTGGGGTCCGGGTGTGAGTTCGTCTATCATTTCGGCATCCCAAGACCCTCGTAGCAAACCTCCCAATTTCTCGACCCGATCTCCGCGGTCGTGGGGCCGTCTGTCAGAGTAGTCGGCGTTGTAACCTGTCCTGACGAAAAAGACCGGGACCTTAGCGGCGTGGAAGGCGGAGCGCAGCTGGTTGATGTGCGGAACAATAGCTGTTGGGTCGGATTGCATACCCATCTTTGCGAAGCTACCTTGTTTGTGGCAGAAGCCGTTTTGCATATCAATCACCACCAGCGCTGGAGCGGAGTCGAGTTGGACCATCTTGGTTGAACGGCTGCTTGCTGTCTACTGTAAATTTTGGTGCTGAATTGAGACTGGTGGCAATTTATCCAACTCTTTTCAACGATACCATACTTTTAAGGCTGTCGCCTTCAGGTCACACCCGACAAGGACCAAATCGTATTGTTTCGGTCATGTGGTCTGTTACTGCGGGGCAGTTGTCATGTGCCGCTCAGCATTGCGTTGTCACATGCTAGCTGCAAAGAAAAAAGTGTTGTATATAGAGGCACCCCAAGTGGTTGATATCGCCCACGTTATATATGGCCGTCGGATGATAGAGTATGCGTGGAAGCGGCTAGAAGATTTTACAAGCAACTTCAAGGCGGCCTAGGCGGATAGGAAATAGATCGAGGGGTGGTAGAGGCGATTTATAGTAATTTATTTTAAGAACTAATACTAAAGAAAGAGGAAATAAATAAGTTATTAAAGAAGTAGTATAATATAATTAATATTTATTATATTAAGTTATTAATCTAGTAGCTTTTATTATTATTAAACTTTACTCTTTTTCTCTTAAATATAATATAATTAAATTACTATTATTATTTATTTATTTTTTCTTACTATAAATAAAGGTTATTTAGTCTTAAGATTAAGCTATATATATAACTATTATATATAGTTTTTAAAATATAATTTATAGCTTATACTTAAACCTTTAATACTATAAAAACTTAAATATTTATATATTTAGCTTAAGTATAAATATTAATATTTTATTAAAAACTTTAATAAGAGCTAATTAATATATAAGTTAATTATAGCCCTAAAAGGGGATACTTATTATTATTAAACTATAATTACTTTTCTATATAATAATAATAATAATAATAATAATATAATATTATTAAATACTTATATCTTTATTAATAAGGGCTTAATTATTAAAGTAGATAATAAGCTTTTAGAAGATATATTAATTCTAATTATAAATAACTTAAGAGAGCTTTATATTAACTATATTAAATACTTAAGCTTCTACTTAATTAATAAGCTTCTTATAGTAATAAAGCTATTAATAATAAAGTAAATCTAATAACTATATTTACTAAATTTAACTCTATATTATATTAACTAAGTAAATAAAATAAAGGTATTAAATAAAGTACTCCTTAAGGATATAAAAGACCTTAATAAGCTTAGCTTTAGTAATAACTACCTTATTATATATATTTATTATAACTTAATATTTAATTATTAATTTTAATATATTATATATTATATTAAATTAATTTAAATAAAGATAGCCCTTATTTAAGTTTTAGTATAATAAATTAATTTAAATTTAGGCTTATTTAGTATAATATAGTAGAAAAGCTTCTAGGAAAGGTTATTATATTTAAGGTTTATAATATTTATTAGAAAAGTTAGATTTATAAGGTTAAATTAATTAATTATATCTATAAGTATAATATAGTATTTATTATAATAAAATCTTTATTATTAATATATAGTTTAATTAATTCCTAATACTTAGTAATTTATATAGTTATATATTATATAGTATAAATTACTATTATATAACTTAATAATAAAACTTAAAGAGCTATTTTATAAAAATCTTAAATTTTTAATATTTATTTAAGAACTTCTTTTTTTAAAAAAATTATTACTTATTAAATATATTAAATTTAAATTTATACTTAAAAGTATAAAAGAATATTTAATATTATAAAAAAATCTTAAATTAATAATATTAAAAGTTTATTAAATATTTATTAAAATATATTACTTTATATTATTTATTAAGTAATAAATTCGATTACTTATATTAATAAAAATAGTTATTACTTAACCTAAGCCTAAATACCTTATATGACTAAGCAAGAATCCTTACTTTAGTATTAGCTTAGCTTTTAATGCCTGAAAGACATAGCTCAAGATCTCTTTTCTTTTCTCTTTTTCCACAGTCGTGAACAACACTACACCGCCAATTGAGATGGGTCTCTGTATTCCCGACGAGATTCTGCAACATATCATGCGTTATTTCGTCTCTAAGGAGCCTCGCAGGCTTAGGTCACTGGAAGAGGCGAATGATCATGAATTTTATGATCCCTCATTGCGCCCGACAGACTTGCATTCACTTTGTCTGGTGAGCCGGCGATTTTGCCATATTGCTCAGCCTCTGCTTTATCATACCATCAACATTACTGGTGAGACGATCAATGATCGCGCTTCAAGGCAGCAACGAGAGTGGCCTGGCCGTTTGCTTAAAACAATGGCTGAAAATCCGCACCTCGCGAAGCACATACGTGTCCTCGCTATTCAAAGCTACACACCCGGAGCAGTGTGGTCGACCGACTTCCCTTGGGACGTTCCCCAATCTCTGCGATACGCTCTAGAAGATGAGATCCAACACGGCGAGCTCCATGAAGTATCCCTTGCGATTTTATTTTACGCAACTATGGTCGAGAGAATCATACTTTACTCAAATGATGCGGATGGTATTCAGATTTATTGGGTTATATCATCATGGTTTCCACATGGAAACCCGCCATATGATTTTGCCGAAATCGGCTCGAATCTCGCTCCTGAACTTGGCCCTTTCGCCAATCACGGACATCCCCGACTGAAAGAGATCTGTTTAGATGGTTTTAATGAAGACTGGGTCATGCTTGATCGAGTCTTCGTCGATATTATGAAAAAGCCAGGACTTACCACCCTTTATACAAATGGTGGATGGTGGTGTCCAGATTTCTTCAAACCTCCTAAGCTTCCTGCAGGCGTGTTATCTGATGACTGGCCCTCCAGTTTAAAAGTCTTACAACTTAAAAACTGTTGCTTAGACGCCTATGGTTTTGCATATATCCTTCAAAACTGTCCTAAGCTTGACATTCTTAGGATTCGTTTGGCTGAGTCGAAGTGGATACTACTAGAAGACTTCTCTTGGACTCTTGATCTCGACCAAATCGGGCAAACTCTACGAGACTATGGAAGCAATTTGACCTATCTATCATTTCACACCTTTAACTTTAAGCTATCTCATGAACCAACGGGTCGAATTGGGTCTTTATGTGCTTTGACGAGCCTCCGCCATCTACGCTTCTCTAGGAATGACTTGATTGTTTCCCAAGAATCGGTTGAACCACAGCAGCAGAATATTTTACCTTTACAGAGTATTCTACCCTCGTCAATTATCACAGTTCGCATCTCTTATGAGGAAGCTAGTATTGCACCCTCACCGCCAAGTAGTGTAGTATTTGCAGAGACAGAGAGTCTTCTAGCTAGTGAACGTTTACAGTCTCTTGAACGAGTTGAAGTTATAAGATATATCTCCGATTCTGCGGATGAGTTAGTCTTATTCCGAACTAAGATACCTAATTGGTCCGTGAGCTCCAGGAGAAAGCCGTCTAGGATTCAGAATGGTGTTAATGAGTATATGTCTATCACTAGGTTTGGGGGTTTAAAAAGTAATTCGTTTAACAACTTTGGAGGCTCAAGAAGCGAATCATGATTAGGTAGGTGTATGTAATTTTATTTAGGGCGGCATTAGGAGCCCCTTGCAGGAGGTGGTTCCGGACGCTTATTTTCGTTTATTTTTGTGCCGTCGAATGTGATTCCTAATTTATATTGATAAATACGGAATACGACCGGTGAATTATATAATATCACCCGTCTAGGTAGTGTTATGCCAAATGTCTCAAACACACCGCTCAATAACTTATTTCTATGTTCTTCTGACACTCGAGGACAATATTTTATGAAGGTCAACATCACCGACGAAACCGCCATTCCAAATATCACTCCATATTCCTCAACATGCGTTGCCTCATCCCTCTGCCTCCACAAAAGCCTGCCAATAGCTATTTCAGAGGTCCAAGATAATCAATCACTGCTGCAACCGACAGACTTAGCCTCTCTTTGTGTGATCAGCCGCAACTCGCTCAGCTTATACCACACCATCAACCTAACCCTTGAAGCTACTACAATACACCACCTAGGTTTAGCCAGAGGATGCGTATCCGTCAGACTCAACGACACAAATTATTTGGCTTCCGAATACATATACATATGATATAATGACTCGAGAAGGTGGCACGATGCGGAGGCACAATATATTTTTCAACATCGTATCATTCTTACCTGCGCTACTTATACCCTTAACACGTACTTCGGACCATCTCACACGCGCAGGCACGCAGCGTACGCACTTATGCCAAGGGCCCATGCCCACCATCGACTCCAACCCTAACTTTAATCGTCGAACGATATCTCACTCATGTACTGTGGTGGCGACTCAGTTGGCTGAAAGATCGGCGATTTGCTCGCGTGGGAGAGGCGCGATGTACTCTTTTAGGACATCGGCCAGCGACTCTTCCGAAAGATGGACGACCTGGCTTTTTGAGAGAGTGGCAACTCAATCGTCTAGGAGAGCGGCGACTCAATCGTCCTGGAGAGCGACGACCGAATCGTTCTGGAGAGCGACGACCGAATCGTTCTGGAGAGCGGCGAACAAGTCTGGGAGAGCGGCGACCAAGCCTGGGAGAGCGACGATTTACTCGGCTGGGAGAGCGGTTGTGCTGTCGTGTCAAGGAGCGTCGGCGAGGAGCAGGCCCAGGAGTAGGCGGTTTACCATCAGCCGGTCTGTGTACCAACGCCACGGGCGTCTTGGAAGGCGTCTTGGAAGGCGACGTAGGCCCCTGGGGTTTGTGCTTCCCTGAATCTGGGGGCGACTGGGACGCAGGTCTCTTATTAGAAGGCTTGTCACCCTTGGACTTTTCCAACCGCTGCAGCTTGTCCTCCTCCTGTTGGTTCCACTCCTTATCGACGGCTGAGCCGCCATAGGAGCTTCCGGACGACGGTGCCTTGTCGCCCGCGGCCTTTGGAGGAGGAGTTGCAGGGCGCTCCTTGGCCTTGGATTTTTCCAACTGCTGCAGCTTGTTCTCCTCCTGTTGATTCCACTCCTTATCGACGGCTGAGCCGCCATAGGAGCCTCCGGACGACGGTGCCTTGTCGCCCGCGGCCTTGGGAGGAGGAGTTGCAGGGCGCTCCTCGGCCTTGTTCAGAGGGGCGCTTACGGGCTTCTTGGTGTCGGGAGGTGGTGGTGGAGGTTGGTACCTCTTCATCTCGGCGTCTTCGAACTCAACACCCAATTTGTACGAGAGGATTCGGCATTTTTCACAAACAGTCAGTGGTCTCCCGCTTTCTTTGGGGAGAGTATTGCGATCCCCATTGTGCACACCCCAAACCACGATCTTGCTGCCCTCCGGCATGCCTGTTTTCGTGTTTCCATAGGTGCGATCTAAGACTGGTGGCCCCATCTCCTCTCTGTAATAGTATGCACCGTTCTCTGCGTCGGCTTTTCTAGCAGTGCCTCGCAGTTGATACCAAAGGGGAGCTATGGATTTGCCAAGCTCCTTATCGAGATAATCATTGAAAAGCTTGCCGCGGAGAATGGTCGACATATATACCTTTTTAGTTCTGTGGTCGTAAAATGCAGCTACTAATGCGGACTTCTGCACCGTCAACGCATGTGGCTGGGTCCTGAGCCAGTTAAATGCTTTGCTCGCCTCAGTGTATAAATCCGTGAGCTCCATTTGACTTTTGGGTGCAGGAATCGCTTTGTGCCAAAAGCGAAACGGCGGATCGTCATTTGTATTGGCTATGTCCAGTTCGGTTATGCCGATAGCAGCCTTCAAGTCGTCGCGGAAAGCACATCGCACGAAGCCAAAGAGCCAGAAGGCGACAGCGAGACTTTGCAATAATTGCATTATTCCGTTTCGCCGAACCGGGGCCCGTTTCAAGAGTTGAAGTCGTTGAGTAAAATATAAGTGTGATGCACAAGCAAAATCGTCAAGTGTGAATACAAATTCAGATAGAAAAAAATCACATAAGTCAAGTTAGGATAAAAAAGAGAAGGAGATATAGAAATAAAGGGTTAAATAGCGATGGAATCCGTAGGACAGGCGCTATTGTGAACGGAAAGTGTTATGTAAAAAGCGCAACTACTTCTCCACCAATTTATTTTTACACTGATTCGTCTTGAGCTATTAGACATTCTATTTTTATACACTGGAGAACGTGAGCAAAATTACCAACAGCTTAATGTAGAGGACTCAGTTGTTGCGGAGTCCTCTCCTAACAACCAACAGACTTTAACGGATACCCAGTAGTAATATGAGGTGGCTTGGCGAACAGTTGGTTGTTTATCGCCTGAAGGAACCTCCCCCTGTTGTAAGACTTGCTAACCAAGAGTCTGCTGTGGAAAGAGGATGCTAGTCGGCTGATAACTCACAGCAATCTACTGTTGCAAGTTTCCTGCCTGAAGATGAAAAAAAACCACTAAATCCTTAAGACAGTCTTAAATGAGTCGTGAATGATAACCTATTGAGCTTCCATTCTTGGCATCTTGTTCATTAGCCCCTGTCCAAATTAGCGCCCTACGTAGGATCATGGTCCAGGATCCGATGAGACTCGTTGGTTATGGTCAATGGTAATTTTAGAATACCCCATTTTGCGCTCGTGACCAGGACAACAGCCAACACGCTCATCGGCCTGGGCCGCCTCTTGTCGCGGGGTTTTCTCCCTCCTGCACCGCCTACTATGGAGAATGGCTTATGCTCTATTGTTGGACGTGCTGCCTAGTTATAGGCGAATGTATCATTCTTCATGCCGGTGAAGCAAGAGAACTCCCAAGTGATGCAATAGCAACTACATGAACGTAAACCTAATCTAAGTTTTGGCAAATGGATACAGCTTGCGGTAGCTGCTATAGCGTATTAACGCTATCGCTACCCCGCCAGGTCCATTCCGACATGGACAAATACTCAAAGGAGATGATACCACCGATGGGGGAAATTAACCACGCCGAGTCTAGAATCTGCGGCTCCCACGGCAGCTCGTCCAATGGTAACGTGTGAGTCTAAAAACCGCACCGGATTCTGCACGCGTTGGCGTTATACATGCATAGGTCGCCCCTGCTCGCACTGCGGCTTACGCGAGCCATCTCGTGTCCTGGCGAGCCGCCGTCGTATGTTTCTTGTTTTAGCATTCGCTGACTAACATTGGGTAGACGACTCTAGCAAACATCAACATATTTAACTCCATAATCTGACTGGAGCGGCCACGGCGACAAGGACTCGGGCCAAGGGCTGCTTCGGTTGTTCATTATAGTAACTAATTATACTACTAGGGCTTAATTTTATATATAAACTTTCTTTTATAAGTTTATAGTTTTAGGAAATAAGTGGCGTCTTAGCTACTACTCGTAGATAGTTAAGAAAAAAAGTAGTAGATAAGCTACTTTGAATATAAAACAAGCTAACTGCCTGAGATGACCTAAGAGAAAGAGAATAAAGTTCAACAGCAATGGAAGCTGCCAGAGCCCGACAACTCAACACAATGAATACGAAAACCTTAAAAAAGAGCCTTTTGCTAGCCCAAGGCTGTGGTCGTACGGAAAGAAGCCTGAGATGACAATCACTGGTCCCTTACAAGAGCCCTCCGCAACTGAAGGTATCCCTCAATAGAGGTATACGGCCCATTCTGCAATGTCGGCTTCGTATCCGCCCCGGCCAACCCCAACGGCATGAACAGCGTCTCCTCCTTCCCCTCCTCCACATTCAGAATACTATACGGCTGCAACCAAGCCCAGTCCGCCGTCCCCATCGTCGGCAACCCCGCCCCCTTGGCAATGATCTTCTTATCATCCTTGATATCCGTCTTGGTAGTGAGTAGATAGTCCGGGTCGTAGTCAGGTACATTCTGAATGACAGTGAGGGGGCCAAAGTGGAAGAAGGCTGTCATGCGGGACATGGCTTCTTGCCAGGTCCATTCAGGGACTTTGAGCGGCTGGATGGGAAGAATGGAGGTGTAGCCGTGGACGGGTCGGAAGGGGTCGATGATGGCGCCGAAAGTGTTTTTGGCGAGCATTCGGTTGCGGATGATTTCCATTGTGAAGGCGTCGTTGTTGACGGGGTCGGGGTGGAAAGGTTCGAGGATGGGATAGTTATTTTGGTCTATTTTGACGAGAGGGGCCGTTTTCTTATCGTCTGGTTGATCTTCCAGTTCCTGCTGCATCTTGTCCAAGCCGAAGAATGTGTAGCAGTTGTCAAGGTCGAGATAGCTTGCTTGAGTCTGTTTTGCAGCCTCCTTGGTCTTGAAGTAACCCACAAGTCCATCGTAGGAACGATTCTTATCACCCATCTTGATGGGGAATGTATACAAGGGATCGTTTGCATGTCCCGGCTTCCTCGTCTCAGGCAAAAGACTTCGCTTAGGGTCCTTCTTGACAAGATCAGACTGATTCGTCAGCTCATCCGTGCCCAGTTCCAAGCTCCATGCCATGTTGACCAACGCCAATGGACGGCCAATGATACTATTTAGGAACTGGGCGTAAGCATCGGGGGCAGTGTCAGCGTAGTCCATGGCGCCGCCAATCATGAAGAGCATGGCGTCAAGGTATTTGTCGACGGTAGCCATTTTCTCAATCAGGTAATCGAGCTGGTTAAAGTCGTCGGGCTTTTTATCCGAGTTCTTGAAGGGAAGCCATTTTTCGGACTTTGAGACGCCGGCTTCACCACCGATACGAACTTCACGGTAGAATGTGCCGTCCTGGAGGAAGAATTGGATGGCACGGTCGAGATAGTTGAAGACGACCCAGCCCCAGATGGGATTATCCCATTCTATGCACGTTAGTGAGCCGACTATTTGAAATGGCAAGTGGTAAGTACTAACCTTGCTGAGGAACCCAGTCACCATTATCCAATCTCTTGACGAACGTCGAGTTCAACCTCGCCATCTGATTAATATGAGGCGGAATCTGGGCATACGCACTCCCGCCCTCTCCACCCCTCGACTCCTCAACAATATTCGGTCCCCCATCCACATTGTTCGGATCTGGCGCAAAAAAGTCACTCAGACAAGGCCTGATAGTTTGAGGTGTTGCGTCCCAACGTGGATCAAGAGCATGCACAACTTGACCAAACTTGTCCACGATATTAATCTTGGTGAACTTGAATTGGCCGTGCGTCACTGGTTTGAAGGGACTTTCTTCAATTTTGGTAGACAGACTAACGAGGGTCGCGTAGGGGGTGACATCAGTTTCGGTACCGAGATAGGTGAGTATGTCCTCTTCCAGACCGGCGTCTCTGTTGGTGGCCTCTTTGATGATCTTGAGAGTACCGCCTGGTTGACGGATTGTGGGGGTGATGTGTGTCCCTTGATTCATTGTTAATAAATGGTCGTGGAAGCCAGAGAGGGGGGTTGATAGGAATGCAAGTTTGCTGAGATTATCCTTCAGTTCGTCAACGGGAATGTCGCCAAGTGCCTTTTTGAGCTCATCAGGTGGTGTTTGGGAGATGACGGCGTCGACTTGGGCCTGAAGAGAAAAAGCAGCTTGAGGAAGAATGAGCATGCGGCCAGACAACAGACGAATATCCTGCGTATCTCTCTCCTTGGTCCATTCTTTTCTGTTGTAGAGTGGATCGTCCGTTGCCATGCCGTAACTGAGCTTGGCTGACTGTTGTCCAGTGAAGGATCTCTCTTTCAACGACCATTGTTCAATGTCAATATGAGCGTACTCGGCCTCCCATTCGAGAAACAGTGGGAAGAAAGGCTGCGTTGAACCCCATCGATCGCGTTGGACCTCTTCATTCTTAATCTCAAGATCATGGTAGAGGGGAAGGATGGTCTGTGCCGGCTCGGCTTCTGTTGTTTGTGCAAAGGGCCTAATAGGCTTGATAATGTCCACAGACAAGGAGATGAACTCGTTGACCAAGGCGGCGGCAGTATCTCGAATACTCTCAGGCAACTTATCAAGCCCAACAGCAAGATGAACATCAGTACTCTCATCCCGTGTCTCCCACGTGGTAATGTCGGTATTGACACGCGCAAGAAGCAGCTCCAGCCAGTCCGACGGCCACGAAGACTCCATATGGCCCACCAGCAACGTCGGATCTGTTTGGGTGTGAAAATTCGGATGAACACTCGCACACACAATCTTGTCCGTGATGAGCTGTGCCAAAGCTGGGTCTTTCTCGACAATGTCGTCTCTGTCTTGCTTGCACTTGTTCAGCTGTTTCAGCAGCTTGTCTTTCTTGGTCGTCCAGGCATCTACTTTGGATTTTGTATCCTTGACGGTTGTGTCGCCTTTTGAGTTTGATACGCGACGAGTGACGAAGCCCCACCAGATGGCGAAGACTTCCCATTTGATCCGGTCTTCCAAGCGGGAGAGGGAGTCAAGACGGGTCTGCTGCTGATTGAGTCTGTTCAGACTTTCGATAATGCCGGGATCAGGTCGTGCGGTTGGCTTTTGTGGGTCAGTGCCTTCAGCGACATGCCAACGTGTGCCACCAGGGAAATTGTCAAAGTTGAAGCTATACAGCAAATCTTCTGCCTGTTCATGGCTGTCCACTGTATCCTCATCCATGAGAAAATACTTTTGAATGCATTCAACCGCGTGCATGACCTGCTTCACGTCCTGATCTTGCTCGCTCTCCTGTGAAGCCTTGACGTACGCGAGTAGAGCGTCGAGTGGTGTGCTCCCCACAGCAATGGGATCGAGGTCATGCAGATGTTCGGAGAGTGTGTCGGCTGGTATATTTGCTGGGCGGTCGGTGGCGGACCATTCGACGTTGTACATTGCGCCGTGGGAGAGCGTGTTGCCGGACTCGGAGGATGCTGACCAGGTTTGTCCGTCTTTGGAGTTGTCATCGAGTTTCTAGACACTCAGAACCAGAAGATTTACTTGGGGTTGGAGAAACTTACCAGCTGTGAGCGTTGAATACGATCGTTTCTGTCAACTTTGGCCATATCTGAGATGTACAAGGGATCTATCCATGTTAGATAGTAGCCTCAAAACACAAACTGTAAACTCACCTTGACTCTCATCGGCGTGCCACCCAATCACATAATAATCCGCCGTCGCACTCTCCAAACACTTCAGGTCATCCGCATCCCCATACTCGAAGTTATCAATCATACTAAACACATTCGTATTATGTTGTTGGAAGTCCGCAAACAGCATATTGCCACCGTGCATCACCGTCAACAGCGGCCTGTTGTTCGATTCCGGATCCTCCGTCCACTTGTCCACAGGTGTCTTGCCACCAATCAGGGCCTCAGCCTGTTCCTCAATATTGATTGGACTATTATCATCAGGAGCAGTGATGAAGGGCGAAAAGTCCGTCTGAACGTTCGGCACTCCATGAGGATAATTTTCCTCTGTCAAATTAGCCATACCGGTCCCCTTATCACTCTCAATAACCCAAGCTTGATACTCCGGCACCCCAACACCTTTAAAATCAGGCTCGCTCTTCTTCAACCGTCGAATCACGAGCCATCTCGTCGGCACTGCACGGAACTGCGGCGCAGAGACATCTGTATCAGCCCCTTCACGAGGAGGCAACCCCTCCTGACCCGGATCCAGGGTAGCACCGTCTCCCGCAGCAGCAACACCAACACGATACAGTCTCGGCAGCATCCAATGGAGATACACACCCTGGCGGTCTTTATACTCTTCACCAGTGTCGATGTCGCAGAAGCGAGAGTTGTAGCTGTTTTCAAAAGCATTGTGGATGTCGGTGTGGGGGAGAATATCGCCTTGGATGAGGGCGTCGTGAAGACGGAGAAAGGTGTAGTTTGGTTGGGTGATGGGGGCGATTTTGGCGCGTCTATCGTCTGGGTTGGGACCGCCGCTGCTGACAGAGGGGTTGAAGATGAAGGCGTCCAGCTTCATAGGAAGACTGAGCGTGTTGTTGAGGTCTGACATGGTGACGGTCTCGGTTGTCTGTAAATGGTATGAATTGTGTTGATTCGCAATCAGTAAAATGAGGCTTGGACCGAGCGGTGATGGCGATAGACCTTCTATGGTCAAGGACGAGGACAAGAGAGTCTTCCAGCACAACCCCTTAGCTGCCCCGATGCAGGGATCATTCACAGCTACCATAACGCCCAAGTCCAATACCCCCGGCACCTCCCGGGCATCAATTTCCACACAGTGTCAATATACTGTCTGCAAGTGGATGGCCGCATATGGGCAGGCCATATTGAGCAGGGTTGGCTGTCACCGTCAGAGCTGAACTCTCTAGATTGGGAAGAGATGAGCCTTGCTATCACATTGACTAGAGCCGGAAATGACATGGTTGAGACAGAATATGACTTTTTTTTTCTTGGCCATTCCGCTGTATCCAGAACGGCGGCTATGAACGGGCGAGTGCCACACAGGCAGAAAGTGGACTCGGAGAACGACGAAGCTCCGTTGTGTGTCCGTGTAAGGCCCAAGCTGTCCCTGCCCCTCTATAGTCCTGTATTGACCTGTTCTCAACGCCGTACTTGGGAATAATCCTGTATGCTCGCTCATCTTCTCGTTTACTGCTGAGTCTGCTCTATTTCATCAAACTCCTTGGAACAAAGTCAAGAAAATGGTCGCCTACACCATCTGTCGCACCCCTCCCCAAACACGCTACCTCCCCCATCGCTACGCCCGCAAAGCCATCGCCAAAAAGAATGGCACCACACTCCTCTCCGAACCAGAGAAACTCGACCCAGGCCAAGAACGTCTCTACTCCTTTTACGAGCCCTCCCTACGCGCGGGGCACCACATCATCACCACCACACAAGATATACAACTCGGCACAGGCAACCAGAAGAAACACCTCGAAGATAAGCAGGAATTTACCGTCATTACGCCACGCTATAAACTGCCTGTTTCCGCGGTGCATACCGTGTATCCGCCACAGGGTCATACGGACAATGTTGAGATTCTGCCGCATATTGTCTTGAATGATCCGCAGCTGCCGTGGGCGAGGGTGGCCGTTGAGAAAGTGGAAAGGGAGAGTAGAGGCCGCGTGCCTTGGTTGGCAATGTTGGTCTTTCGTCAGGAGGAGTTGCATTGGAACAATCCTGCTCATCCAGAAGAGAAGTTGAGTGGCACAAAGACACTTACTCTGACTCTTGGTGAGCTGGGCAAGCGAGTGGCTAGTGGTACAGAGAACTTTACAACGAAGATTGTCAAGGGAGACGGTTCCCTTATGCTGGATGATGAGCCAGATACCGCACTGGACATCATATACGTGCCAAAGCAACATTTCAACTCTTTTTTCAAAGACGCCAATGCATCACCCGGCTCACAGAAGAAATGCGATGTCTCTCGCTACCAATGGCTCTCCCACACCCGTAATATCAACACAACGGGCATGGCAAACAGCGGTATTGACGGAGAACTAGGCGTCTTCAGTGTTGTAATCTCTCAACGAGTCGGCCCACTCGACATCACCGAACCAACAGATCTTATCGTACATCTCGTCAGTATTGAAAATCTCTGGTCCATGAACTATCCTGTCCAAAAGGATCGTGTCGCCCTCTGCAGTCTGGAAAGCTGGTCCTACACCTGTCTACCCGCCAACTCATTCAATATATGGGATGCCTTCCGCCATGTGGGAAAGGAACACGATGTATACCGTATTGATCCCAAGATTGTGGAAAAGACACTCGCACCAGAGAAGAAAATGGATGAAAGACTCAAGACGCGATTGCTGGATGGATACGTCATGACACGATATCGTACGCAGACGGGCGAAGAGACGGCGGCGTGGATGAGGGGACCGTTTGTGCCCAAGATTATTGATCATGGGGATACGGACAAAGAGATCTCAAACTCGGGCCAGGATTTGCAGATTATGGATAAGGTGACAGGTATTATGGATATTACGTATAGTACTGCCTGGCAGCTGGGGAAGGCTTTGGCTCTCGCGGACCAGGTTGGCATTTCCCCCTGATTGCTCTTGATTCATTGTTGTTAACCCTTGTACATTTCAGGGCTTCACTACCGCTCTCAGCCGTCTCAGCGTGACCATCAGTCGTGGCAGTATGGACGAGACCAAAAAGTCACTTCTCAAATCCCAAGGCGCCTTCCAGGATAAGTCCGAGGTTCTAGGCCAACTTGTCGAATCTCTCAAAACACTGCGTAGCCTCCATAACCCCTCTGGCCTTCGCAAGGGCCCTGATGCACGCTGGCTTCCCTCGTCGACTTTATCAATGGACATGTCTCGTCAGGCCGTCCACGTGCAGCAGCAGTATCTCCATCATCTGAAAGAGACGACACGCAAAATCACCAGAAACATTTCTGGTGATAGAGTATACGATGAGTTTAACAATCCTCTTAGTCCCGACTGGATGATTATCTGCTCTTGGGTGCTGGATCGGATGTACCTGGCTGGTGTCCCAGCTCACTATTACATCCCCGATCCCACCTATCTGCAACAAGAAACGCTTCGTTTCTTTCACATTGACAGACACTGGATCGATGCCATGATTGATGGAGCACTCAGTATCGCCAGTCATCTCCCTGATGATGAAGACAAGCGTATTGAGCTGAAGAATATCATCAACGAGCTCCTCGAACAACACCCAGAAGGTCTTCACTATCCTCCTCAACGACCCAGCTTTGGCTTCTTCCTTCGTTCTCAACTCTGTATCAAATTCCCTGATCTCATCGTCGAAGCATATGGTTCTGATCCAGACGTCCCCGATCCCACCATCATCATCAGGCAAGAAAATATTAGCGAGGGACTTCTCCTCGTCCTCTTTGATAAGAAACCAGGCAGCAGCGAGTTCACCAAGCTCATCCTGCGTGAACCTCCCCACCAACAAGCCTTTGCCTGCGGAAGTCACCTCACAAAGGATGAAATCAGCGTCCCCGTCACCAGGATCTACACCGTCCCCCTGGAAGAGCAAAAAAAGGACAAGGATCGAAATTTTCCCTTTATCCACGACCCGTATCCAAAGAGTGACCCGAACAACCCCATGTTCATTTGGGACGATGAGGGTGTTCCCATCTCCACTCTCAAACTACCAGCGTATGCTGATGAAGTGCAGAGGATTCTTGTGGCAAACATGAAAGAGAATTATACAGAAGATGTCCCCACGGCGACAATGATGGGTATTCAGCTGAATCATCCCATGTATTTCCTGCAGATTGACATGGACAAGACTCTCTTCGCGGGCTCTTCCACGGAGAATGATGGAATGCTTGTCGGACTCAAGATGCTGAAGCCTCGGCGCAAGAACGAAGCTTTAGAAGCTGCCGTTCGATCCGAGGACTATGTTATTCATCGTCCATCGGGAATTGACTGGGACGTTCCATTTCATGTTCAACCGGTACAAGGAGAAACCCCTCTGCCCGTCATCTCGCTCCCCGCCCCTCACATCCGCCACATCCCCATCCTGCCCTTTCCTCCAACACCTGCAAGTGACCAAACACTACGCCGTAAAAGTCCGACCTTGTTCTCCTACTCCATTTACCCGTTGCGTGAACGTGACCTCATCAACCAAGTCAACAAAAAGGATGTCAAGCAAGACCTCATCTTCTCTATTCACCCCAACAGGGACAACGACTACTGGGACCTTAAACGCGTCACCATCTCCATTCCCTGGGGCAAGACCAAGGATAGTCGCCCCACGCTCATGGACCATTACGATGGCACGGGTGCGACAATGGTCAGTGATTTCCGCTTCAACGTCACGACGACGATTGGGACGGAAGCGGGCGACAAGATGTTCTTCTATCTCACCATTCTTCCGAGGGCGGCCAGTATTCAGAAGATGGAGGTTAAGAATCTGAGCGTCATCCTCAATGGTATGCTGATTGGTGATTATCACGAGTGGCACTCGGGCCGTTGGGGGGCCCCGAAGGTGACGATCTCTGTGAACGAGGAGTATCAACAAAATAACACAAAGATGGAGGTTGAAGTAGTTTTAAACTTGTAGTCCTAGTTTTCATACCATGGTTATCAATTATTGTTCGAATACTGGGCCTTGTTCTTGACTTTTTGTGTGTCTTAGCCATTGTCAGTGGGTGCTGATCGAAATAAATCTACGTAGGTCACTAAGTAGGATTAGCTATAAACCTCGTACCTGCTACAGTAGTATAACAAATACAAACCCGTAGTTGCATAAATTTGTTGACGAAAGTCGAGAAGATAGGAATAGGGGGTAACTTTTTCATGTTAAATATACACAACGTCACTCATCCCTTGCTACGCACAATTACTGTTTCAAACACGAATGCAATTTACCACAACTATATTACTAAACACTCCCTCCCTATACTCTTGTGCCATCGCTATCGCTTCCCGTCTTCCGAAGGACAAATCGGCAAGTACCTATATACGGGACGCCCTTATTACGATTGTGAGAGAGGGTCCAGCAAAGAGTAGATGGTGCACGGGGAGACATCGGGATGGTCCTCATCAACAAAGGCCTTGTACGTAATGACAATTCTGTCATTCGCGGGGTCTGCGACAGCAGACAATCCGCTCAGGGTGTCCGCCGCTAGAGGCTGACCGTCATCAGAAGGGTTTGCCGAGTCATACTTGGTCGGGACGAAGACCTTTCCCCAGTTGCCGTTGGAGTACTTGGTACAGGCAACATTGTAGTCGCTGTTGAGGTGGAAGAGGAATACGCTGCCTTCGAAAAGGCATACGGCAAGAGGGGTGGTAGGATCAGGGATAGACGTGATTTTCTTGATTTGCTCGACTGTTTGGTCCGAGAAATGGTCAGCACCTTGTCTAGGGAAAGATTGAAGTAAATAACAGTATAGGATGGGGAGACTGACAATGTCCTTGTGTCACATCGCCGAAGTAGATGCCTGGGGCTTTCTTCCCACCCTGGTGCCAAAAGACATAAGGGGCAGGAGAGGCGCCACCCACCGACATGGAAATCGCGCACAGCTGAGACTGGTCGATAGGGTTGTAGAAGTCGCTGATGAGAACCGTCTTGAGGCTGAATGGGTCGGTATTGTAGATCTTGTTGACAGTGTCGTCCTTTCTGTTATTTGTCAGATGATGCCAGATGACCTGTGGCGTATTGTGAAGTGTCATCCATGCTTACTTGATAGAGAAAACATGAGGTATTTTATTGATGAGACAGGATGCAATACCCACGCCATCGGCGGTATTCTTTCCCAGAGGCGAGTAGACGGGGCTGATCATGCAGAGAGTCTTGTCCATGTCCCGGATTGCGAAGGCGTACGACTACTCCTCAACTATTATTAGCTGTTCTATATACCATTTAGAAGATACCCTTGATTGAAACGTACCAGCTTAGCGGTAGACGTGGTCGTAATGGCCACGCAGCTTCCAAAGGGCACTTTGGGGGTAGTGTCGGCCAGAACCGAGACATCACCGTTGCCATTGGTAGCGGTATGCACAGAACCATCGATGATCTCGTTCTCATCGTAGCCTGGGAAGAGTGGTTTGGCCGCCTGTTTGAGAGCCTTGGATGACAGTGGATCAATGGGCTTCGAGTCAAGGTAGAGGTAGCCGTCCTTTTGGTACCAAACGATGACATCCGTCGTTGCCAATGGGTTGAGGAGAGCCGCGTAGGGCGTCGCCTTGTTGTTATCGTCCAAGATAGCGGCCATGGTGGTGGAGGAGGAGATGTTGCGGAGGCTAGAATGAGGATGAAGAAAGACACAAAGACGAGGTTGAGATTGCAAGTAAAATGCCAATAGCGATACCAAAGAAGATGATGAGATTCTTTAACAATGCGTTTCAGCGTTTATATTAGTCTCATGGTGAAGTTGAGTGAGGATAGGAGAGCGCGACGCAGTCCGCCACACCCGCTCAAAATTCCTCTACATATTGTTTACATGTTCTGCTATCAACTGAATTGACCAATACAAACTCGCGATTCGTCACTATATGACAGCGCAACAAGTACGAAAACTCGCACACTGTGTGGGGAGATGTAGAGCAGGGTTCTCAGCCCTGCCCAGGGGCTGGCTGAGATGGCTACTTCTGCAACTAAAACGGTTCGCTGCATGTATCGTTCTGGGGCATCTCAGCCGTCCACTCCCCGCATTGAAGGCCCAATATGGACGGGATCCCACAATTTGCCGCATCGACAGGGGGCTCCCTCGATAGATTGCCACGTATTCATACCGCCCGCAGTTCCGCCAAACCAATGGCAACCCCGGAATCCGTTGCTTCCGGACTTTCAGCTCCCCTCAAGGTGATGATCTAGCCCTAGATAGGTGGTCCGATAATAGGCGAACTGTCTGACGGCTGCATAACGGTTACTACTCGTCTTCTGTGTGTCGAATACGGGGTTGACAGAAGAACAGCCAGGGATAGAGCTCAGCTCTTGATATCCCTTGTTACTTAGACAAGTGTGGAAGAGAACGACGATGGCTGAACAGCCATGGCAGAATGAATGGCTGTCAAGCGTCCAACAAATTCGTGTCCTAGACTACATCAGCGTGCAGGATGAAAATTGCTTCCTGATATAGACAGATGGTCGAGGGATCGACTTATCAGTCTATTGGACGGCCGCAGCATGGGCGGCATGCGGGCAGCCACCGTATGATGACTACATATGCGGAAAGACAATCTTCGACTCGGACATTGAGATTCGGATTCCGAAAAGAGAGAGGGGAGGGGGAGGAGTGATCTCACCTGTGAGGTTGGTCAGAGGGGAAGAGGCCAGGGACAGAGTGGCCATGCTTTGCTTCTCTCTTCTCCTAGCATTTCATGTGGTCTACGAATCTTCATGAAGCAGAGAGTATATTGCCGATTCATGACTTCAACTTCGTATTAGCGGTCTTCCGACTAGGACTCTACTCAAATATTTGATTTAACTCCCATAATTGTTCCCCACTCGTTATTGCTGTCCCGCCTTGTTTGTCATGATTGTATTTCCACGAGTATCAAAACAATAAAAAGAAGAAAAAAAGTGACAAGATGGCAACGCCATCGTATTCGATAGACTCATTCCACATCAACATCGGCACAGGAGACAGCGCCATTCACCTCCTAGTCCAGAACCCTGACAAGGACACGCCTATCTTGGCAGACCCGCCTCCTAGCGACGCTCCCACGATTCTTCGCGCGACTCTCATCGACGGCGGCGAGCAGCGAGCCAACCCAACTGCACCAGGTTCGCGCAAGCGGTCCGCCACTGCAAGTGCTGCTCCGTCGGCGAACGCGCCTGAGAACATCAAAGCAGCCATCAGAGAAATCAAGAAGCGCTACGTTATGGGCGACCGGGGCTCTGACAAGAAGGACGACGAGTACATGCGCTTTGATAGTATCGTCGTCAGCCACTGGGACAGTGACCACTATGGTGGCATCGTGTCGCTCATCCAGCATGACTTTGAAGACCAACTCGGAAAGATAACTTCAACTGGGCCAGCTAAGAAGACCGAGTTGGAAAGTAAATCATGCCGCTACTTCCTCTACGCGAACCCTGCGGACAAGACCAGGGGTTTGCGAACGACGTTTTATGCTCCTTACTGGAACAAGAAGTACAAGAAGCCAATAAAAACGGACAACCCCGAGGAGCTGCAACTGGTCGATGGCCTGACGCCGACACTGCTGTTTGCGTACAAGGACGACAGCAAGTTCACGGCTCGGATCGGTAATCTGTGCGAAATTCGTTGTACGCCCGAGGACATCATTGGCTCCAACATCTTGGATAACAGAAAACTCAAGGATACTGCTCCGTATACTACAATAAAGACCCCGGACATGTTGGTTGAGGAGATGGATGGGACGGAACTTGTGCCGAAGACATTGGGTTATGCGCCTGTTGGCATTTACTGCGTTGCTTCCACGTGCTGTGTCATGGGACTGGATACGCCTATTCTGAAATTATTTGAGGTACGTCGTGAGGAAGCTGTTTGAGAGAGTGACAGCCACTGACAAATTTGCACCACCCAGCGAGGTCAAAAATTCATTGTAGACGATGACAAGCTTACCAAGTCCAACAAAGCGTCCATTGCCAATCTGGTCATTTGGAACGAGCCCGCAATTGAGATTTCCCACTACTTCGCAGGAGACTCGTGGTACAAGGTGGAAAATGCAGTGTGTGAGTGGACACAAAGGGGTCCAGGTGGGACAACAGTGGAGAGGAAGGTGAGGAATATGAAGCTGAGGTTAGTTTTTTTTCTTCTCTTTTCATTTCTCGGTCTCTCTGAATCTGGTAGAGAGGTGCTCAAGTTTCTGACTTGCTCTCTTAGTCATCATGGAGGACAGGGCTCGACTCCAACCAAACTGATTGACGTTTTTGATCCTTATAACATCATCATCAGCGCGGGAACCGATCATAACCACCCGTGTAAGCCTCGTAGACTTTTCTCCCTTCGGTATGGCGGAGCTAATATTCGACTGCATAGCGTGGTTGACATTGTTCTATATCAACGCTTGGATGATTACAAAAGAGAAACGGCCGGGCACTGTCTATGCCACTAGGTAGGTTCCTGGGTGCTCAACCTCGAACGGCCTCCTCGGTTCCACTGACCTTTGTGTTAACAGGTATCCATACTATGGTAATAAGGTGCTGGAGCCGTCGGATGCAACACTTGAAAAAAGAGCCGCAACAGGCAAATCACCCAAAAAACCACTTCAGATGTTTTCCCACTGGGATTATGCCCAAGGCCACACACCCTCCGAGAATAATTTGAAGGATGGGTGGGATGCACTGAAGAAGTTGTACGATTCCCTTGCCGTACCGCTAGACCTCGCACCTTGGATCAGACCTCAGGAGCAGGCCAACGAATGGTATAACCGGATCGAAAGTGCAGCATTGCAGACGTCCGAGGAAACGGTGCGCTGGTTCGTGGATCAGGTGTGGAAAGCCTGGCGTGATAACCTGAGCTTGCTGGATGCGCCCCCAGAACCAACCCCGTCTGCAACCCCGTCTGCGGATTGGGATTCCCACCTGAACGAGAAGCAGGTAGCTGCGGGCCGGGATATCTGCTATGTCTGGGTGCAGTCGTCACAAAAGGTCAGCACGGCCCCCCCTTTTCTTTCAGTGGAGCATTCTATTGGTGTGCTGTACCGTACAGACGCGACGGGGTCGAAGGCAACAGTGTTGGAGTGCAGGAGCAGGCCTGCTACGAGCACGCTGGCGGCACACTCTGCTGTTTCGACAGTGAAACCTAAGTCGGGAATCCCTTCGCGTCAGCTGTACCCGGATGTGACTTGGACACAATGCAAGCCTTGGCCAGAAGGTTTTCGGAGACCCGGGCCTGTGGCTGCGGCCGTAGTGGATGGAATGGTCGCCTCACCGCCAGTTGTCGAGGAGATTCTCGACGTTCCTATTTCCTTGCCTCTGAGGCCAAAGGAACAACCAGAGACGGAACAGATCAAGTCAAAAGAAGTGTCGGCCCGGCTTATAGTGGGGGAAGAATCTGTTAAAACACCCGTCGCCGTGCCTCTCGTGCCCGTAGAGGAACAGGAACGAGGAAGGGAAGAGGACACGCTGGCTGCTGATGGCATTCGAAAGTTGACCGGTGATGCTCAAGCTTCTGATGGACATGACGACACGCTTCGAAGCGAGGCCATAGAAGAAGTCGATACGACTGGCATTGGCGGCTCTGGTCATCAAAATGGCAGTGTCAATCCAAACCCATCCACTGACGCTGACATCTCTGATCGTCAGGATACCCATCAGCCCGAGTCGACAAACACAGACGCTGACAATCAAACCTCAACAAGCAACACCCAAGCCAACACTCACGACGAAAGCTACAACAACGACAATAGCATTGCAAAGATGCCCGGCAACCGCACAAACACCGGAGAAGGCATTCCCCTCCTCCCCATCCCCATTATGCCCGAGGATCCCCTCCACCCAGCGCCCCCAGCACCCCCGGACGCAGATCAAGTCTTCTGGATCGGCACCAAAGCGGATAGCGACACAGAGGTTCCCACAGACCCAACCATCAAGCTCTTCCTGGCCCAGCTTCACCTACGGGCCTTTGGACTCCAAGCTAAGCCCAAGAGCAAGGAGAAAACCGCCTTTATCGCTGAAGAAGAGTGGAACTCTTGGTTCGCCGATGTGCTGGAGACGTTTGCGCCTATTGAGATGATGACTGATGATCAACTGCAGCCGTCGTCGTTCAATTTTGCGATGAAGTTGATGCAGAAAGACACACTCAAATTTGATACCATGTCTGTATACAAGGCGTTTAAGATGGAGCAGGCGAAGCAGCCCAAGTTAGGATTGCCTGACGGGACGTTCATCATGTTCGGCTTGAACACAGACAAACCGCCTGGGGTGACGGCTTCACTGACGGACCTGCTCAAGTTCAGTCATCAGGATGGTCTCGCCGATAATCCACTGATCGCAACACTCGGCTCTACCATAACTCTCGATCTAGCCACCCAAGATGGGTCCCGTAATGCGATCTGGTTCGAGCCGGGTAATGCCTACCGTGTCACTCAGCGTCTCCAATGGGACGTGCCTACCGACGCCATCAACAAATTCTTCACCGATTGCGGCGTCAAAATTGAGCTCAAAGACACGGCCATCGTTACTCGACGAACAACTTCCTGGCGTCCCGGCCCGAAGATGATCTCGACAGGTTCCATCGCTTTCCAATCTACTGTCAACATTGGCAGTTCCCCTAATCTGGACCTCACATCGACCATTACTCTTGGCGAGAACAGTCTCAGCATTTCCATTATCGCTACCAAGTCGGCATGGCAGGAATTTGTCACATGGATCACCAGTGTTCTTGCCAAGGCTGCTGGCGACATGACTCTCATCTCAGATACCCTAAATGAGTTGGGCGCTTTCATTGGCAAATTCATTGCTCCTCGAAGCGTGTCCCTTTCCTTTCACCGGACGGGCGCGAAGACGACGCTTCGAAGTTGGTCCATTGCTGTCGAGCTCTCTGTCAAGTCTGTGCCCATTTTGGTGTCGTACGATAGCTCGTCTAAGATGCTTCGTGGCAAGCTCTGGCTCGTGTCCGCGACTGAGTCAACGCTTCTTCTGCCTTATTACGAAAGTGGTCTTGACTTGAAGCCCTTGACTGCGAATTACAAGGCCCCTATGCTGCTGACGGATCTTTCCGACTCCATCACTGAGGCTGACCTTCCCCGTGGTATTCCCAACGCCATCGGACACGCAGAAATTATTGTCGACTCGGCAAATAAGGCTATCAGCTTTTCCGCCAGCCTCGACACTGTGCCTTCAAAAAGTGATACAGGAAGCGTCCCTCCCATCTACCTTGACAGCTTTGATTTGTATGTGTCCTACAGCAAGGCAGATGGTCTTGACATCCTGCTACAATTTGAAGTCGTCATCGGTGGCCAACCTCAACCTAGTGGCGGTGATGCTGTCGTGGAGCTTGATGAGGAAGATTCAGACGATGACAATGGCGCTACAATAACTGGTGGGATTTCCTTCACTTCAAAGGATACTTCGTGGCTTCTCTATGGTTCTATTGAAGCACTCAGTTTTGACATGATGTACGATCTTCTTGACCCTGATGCCTCGGATGATGTTTCTGCCATGCTCAGCCACTTTGTCATTACTGATCTGGAGATTGAGTATCAATACGGCGATGGCGGAAAGGGTTCCTCTTTTGACATTGCAGGCAAGCTTCTGCTTGGACCTCTAGCCCTCGAAATGAGTTATCACTACGATAAGGATGGCTGGCTCGTCAAGGCAGATCTTGCAACCGTCGATGACAAGAAGATCACTCTGGGTGACATTATTGACGATCTCACAGGCAATCACGGCGATGATGGAGACATTCTACCCGAATTCATTCTCGGCATCCCCCTCACCACCGGTAGCAAGGACAAGATCATCACTGTGCGTTGCGCCAAACACGCCAAGGGTAATGGCAAGCCAACAACTCCTGATACACCCCGTGACCAAAGCTACCTCCTCTTCCAGGCTGAAGTCCACATTGGCATCTTCACCATTGGCTTTACCCACTACCGTGATCTAAGTGTCACCTCCTCCAAGCCGACCCCGCCAAAGAGAGTCTTCAAGCTGTACATGAATGGTATTCCTGCCGTGACAGTTCCTACTTTGGGGCAACTTCCTCAACCATTCGATGAGATTGCATTTGTTTACATTCAGGACCAGGCCACTGATGTGACCAAATCGCTTGTCCCCGGATTGACAGCAGATGATGTCAAGATCATCAACGACGGGATGAGAGACGCCAAGAGCGGCCAAGGCGGTGACTGGCTCATGTTTAGAGATACGAGGAAACCCGGTGCAGGCTCTTCAGACACTGTCATGCCAGCTGGAGCTCATTTCATCATCATCATGAAGTCCGGCAACGAGAGAAAGGCCATACTTGACTACACTCTCGGCAGAAATAAGAAAAACAAGTCTCAAAACAACGCTGAGAGGGCCCTGGACATCGCAGCAGGTGGTAGTGGCGGCCAGAATGGCAAGTCTTCCATGGCAGCCATGAAGAAGACGGTCGGGCCCATCAACCTTGCGAATATTGGCCTCAAGTACGAGAAGAAGAAACTTTCCGTCCTACTCGACGCCTCTTTCCTACTTGGTCCCGTCGGCTTCACTTTCATCGAGGCCCGTATCAGCATCGACCTCGGCAAGAACATTCTCAAGGACTTTACTCTCACGGATGTGTCCTTCGGTCTTTCGGGTCTTGCTGTGGCCTTTGACCAGCCGCCTGTCCGTCTGGGTGGTATCTTTGTCTATAAAGACACGGACGACATCAAATATTTTGCTGGTGGCATCGTCGTCGGCATCGATCCTTATCAATTTATTGCGGCTGGCATGTACGGTCACGTCAAGAAACCCACCGAGTATGACACAGCCTTCGTCTTTGCCAAGCTTGAGGGTCCACTCGTCACACTTGAGTTTGCCGAGATATCGGGCATCACTGGCGGTTTCGGATACAACAACGATGTTAAGCTTCCCACCATTGAGACAGTCCGTCAATTTCCCTTCCTCAGCGGTGCCATCGATGCCAGTGGCAGTCTGCTAGACTTCCTCGGTAATCTCGTCAGGATCGACGGTCAAGGTTCCTTCAGCCCGAAACAGGACGCCATGTGGCTTGCTGCTGGGTTGAAGGTTAGCGCCTTGGAGATGATCGACATCGATGCCGTTTTTGTCGTTAGCTGGAACCCTGCCGTTTCGATTGGCATCTTTGGTGTTGGTACGGCCAATATTCCCAAGACCAAGAAGGGAGGAAGAACATTTGCTCATGTTGAGCTTGGAATCCTAGCCGTTATTGACTTTGGCGCTGGTGTTTTCAAGGTTGAGATGCAGCTCGCTCCTAGTTCATACGTCTTTGACCCGAGTTGCCGTCTCACTGGTGGCTTTGCCCTTTACTACTGGTTCAATGATAAGGTGCCTGATCGTAAGGGCGAATGGGTATTTACCATTGGTGGTTTCCATCGTTCCTTCAAGCGGCCAGACTACTATCCAAATCCACCTCGTCTAGGTATTCACTGGCAGGTCTCTAATGCTATTAGCATTGTTGGCGAGGCCTACTTTGCCGTCACTCCCAAATCCTGCATGGGCGGCGGTCGTCTTCAAGCAACTTTGACAGCCGGTCCCCTTCGAGCATGGTTCTCCGCTTGGGCTGATTTCCTCATCAATTACATGCCGTTTGACTTTACTGGCCAGGTTGGCGTGTCAGTCGGTATCAGCTGCAAGGTCGATCTCCTCATTACCAGTTTCACTGTTAAAACCTCCATCGGGGCTCAACTTGACCTTCTCGGACCGCCACTACGTGGAAGAGTCAAGGTCGACTTCTGGGTCATGTCGTTCCACGTCAACTTCGGCCCCGATGCCTCCAAGGGTTCTCTCCCCGACCTCGACGGCTTTTACAATATGGTTCTCCAAGCAGGCTCGCCAGAGTCCATGGCATCATCATTTCTCACCGCTGCAGCACCAGCACGCCAATCTATACTGGCGTCCGACGAAAAGAAACCACACGTCTTCACCTGTCGAGGCGGTATGCTCGAGAATGCCAAGAAGCTAGACAACGTCGAGACCAAAGAATCAGAGGTGTGGCGTGTCAAGGCCAACGAATTCGCCTTTGCCATAGATTGTCGGTTTGTATTGACGTATGCTACCATCTCACTCCCGAACGAGTATGGCACGCCTAAGGAGTTGAAGCCGTGGGAGTCGTCGCCCCAGGATAGGCTTTACGCGAAGCCGATGCAGTCGAAGGACGAGGTCACTTCGAACTTGTCAATTGATGTGCAACCTGTGGTTGAACTGACAATGTTCGTGGAGGAGGAGGACAGGCAGGCGGATGAGAATTGGCGAGTGGCAGAGATTATCAAGGAAGCACCTTCTGCTCTTTGGGGTCAATGTAAGCATTCTTCCCTCTATTATTTGTTTATATCACCACGCTGACCACAACAGATGACCGTTCCCAAAACCCTCGCGAGACAGGAAATAACAATATCGGCGGTCTTCTCAACGGGGACAAGGGCACTCTCCCCAAACTCATGGGTCTTCATATCCTCCCTCCAAAACCATATCTCGCAAACGACAAAATCGGTGTCTTTGATGCCATCGAGGCCATGAAACAATCCGTCTTTGAGAGGAAGGATTGTCCAAAGTTTATTGGGTATGAGAATGGGGATACAAATCTCTATCCCGCTGGACGAGACAAGAACACGTATGAGGATATCAGAACGTTGTGGGCGGCTGATTATGGAACTAAGAGAGAGGATATATTGGATGCGCTTTGGGACGGACTCGGATGGGACGATACGAAGGGGAAGACGAAGCCGAAGGAGGAGGAAAAGTCGCCGCAGAGGTTGTCCGCTGCTACGCCTGAGCGACTTGTTGATGCGCTGGGAAATTTGTATATGGCCGCTCCGCAGGTTACCGTAGGTTAGGTAGAGATGGTCATCAATGAGAGTGCGAGTTCTCGAAATCGATTAAGACTCAAGATATACCTAGACAAGGTAAACGTATCATTCAGAAATTCGAGTTTTAAGTAAAGTTAGGATCAGGATTAGATAGTATTAAGGACACTTTAGGGGTCAGATAAAGGTAAGTAAAAATACTAAAAGAAAAAAAAAGTACGTAAAGTATATACCTTAAACTATATTAATATACAGTAATATAGGATTAAGTAGACAGCCTTTATATCGCCACTTACACCTTAAACCTCCTGATAACCCAGTATATATCTTCCCATTTGTGAAAATAACACCCTCAACACAGGTACAGAAACAGTTGCTCTGGCGAGTCAACAATAGCTATGTCTGTGCCATGGTTGAATCCTAAGCAACTCCAACCCTCGCAGAGGTCACAGCTGCTTTAGCAATGTAACGATGCGCCTGTTTAGGTTAAAGCAGAAGCTGAAGCTGTCGGCTGCTCCGTGTTGGAGTTGCCATCGCCAGACATAGCACATTGCTCGATATTCTTTGGATACCATTGGTCCGCATCTCCCAGGCGATCACCAGTCAGCCCAGCACTACCCGGGTGGCTCATTCCAGCAGCGAGCTGCCTCTGGTATGACACCATGCGCAGCCTCTCTGCTTCCTTGGGTGTAAGATGTAGCTATAACCCCAGTTAGAAAGTGCTCCAATGATAGGTTCTGTAGATTATTCCTCCGAATGGGCACAACTCACGTAGATTTCAATAACAACACCACTAATAAACAGGCCAAGCCAGACAGACATACCAAATGGAAGGTGATGTGCGACTACAGCCTCTGCAGCTGAAGTAGGGTTCCTCGAATCAGCTCTGACAACTGCCATTTGCTCTGGGTTCTCTCCACTAAGCCAGGTTGAGCAGTCAGGGTAGAGGCCCAGTAGTCTATCAACATCTCCGATGGTAAATTTCAACCACCCACACGACCTTGCAGAATAATAACCTCCAATCTGCGAAATAATATCTGCAACGAGATAGTCAAGAAGTCTTGCCATCAGAATCGTCCCCCCCTAGACTACATTAGTAAGAGAAAGAGGTCATACAGGTTGAGATGGCATACATAAAACCAGGCACGCAACATCCATGCTCGATGCTGATCAATCTGTAGTCTCTTGATGTTGATATAGGCCATTATAAGCGCACCAAAGAAAAGCACGAAAATAGCGCCGGAGGCAGATTGAACATCGAGGCCGCCGCCAAAAGCGTTCCGTGCGATCAAGAGGCCACCAACAGCGCCGATCGCGCTGAGAATCAAAGTCATATAGCCACTGATGCGATGAAACAGTATGAACTTGTGGCGGATAACGGGCACGAACTGAAAACACGCAAGAATACTGGCTGGAAGAACGCCTGCCAGGTGTAGATACATGCCAATCCTGGGTAATCCGGCTGAATAATAATAGCACTCACCAGGGGCACTGCCTCCCTTACCACAGAAGCCATTGTCGACGTCGATCTTACGCATGCTTAGGGCGCAGAATGCTGTGAGAGGGAAAGTAAAGAGAACGAAGAAGAAGAAGTTATAGCCATGGGAGAAACCAATAGGGTGATAGATTTTCCGCATTGCTGCCACGAAGCGGTTTGGAGGCACCTTAGATCGGATAACCATTGTGTCGGCGGGTGTTTTCGATGCTGTTTCTACTGTTTTGTTTGAATATAACAGATGTTTGTGATGAAGATGAAAGGACGGCAGTTTATCGAAACCAGTGGGAGCTTCTTCTTTATATCTTCCTTTCTTCAACCAAATCTAGATGGATCATAGATGCAGGAGTCATTAGCAAGGGTGTACATAGAGGGGGCTTAGATGTGCTTACGCGGAGTTATCAGTGTACCCAGTGATATAACACAGATGGTAGTGCACACGCCCACATGCCTCGAGTTGAGATGCAATGCTGCGGCAGGCACTTTTCCGGAGTGGCCAGGACTCATCCGATTGGAGAGATTCTCATCTATGCCTGGCAAACTAGGATGGAACTTGGTTTCGTTCCACAGCGGAACAGATAGACCCATGCAGTGCGCGCGCACTCCCCTGTCCAAGACCCCATATCACACCCACTTATCAAAGCTATATCTATCTCATTCGCCTTTGCTGACAAATAGTGTGTCTAGATCAGCGAGTTTGAAGAATGGACCAAGCTTGAAAATCTCCAGACGACGATCCTTAGCCTTTTTTACCGCTTAAATTTCGAGAACTAATGCGGAGTGCGCGCGCACAGTGAAACGGGCATTTGTCAACCCACGCGTAAGCAAATTGCAATCGATCTTCTATTGCATCTCGTATACGAGGATTTGGTGTCTTTGGACCGTGAAAAAGGATGGTGGGCGCTCCTGGAAGTTCCAAAGCCTGTATTACCTGCCGCAGACGCAAAAAGGGGGCATGTCATCCCTTCACTTGATCCGTACCGCAAATGACATTCAATTAACAAACTTGGACTATCTAGTGTGATCTTCAGCAACCTAGATGCAACCGCTGTCTGAAGGGCGGTTTTACTTGTGAAGGCTACGACCGTAATGTCGAAACTATTCAGTCCGCCGAGACGAATCGAGATATTGCACCTACCGTCGTCACCACACTAGAGGGTACCGCTTTCTCGCCACCCAGACTCCCGATGACTACTGGCTGCTGTTATTCCGTCGTAGGTGAAGTTGCATTGTTCACTTCACTTGCCCGCTCAGCCTATAAAAACCATATTCTTGGCTGCTTTTGGGAGTACCGTTCTGTGGGCGATAAGGTTCTAGACAGAGACACGACTTTACAGCAATTTGTCAAGAGCTGGGTGCCCGCAGCACAGCATATCTATCACCGTAATCCAGCATTGCAGAACTCCCTGCTCGCTCTTTGTCTTGGGTCTCTAGGGCGGATAGAGGATCAGAACTCGTGGTTATGGGAAAGCCAACGGTTTTATATGAGATCCTTGGAGCAAATGAACGTTGGATTAAAGAATTCCAAACAACAAGTGTCCAACGAGCTGCTGCTGATATCGAAAGCACTGATTGCATATGAGGTCTGTACTGCTTATACCTCCTTACCGTAAATTCAGGCACTGAAGGATTTTACATCACAGCTGCTACATGGTCTTGATGATACCAAGACTCTGATTAATCCTAAATGGCCCACGGGCTGGCTTGTGCACCAACTTGGACAAATGAGCATCCTCCTTCAGCGAAGACCAGAAATGCACATTGATGGCCATGCCCACAATTTGTTCGTCGAGGGCCGCTTGAGCATGGTAAATCTTTGGCAGCTTTTACCTATCATCAACCTGGCCTAGTTAACACGTTTCATTTTCCAATATAGATTACAGCATCAATCTTAAGACGAAAAAGGTATCCCTTTAATGACGTACGCTGGAAAACTATCCCATGGTTAAAGCACGCCAAGTCACCCCAAGACTTGCTCATCGATATTTTGGGCGGAATCCCAGCTCTTCTCGAAGACACAGACAGTGCTATTCTTCAAAAACCTTCTGAGAAGGCTATCCTCCTTGAAAATGCAATGGAAGAATGCTGGAAGATCAGCGACCAGCTCAAATGGTGGTTAGAGAACGTAGGACCCGAGTCACTCGCTGCTCGTACTCTACAAGCCCAAGAATCACCATCTTCATCTGCAGCCAATGACACAGACACTGGGCATATGATGTGCATATACTGGGCTGCTCATCTCCTGACACACTCCATGTTTTTGCTCATTGTTCGCTTGAACCAGCCAACGGTCCAAATGAGCGAGAATCACCTTTTTGATCAATCTTATCCTGGGCTCTGCTGCAAGAACATCATTGAAACCGCGAGAAGAATTTCCAACCCTCTACTTGACGCTTTTGTAAGACAGCCGCTATCCCTTCCACTAGGGTTAGCGTACATGTACATAAAGGCGATAGAGGGAAGCGCAACGTCGCCAGAGATACTCCAGCTTGTAGAGTTCTTTGATGGGACGGATCAAGGGTTTAGGATGAGGAGATTTTTATATGGTATGCTGCGTGCTGGGCCTTCTTCTGGATCTAATCTCGGGGATAATGAATGGGATGAGTATGATCTAACAAAGTTCCAAATGAAGGCACGAGCATGGTTTAGAATGATTTGAGCGCTTAGTCCAAGGATCTGAAGCCAGGGCTCCAAATTAGGATCTGAAAAGACCTAGCATTAAAACATTGAGCTATCTTGCGTATCGTTTATTTCAAGCTAGGTATATATAATAAGTCAGAGCCAAGGTTCAAGAAATAGCAAAAGACTACACAGTGACGATTGCCGACTTTGCAGCCCAGGCTATCCTGATTGGAGTCCTACACCTTGCCTTTCCCGATGATTCTTTTCTAGGCCAGGAGTCTTCAGCTACTCTAAAGAGAGACAAGCCCCTTTGTTACAATCTAGTGCTTTCCGTGGCTGAAGGGTAGAACGTGTCCAGACAGACCATGGCCTGACATTCCCAAGCTAGCGATCTGATCTATAACAGCAATAGGCGGCCGAGGAAATTAACCAACTGATTTATTATCTCTCTCCCATATCCTTCAGTCGGACACTAGTGATTACCTCGCAGTAACTATAATTGTATCATTTTCTCTAGGCCACCACCATGAAACTGCTTCAATACTGCCTGTTCCACTTGCCTACCCTAGACCGCCAATCAGTGTAAGGTAAGTCGCCAGACCGTCACAACGAGAGAGTTCGATTACAAGGTAAAAAACAACAATTACAATGCTAGACCCGACATCTCAACACACCAGAATACAGCAAGTTGACTTTTATGAGCTGTAAGTAGGAGCTACAGGACTGCAAGCGTTAGTTACGTGTGTTGCACTCTTTCTTCACAGGTAATATATCAGCAATTTAAAGCTCTTAGAAATATAGACATTTGTCCCAACAAGGTTACCACGAGGCAAACTACCAAGAGGATAACGAGAATACAACCCCCGCGGGATGCCGCGGGGCGCCGCGATGGCGATTTGGAATCCAAGAAAACATGTTCTCCACATTTGAGCTGCCGCCGAGCCGTGGAGCGGAAGTGCGGCCGGATAATGCCAATTTGGGCATAACACCATGTTATCTGATGAATACCGTCTCTCGTCGATACTTGTGCATTCCACTGTGCCATATATTTATATTCAGCAGTGAGCACATGTAGGATTTATCGCTCGACTTAATACAAACTCAAGCTCAAAACCGACAGTCGGCCTTCTGAAACCCCCCATCACCAAAATGGCCATCATCACCACTTCTTCACGGGACCATGAACTGGTCCTGTATAAAGGACTCGACCAAACAGTATGGTTCGAAAAGGCCAAGAAATACTTGGGCAACATCGGGGTGACGTATCGCGAGGAAGTCATTGCCGGAAGCAAAGGCCTCCATGTCTACACTACTTCTGGTCACAAGTTCCTGGACTGGACCTCTGGCCAAATGTCCTGTCTTCTTGGACACGGTCATCCCGAGATCGTCAAGGTGGTCGCGGACCATGCGGCCAACCTCGACCACATCTTCTCGGGTATGGTCTCGCCACCTGCCATATCCCTTGCAGAGCGGCTCTGCGGGATGCTCCCCCCGGGCCTGGACCGAGCCTTCTTCCTCTCGACTGGCGGGGAGAGCAATGAGGCGGCCATAAAGCTCGCCAAGACGTACACCGGCAAATTCGAGGTGATTGGTCTGGGTGCGAGTTGGCACGGCATGACGGCGCAGGCCCAAGGCGTCCAGTATCGCTACGGCCGCAAAGGCCATGGTCCGAATATGCCGGGGATGTTCGCCCTGCCTGCGCCCAACTCGTACCGTTCGACCTTTCGTAAGCCTGACGGTTCTCATGACTGGGAAAGCGAGATGATGTATGGGTGGGCCATGATTGACATGCAGTCTTGCGGATCTCTGGCTGCCTGCATCGTTGAGTGCATCCAATCGTCAGCTGGGATCCATGTTCTCCCCGAGGGATATCTGAAGAGGCTGAAACAAGAATGCGAGAAACGAGACATGCTGTTGATTGTGGACGAGGCGCAGACGGGCGTTGGGCGGAGCGGAGACCTCATGGCTATCTTTCACGAACAAGTGACGCCAGACATTATTACCCTCAGCAAAACCTTGGGCAACGGCCTTCCACTTAGTGCCGTCGTCACGAGTGCCGAGATCAACGACACTTGCGCCAAGAGGGGCTACAGTATGTACACTACGCATGCTAATGATCCTCTGCCCTGTGCCGTCGGTGACAAAGTTCTGGAGATTGTGGTGCGAGATAATCTTGCCGAGAACTCCAAGGCCATGGGTAAGATCCTGCACGCCGGCCTCCGTGAACTACAAGCCAAATTCGACTGTATTGGAGACGTCAGGGGCAGGGGATTGATGGCTGGAGTGGAAATCGTGGCTGATCGGATGACACGGGTTGCTGACGTCGATTTGGGCAAGGCAGTCGCTGAGAATGCTTTTGCTCTAGGTCTATGGGCCAACCTATCAAGTGATAGCTACTTTAGCGGAGCACTTAGAATTGCAACGCCAATTACTTCAGGAGAGGAAGAGATCCGGGAAGGCTTGCGGATTCTAGGTGAAGCTCTCGCGTCCACTCCAGGCACAAGACCTATTTAGGGAATTTTAGAATATCGTGAGATGATCAAATATCTCCTAGTTTGAAGATTTTAATGACCATTTGTGAGATAAGAAACGTATTCGTTTATAAATTAGTTAGTACTATGTATGTTCTAGCCTTGCCATGGAGGAAATTCGGGGCATCCATAGACGATGGATTGGTGCAGGTATTCACGGTAACCACGATCGCCTACGGCTAGTGAGCAAAGCTTTTGCTAGAAGGAGAACCTGGGGGGGGGATCTGCTTATAAAATACCACACATTGTCGTGAAAAGAATGTTGTCCTCGAAAGAAACATCTGAAACGAGAGCATTCCAAGTCTCACAATCTATAGAACTAGTGTTGGGATCATTATCCATTGCCTGTACTGTCGCAAGAATATCCGAATACTGTGCAATGCACACTTCTCCAAGGTCCCAGCCTCCAGGGTCTGCGTGAGCACGGAGGGCCACCATCAAATCTGTGGCCAGAGTCAGGGCGCCGTTACGGCCAGTAGGACCTGTCACCTCGTACTCTTGTTCGAGGGCTGACCGCAGCAAAAATGACATTGTGTACGACAGCAAGAAGGCCGTGTGCGGTAGCCAGAAATCTTTTCTCTGGTCGCTGCCAATCTCCTGGATGAACAGGACGACCTCTTCGGCAGCTTCACGTGTGGTGACGTAGCTTTGCCAAAGCGCTTGTGTTTCGGTTGACTCGATGCTTCCTCGTTGATTCTCAAGGCAGACTCGATGCTGCAAGAATTGCACAGAGAGGAACAGCAAGCGAAGATTGGCAGCTCCCGGAGTCTTGAGATCTGCACCCCGAAACACAATTCTACGCACATCACCGCTTGTAGAGTCTTTCCAATCTTGAAGACTGCTCAGGACAGGTAGTTGAGTTGGAGAGTGTCCCAGTTGTCGGTATTTATGAAGGGTTTGTAGGTAGTCGTTTAGGACCTCTGTCAAAGTGGCGAGAGCGCAAAACACTGCAACCACGCGCTCCTCCAAGGCGGGTTTTGGCGGCGCGTCCAGTATCATGATAGATGGTAGTGGCATATCAGTTTGGGAATTGAGAATTCGAGGGGGTATTCCATACGCCAGACTCGACCTAGTTGCACGCATGCATCAGTCAAGCGCCATTGAATCGATGCTTGTTTATCAACCTCTGAATGCAACTTACCACCCATCGCAAATCAACAGTGCCCTCCAAACATTCTTGCGCAGACGCTTCTCGTGGGACGGGATATCCCATGTGGACGGATCGCGATTGAGGCCCAACATGAAGGCAATGCTGATGGCGAACCCAAGCTGGCCGACATTGTTGAACACCAAAGAGGTTGGTCGCCCGCTGGCGTTGAGGACAATGGCGACAAGGGTGTGCAGGCCAGGACAAAGCCGCATCTCTGAGTATAGTGATTCGCTTGCGAGATTCCAGATGAACCTTTGGTCGGGGCGGGTTTGTCCCGCAAGTACAAGGTCCGATGCCCAGTACGTCAACGAGTGCGCATAGATGCAACATAGCAAAGCTGGAGAGATCTGCTACCGAGAGACAGAGTCGTTGTACCGGCTTCGGAATTCTGATTCGTCCAAAAGCGGGAAACATGGGTTGACTTTGGTCATGAAACTACAAGCAAGGCATCAGCTACAGGCCGCAGATAAAATGAGGTAACAGGCTCGCACATGTCAACTAATCGAGATAGATGAGGCTCAAGAAACTTTTGGATGATGTCAAGATTACTCCAGGACAAGTTTGATCCAGATGTCAAGCCAACAGGTCGCCGCCTCGACTCGGTAAAGACTGCAGCCTTGGACGGCCCGTTGGCTCCATGGGTCCAGACGGTGCGCACTATACGGCGACTTCCTAATCTGCAAGAGAGTATCTCTGACAGCACTTGACTGTCGCTATCGACGATGGGCCCAACCAGGCGCTGATTGTTGCCATCCACTCCTGGAGAATCGAGCGTCGGCGGGGTTTGGCCGTCATGTTCCTCGGAGCCAACCTGGTTTGCTTGGCCCTGATACGATCCGGCAATACTTGACAGGAGCGAAGCTGATGCAGGCAACGGCTGTCGAATGGGGACCAGGCCAGAGGGCAGCTTTGGGCCAGCAAGGTGCGTTGCGTCCGACGCGGCCCCAGCCAAACGGCCATGGTTGGGGCTAGTCATTGGCTCTTCTGAACGAGGCGGAATGTCCGACCTCGCAAGCACGCGGGCGCGTCTCTTCCGTGGAACAAACTCACATTGCGTACGGTGCGAGCGACACATCAGGCATGCCGTCGAGGAACTGGGGTCGAACGAGCACCGGGACTTTCGCTGCCGGCATGAGAGACACGCCCCGCGTATCGATCCTGGCGCCGACATTGAGACTTGCGAGATGTATGTTCAAGTGCTGAGCACAGGGTACAGCCCGGAGCCCGCGGTGTTGCGTTGTTGCGTTGTTTGTGGTTCTCGGGCCGTGGCACTTCAGATGGCGGTTATCTTGAGGTAACACTTTTATGTAGGTTTTCCCGAATCTTGGCCGCGGCATCCCGCGGTCAAACCTTATCAGTGAGTGAAGAAAGACTCCGCCGACCTCCCAGCAGACCCGCTGAAAACCGTTCGAAGCTTATCAAACATGTCTATTTTCCCGAGTCAGGCTACCTATTTTAAAGGCATCGACCAAAGACATAAATGATGGCAGCTCTCGCAACGACGAAAGCAAGAATCCCCCTTTCCAACACTCACAAGGACTCCTCTGATTGTCTCGCTTCGTCATTTTCAAGTTTTGACCACTCAACCACGCTACCTACTACATGGACCACCCCATCTCCAAGACCATGTCCAAGGCCGAGCCTGGCGATGCAATCGAGCATGGTGACACTATCGCTGTAGAGACACAGAGCCTCAGTGGACAGGCTGCAGAAGTGCAACTTCACCGGACACTTCGTACAAGGCATCTGTCCATGATTGGCCTGGGGGCGTCTATAGGACTAGGTCTTTGGCTTGGGAGCGGCCAGAGTCTCCGTACCGGTGGCCCAGCTGCTCTATTGATTGGCTGTAAGCATTCTGTTTTCCAGTTTCCCCTGGTTCCTCTACCACGATATGGCTACTATACCAACTTCGTCTTTTTTCATTTCACAGACTGTCTCGCTGGTTCTGTTGTTTGGTCCGTCTCGCAGTCTATTGGCGAAATGGCAATACTGTACCCTCTCCCATCGGCATTCGTTCAATGGACGAGCAAGTTTGTTGATCCTGCTGCCGCATTCGCCCTTGGCTGGTCTTACTGGTTTCATGCTTGGATCACTATTGCCAATGAACTGCAGGGTGTCCTGACGGTATTGTCATTTTGGCAGGACTCGGCACCCCGAGTTGCCATATTGATAAGCTTCTGGGCACTGATTTTCTTTATAAACATTTGGGCAGTTAATGTCTTTGCCGAAGTCGAGTTTGTTGCGGCAGTCATCAAATTTGGCTGGATATTCGTGGTTCTAGTCTCATTCATCGTCATCTCAGCTGGAGGAGCTCCGAACCATGTTGCTGTCGGGTTCCGTTATTGGAACGAGGCTGCCTTTACGAATGGCTTCAAGGGACTCCTCATGATTTTACCCACTTGCATTTTCGCCATGGCGAGCTCCGAGAATATCGGCATGGTGGTGGCCGAAACACGAAATCCCCTCAAGTCGACACCGCCCGCAGTTCGGGCTGTCTGGATTCGGTTGAGCATCTTTTACATTTTTGGGGCTCTCGCCGTCACAATCACGGTTGATCCCAAGGATTCCAGACTGTTCGGAGGCTCCGGCAGTACTGGCGCCTCTCCCTTTGTTATTGCATACCAAAATGGCCAGTTGATGCCGCTTGCACATATGATGAACGCTATCATCTTCATATCTGTCATCTCTGCAGGTAGTATCGCTGCGTATGCCGGATCGCGAACACTGGTTGGCCTTTCTCACATCGGCATGTCACCAAAGGCAAGTCTTTTTCTAACCGATAAGTCTGATGCCCGTCCAAGCATTGGCGGGGCAACCCGAGTTGCACATTGCAACGAGAAGAGACGTCAGCTAACGTTAATTGCAGTTTATGCAAAAGGCAGACAGTCGTGGCCGACCTTGGTTCGCCCTCGTATCAACGGTCTTTATGGGAGGTGCCTTGTCATTTCTCAACCTCAATGCCACCGGCGCAGAGGTATTTACATGGCTCTCCAGCCTGGCATCTCTAACCACCCTATTTAGTTGGTCAATGATTTGCCTGTCTCATATCAGGATGCGATACGCGTGGAAGGTACAAGGTCGAAGCCCGGCTGAATTGCCATGGACCAACGGTAGCTGGCCTCTGAGCGCCTATTGGGGTCTAGGATGCTGCATCATCCTCTTGGTGGCAGAGTTCTACATTGCTGTCTGGCCGTTGGGTAAAACGCCTTCTGCAGTGGGCTTCTTCTCTCGCTTTGTTTCAGCCATCGCGATATTGGTCATCTATGTGGCTGCCAGGTGCTATTATCGAGGTCGTAGATGGGTCAATGTTCGAGAGGTGGACCTTGATAACGATCGAAGGTTCTATCATGTGGAAGACCAGGCAGAGAAAAGCACGCCATGGATTGATCGGCTCAGGAAAAGGACAAGCTAGCATGACTACCGACTAAATCTCTACTACCCGGTAGGATTATGAGATAAATTTCATTTATAGTACTGTGTAAAGGTGAACTATAACAGCTTTCGCTTACCAACGTCTCCTGGGAGAACAATAATAATACCTTCCTTGGTAAGATTCGGAATCAAGTAAAATGTAGAGTGATAGATGAAGATCGCAATAACTGATCCAATTACATACTGGTCCTAGCTTGTGTCGATGTAACGTTTGCAGAAGGATTCGCTTTGCGCTGATTCGTGAGCTGACGCTGGTGATTACCAACCAACCATAACCCTACCGTTGCTCCCACCAATAATTGCTCAGCTCATGTTACACTGAGATCATTTACGTATATTATAGTAAGTCTCCGCACAATGGGCGTGAATTATCTCATCTGGACTACACCCAAATCCTTTCCATATTTACAGAGTCATAACCTTGCAGTAACTATAATTCCATCATTTTCTCTAGGCCGCCACCATGAAACTGCTTCAATTACTGCCTTTTGTTCCCTTTGTCTGCTCTCATGCAGACAATCATACGACTGGGGGTGTGAGGGTCATCATTGACACAGACTTCAATACGATTGGGGATGACGGTCAGGTCCTTGCCATGGCGGCTCAAATGCACGCCAGCCAGGACATACACTTGTTGGGTCTCACCATCGTCACGGGAAACCAGTGGCTGTACCAAGAAGTATCGGACTGCCTCCGGGCCGTGGAGCGCGTTGGGCTCGAGAACCAGGTGGGCGTCTACGTTGGCGCGCAAACGCCACTCCTGCATGACTTCTCGTCGTTCCAGCTAGAGCAGATTCTATTCGGCAATGCGACTTCATATGTCGGCGCATACCTTTCCGCGCCAAAGCCGCTCGTCCCACCTCCGGACGGCTTCGCGACGCACACGATTCCGCGGAAGCAGCATGCCATCGACTTCATTATTGAGAGTGTCCACCGCTATCCAGGCGAGGTTGCGCTGCTCGCCATTGGCCCACTGACAAATATCGCGCTCGCGATACGCAAGGACCCCACCATTGTCCCCCTCATAAAGGAGATTGTCATCATGGGCGGGCAAATCTACGCTCAAGGAAACTCGTACATCGGCGCCGGCGAGACTAACTGGTGGTTCGACTCTGAAGCCGCCCGTATTGTGCTACGGGCCAATGTTGCTCGCAAAATTGTGCCTCTTGATGTCACAAACACAGTTGTCATGACAGAAGAGTTGTACGACGCAATTGCAGACTACGAGCCCGCAACTCCTATAACCAGGCTATTTGCCGGCATCGAGCGTTGGAGTTATGTTTACGATACTGTTGCACTAGCGTCATTGTATGATCAAAGTTTAGACGTCGATGTGCGAGACTTGTACCTCGACGTGAACTGTGACTTCAACGCAACGTATGGCAAATCGCTTGTGTGGAATGTAAACCCCTATCCCGGGATCGACGTCTACTCGGCTTCATCTGTTGTCTTTAGGGTTGATAATGATCGTTTCTTCGACTTGTATGTTGACTTGCTTACACGGCCAGTGCCGGTTATCCTTGGTACAAGTGAGCGCAATGCCAGCTGAGAACAGATTATATATTAATTGCATCCTATAGGGAGTGGCAACTCTTCTGCGTGGGACGCACTGGTATTCTAAAAGTGCCCAATAACACATTCGTTGTCTTTGGCGCTTCCCCTGAATCGTATTACGCCACTTCTGTTAAAGGTGACTGTAGGTCATTGCAATTCATTGTTTCTTTCACTTGATCTACTTCAAAATAGACACATGAATCTCGTTGTGATTTTCTTCCACACAGACTTAGCATACATGCGGCCATAATGCGCTACTCTCCAACTACTGATTGAGTCACATCAAAAATAAATAGGGCACGCCTGCGTTAGTGCCCAAATAACAGAGAGCTTCATATTCTTCTAGTTACGCTTTTCAGTTGTCAAAAATTGGTAATTGGTATCGTCTGAGACTCTAATAGAGTAATTCTCTTTCTGGTCGACTGTGTGAACGAACCACCCCATTCGAAATCGTGCGTCTGATGCAGATGTTGCCGCGAAGATCGAAGCAACTGTCCCAGACCTAGTATATGTATTCGACACCATCGGAAATGAAGCATCTTGCTCTACTGCATCTAAGTCAATCCAGGAGAGTGGTAGATGTCTGTGTACTGTTCTCTCCGGCAACAAATTTACCGAAAATGTCATAAAATAAATCAAAGTGGCGGATCTTTGGTCTAGACACCCTTGCACTGATATCACAAGTACAATGAATTCATTTAGCCGGTAAGTTGTATATCACAAAGGTGTGACGGCAAAATATATTAAAATATGGTTTCCAGGCAAGGTCAAGCCTTTCGAAATGGTCTCAGCAACGTGACCAAAGGGTTTGAGGGGTACCGCCGGTAAGATTTCCAAGTACAAGATTGTATACAAAGTTTAGGTTTCGTATGTCGCAACTGCACCGAAAGTGTCGTAGGGTATATAATACGTGACGATGACGGGCATTCATCAATTGTTCAAGTTATGACCTTTCGCTGGCTAGAGTTTGCTTCGCTCACACACTTTAAAACCTGCCACGATGTTTTACTTACTTCCTTGGATCCTAGTCATTCTTCCTACAAATCTATGACAACAAGTCGAACGAAGGTTTCCACGTCGGCGAAAGAGTCATCACCGAGAATTTGGATTTTGCGGCTTGGGTAGGCAAAGCTTAATTGAATGTAGCATCTCAGAGGTTGCGCAGCAGGTCAGACATTACTCTAATACACGACTGGCCTCTATGGGAAGTCTCCAAGGGGAAAGAAGGAGGAAAGACTTCAAACCTCAGGGTAAAGGCAGCAATGGATTTTGTTTAGTATCTCAACACAGCCGGCACAATATGCGCCTGCGGACATAGGAACAGTGACAATGCTAAACCGGAAATAGACGGCCCCGTATCACAAGTACCTAGCTTGAGGTGTTAATATTGACCTCACAAGTTTGGATGTAGCACGGGCACCTTAATTCGGAACAAGCACTAGAGGTCGGCCATTTGCAATGCTCTCTAGCCAGTGAAAGAAGGAAGAGGAGTTCTGGCCGGAGCACCGACTGTAGACCCCAGTGAAAGAAAGGTCTTGTTACCTTCATCAAATCCATCTGCACAGCCGGGTAGTCCCGCCACCAAAGTTAGATCTTGTTAAGGCTTATCTATGTTTTCGGTCATGACTCTGTCGCCGGGTCTTTATGGCTGCCTGAGTCCGGAAGGAGATTTTTTTCTCATCCGATCTACGGGAAAAAGTCTCTTTGGCGGTTTCTCCTCACTAAGAATCTCGGGATGACTTTACATATCATAGAGTTCGGCACCCCGGCTGACTCACAGCCAAGCCACGGCCAGTAATCCCATGGTACGTCGCTACACATCGGTCTCAAGTTATCAACCATTATGATCAAATTATCTAGCACCGTCGATAAATCATGGGGTATATAATGCCCCTTCTATTCGCCAATATTGATGGATTTCTGCACTACCTCACACATTCGTGTCTGTCTTTCGTTTTCAGCTGGGCCAGTGTGATCTTTACTCCGTCCTCCATTGAAATCATACTTCGGAATCAAGTACATCATTCTCACTTTGCAAGATAAAGAAGCCCTTCTTCCTGTCTAGCCATGGACAATTCTACTTCTGCGTCAGGAAGTTCTGCCACGACAGAGCAGGGACTTCCAGTCTTAGAAGCACTGGCTCCTGGGATTTCACATATAATGAGAATCTTGAGCGGCGTGATCTCTAGCGACTTCACTATCTTCACTTACGCCACCCTCGCCATGGGCCTTTTCAGTCTCGTCCATTCCTATATCAATCGCCTCTTGTCCTTGGTTGAGCCTTTCTTCGGTACTTACCCTCCTCGCCGGTCGATAGTTTAGAAATCCTTTAAGCTAACGTTCCTCGTCTAGGCGCGAAAATTCATATCAACAATGACAACAATGAGGCATATGGCATGCTCTCCGATTGGCTCAGCAAACGCGGCTTCGGGAAATCCGCCCGAGCATCCCGAGTCAGTGTTAAGAATATCCGCAACCCAGGAGATATAATCAAAATGGGGAAGAAAATTCTCAAATTTCAGCCCTGGGAAGGAAGCTTTAGCTTCTGGTACAGGGGCCACCTCATCACATACAATACCACCATTAACGTAGCCCAATGCCAGATCACGGAGAGCTTGGATGAGGAAGTCAGTTTGACTTCTCTGGGCTGGTCGACTGATATCCTCAAACAACTCATGAACGAGTGTAGGCAAGAGTATCTCGAAACTGTCAAGGACAAAATTGCCATCTTTGAGAATAACGGTTGTTATTGGCGCAAGGTTGATGTAAGAGACGTTCGGCCACTGTCAACGGTCATCCTCAACCAGAGTAATAAGGAGCTTTTGCTAGAAGACTTCAGAAGCTTTCTAAGTGCAGATACTCAACTCTGGTATGCGCAGCGCGCCCTTCCGTATCGTCGTGGCTACCTTTTGTATGGCCCTCCTGGCACCGGCAAGTCTAGTTTGAGCTTCTCCATAGCTGGCGAATTCGATCTAGATATCTATGTCATCAGTATTCCCGACTGCACAGATCGGTATCTAAGGGAGTTGTTCGAGGATTTGCCACAGACTTGTGTCGTCCTCCTCGAGGATATTGACGCGGTTGGTATGTCGAGAGAGTCAGACCCAGATGAGGATTCGGACACAAACTCAAAGGACGAGTCATCGCGGCGACGACGGGTCCAGTCACTCCAGAAATCCAGCGAGGTAACCCTCTCAGGACTCTTGAACGTGCTCGACGGCGTCACCTCTCAAGATGGACGCATCGTAATCATGACGACGAATCATCGGGAAACGTTAGACGAGGCACTCATTCGCCCGGGTCGCATTGACAGGCAAGTGCTACTCCCTCTTGCCGACACCGAGGTCATCAGGCAACTTTTCATGTTTCTTTTCGGTCCCGTGGAAGCAATCGGTGACGCCAAGGCCGGATTGAAAGAGCTCGAGGAGGAAAAGACGGAAATAGACACAGCGTTGAGGTCCCAAGCGCATAAGTTCGCATTTATTGTACCAGCATCGACATTCAGTCAAGCGGAGATCATCTCATATCTTCTTCTGCACAAGAATGATCCAGATGGTGCACTGTCACACTGCAAGAAATGGGTGGATGAAAAGATCAGCGAGAAGAGACTTCCTGATAACAAATAGACAACAGTTGTAACAAATGTTGTCTTCTACATTCTCTACCACTTTCCCCTTGACTTCAAACCGGAACGACCAGTCATCTCGTAGCGTGTGTTCTCAGTAAATTGGGGCCATTCTGTCGGAATAGACCGTAATCCATCTTTTACGTTTATATTTTCCTCTTGTTCGTATCACTTTAGAGATTCAAAAAGTTGATTTACAGCCAGACTTCCTCAACAACCTTGTGTCCTTCCCAATCCTGATCTGCTGAGTTTCGGCCTAGATGCCGAAAACAAGTACACGAACCCAGTCTTCGCTTCGTTATTCCATCTGTAGTAACGTAGGTTAGTGTGAATTGATTTGAACTCTGGTTGCCAAGATATACCCACGCATAGAACTGCCCACGTCGAACGGCAGTCTCATTTGCGTTGCATACAGTCTCGACAGCCTCAGTATAGTCTGCCTTTCCACCAACCACACTAAAGGGTCCGTTGGACGTCAGAAAAATGGGGTTGTCTTTTGGACAGTAATGTAGTTGGCAGTGGTATTTCGGTGCTGCCCAACAAGGTTAGATGTGTTTCTTCTCTGCAGAGGGTTACTGCTTAACCATCGGCGTGGAAAGACCAGGCGCAAGATCCATGTAGCAGATTCGGACGCCACCGAGCTTCACAATCGGAACGTCTGAATCGGTATCAGCGACATGGCTGTTTGAAAATATATGTTAGTCACCTAAGATTTGAAAAGAAATACCTAATTATTGTCATTTGTCGCCGGGAACTGAGGGTTTGGTTGCGGCTGGTGGTAGGCTAGACATGGTTGCAACAGTTGGTGGTCCTGAATGATGAAATTTAGAAGGAACAGAGAATCCGAGCAGGTTCTTTCGTTTCCAGCAAGCTGCCTTGAAGTCATAATTAAGAGAGTTCGAGTATAAAGTTAACAACAACAATAGAAGATGCCAGACCCGACATCTCAACACAATGAACAATGGTAAATATAATTCTCTTTGTATGAAGTGGGAAGCGCTGGGAAGAAGATTCCGTACATCTGAACAGGCGCTTGGTAGTGCCAAGTAAGGTCACAAGGAGTTACTATACCTAGATCCGTGTTTGAAGGAAGATACTCAAGTGTATTTGTCAGATGTATCACGACAAACCCGCCTCGCCTTAATCCGAGCCTTGAATTGGTTTGGCTTGACAAAGAAGAAGGTTTCCGTTGTCCATTCCTTATCAATAAGCTCAAACTCAAAGTTCATCAGTAGGAGAGGTAGCAGCTTATTGATTTCCAGCATTGAGATGTGCCTCCCAATGCAAGTCCTGGAACCTGCCCCAAAAGGGATCCACGCTGCGTTTAGTGCCCTCAGCTCATCCTCGTCCGCTTCTAGCCATCTTTCGGGCCGAAACTCATGAGCATCACTGCCAAAGACAGCCTCATCAGAATGCGCTACCCACGCGTTGACTCCGACCACAGAGCCTTGGGGAAAGTGACGTCCACAAATCTGCCGGCCTCCCTCTGGGACAACACGCCATAGCGGCAGGCCAACCGCGGCATGGACCCTAAGAGCCTCCTTGATACAGGCTTGTAAGTAAGGCATGGTCTGGGACTGGGCGAACGAGAAGCTATCTCTAGTGCACTTCCCCTCGGCTTCGACTGCAAGGATCTCTTTAAGAAGCTTGTCGAGCGCCCTGGTATTTCGTGACAAGTGATATAAGATAGCCGTTAAGCTCACTCCGGTAGTATCGCTTCCGGCACTGATATTGCTCCAACCGAGTGCGAAAATGTGCGCGTCCGTCACCTTGGATGGGTCCTTGGCTTGGACATTCAAGACCTTGTCAAGGAAGTCTTCTGGTGCTCTTTGATCCCCTGTATGCCCTACTTTCGGTTTCTCTCCGCCAGTACCCTCATCGGCTCGTTGTTGCCTTCGAGTAGCGATCATTCTCTTGATAAAGCGAATCATCTTTCCCATTCCGGCTGCTCCTGAAGCAGGGATTCGCTCTAGAATGGGGTACAAATACGGGTGAAGCTCGGGGTAGACTCCCGCCCATGACGAATAATTGTTGCCTTTGTCCAGAGCAGCCATCATGCCTTCAATGTCTTCACCCTCGTTCAAGAACCCGAAAGTCTTCGAGAAGGTTATGGATGCTACGGCGTCAAACGCGTAGCACTGGAGCCAATGATCAAGCGGGATAGTTTCCCCAGTTTCCGCGAAGTGATGGAGCTTTTGGAGAAATACTTTGTTGATCTCGTGAATTTGAGCTTCATATGACACCATTGTGGACATGGAGAACATGCCTTGCACCCTACGCCTAGACTCATTGTGTCGCTTGATGTTGGTTTCTGAAAAGAGCGTTATGTTCTTGGGATCTGGGTGTTTCCATGAGTCGTACCAGGCGCTTTTGGCGAAGTGACTTCCGGCTCCGTATACAACCTTGTCGACGCTAGAGATTGAATACATGTTGGGAGCAACCCTGACAATTTTGCCGTATGTGTGGTGCAGCTTGATGTTTTCAAGATGGAAATTGCCAGCATTGGATTTGTAGAGATACCAGAGACGAGTATACCTGGCCCAGAAGGGACCGGGAATATCGCTCAAATGAGATGTGAGTAGCTGGTAAATCGAATGGAGCAACCAGCAACTTAGGGCTGCCCCAGCCAAGTAAACACTCACGGAGGACCCCATAATGGCAATTCGATACAAGTGGAGAAGAGTTGCTGGGAGTAAGTTGAATTGTTTGCTATTCTCTTTCTTTTAGCAAGATTGTTGCCTTCTTATACTATGCTTGATCAACTGTCAATGGACCTATCGTGACCGGGAATTCCGTAGTATCGGGTTCAAGCCTGTGATCACAAACAAAAATCTATCACACCTGAGAGGCTAGGCTCGCATCAAGCTATCCAAATTAGCCATTGGCCAATCAGACAGCACCGGATTGGCCGGACGCTACGGGAGCTTTCCGGAAAATGTTACGGATGATGTGCCGACATTACATGAAACTCGTCGCCTTGGTATCCCCGCTCTGAATTCTAACTATCCATCCATGGTCCCTGCGCCTTATTCTATGTTTCGTTCTGACGGTCTGGTAGTCTTTTTGCAACAGAGTAGTACTCTCATGTTAAAACACACATTCATTTGATGACTCGGATAAAGGCCAAAAAAGAATACCTGCTTTCGGGCCCCAGTTCCGGAAACTCCAAGGTATCAGGGATTTCCCGTACGAGCGCCTAAATCTCTCCCAGCAGTCAGCTCCTTACCTCCCTACTTTCACTTTGCTAGAGACTGCCTCGAGCATGAGTAGCCAGTCTAGAGTTCGGAGGAAGCGTGCTTCCAAAGCGTAAGTAGTCCCATGTGCCTCTAGAAATGCTCGTACCAACTGTGACCAACAATAGATGTGGCCGGTGTCGGGTGCAGAAAAGCAAATGCAGCGGCTCTTATCCTTGTTTGGAATGTGTGAAGAAGAACAAACGATGCGATTTCGATCATGACTCGCAGATGGTCACTGTTTCTCGAGCGTGAGTACAAGTCGCATTGCCCATCAGCGTCTCATCATAACATTTCCAGTTACCTCGCCCAACTCAATGCGCAAATTACTACGTTAGAACGGCACGGTAATACTCGGGAGAGAAATTCCCACATAGCACATCTTCAACCAGAAAACACGCAAAGATTGAGCGCAAGAGGTTAGTCGTCCTAATGGCTCTAGAGGATTTAGCTAAGGCTTCCAAGACCATAGTAGCAGAGACTGTTCGCCAGAAAAAGCCAGAGAGAGTATTTCTGAGTATGAGAGACACCCTGATAGATTTGAAGCGTTGGTGTCTTCGATAGAGCCGACTTCAAGCCCTGAGCCGCCAGCAGCCCTAGTCAACCCACTTGCGTCGGGATACTCTCAATACTTCGCTGATACAACCGGCCGGCCAAGTGTGTATTTGCATTCCTTAGATGCTTTCCATTATTCGATGCTCACTCTTCTCAGTACACTTGGGTACATGTTCAAACTGGTCATTTGGTCGCCGGGTCCTTGTGATGATGCATGAATCCGTTATGCAAGCGCCTCTGCCACTGGACAGTCTCAACTTTGATGGTACATCTTATGATATGGGGTGGAAATTAGACCAGCCAGATACCCACGGCTCCCTGTCACTCCCTACAGCTGAATACTCTTTGTACCTCATCAGCGCCGTCAAGTTTCATTGCGGACAACTGTTTCATCTCTACGATGAGAAGGATTTCATGTACCATGTCTGCCTCCACCATGAAGATCCATCCGGCGTATCGTCTCTCTGGTATGTACATTATTTGTTCATACTTTCATTCGGCAAAGCACTCGTCGCCAACGACAATAAAACGCACACACCACCAGGCACAGATCTCTTCCTGTACGCCATGAAGAGGCTTCACGAGTTTGTCGTGTTTGACACATCTTGCAACCCGATAGAACTGGCCGAGGTGCTTTGCTGCGCTTCTCTTTATTTACACTGTGTCGACTTCCGGTCCGCCTCCTACAGGATGGTGAGTATTACCTATCGTCCGGACGGAGAACGATCATTGACAAGATTACCTTGCAGATTGGCCAGGCCATACGTGTGGCTCTTGGTGATGGAATGCATACAAAAGTCCACTGCCATGATATGGACAGCACACGGTCCGAGAGGTGTCGCCGTGTCTGGTGGACAATATATATTCTAGATCGTCAGATGTCCTCTCTCATGGGTGTGCCGATGGGCATCCCTGAGGAGCAAATCGAAGCCGGCTTGCCCACATTTCCCGGTCAACCCCAAAAGTCGATGGGTTTAGAGATTCAGATCAAACTTTCAAAAGTTCTTGCACAGATCTTAAACAGTTGAGTTGATCCCTCCATTACCGTTTCCGTCCTAGAGATCTGACTAACCTTGAAAACATGTAGCTGTATATGGCGTAGAGGGACGTCTAGACAAGTGCTTCCTTGCAACCATGAAGGATGCTTTGAGGAATATCGCCAGTGTCACCGATCAGCTCAATGATTCCTTCGGGATCGCTAGGCTTGGGCTGGAAGGAGGTGTTTGTAGGCTGTCATCTTCCCTACATGTTCTTCACCATCAGGTATGTTAGCCATGACTGTGACAAATATTTGTCCAAATAATAAGTCACTCATGCTTTCCTTTAGTGTATTGTAATTGCCACAAGACCGCTCCTCTACACCTTTTTACAGGCCAGGCTAGGTCAGTCAGACTTATCGGTGGCCCATGTCCATTGTTCTGGCAGCATTAGGAGCCTTATCCTCATGTGCATCGAGTCAGCGCAGCAAATACTGACTATACTCGCCAGCTTACAACGCGAGAACCTCTTAGGTCAGTTCATATTAAATCATTTAGTACATGGTGGTAGTGTCGGTTCGGCTTGCTAATGGTGTGAGTACAGAATCCTTTCTACGGCTTGACCTAGACGCTATTTTTGCAGCATCAGTCGCTCTCGTCGTGGCTACCGCAATTGACGCGGCGTTGGTGAAGGACCAACAGTTCTGGTCAAAAAGCTGCCACAGCTTATTGGGCCACATGATACACAGGGGGAACATGCTAGCAGTCCAGTTCAAAGCCGAAATCAAGATTTTAGAAGACATGTGTAGTCGTTTACGGGCTGGTTGGGGAGCTCAAGACCGTTGCCAATCTCCATCATCAGAAATAGGCACTAAAATCTGCAATGATGACTCGGAGTTCCTTGTGCTAGGTACTTCGGCATTAGACTCTCTCGATGTGGGAGAAGGGTCGCCAAAGGACGTGGAGGAAGATGGCGAGTTCGACATGGCCGAATTTGTCTGGCAGGAGGGTTATACTACGGAGCAATTGCTTACTTTCGCAAACTCGATCGATCTTAACTATTTAGACAGTCTATGATTGTTATCCTTTTGCCTTTCGTATTCATTGTGTCGAGATGTCGGGTGTGACCTCTTCTGTTGCTGTGTTTTCTGTGTAAGTCAAGCCACTTATCAAAGTTCAAACTCTCTTAATCGTATAATTATTGTGACGATTCGCCACAGCTAGAGGCCACCAATGGAAGCGGAATTGATAGAAGACTTGAATTTCCATTATCTAATGAGGGTCGACGAATAATCTAGATATTGATTGAATAAAGGAAGGGTGTCACGTGAGATATCCCGTGATCCGGCTCCATCGCGTCATAAATTTCCTCTTATCCAAAGAGGGTCTATGAATAGGTAAGCTATTTATTTATTGAATAAATGAAAATTTATCACATGATATATCCCGTGAGTTGGGCTCCACATGGCGTTAGCGGGTCAACGCATTGACCCCTATTTGCGGCGCACCTCAATCTTGTTGGCAGCGATAGATCGCCATGTGGTCAATTGAAAGGCAGCAGATGGTATGTATACTCAAGGGAGTTCAAACCATCGCCCCCCTGCCTGGTATGGTCTAAATGCTAAAGCTAGGCTCTAAAAATTTCCCCATTAGTTGTAGCAAGAGCGTTATGCCTACTAGGTAGTATAGCTACGTAACTGAATGGCAAGCATAGGAATACAATTGCCAACACTGTTGCCAGCATAGCTGTGACATAGGCAGTTTCTTGTTTCTGTTACAGAAAAGTTTCTAGATTTCTACATTTACCAGCCGGTGATGAATCTTTAACTACCTTAGGTACCTTGTTTAGTATCTCTTTGTTGGCAAGGATTTACTAAATGGTGGTTGTTATAGGGTAGGCTCAACCATAGATGTTAAATGTGTAGGTGCTTCGTAGCTAACCTAGACTAACACTGATTACTTAACAGGGTAATGACTAATTTTTCCGCCGTGTCAGAAGTTATTATTAGCTTTGCTGATGCGCGCGTAGAAGTGGAGAAGGGCAGCAAGGGGTTCTACTTGCTTTTAATTCGCGTTCTGAGGTCTCTGCTGGTCCTTTGCCGAACACTTCGGTCTGGGTCGCTGGCACTTTCTTATCGCAAATATCATATACTGCAAATTAGCTGGTTAGTCTCAAATTCCATATGATGCTGGTAATGGCCAAGCAACAGAACTGAATCTTTTTGATTCATTTGCCACTCCTATCCCGATGTGTCAGCGGAGATTGTAGCGTAAGCACTTCATTTCCTAGGGCGCATCATCTGATAAAAAAAATCGATACGAAACTCCAGCAGCATCACTTGTAGAGGCAATGAGATTCCTTCATTTTTAATAGGCAAGATGGCGGATACCACCTACGATTGCATCATAGTCGGAGCCGGGTACTCGGGCCTCGCCGCTGCCAAAGCTCTGATTGAGCATGAAACGAAGCCAAGAATCCTTGTTCTTGAGGCGCGTGAACGCATCGGCGGACGCGCTAAAACCATCCATCGCGACGATGGCACATACTGGGACGTCGGCGGCTCGTTCCTCGGCAAGAAGCAGGATCTCATGTACGGCCTCGCACGCGAGTACAAGGTGGAGGTCTTCCCCATTCCGCAAAGAGGCAAGCTCATGTTTCTTCATCGCGGCCGGGCGAGGGAGTATTCGGGTTTGATTCCACCGCTTCGGCCGTGGGAGATTATCGACACTGTTATATTGTTGCAAAAGCTCGAGAAGATGGTCCGCAGCGTAGATGTCAATGCGCCGTGGGCACATAGCAAAGCCAAGGTCTGGGATAGCACACCACTCGACGCATGGGTTGAGCGACACTCATTCACCAAGGGGAGTCGGGCTATGATGGATTTGGGTATTCAGGGAATCTTTGGGCGGCCAGGCGGCGATATCTCGCTTTTGTACGCAGCCTATGTGTTCAAGACGCTGGGCAGCGTCGAGGCAGCCCTCAGCTCCAAGGATGGACTCCAGGAACACATGACGGTAGGCGGCGGCATGGCCATTGCCAAATTAATCTGGCAGGGCATTGGCGGTGACCAGACCGTCAAATTGAACGAACCGGTGCAACAGGTCAAGTACGAGGACTCGGGCTGCACCATTACCTCAGCCAAGGGCGAGTATCGCGCCAAACGCGTCATCTTCGCGATACCGCCTCAGTTCGCCGCAAAGGTGCAATTCGAACCGAGCCTTCCGACGGAAAAGCAGGCCCTCCTCGAGTCAATGGAACTCGGCGCATACGCAAAAGTCTTTGCTACTTATGCGACTCCATTTTGGCGAGATCGCGGTCTCCGCGGCGAGGCGACGAATCTCGACGGATACCTCTCCATTGTCTTTGACGCCACGTTGCCAGGAGCCGGTTCCAAGGGCAAGCTGATGGCTTTCCCCACCGGGACCAAATGCCGCGAGTTTGCGGCTCTGTCAGAGGACGAGCGGAGGAAAATTGCGCTTGAAGAGTTTGCGAGCCTGTTCGGTAAGGAAGCTCTGGAACCAGACGAGTTCTTTTACCATTCGATGCTTCATGAGGAGTGGTCGGCTGGGTGCCCGCTCGCTTCACCTCCGCCAGGCATCATCAGCTCGTACGGTGAATGGATCCGGAAACCTGTGGGACCTCTTCATTGGGCAGGAACTGAAACATCGACAAGAATGTACGGATATATGGAAGGTGCAGTGTGTGCTGGACAACGGGCGGCGAAAGAGGTTGTCGAGGCCCTGAGCGTCGAGCCAGCGCAAAGTTAAAGCATCCCAGTCCCACGACGCAACAGAATACGATCTCGCCCCTGTGTTTGGTCAGGACTCCAGGAGGATTGCATTTTATTTCCGGGACTGTATCCCTGCTTTTGGGAGGAAGCATGAAAGGACTGTTTTCGTTTGACTCCCAACGATGGCATCTCCACGTTAATGGCCCACAACCGAGTTGCACACTGATTTTAGTTTTGGGAGCAATACGCACACCGTGAATCACCGCTTTTTGTCGTACGATACGACCTTCGTTCATAAATCTGATACAAAAACACTCTTCTTCCAAAGGAGAGCCTACAATTTGGACAGTTCGTGTCCTTCCTTGAGCCGTAGCCCCGTTGTCGTTTTGCTCAAACCAACACGAGTTCAGTCCGCTGCGGATTATGACCAAGGAAAAGACAATTTTTTGTGTTGCAGATCGACCTGAGAGGGTATTTTGATTACGGATTATAGCCAACGGACGTTTCTCAAATTCCAGCTTTGGATACTTGGGGATGCTCATCCAAATCGCTCATCATTCGGTCGTCCCTGGCCAATATAAGCAGGGGGAATCTATTGATACAACTCTGATCCTGGATTCTTGCTGCTCAAGACGCCGAAGCGCTGCAAGTGAAGCTTCACGTAGAGTGGCAGCTAGTGATCGATGCGCCCACTGATTTGTCTCGCGAGGCATTTCCCCAGATCTTCTTCTTCTCCGAATGGCTAGAATTGTATGGCAATTTCCGGTCTTTCTTGAATTATTTAAAGTTCAATTCGTAGAGGATTTAGAATTACCTGGGCAGAGTCTCTATAACAACTTAGGAGGGTTGTGCAATTGTGATGGTGCGGAGTTCTTATTTCCACCAGGTCATTTTTAGCTAAGTAAAGTTAGTGTGTTGAATCAATTCGCGTAACAGGCCAAAGACTTTCCAGGCCTGCATTTGCTGGCCTTCTCAAACCCATCCTGTCTTTCTTACGCCCCTTCCTCTAGTTTCTTGAGCCCGACACCAGCAGATGGAGTATACCCAGCTTCCTCCTCCATAGGCGTAGATTTGGACACAGTCCAGACCGCAGGCAAGGCAAGGACCAACGAGCCAATACACAAACCCCAGTCCATCCCGAGCTGCGTCCTGCCACTTGCCCCCTGCGCATTGATACGCCACGCCATGGCTCCGCCCGTAGCCTGGAAGGTCTTGTAGGCGCCGACAAGAACAGCGGCACGGCCGGCGCTATTCGACTCAGTCCCGATCATCCAGTAGGCGAATCCTTGCCAGAGGGCGTCGTAAGCGCCATAGAAGATGTATAAGAAGATGGGACCAGCCGAAAGTCTTCCTTGGGTATAGTCGATATCCTGCTTGAGCCCTTGGGCCATACGTTCTTCATGCCATAGCTCAAACGCGTAGCCTCCGCCCCAGATCGCCATGCCAGTGACTAGAAGAAAACCCCAGCCGAGGCGAGCGCGCCCTGGGCGGTCTAGCCAAGGCAGATCTAGCAGGAGCCCGATGAGCATTCCTCCTAGCATTTGCGAGATCCAGTATAGAGCACTATTCAGCGAGCGGGTGCGGATATTGAAGGTTAGCCCGTTGACATTATTCTGCTGGTAGCTGTAAAAGACATTGGCCGAGAAGAATAGAGGTATCATGCAAGCGATACGCCACTTGAATAGAGTACTGGCCGCCATTTGTATGGCACCCTTGATGGTCCGCTTCTCTGTCTCCGCTGCATTGTGTAGCTGCGCTAGGCGGATGCGAGAAGGGGAGCAGATGAATATACCCAGCAGCCAACCGAACCCCATAATAGTCAACAACGCGATATAGGTGGAATCCGAAACGGTGCTCTTTTTGGAATTATAATTGAGGCCAAAGGACACGAGAGAGCCAATCCCTCCTCCTAGATTGAAAATAATCCAGAACGCCGCTATAGCCCGCCCCTTTTGGGATTCCTCAACATAAGTCGTCATGATGGCTCCTTGGACGATCCAGATGAAAGAGGCACCGACTCCGAGAAGGGCTCCTGAAGCAATCACAAAAGCCCCATTGTGGTGATGGTTGAAATGTAAGAGGCTGCCGCTATAGAGGGCATATGTCCAGCCACCGATGAGGAAGCAAACTCGGGGTCCTACGCGAGTGAACAAGGGCCCGACAACCAAAAGAGCCGTACCGGCAGTCGCGGACAGAAGAGCTACGTTGGCATTCGCAGCGACGGTCGAATCAACCTGGCCAGATCCACCCAGGCCGGTCAAGGCATTGTACATCTTCGGCTACGTCTTAGCATTATGGACGATGAGACTGGCTGGCCATTCTAGGTTGAAGACTTACACCAGGGAGGCAGAAGCATATGACGCTAATCAGAATGATCTGAGTCCATGGGTGAGAGTAAAATCTCACAAGCTTCGAGGATGGTGGTTGCCACCGTGCACTCTCTTGTTGAGGGATGTCCTCGTCGGTAACTCCGGGAATATTTTTTGTGGTTGATTCCGACATGTTTGAGCCTTCTTCTTTCTGCTTCGCTTGATCAAGTTACAGGCAGAATAGGAAGATTACTGTCAACTGCGCTCTCGTGGAAGTTGCGAAGACATGTTGGTAAACTGCACCCTTAAATAGAAAGAGGTAAGGATGGAGAAGGATGGAGAAAAAGAGGGGTTCCCTTATCTGTGGGGTGCAGACCCGGTCTCTCGGTCCAACTTGACGGAGATGTTGCGGGCAAGCTCCCAGTTACGTAGTAACAAGTCAGCGGTTAGCCGTCGGATAACCCGAAGGGGACTAAGGAGTCCGCAGAGTGGATAACTAAACGAGTCATACCTACCTTACCATAACATTGGAAGCCTGTATATAATATTCCTTCAAAGAACCGATGCACAGAAGACCTGGACTAACTCGACATAAGCAGAGTAAAATGACAGTCATCCGGCCAAAGCAGGATGCAGGTGACACCCCAGTTCTCAACACGAGGGACACAGGCAATACCAATGACCAGAATCGCCCCGCCGCCTTGGTCCTTTGCGTGGATGCTGGAGGTACTAGCTGCAAAGCAGCTACCCTCTCGGTTGATGGGGAACTTGCGTCAAGCGTGGGGGGACCATGCAATGTGTAATATGCTCCGACCTAATAACCCAATGGGCCCATCATCCATGTACTGATAATGTGTACTAGTTCCACTGTAGGACTTGACACCACCCTTGCAACCATAACGGCCGTGGTACACGATGCCCTTGGTAAGCATCCATCGACACGTGGCCAGTCACCCGCAGCAGCGTTTGCCAAAGTCTGGGTTGGCCTGGCAGGATATGACAGACCAACACTCCAGCCAATCATTAATGACGCACTTGCTCAATTCTTCGGGCTCTCGCTCAATGGGGGATTGCGAGTTTCTTCAGACATTGATCTCCTTCCTGCTTGCCTTATGTCCGAGCCTGATATAATCTCGGCCATCGTTCTAGTAGTTGGCACTGGCTCTGTGGCAATGAGTTACAAACGAAGGGGCAAAGACTTTGAACGAGTTGGCCGAGTAGGAGGCTGGGGAAGACTCCTCGGCGACGATGGGTCAGGATATGCGATCGGTCGAGAGGGAATCCGCAGGACACTAAAGGGCTGCGACGCACACGCTCTAAGGAAAAGCACAGCCGATGAACTAGACTCTTTGTCGCCGCTTTCTCGAGAGATTCTGAGACACTTCCAGCGTCAAAATGTCGAGTGCACGCCGGAAACCCTCCTTAGCCATATCCTCATTCGAAGTACAATAGGGAACACAGGAGAGGATGATGACGCATCGAGAACAAAGACAATAGCCAGTGCCGCCTCTGTCGTTTTTACAGCTGTTGAGAAGGACGCCGAGGCAAAACAAATTGTGGAATCGGGCGCATCTAGCGTGGCGGAACTCGTGCGGATGTTGGTCAAGGAGCAAACCATCAATGCAGGCCAATGTGCTCTCGTTCTTGGCGGAAGTCTCATGGGGAACATCATGTATAGAGAAACAGTGTACGGCATCATACAGGAGCACTGTGGCAAGTTTAATCAGGTGAGATATATTAGCCAGCCTGCCGTGTCTGCCGCGAAGAGCCTGTTAGATTACAGCGAGGACTCTTTGTAGTGCGATGTATCTCTTCTCCATAGGCCATGTTTACTAAATCCATTCATTTTGAGAATCTTCGGCAATCATTCATGGCTAGTTTCCCTTCTACCTTTCGCTAGAGACAGTTTGTTTGTGGCTTATAAGGCTATAGAACTCTTGTTACCATTTTGCCGGACTACACATTAGCCATGATCTATATTTTGGGGACATTCTTGTCCATCCAATCGACTCTGATGAGGAACTTCAGGCATCTGGGTTAGCACTTGGTTGCCATAAATGTATGAGAAATGTATGAGAAGCGCTTATCAGTCATAATAGCTTGTACTTGAGCTACCCTTGCTTTTCTAGAGAAGTAATTTGTGTTCCGTATTGGAACTAACATTGAATTGTATTGAATTAACACGTTAGCAAATAGATAAGAGCAGAGTTGTGGATCGTGTCCAGGGTCACAGCCATGGTTAATGCAGGGAAATGTGTCTCCCACCGGGTTATCCGTCGAATGCCGGATAACCCGCACACTGGGAAATCTGATATTAAAATTAGGAGCTCCTCAGGTGTTATTCATCACTTGATGATTCTAAGCTCTACAATGGCAGGTTAACCTGATCATTTCGGTATGCCTCGCGGCGTATTGTAACCCATTTCTATCAAAAGCATTTCTTGAGACATGTTGATTTTGTTGGAGTTTGAAGCTCACATGCTGCTTTCGGACATAGGCCAAATGCGAATGCCAAGAACTGGACCAACCGGACAACAAGTGATGCAATTATGAGATTTCTGCTCATAAGTTATTGCACAAATTGATATCCCGGTCCACAGTGGAAGGCTGTCGTGACAGGCCACAGGTAGAACAAAACCCTAAGATATTATAAACTTCATCTTACTCTTTATTATTTTAGTAAAAAGTTACTTCAATAAATAAAGAAGAGAAACATGAATTTTAATTATTTCAGTGGCGTAATAGCTAGTTAAGCATTTGAAAGTGGGGCGCACGCCCTTCATGTGATTAGTAGGGCGCGAGTTGTTCTAGGCGAGTCTTAAAAGAAAGTAGAAGAAAAGCCTTGAAAGAATCCAAATGAGCACGGTCATAAGACAATTAAAAGTCGCCAGTCTCTAACCTAAAATTGTTAAATTCTCGATTTTGGATACCTAGCAGCAAACGCGGCCTTGTGGCGATCAATCAAATTCCCAAATGCTTCCCAACTTTCGACTACGACATGGCAAGGTCGAGGACGCCATGAACATATCGACGCTCGGCTCACGCGTCTTCACACATTCTTTCTCAGCCCTCATGCCTAGTGAAGACTTGAAAATATATCTCTCGCAGTCATATTCAGCCACCAGCATTGCTGCCGAATTAGACGATTCTGCTGTAACTTTCATTGTTGCGACGGAAGGCAGTGCAATTCTTGGCTTCGTCCAGCTGAGGAGAGACACTTCGGAAAGGTGTATTGACGATCTCGACGACAAGATCCAATTGCAACGACTCTACGTTAGCGAGAATCACCAAGGACTTGGGCTAGGAAAGCAGTTGCTTTTGAAGGCAGAAGAAGAGGCAGCGTTGATGGGATTCAAGAATATTTGGTTGGCGTCATGGGAGCTCAACCCAAATGCAGAGCGTTTGTACAGTAGGTCTGGTTACGCTAGACATGGAGAAATGACATTCAAGTTAGGGAACACGATGTTGAAGGATTGGGTGATGGTCAAATCTCTCCAAAGGTAGTCTTGCAGTCATCTGTTAGCCAGTGTGGAAAGTGAGAGGGGTTCACAGCCCTCAAATGGCCAAATGGACATAGGGTCTAGAGTCAATCTGACATTGTATTGCAAAGGCTTAAGTTGACTATCACAGAAGAGGATCAGCGTTTAAGTTGTATTTTCTTGGTTACTTACATATCACTTACATATCACTTCAAAGTAATGATGAAGATGAATACACTCTGGGCACAATCGAGCTCAAGGACTGGTTGTGCAGCCTTCAAAGTTGCGTAATCATTCCTTTGACTCTCTTTAGTTACTGGGACTGTAGCTATCAACCAGCCTTCGTCAATTGAATCAAGTTAGGGGTGGTTACTTAAAGCCAATTGTACAATTGCCTCCACATGTATCGCAAGAGTGTCAAACATGGGAATATTCGGTCGATCGGTTTGCCTAATCAGCAGCCCTATCTCTGTGCAGCCAAGGATCACCCCCTGAGAGCCATTTGCGTAGAGCTCATCCAAAATCGAGAGAAACTCTGCGCGCGACTCTTCCCTGACCTCTCCCTTTGATAGCTCTTCGAAGATGATTGAGTTGATCAACGATTGCGCACCCGTCGTCGGGACAACTATCTCAAGCCCGAACTGCTCAAAGCGCTTTTTGAGAAATGGCTCGGACATGGTCACCATAGTTCCCAGCAGAGCTACTTTCTCGTAGCCTCTCTCTGCAATTGCTTCGGCAGTAGGATCGACGATGTGAAGGAGTGGAATGTCGATACCTTTCATGAATTTGTATGCACATCTGTGCCATGTGTTGGACACACAGGTGATGAAATCTGCACCCGCTCTTTGTAAGCTTAAAGCTTTATCATGGAGAAATTCGGATCCTTCTTTCCAAAGACCGTTTTCTACAAAGTGCGCGCTCTTTGCAAAGTCCATGGAGTTGATGATAATCTCGGCAGTATGATGGCCTCCTAATCGTTGACGTATGCCATGGTTAATCGCCCTGTAATATTCCTCCGTGGCGAACGTTGTGCTGCCTCCAATAACACCAATCGTCTTCATTATTCAAAATTGACGTAGGATTCTCTAAAGGGGGATGGATCTGCAGGACACACAATGATGGCGCTAAAAGGCTGCGAGATAGTGTGGTTTGTAGTTGAACACGTCATTATAATTCACACCTTAGATCGAGTATAAAGATATAGAATTTGCGCAGCTTTATAACAAGAGGGAGATAGAGTTTGATAGAACTTTCCACATTCGACTAGGACGTCACTACTATATGGACTCAATGAACCCACTGATCCAGCGAAGGGCGCGCCTTTGGCTACGGTACTGCCCCATCCCCCATCTAGAGATACAAGTGGAGTATTGTGTCTGAGACAACTTACTATTGATCTAAGCCCTCGCTCTGCTAATTTGCTCGCACAACAGATGAAATTATGAAAACGAAGTCGGCAAGGCTTCCAAACGATCTCACAAGACTTATGACCAGAAGATCGAGGATTGAGATACCGCCATTTCGCTTTGAAAAAGCTAAAAGCTAGGCGTACTTCTCTATTATTGCTTGTCCGCCCCCTTCTAATGTAAAGGCCAGCCACAAAAGCATGGAAAAGTCGTCCACCTCCTTGACCCATTCGGTGATCTCCTCCATGATACTACCCTTTCTTGACTGGAAAACTTGATCACTATTGATTCCAGACTTCTTTAACCGAAAAAGATCTCCCATAGTTAATTGCCGTGTCCCTTTTAACTCCCGTGAGTCAATGTCGCCTTTATATCGCTTTTCCCAATCTTCATGGCACATCGGTTGCCACAGTTCACGGGCTGAAGGTAGCGGCAAGTCAACAAATTCCGGACAATCCCCTCTTGAGGGAGTTCGAGCCTCGATATGGAACAGTAAATCGATCAAGTAAAGAAGGCAACCAACTCTACTTTGCCTAGTTAAATGTCCGACCTTTCATATCAAGCAAGCCGATCTGTAAGAAACACACATACCGTCTTATGCTTTCCATAAATGCCCAGTCACTACGTGATGAGCATATATAATCCACGCTCAGAAGCAAATAGTTCTGACCATATAGCGTCCGGGAAAACTTCTAGTGATGCGTGTTCGTGTTAGGCGTCCTCTTGTCCTATGAAGTGGCACCCAGAAGAAATCATACCTCGGTGATCGATACTAGCCAAGCCGCATCGGCATCCGATACGATGTCTGGGCATTGAGAACATAGTAGACCATAGATTACTGCTGCTTGTAAAGACTGCAACATTTTTTCTTGGTCGTAGTTTTCGTACTGGCATGCTTCAATATCGCATTTATTACACTCTGGCACATGAAATATCTTACCTCAGCGTGTAGTTGGTGTAAGTGCACGTATATTTGCTGCACGACGAAGCGTGTGCTTCCTGGAGTTCGGGAGTAAAACATTCGACTCAGGTGGGTACAGACAGCTAATATTGGAGGAAGGCAATTATGGTGTCTGCCTGAAGGGCACTCCGTCCCTTGGCTAAGCCGGCATGGGGGGTAAATGAAAGGTGGCATATGTTTACCGTCTGAAAATAAGCGCGCATAGTCGACTACCTGGCTCAACAACATCTTGCCCGTTAGAGAGCCTTGCTGAAATGATCTCACACGCACCGAGAGGTTTGAGTTGAGTCCAGGCTTGGCTATTTCTGGACTCGTGGGAAGCCCGAGACCTATATGGCTGGCGTTGGGTAGGAATGACGAGTTGGGTTGATCAGAGTTGGACGTTAAAGGCGTTAAAGCAAAGACTGGGGAGTATAATGGGGATAAGAAGTTGGAAAAGTCAGAATCGCTTAGGGGCGGCTCCGAGATTAGCGAGTTCTGTACCGTCAACATGGCTGGATAGGACAAGGTTGGCGTCTCAGATAGAGAAGCAAGATGTGGCGGGAAGTGTATATTGGTTACAAAGCCACTGGTATCAGAGCTCCATGACCCAGAGGGATTGGAAAAGAGTGGTAGGGACGTTGTAGGCGAGGCGTAAAGGGGTAGTGTAGAGCCCGGAACCATTGACAAGTCCGTTATCTTGGGCCCTGTCGTCAACAACTGAGCCATCTCAGCAATGGAAGGATCCACATCCAAACTTGGGTCAGAAGCGGCGAACTTCTTTGCCAGCCTCTTCTCTGCGTCTGTCACAACAGGATCGACAAGTGAGGTAAGATGATGATTCAATATCGGCTCATCAATCCCTCCGCCATGCGAGGAAATTGAAACGCCATGTGTGTGAGGAAGTAAAGGCCTCAAAGTAACATTCCGGCCGCTTCGAGGTTGGGTATCCCTTTGTGTAGGCAGATACTGGCAATCGAGACGTCGATTTACGCATCGTGAGCATGGGGTTGACAAGGAGCAGCGTGCTTTTGCGGCGCGGCACTGGGCGCAAGATTTCGCCCGGCTCTTAGGCATGAGAGATTTCGGGATTGTCGTCAAATCAGAGCGCGTGAAGTGAAAATGGAAGTTGTATGAATAAAGCAGAAAATTTCAGGATGGTAGGAATCTGACGGTTGATTGATGACAGCTGAGGCTTCCGGAGTTCGCCCGCCAATCACCTTTTCCCTGTTCGGAGTCCGCAGCCAATCATAACCGAGCGGAGCCGCCGTCTCCATCCCCTAGACAGGGGACTACATCACAACCTACCTCGAGGTCGTTCTACGGAGTAAGGTACTCGGTCAAACTCGTTCTCCGTACGGACTAGGCTGCCATAGTTTGGTGTTGAGTTACTTGTGTACTTTGGTGGATCCACGGGATGTAACATCACGGAGGGCGATATCTGGCTACAGCTGGGTAGGTATTTAGGTGAGCTCTCACCTCTGTTGATTCGAGTTTCATCATACAATAATCCCCATCTCACTTCAGTGTTCCTTTCATCACACGAATCATAATGGATGCTACACAAAAGTCTTGTCTTGTCACGGGCTGCTCAGCCGGTGGGGTTGGCGCCGCCCTTGCAGAGGCTTTCATGAATAAGGGCTATCATGTCTTCGCGACTGCTCGGTCACCCTCTAAGATTCCAGAATCTCTGCATAATGCGCCAAACGTTACGGTTCTTACGCTCGACGTGACGTCTGCCGAGTCCATTACTTCAGCCTTGGAATCAGTGCGGCAACGTACAAAAGTTCTACATGTGTTGATCAACAACGCTGGCTTAGGACTCACGAGTCCAGGCCTAGATCAGTCCATAGAAGAAGCCAAGAAACTCTTCGATCTTAACTTCTTTAGCGTGCTGGCTATGATGCAGGCTTTCAGCACGATGCTCGTCGAAGCCAACGGCTGCGTGGTGAACAACTCATCTGTTGGAGGGACTATACCCTTTGCATTCTCTAGTAAGTCTGCAAGATAGAACTACTACAGTTGAATTATGTTGTAACTGAATCTTTCGACAGGTATTTACAACGCGACCAAAGCAGCGCTGATCCAAGCGAGCGAAACCTGGCATCTAGAGATGGCGCCTCTGGGCGTGCGAGTTATCACGCTCATCACGGGAGGCATTGCTACCAATTTCTTCGCCAATCTTCAGACACTAGCCTTCCCCGAACACTCATACTACCTGAGCGTCAAAGACATAATCGAGGACAAGCCTGAGCAAAATCCCTATGGAGTAGAACCGCCGGTATTTGCTCAGGAGGTCTTACATTTGGTGGTCAAGGGAGCGACAGGAAAGCACTGGGTCGGCGGTGGTGTGCGCGTAGCTCGCACAGCACTGTGGCTCCTACCGCAAAGTTTTGTCGTAAGTCAAGTTTTGTTGAGCCGCTAGCAGTGTCCTTCTAACACTGTTAAAATACAGGATCGGGTCGTTCTCAACCTGAAGCCGTTCAGTCAACGTTTGGAAGAAGAGCACAAGAAACGCGTCTGACATTATCATGTCTCAGAATGGAGTCCCAGGTGGAAGTGCTGGATGTTGGAGCTAGATCAGGCTTTGGACTAATTCTCTATCAACCCCTTCTTTCGGGGAGTTCGTGTATCGAAGGAAGCGTCGTGCTATACCGGATATACAGATCTGTTTGCCAAGTTTTCCTACATACCTTCGAGCAATTTGCTACTCGCACAATGCGATCAAAATTATCTCTAGCAGCGTTATTCTACAAAAGTGCGATGAACCTCCCATTTATGTGCAAACAACTCGCCGCCTAATTCATACAAGAGAAGCCCACAGCGAGAGATCTGAAGCGTTCGGAAACTCTGCCATAAGATCGAACAATGCATATCAGCAGCTTATTTGTATCGATCATTCGTAGAGAACTTTCTCCAATTTGACACAGAAAGTCTACCAATACACTTATAGCCGTTACGGATTTCACCACAGACGCTAAGGTGGGTACGTTAGGAAGACACCATTTAGTTCCCTGAGTTGTCCAGGTGCGTTTACCCTTCCATCACAATCACGATAGTCAAACAGCAATGAGCAGCGTCACGAGAAGTATCTCCGGTTCAACTTGCCACCGTGAGTCTGCCCGAAGAAGAAATTGTCTGTGGGGGTATTGATTTTTGGTGGGAGATGAATGTCGCCGGTGTTGGCCTCACGCGACAGTTTGACACAAAAGGCTGGTTAGAAAGTAGATTATTTACACACTCCTGATAGTCTGCTCAGCAAGAAGAGATGGTTCGAGGCACCTTTGGAAGTATCGATGATACCTTGCGGACATCAAGTGACGGCTCCTGTCTCGGCTTCAATCGAGGTAAGGATATAGACTGGCACGGCTGGGTAGCATTCAATGTTAGTAAGCCATAAGGTAAGTTATCGTTAAAAGTCCCCTCCTCCCCGCTTCCGTCTTTGTATCTACATCTACATAAGCTTCATGTTCCCGCGAGTCATGCCTTATTACTCGAGAATTCTGGGCACAACACGCAAGTTCTTGGTCAAACCGGCCACCCGTACACTGTCACATTGGCACGCTACTCAGACCATCCCCCAAAACATGGCCCGCCAACTCACAGACGCTGACCGCGCTCGTGCACAAGCGTACCTTGACGCCATGCAAGATGCCATGGCGGCCATTCCCGAGTACAATCCCGACCACATCCAAGCAGCCTGTAAAGAAGTCGCTCGCGCGCACCCTATTGACGATGCGCTTCGCGAGGCGTACAGTGCCGAACTGCTGAACAGGATGGCTGACCCCGTGTCCGTATCACATGTGCCATCCAACTTCCTCAAGCTTGATGCACCCTGGGGTTTGGTCGTGTACCGCGGTTCATACAGCAACGATGCAGCTTGGGAGCGCATGCTGGTTCAGATCCGTCATGATGTTGATACGGCCCTCCAGGGACAGCAGGAACAGGCGCAGCGCCACGATTTGGTTACCATGGATGACCGATCCAGGTTCGACGGTGCAGGACCCGATCAAGTCCGTCATCACTTTAATGATTGGGCCGTCGACGAGCTTCAACGCAACTGGTCTCCTGGCACGCGGCCTCCCAGCAAAGACGCTCTTCTCAACGCCACAGGCAATACGGATTACTTGGACCAATCGGGCCCACGCTATAATTTCTGTCTTTTCATTGACGACGTCTGTCTCGAGTCACTCGACAAGATGGCTATTCCCGTTGTGAAGCTCATCAACAGACGCTGGACCCAAGGCGGAGAGAGGCAGCAAAAGAGTGATGCTGACGATGGAAACCCGGGCTGGGAGGGCGGAGTAACAAACAATGAGTTTGAGGACGTGGGCTGGATGTACGTGCATGTGTGCGACTATGTGGATGTGCAGAGTCAGCTAGAAGACGGCGATAACTGGGCGGATGTTTATGTACGTCCGCCGTTGATGCGGTTCGAGACCGAGTTCAAGGATGCGCACGGGTTTTGGCGTTATGGCAGCTCTTTGCGAGATGGAACCGAAGGAGTCAGTTGATGGAAGCTGGAGTAATGAACCAAGGCAACACCTGGACTTGATTACTTGACTTTGCGTAAATGAATGAGTCAAGGTTGGGATAGGGTCAAGGGGCGTCAGTATTATTGTATAAGTTTATTAATTTAAGTCTATCGCTCTTAACCTTGAACGTTATAAATTATTTAAAGTATATAGGATGGAGAGTCTAGCCTAAATTAACAAGCAGCCGTTATCTAGATAATTCTTTCTTATACTCTATACCAGCTAGGGATATCGTCTGATTGAAAATGGCCGAATGGTTGAGCTGGATGGATTGTTAGTTTGCATACATTGATGATGAAGCAATAAGGAACATGAAGAAGGTACCTGAGGGAACTGGGATCGGCTCAGAAACTTCGCTATTTGACAGCTGGCTATTCTCCCATATCGTCAACAAGTCCGGGCAAAGAAGACCAAGATCCCAATAGCTTTCAATCGATATATGCTCAAGGTCACCGTCCGCCGTCAAAACGGGGCATTCGACATCTGGTCGTACAATAGGCTGGCTGTGATTGAAAAATGACGAAAATAAAGCTTCCCTGTCGCTGGTGGGTATCTCAATCCAAGTTGTTGAATCCTCATGGAGAGACCGAGGCGAGCAAAGTTGCGCCTCTGATTCATCACCATCTTGGCTGGGCTCAAAACCCGTGTTGGGTACCACTGAACCTGTTAATGACTCGTCAAATGAGTCTCTATCGTGTCCGCTCTTAGGGGTATTATAATCTTCGTGATTGGAGCCGGGAGGAGCGATAGAAACAGGCTCTGTGTAAAGACTCTGAGGGCACTTTTCGTCTTCTAGTGTTGGTTCTTGGGCGCGCACCTCGGATTCAAGGACGGCTTCTTGTTCCCCAAGACGATGAGCCAATTCATTCATCGCATCTTCATCTTCAGGGACAATGGTCCGAGCGACACCTTCGTCACTCCCTGCGGGCATTATACAGCCTAGAATTTCTGCAATGCTGTGTACGGCCTCTTTTCCCTTATTATTTATCTGTGGTTCGTCCGTTTCCCATGGTTGGCCGACCCGGACCATGTGGTAGAGTTTTCGAATGGTAGCTACTAGAATAAGTTGAATAGCTTCAAGCGTCTCGCAGTACCTTATAAAATTCAGCCATTTATTTGATGTTGCAATTTTATTAATGGAAGTAGACATACCCTTTAGGAGGCTCTTTGTACAAGGCTCTCCTCCTAGTACCGGTAGTACATATCAAGCCATCGTTGTTGCAACGTTGGCAGGGAACCATTCCATCGCACTGAGAGTTTTAGCTGGGTTGCTTGAAGTGCTTCATTAGCAAGAACATACCTTGGATTTCTTCACGCGACATCTCGCACAAGCTTTTGTAACTCTCCCTGAGCGGGGAACGGTTTCCTCGCAAGCTTCTTTCTTTGCTTTGAGGCTTGCTCGGTTTGGAATTCCATGGCGACGATGAGAAGAATTTCCACGTGGCGAAGAAGTAGATGCACTTGGACGCTGAGGAGACATTGTGTTGCTCATTCTCTTCAAATGAAAAAGACGATCAGTGATGATGTAGAAGGACTGAGATATGGATCAATGACGGGCTACTTTGGAATGCCAGTTATTATTACACCTCTTGAATGCCGAAAGAAAAGAGCAGAAAAACTGGCAGATATTCTCTCGTGGTAGTTTGGCTTACTTGTGTCTAACTTCGTGGGTCGGATAACGAGATGCGGACGTCGAGGTGGGATAAAATCGAGGACGAACAACGAGAGATAATTACTACCGGCGACCATGAAATGACGTAAAACGAGCCCACTTAACCGATTGGTTCGAAAATTACAATCTCTTGAAAAGTCGGATATTCAACGAGCATGTCCCCAATGTCAGCAGGGCAATGATTCAATGGCCGGTGCGCCGAGCTCCGAGAAAGTGGCGATTCTTGGTACAGACTTCGGACCGCAGTATAATTGGCTAAAACGCTGGTCACAACCCACCATAGTGAGCGAATCACCTCCCAGAAAAATACAGACAACAATCTCCTTTTGTCCATAGCCCCCTGGCATCTCCACTCTAGTAGTAGCAGCCAATCGGGCACTGGTCCGACCCTGGTCATGGTGATGGTTATGGGCCACCGCGTAGGACAATGGCTATATATGAGATAAGGAATTCATGGCTTGTTAATTTAGTCACATATGCTACTTGAAATAGATCAAATCATTTACAATGGAAGCGCATTTCCAATACAAGCGAATCGAGCGGGCTGCTGTGCAGGAGTTGGCAAATGGTCAAACTCAATGCTCTTGTAGCGGGAGTGAAAGTCAGAGGTAAGAAATTCATATCCAGAAGCAATTCAAAGCACGGAGCACTGATATGTCGATCTTTCTGGCACAGCTGTGAGTGCAAAGGACAGCCGATCGACCCTTCCATTAGCAGCCAACAGACAGAGTTGGCTTGGGTTGTGCAGTGGGCAAACCCTGATGACCCATTGAACCCTGCCAATTGGTCCATGTTACAAAAGACTTATGTGACATTCCTTGTCTCGTTGATTGGAGTTTCCGTTACTGCGGCGTCTGCGATAGATGCGTTGGGGGTGACGCAATATACTGAAGAATTCCACACGTCCAGGACGGTTGGATCTATACCAACAGGTATAGTAAACCTACCCGTTGAAGTTATTTTGACTAACGTCTTTATCAGGAATTTTTATGATTGGAATTGCCTTTGGCTCCTTGCTTTCAGGTCCATTCTCGGAGACATTTGGACGAAATGGAACATACCTTGTGACCATGACTTTATATTTGCTGTTCATCATGGCCTCTGCCTTGGCCCCTCACCTTGCAAGTCATCTGGTTTTTCGATTCTTGGCTGGCTTCTTCGGCTCTAGTCCTTTGATCTGCTGTGGTGGCACCATAGCATATCTGTGGGATCCGTTGCACAAGGTCTACGCATTCTTGATATATGCAATTCCAGGCTTCGGTGGACCTGTGATTGGGCAGCTGATTGGGAGTTTCATCCCGCCCGCCTTGGGGTGGCGATGGCTTGAGTGGATCATGCTCATCATGGGGGGCACGGTACTCGTTTTAGTTTTGCTGCTCCAGCCTGAGACGTACGGAAACCTTTTGCTGTACTGGAAGGCTTCCGTCTTGCGTAAGAAGACCGGCGACAATCGGTATAGGGCTCCAATGGAGACGAGGACCTCTTCCCTGCGTGATCGTCTCGTCATTGCGCTATCCCGGCCTTTTCTCTGGAGTTACACGGAGCTTATCGTTATGCTTTTTTCCCTTTACCTGACATTTGTCTACATTATTCTCTTCACTTTTCTTGAAGGCTACCACTACATTTTTGGAGAGATTTACGGACTGTCCCCAGGCCTGGTTGGAATTTCTTGGGCTGCAATGTTGGTTGGCATGCTGTTCATCTGGATTATTGCCACTGTGGTGTATTCTTGGACGGCCAAAGAGCTGAAGCTCACCTCTCGCATCCGGCCTGAGACTCGACTCTGGTATGCAATGCTCGGTGGCGCCCCCGCGCTACCGATTGGTCTCTTTTGGATGGGATGGACAGCACGGGTATGTCTTCTCTCCAGATCAAGCTCGAATTGGCTCTGACATTTAGCAGACATCTATTAGCATCTGGTCGCCCTTAGTCGCATCGGCATTTGTGGGCTATGGCATGATATCTATTTTCGTCAGTGCTTACTTGTACATCATCGACTCGTACGGGGAGCACGCTGCGTCTGCCCTTGCTTTTATGGGGTTCAGTCGATATCTTATATCAGGGGGCACCATGATAGCTGGAGTCACCATTTACGAGAAGTATGGTGTTGCCTATACGTTGACTGTACTGGGAGCCATCAGTGCCGTAATGGCCATTGTCCCATATGCCTTTTATATATACGGGCCATGGATCCGAAAGAACAGCAAGCATACCATTGCCCGAGAGTAAACATCTTGTGGTATCTTTTAGTCTTGCGTGCTCAAAAGAGAAAGAAACAAGACTGTCCCCAATAGTTGAGTGGTTGGCCTAGAAAATGGCTACTGGAGCTATGAATTAGACATTTTGGAAACTGTATGGTGAGGAGAGGTATGAGGGTCCCAACAAGAAAGGAATAAATAGAGGAGAACATGGGATAAATAGTAAGATTTAATTACTATAATTAAAGAAGAATATGAACTAGACTTTTTTTCTCATCATGATTCTGATCTCCTGAAACTACTATAAGACCCCTGCCTGCCCTCTTCTTTGATGTGGTTGCTAATAGCCCCTATTTTAGTAGCGCAGCGATCAATTGAGAAGTTGTATGCAAACGACTCCTTTCGATTCGATATGCTGAGATAAATGGTGAGCCTCGCTTATATTATTATCAAGGAATCTTGCTAGATCTCGATTATTTATGGGCAGGCTTTGCCCCAGTTTGTATCGCGATCTCTATGATTTTATGGACATTCAAGGCCTGGTTGTGGTAAAACGGTTAACGTAAGAGGAAGTCTAGGAAACAAGAAACTCAATGTATTGATATCAAAGTTATATAATCCTCCTTGGTTCAAAGAGAATCTAACCAAGTCATCCCCCCTAAGTCAAATGGCAACAGTGCCGAGTCGGTTAGGTCTACATTCCCACTGAATAGGTCTGGCATCTCCCACAGTGCACTCATGTTTTCAGCCAAGTGATCTTGAGGGATTTCAGTGTCTGCAGTTCCTTTCTCGTTTGGTAATTTCTCAGAGAGGTACTCGAGAGAAGACACGCACTTTTTCGCTGAGCCTCCAAGAATACTGTAAGATCGCAACACAGAAAGCGCAGCATCCCACGCAAGACTAGCTGGCGATTCAGTCGTTAAGCCGTTCTTCTTCTCTAGGTAGCGCTCAACGAATACAACCGTCGCCGCGGTGTACAGGTCTAAGTGTATTAGCGCAAGCCATGCTGTCATTCAACTAAATCAACAACCTACAGAGTACAGAGTACCACCAGCACGGCACTGGCCCACCCAACGTCTCCGCGTCCAAGTTGCAATGGAATATGTTGATCACTTCGCGGGCGATTCGGAAACACAACTGGGAGCACTGTGTGATCAGACATTGGGCAAGGCTTGTGTCAGGAGTGTGGTCAAGATTGACGGATTGGCAATGATGTATTAGTGCTGGGCGGAAAAGTAACGTTCGAACGTGTAAGAAACTATATTGGTCTCAGTTCAATGAAACGGTATGTATGTATCACAATATTTAGTGATTTAGATATAGGAAGGACAAACCGGATTCTCAAAACGATTGACTGCCTTTTCAACACAGCATCGTTCTCTGCGATGGAGTGATCTCGTAGATGTTTGGGAAGCGATTCCTGCCAGGACTGTAATTGGCCATCAATTTCGACAATCTGAACTAGATTGCTTTGGAATTTATCGTTGCGCATCGAAATAAGATAAAGGCGGGCTAGGACTTCACCTAGTATCCTATATAACTTTATTGCCTCGACAAAGAATGTAATTCTGAGATGCGAATCATTAGAGCAGCCAGAGAGGGTTCCACTGTCACCGTTCAAATCCTCATCATCAACCATCGATGGCAACGGTACGGACTCAGAAAGGAACCCTGCAATGAGCCCAGGCCGCCCAAATGTCGCTGAAAGAACACTGCATGCGAGTTATCAATAAGTGGCCAATTCTTAGGAGTCATGGAAGAAGCAACGAAGCGCCCACTGGCCAACAGACTTACCAGTCCAACCAAACACAACCATGCCATGTTCTCCGCCTGTACTCGCTTTGGATTATCGTTTCGGAACTCGGCTGAGGCTGAGAAAGATGGAGTCCTAAGCTCTGTGCCATGCGGATCGCTTGTCCAACCGTCATCCAGCACTGGAATACTTTATTGGTGCTCTGCAAATATATTCCTGAAAGAAGCAGATATTGGACCTTTGTGAGCGACGGGCCATCCTCTAATTTTTGATGCAGGCGATCTGCGCGGGCAAAGAAATGGCTCCCCGTAGCTATTCGTTTGTCTGGCTGTAAAAGCTGGCAATATTGGCAGCCAAGTGCAAAACAAATGCTGATGAGACTGACGTGAGCCAACTGCAAATGTTCCATAGTGGTCGATCCCCATAAACTCTCATATATTGTCTCAATCTCGCGCCGCGGTATGATGGGATACAACTGCCATTGGTTGTCCCAGTAGGAAAGCATCAAGGCATCAGCCAAACCCTTGGGAGGAAGGAACATGAGGTCGGGATCATCAAGGAGCTGTCGAGCTGACTGAGTATTCAGTGGGAGCTCTTTTGTAGTCGTGACTGGGATTTGAGATGTGTCGGGGCTGGCGTCTACTGCAGCTTGCACTTGTCGCATGAACGAACCTGCATTACTGCTTCCGAAAATTTCACAGGTCTGTGTTGGGTCTCCAGTAACTCCGTTCATTGAATCCGCTCCACAAAGTTGTTCACTCTTTTCTCTTGAGTGTTGTGACCAACCAGGCGACCCCGTGCTTGGATAATGTTTTCCTGCTTCAGGTGGCCTGCGAACTGCAGAAGATGGATCTGAGAACTGCCTTTCCAATGAATCCGTACGAGAGACGCCGCCAAGCAGACGATCGTTTTGATAGTGTTGGGGAGTGTCTTGAGGAATCGGTGTCTTGTGTAGTAGAGGATGTTTGAGCTGGCGCCCTTCTAAGCTACTGTCGGTGACTTCTTTTGAGCCGCCGTAGACGCAATTGGTTGCAAAACGCTTTTGGCATGAGCCGCACACTAGAATAATGTGAATATGATTCAATGGCTATGTTTTGATGCTGCCGTGATCTGACCCACCTGGCTTGATGCTGTCGCATTTGACCTTGCGTGCTCGACATGCGTCACAAGCCATAGCGACTTTCAATCGCCTGTGCTTTATTCTTCGATTTGGGAGCGACTTATCACCACTGTGTGCTTCTCTATGCTCCATAATTAACGTAGAAGTTATTTCTTGTCGATTAAAAATATTAAACAAGGCATAAATTTGCCTCAAACCAATGCTACAAGTCACTGAGTTAAGGTGGAGCGCCACGTGATGGCACTACTTGTCAAGATCACCTGACTCTAAAATGCCATTCCTCTTTAGGAAGTATTTTGAAGAGGGTGATAATTAGGCGGATGTTTCTATACATCTACTATTAATATGATTTAAAACTAAGTTTAAGGATGCGCCTAGGGTTTAGCATTATAGTAGCTCTTTGTGAGATAGAACTAAAAGTATAGGTTAATAAAAGCTGGAGTAATGAAGGAAGCTAACACCTGGACTTGATCACTTGTTAGTGTTATTCTAAAGATCATGATTAGTTTATCTTAGTTCTATGTAAGTTATTTCTGATATATAAACACCAAGGAGCTAGTTTTAATAAAAGTATCACGAATTGCCTATATTACTAACTATCTAAAAAGTATTTCGGATAGACTTTGTATATTCATTGATGATTTTCTAACCGACCTTAATAGATATATCGGAAGCTGAGATTCTCCAAGTCTGTCTTGTCCGAGAGATTATCCATGTCATCCTGAGAGTCCGAAGAAATTCCACTACCCTGGGCTTGCAACTTATCGCGTCTTCGATTTTCTCGTTTCAGATAAAATAGCAAGACGAGCGCTTCCAAAAACACAGCTGCCCAACAGCCTATCATTCCAACAAACCCAGAGGGATATGTAGGCGCCTCTTGCGCAATAAACATCTGTGGTCCTATCATATTGCCAACACAGTATCCGATAAACGCCTGAAAAGTGCATGCATGTTAGTCGTGTGCCACTTCGAGATACCAGGAGAATTGGCAGTACTTACGACCGCGTTTACTGTAGCTTTCCTGGTGAAGCCGCCCACGTTTGACGAAACCAAAGACATCTTCATGGGAACACCAGCCGCAAAGGACATCATAAGACAAACTCCAAAGAACCGTGGCCAGAGCTTCTCTATGGGCAGAAAACGAACCATGAACGCACCCGCTATGCAGATCAAGTTGAAAATGCACATCCACAGGATTCTGGCATTTTTCATATACTGACAGCCGACGATACCCATTCCAATGAAAATCACCTGGAACCCGTAAGTGGCCATCTTCAACAGAATGGTTTGGAGCGTCCCAAACCCGATTCCCTTGATAATCAGGCTGCTGAACTATGATTGACAGTTAGTACGATGCGAAACTGAATTGATCTCAGGAGATGTTCGACTTGCATTAGTGATGCCCCCATTAGGGATAGCGGCGGTGACTTGAAGCAGAAAGATCAACAAACATAAAGGGTCCTTTAAGCTAATAAGAGCCTGGTCAATCTTAAAGTTGTTGTTCTTTATGCCGGTCTTGTTCTCTTGAACACGACTGACTGCCTTGTTTCTGTCCTGCTTGTTCAAAAACCGGGATGTCATCGGCGTATCAGGGAAAATGTATATCATCGATAACCCCCAGACCAGGTTGATGCTCCCGACAACAAGAAAACCCGCCTGCATGTGTTAGAGTAAGCTGCGAGATAGGAGAGTGTATACACTTACCCTCCATGAGGAGAAGGACTTCAGATGGCCCATGCCGTAGAAAATTAAGCTGCCGACAAACCCGCCGATCGAGTTGCCTAGGAACCACACGCCAATGCGGGAGGTTTGCTCACTGCGTTTGTACCACATAGCTGTTACCATGTTGAAGCCCGGTGAGATAGCCGACTCCGTGGCGCCGAGGAAGAATCTCACGGCAAGAAGGCCCGCGGCGTTCTGAAGTGCAGCTGTGCAAAGGAGTACTACAGCCCAGCAGACCCTTTCCGCGAGTTAGCAACAAAGGAATTGTGAGAAAGAATAGGAACGGACTTACATTGTGGCCGCGAGGACTTTTCCGAGGGGAAGTTTTACCATGAGGAAAGCAAGTGGGTAACAAGCAACAAGATACCCGATGTAGAAGATGCTACCTGCCCACGAATATTCATTACCTGTAGCGTGTATGTCCTGGGTCATGCCGAGAACAGCAGCATCCACCAATGTGTTTTTGTCAATAAATTGGAGGCAGTACGTGACGGTCATAATGGGGATAAGACTAGAGTACTCTGCTGGTTAGGTTTGTGTATGTGCCAAATAGAGGAGCCTTTTAGGCAGTGATCTCACCAGAGATCAATCCTTCGCCGGATGCGAGCATCTTCTTCAGGGGCGAGCTGATACTGAAAGTCGGGGATCTCGCCATCCTGTAGAATCACCTCTCCCTCTTTAATCTCCATCTCCGGCTTTCCTGCTTGATTGTATTTAGTGGTCTTGACCAACTCGATATCGGTGTGTTCCGTCATGATCAATAACTGCTTGAATTGAATACGGGATGCAGAGTGGTTGGAGTAATAGATCTAGAAGCGATGAAAGCAAACCAGGCGACGATATTTATGTTGGAACCGGGTCGTCCAAGGGCCAGAAAGAATCCGGGGAACGCTTAATCCGCTATCCATTCCCTACCTAGTTGCGATTGGTTATCACCCCGCACAGTGGGTGGCGTAATGATAGGTAGCCCTCCGGTCCGCACCCGACGGCTTCGACTCCGGAACCGTGGAAATAGACCAACTTGCAAAAACACAGGCACACGATATTCCTATTGCTGCCGGAACGGCTCTGTGCCCGATTTCGCATCCGAATAATTTAAACAACCTCATGATAGACCAGCCACAGGGGACTATCACCTTACACACCGATCCAACTAGTAACATCTTTATTATTCATACTTGGTCGAGTTTAGGAATTTGGCTCTATTGATTCAAAATACAACGCAAATTTAAGCTATTGTTAAGAAACTCGTGGCAATGATGTTTTTAAAGTTACATTGAAAGAAGTATATGGCAACCATGTCCATAGGATGTTGACTTGTCCTCGCGAGACGAAGGGGTCTATTACACAACTTGGAAACCAACATTTCAAAAAATCTATTCTCTTATAGTTCAGACGAAAAGAAAGCTTTCTGTCCCTCTGAACTTTTTTGTGTGTCATCAAGAGCCTTTACGATCCCCGTCATACCTCGAACATCCACTATAGCACTGGTGGAAAGGACGTTGCCAGACTTGTCGAGGGCCCTGGCATACACACCGCTACCGTCGCCACTGCACTGCATCTTATGACTAGGTACTGTTAGTTTTGTCTCAAATGACTTCCTCTCAACCTCCCCTAGGGATCGGGCTCCGAGGGACCGCGAGGTAGACCCTCCAACACATTGGTAATAAAACTGCCAAGCCTTGGTGACTGTGTCGCCATTCCAGCTAACGTAAATCGCCGTGTCCTTGTTCTCTATCTGAGCAACTATAGCGGGGGTCTCAGATGAGAAACCTGTCCATCCATAACGGAAGCCACGATAGCTTTGAACACCCGGTGCTAAAGCGCCAGAGTCCAGGTATGCGTGGAAAATGGGTGTCCCATCGGGGCGAAATTCGGTCACAGCACCCTCCTGACCCCAGTTGACAAAGACATTTTGACTCTGGAGTACCTGGACATTGCCCTGGGAGGGAACAGAGAGCATATCAGGGGGTATGAACGTATTTACCTCATTGGCTGTGTTGTCTGTGTTGTTAAGCTGAACAATCCGAGCGCGGGAGTGAGGGTGAAGGCGGTCAACGCCGCCTGCTCGCTGACGGTCAGAACGAGCCGAGTTGTCAAAAAAGGAAATTGTCTCGATCATGCCGTCGCTTGAGGTGTTGAGGAAGCGTGCATCATGTTGGTAACCAAAGTCTAGCCCTTTGGGAAGGTCAAATGTCGACTTGCCGCCGCCCAATTGCCAGATGAGAGAGCCATCTGAGCCGTTGACTTTGTACAATGCACTCATGTGGCGGCCCGAGACAAGATAGTCCCCGTCGTTATTTTTATCCACGCTGTTGATGTGGAAATAGTCCCAGGCGTCACTAGCATTGATGCCAGTAAACGCCCGCCCGGAACGAAGCGGGATGACGCTGTCTGTTCAATAATTGTCAGAGGCCGTATATAGTATATTGGATATCGGCAAGAAATAAAGAAAGAAAAGATAGTTTCAAACTCACCAGCAGGGGATGCCCAGTCCAGAGTGTGTCCCTCGAAAATCAATTTACCAGTGGCAATGTCAAACTCCTGGAAGATGCCGTCCGCAATCCAATTTTCCTCTGCACTCCCGCCGTATGGAGTTAGGTCAATGGGGGTTGGCTGGTAAATCTCGACCAAAGCCGTCTTTTCGTTGACAATCTTGAATTCATGTATCGAGATGAGGCGGTGGTTGAGGCTTTCCACTAGAGCGACGGGCCGGTAATGGTCATCCAACAAAAGTGGTGTACCGTACCCATGGCCGTGGAAAGGGTCCAGGTAACCTTGAAAGGCTTGCAACACTGGCTTTCCTTGGTACTGCACGGCCTGGAAGTTTCCAACCCAGCCAGCATAGTAACCCAGACTCGACCAAACCAGATCGCCATCATTGGTAAAAATGTAAGCGGCAGCTTGTTCAGGCCCCGCACGAACACCGTCAAAGCCAGGGTAGGGGCCCACGAAGATGTAGCCTGGTGACACGTCATGCGCCGCAGGAATTGTAATATTCAGTTTGGGGGGAGCGAGATCCGGGCGGGAAGCGTACTGCCAGTCGGCGTAGCAGGAGCCGATCAGAGCGGCTACAAGCGCGAGTTTGTTCTTGTAAAGGCGGCTCATTTTCTTGACTTTTTCCGGATGGCAAGAATTGTCAGATCAGAATTTAGATAAAGTATAAGGGTAGTGTGTTGAAATACACTCACTACTCGAGAAGATTTCGAATGGCACAAACGAAGGGCTGTTTGTCTATACGTAGATTAGGCACTCTATAGTCAGGTCCCGTCCGTTGGATGAGGAGAAACACCCTCAAATCCCGACCCGCTTTGGCCCGGAAGCGGTCCGGCCATCCGACGGCAAGCTGCTATACTTCCGCCGGATGGGATATCCCTCAAGGCGAAGCTTGGTCCACACAGCAGACTAAAGAAAAAGCCATGACAAAGTTACCAGGCCACTATCTACACGCTGCGGCACGTGACAGTCTGCAGTGCTACGACGATTTTACAGCAGCGTCAAGTCAAAGCGTCTCTTCAGCTCGAGCTGGTCACTGGTAGTTGTGTGAAACCCTCTGGAGTGCAGAGACAGCGCAGTCCAGCATGTTCTTCACCAATAAATTGATCAATGCGGCTTTAATGGCCATCTTGGCCAACAACATGCTGTTGGCGGCGGCATCAGACTGGGTGGCTCAGCAACACGTTCTTAATCCCGGGCAACTTGGCCAAGACAACCTAGAGCAGTGGACGAAGACAAAGAAAAATGTGGTCCTAATAATGTCTGACGATCAAGATGCCACGATGGAATCTGTATCTTACATGCCAAGGTTGAAGCAGCACATCATCGATAAGGGTACACACTTTGCCAATCATTTCACCACGACGGCCATCTGTTGTCCATCTAGGGTGTCGTTGTGGACGGGCAAGCAACCGCACAACACGAACGTCACGGACGTAGATCCGCCATATGGTGAGCATTTCATTCTCCGAGTTTGCGTGTCGAGCGGAAAAGCTAACGGGTGCTCAACCCATTCTAGGGGGCTTTCCCAAATTCATTTCTCAAGGCTTGAACGATGCTTATTTGCCAGTCTGGCTCCAGGAGGCCGGATATGCAACATATTACACTGGAAAGATGTTCAACTCACATACAGTCTGGAACTACCATTCGCCCTTCCTCAAAGGTTGGGACGGCAGCAACTTCCTCCTCGACCCCGGAACATATTCATATTTGAACCCGATCTACCAGAGGAATCATGATCCCCCAACTCAGTTCCACGGACAACACACAACTGAGCTAATACAGAGCCATGCTTCTGAGCTCATTGATGCAGCAATAGGCTCGGGCAAGCCCTTTTTCGTAGCAATCGCCCCTATCGCTCCGCATTCCAATATTGACACAAATGATGGTGGTGACCCAGTCATGACGGAACCTATTCCCCTCGACAGACATCGTCACTTATTTCAGGAAGCTCAGGTCCCACGCACCGCGAACTTCAACCCAGACAAGGCAAGCGGCGTGAGTTGGGTCGCCAACTTGCCACAGTTCAATGAGACCATGGTCCGCTATCTTGACCACTTCTACCGCCAGCGCCTTCGGGCCCTTCAGGGAGTCGACGAGCTCATTGAGAAGGTCATTTTGCAGCTCGATGATGCCCGTGTCCTCGACGACACATACATCGTTTTCACTTCAGACAATGGTTATCACATTGGCCAGCACAGGTTGCCCCCCGGCAAAGAATGCGGTTTTGAGGAGGATATACGTGTGCCGCTCTTCATTCGAGGACCTGGGATCCGCGAGGGAGCCGTCGAGAACGCGGTCACGGCGCACATTGACATTGCGCCAACTATTTTCGACATTGCGGGCATTGAGCTCCGCCAAGATTTTGATGGCTCGCCGTTGCCCAATATTCCTAGCGCTGTGCCAGGCCATATTGACAAGCAGGAAAATGAGCGGCAGGAACACATCGCAGTCGAGTATTGGGGCACGGCGATAGCAGAAGGCGAGGCCGGAGGATTCGGTGAGTTCTTGGTCGTGCAGCGATGACCCTTGTGCTGTCCTTTCTCACCTGTGGTTTCACGAGAACTAACACGTCTGGATGCTTGCAGATGGCAATGGTCAAATTGTAATGTCTAATAACACATACAAGGCTCTGCGGATTCATAGTAGATCACATGTTCTTTACTATGCCGTTTGGTGTAACAATGAACACGAACTATACGACCTCAAAGTGAGTTGTTTTGCCATCAGAACCAATAGTGAGAGCACATTGATTGACTTTTGCTGTATCCAGACCGACCCGCATCAGATGCTAAATATATTTCCCGAGTATCTGTCGGATATACCTCCGACCGCACTCGTTAGAATGATTACTCGCCTCGATGCTCTTTTAATGGTTTTGAAGTCTTGCAAGGGCGAGACATGCAGGAAGCCATGGAAGGTGTTACATCCTGATGGGGATGTTGGCAACCTGGACGATGCTCTGGACTCGAAATTTGACTCGTTCTATCAAACTCAAGCCAAGGTAGCGTTCACCAGGTGCGAACCGGGCTACATAATATCATCGGAAGGTCCTCAGACTGCGAAACAATACCGGGGGGATCTTAGCTGGTCGCATTGGTCCTAACTCAGAATCCGACAGCGTTTAAGTCAAGCGCAGCGGTAGTAGCCTCATCCATTCCATCATCCCACAAACTTGTGCTTAAGCCTTGGAGACCGTCAAAGAACTGGTCTGCGGGGAGGAAAATGCCCTGGTCTGTACCCAACAACTACACAGGAAGATGAGATGTTAGCGATTTGAATGCATAGATTTGTTGTGGCTACTTACATGACTAGTAATCCCGCTTTGTCCAACTGTCGTAGAATCAGACGATTCCATCTCGGTGATGTGAGGTAGTCGTTGTAAGTTGGTGCTTATCGGTGTTTCAGGGGCGGGACAAGGGGCTAAGGTTGGCCCGAAGACGGATTGTGGGACATCAACGCTTCCATCCGGGGCACAGAATCGCGAGAGGTCAAGGATTGAGAAGAAGCTAGAGATGTCTATGTTGATATTCTCGCCAGACTTGGCCATGTTATTTTCATACAACACTGCCATGTCTTGACTGAGGCGCTCAAGGCTATCAGCCTTAAAATTAACGTCAGTCGCAAGAGTTGGCTAGTCGACTGTTATGGATGTTGACTTACTATCCGCACCAAAGATGGCCATCTTCCGTCTAAGCTGAAGATGAAGGCGAGACATTCTTCGTAGTTTTGTTTGCTCTCTTGTGCCCTTTGTGTCTTGGTACCCTGATCGTCGCCGACAAAGCTCTGGTACAACTCGATAGTAGCCACTACTGCAGCACAGTAAGCAAACAGTGGATCCGACACGTAGAAACGCCTTGATTGTAGGAACTTGATGAAGTGAACCACCCACGAAGTGTGGTGATCTCGTTGAAAGGCCGTGTGTTGAAGGAAAAGTTCTGATACATGATGCTGCCCTTGTATTTGAAGCATGATCAGAATTGGGTGGTTGAGTATGCAGATAGAAGTATGGTAGATTAGACGGCTCAGAAGCCACGGAGCCCAATAATCGCGAGATTCCTCAAGATTCTGCGTTGAGATGCTGGATATGCGGATGAAACGATATCTGTGCATGGACGGGAGTTGCTGCCCGAGATTCATGATGGACTCGACGGTCTTGGAGTATGCTGAGTGAGGGGACCATGGTGGCACGCCATTCTCAGACGCGCCCCGGCTTCGGGTATACTCTTGAACTTGAGACCACACCTCACTGAGCTTCAGGATAACGTAGAGAATACCCTCGTGCTCCTTGAGAGGCGGGGAAGTAGCTGCGCATTGTCCACTTTCTGTTGCATTCCTTGTAGGCGGAGTTGTAGCACTAGCAGGGAATTGTGGCGTATGCATTGTGGCTTGCGAGAGCTGACTCCCGACACCCGACATACCTTCCCCCAGCAGTTGCTGCAGCAGAATGACACTCCAGTAGCACCGCCGCCGCTCATCGATGATTCGCTCGTCGCCTTGATGGGCAGACTCCTGGTGCAAGTGGGCGGAGTGCACCAACGTCATACCCAGGGAGCGGTGAACTCGTGATAGAGTTGTCTCGCCGTCTGGCAGTGGGAAATCATGTCAGTAGCGATCCTGCAGTGGTGGCAGGGTCCAAGAATTGGTCGATACGTTTCTAGACTTACTTTGAAAGCCATTGAGCGTGAGCAAGCACAGGGTTTGCAACGTTGAGAGCTCGACGCGTCCAGATGCTATTTGAGACATGACGTTCCGATGAGCTGCGTCAGCGTACATCTGCCGCTGACCAGCTGTAGGCAATGGCGTCGTCTTGACTCTATCCGAAAACCTTGCGACAAGGGCAATGACGGCGTATATGACTTGCGTATCCCTGTTTGCAAAGGTCGACACAAAGTCTTGGCGGTGAAACAGAGGCAACGGCTGGCAGTCACAGTACATCAAGTAGAGCTCTGCTATGGTCTCGGCCGACTCCCATGGGACACGAGGATCGTCTGGTGAAGACATGGTGGATGTGGCGCCATCGGCGCTTGACGACGAAGCGACGGTTGACACGCCCACCCCTGATGCAGTGTTATGAATAGAGCTATTGGAACTGCGTCGGCGGCGTTTCTCTTTCCGTGCAGATCGAGAGCTCCATGATGCAGACCCAGCACGATGGTCTCTTAAACCCTCAATGACCTCGGCTAATGTGGATTCTAGCGATTCAAGGCGTTCCTGCTGATTGGAGTGGAAGAGGTTCAATCAGCCATCGTGACGCAGTGCTTGGGCAACGTACTGGAGATTACTTGTAGTGAACGTACCAGCTGTAGAGGCGGCTCTACTTGGCTCTGATGAGACCAGGTGTTGGGCATCGCATTCTTGAAACATTCCTGAAATGTGGAATCCAATGCCGCATCCCCTGTCGAGCCAAATCGGGGCTCCATGGCGTAGGAGCATCTCACTTGCAGTCTCTCGCAGGTCGAGCAGACAGGGCGCTGTCCCGAGCATTTGGACTTTTTGCGGCTATCACGGCATCAATCAGCTGGAGATGAACAGAGGCGCGCGTAACGACATGTGACTGATCTGAGGATACTTACCGGCAAGGTTCACAGGCCTGCCGCGTACGTTTTAGCGGTCTCTGGGTCTGGGGACTGATTGCATCCATGGTCGGGTCAGAAAATGGTCAAGGCAGCTCGATAGTCGAATCGTTTTAGGGCGACACAATTGCAACAATTGATGTCGTTGCCGTCGCATCACGACTACATGTACTTGACGGTACCGTCGCATTCATCTTGTTCTCTCCTCTTTTAAGATAAGCGACGCTACCACGTGACCTAGAAACCCGGCTTGTTAGATAAGGTAAGGCAAGATAAGTGCTGGGGGTGTGTGGGGTGTAGCAATTTTAGTTGCTGGGGTGTACTAAAATGTAGATAAATTATATTTTATTTGCTATAATACTAATAAATATAATTCATAGCTATTATATTAAGTAGCTTTAAATAGCCTAGTTAAAAGTAGCTATATTAATAGTTAATAAATATTATTAAGATTTATATAGCTTTATAATTAACTTTAGTTCTTAAATATAATAATAAGATAGTTTTAGATATTATAAATAATATCATCCTTAAATATTCTCTCTATCTTCTATATATAAGGGAATATATCTAGCTACTATTATAATATAGATATAGCTATATACTATTTAGGATACCGAGACGTTTTTATTACAGTGTCTGACTATAGGGTAATTCACTATGCATTGGTGCTCGTTTGTGTTGGAAAGAAAGAACTGACACGAGTCAACATAGGAAACAGTAGTTTTTTGTCCCACACCAACTAATGTGGAGATTGTCATCTTCATCGCCGGATCCAAGTGGCTCAAGAACATTGATATTAAATGGATTGATTGAGTCTGGTATATTGCTGGCTTGGTCAGCTAGACAAACCTTGTCAAACTATCATGGAATGATCCATGTGTCATGATCCCTGCATGTACCCTGCACGGCACGCTTATGCAAACACGGATCGCATCCGACGGATAGATAAGCCTAAACAATGACCAGCTAGATGAAGGGCAACACCCTCAAAGACGTGAATTCTTCAGTCCCAGCACAACCCACCCACCAATCTCAGTGACTCCAATTGTCCATGACTAGTTCCGCTTGCATACGACCAACTTTCCATAGACGAAATGTTGCATTTGCCCCTACCTCGATCCGGTAGGCGACTTCTTCAACACTGTCTAGCCGTGCCTCGCCCTCAACCAACACTTTCCTCAAGGCATCCACTCACTTCGGCCAGAAGCCTCTCGGCAGTTGCGAAAGGCCAGGGACGAGTCACCCGCGCCTATCCATCTGTGATTGCAGCTTTGTTAATTGTAGTGTTTGGTGGCGGAGTTGGTATTGGTCTTGGCCAAGGTCGTGAGGCCAACGCCAAGCGTGCTTCGGTGATACACTATGCGGGCAGACAAAGCATGCTTGTCGTAAGCTCCTCTTACTCTTACAGCATTGCACCGACTACAATTCTTGAACTCAAAATGACTTTTCTGTAGGCTGCCAGAGAGATTGAGGCCCTTCTTGGAGAAGACGCGGTGAGCTATGACGAAGACGACATCGAGAACCACGGATTCTCAGACTGGTCCAGTGTCAACTCAACGTCGCGAGCAGTAGCCGTGGTGTATCCTAGAAGCACTGACGATGTGGTAAAAGCGGCAGAAATCTGTCATAAGCTCCGCGTTCCTATAGGTGGGTCGCCGACACTACCCAGGCCTTGCCATGTATCCCGTATCTGATGCGTTGTCGTGAGACAGTCCCGTATGGGGCCGGATCCTCTGTAGAAGGAAACTTCTCTTCGCCTTATAGTGGCATAGTTGTTGACATGACACACATGGACAATATTCTCAGCTTCCATCCACAAGACATGGATGTCGTGGTGCAGCCTGGTGTGAACTGGGTGGACCTGAACAAGGAGATGGAGAAGGAGAAACTTTTCCTCCCCCTGGACCCCTCCCCTACGGCAACTGTTGGGGGCATGGTGTCTACAAACTGTAGCGGGACAAATGCGTTTCGATACGGAACCATGAAAGACTGGGTAACCAACGTCACGGTGGTTCTCGCTGATGGTCGAGTCATCAAAACCAGGCAGAGGCCACGGAAAACATCTGCTGGCTATAATTTGACTTCCTTGTTTGTGGGCGCAGAGGGAACGCTGGGCATTATCACCGAGATCACCCTTAAACTCGCTGTGATTCCTAGCGAGACGAGCGTCGCCGTCGTCACGTTCCCCACCATATTCTCGGCAGCGTCGGCAGCCTCCAGGATCATTCGTTCCGGCATCCAAGTTGCAGCCATGGAGCTTATGGATGAAGTTCAAATGCGTATTGTTAACCGTCATGGAAGTGAGCAAGTTCGAAAGATGAATTGGGATGAGACCCCTTCCCTATTTCTCAAATTCTCGAGCCACTCCAAAGAGGGGATCCAGTCTGACATTTGCCGCGTCAAAGAGTTGATTGGACAAGATGAGAACACAAGGTTTGTTTTCGCCAAGACTAAAGATGAGGAGGCTAAACTTTGGGCGGCGAGAAAAGAAGCCCTCTGGACTATGACTTCGATCAAGCCCGACGGCCACGCCATCTGGTCTACAGACGTTGCTGTGCCGATCTCCCAACTTGCCAAGATCATCGAATTGTCCAAGAAGGATGGAGAAAAACTTGGGGTTTTCACCAGTATAGTTGGCCACGTTGGCGATGGGAACTTTCATGAAGCGTTGATGTATGATCCAAAAGATCCAGCACAAAGTGCCGCCGTAAAAAATGCTGTCCAAACGATGATAACTCGTGCTTTGGAAATGGAAGGAACGGTTTCTGGCGAGCACGCTATCGGAATGGGAAAAAAGGTGAGTTTTTCCTGTCTCGCTCCTGATTCATTTTTTATCTCAAACTAAACCAAAAACTACGAAGCAATGCTTGATGGATGAGCTCGGTCCGAGCACAATCGAAGTTATGAAGCAATTGAAAACTGCAGTTGATCCGAGGTAAGTAAAATCTAACGAAAGTTTGTTTTTTACATCTAGAATGCAGCGGTCTTGGCCATAAGGAACTAGTATGGATGGGTTAGCTGACTGTTCTTAGATGGATCATGAACCCTGGAAAGATTTTTGACTTGCCGAAAGGATCAGCCGTCCGCGCCTAATTCAGGTCGCATTGACGCGAGGGTTGAGTGTTAGAATATTTCGAAGCTCACATTTTACACATGTAGCATTCTTTCTGTTTACTAAAATCCTAGAATAATTTTGATGGTCCTGGTATCAAGCACGTCTCTGTGATTCCACATGTACATGTACATGACGAGTTGGTTTGGAAAGAGTAATCGTCAAATCTTGTTTTCGCATAGTCATTGAAATATCAAAACGGCGTCTAACGCAATTACAGTCACTTCCAAGCATTTTCTTGTGTCAAAGCCCACCAGAACGTTGTCGGTATCAACGATATTGAGTTCTGATACTAAGACTTTACCGTGTTGCATGATAACGTACCGTTGTCACTAGAAATCTGTTTGAAATAATTATCATTACATCTTTAAATATTCAATTAGTTATAGCGAGTGGCAACAGGTTTACGATCATCCCAGAGTGCACTACCACAAACCCAGCCATTATTTATTAAACATTCCATGATACCTTAAATTTTGACATATAATAGATTAATTACCTTGCTTATTTACGAGTAAAGATTCAAGTATCCTAGTAAGAGTTCGAGTATATAGGAAGAAAACGGCAATGGAATATGCCAGACCCGACAACCTTGCTTATATACAACAACCTGCAAGCGGTTAACTTTTGCCCATACATACGTATCCAACTACCCATAATTACCTAACATATAGGCCCATACTACTACGTTTTGTGGCAGGTCGACATGCGAAGTGTAGAAGGTGCCGAGCCCGGCCCGGGGCCGCATCCGACGGCACTGGTCCGTTTATGTGACGAAGTGTGATATCTAGGACGCTTGTGCACCAATATAATGAGGAATATCGAAGAAATTCGAGTAAAAGAGCCTGAACACGGCGGACCTCACAGAAACCGGTGAAGATGACTGTTTCAAATAGCAACGGCGAAAGCCATTTTCTGCTGTCCACAGTCCCGGCGTTAACCGTTGAGGGACCATTCGCACTGGAAGCCGAGTTCCAAGCCGATTCGGATCCTAGCAAAGTCAACTTGATCATAGGGGCTTATCGGGATGATCGGGCTCGACCATGGCAACTCAGGGCGGTTGTGGAGGTATAGTCTCAAAGTCCGAAGGTATTCCCTACAGTGCCAAGCATGGTCTGACTAACAAGTCTGTGATTACAGGCCAAAAGACAGTTGAGGGTTGAATCCTCCTTTCATGAGTACTTGCCGCTCCAAGGGAGTCGTGAGTTTATCGGGGCCGCCAAGCGACTCATTTTTGGGGATGCTATTGTGAATAAGATAAGCGAATCGATTGCCTCTATCCAGACAGTCTCGGGAACTGGGGCCAATAGTCTCATAGCCAAATTCTTGGACAAGCACACTCGTTGTGGTAGTATATGGCTTCCGGATCCGACTTGGGTCAATCATAAGGATATCTGGGAAGTGAATGCGCCACGCATCGAGATGCGTTGCTATCCCTATTACAGCGACTCGACCCAGGCTGTTGACTTTGACCAAATGTTGCAGACTCTCAACGATGCTCAACAAGGCGACGCCATCCTACTCCACGCCTGTGCGCATAATCCTACCGGGCAAGATCCCACAGAAGAGCAATGGGACAAGATTGCACGGCTGTGCCAGGCGAAGAAGCTGTTTGTCATTTTTGATTCAGCCTATCAGGGCTTCGCCTCGGGAGACTTGGATCGGGACGCTTGGGCAGTGAGACACTTCGCTGCCTTTTCCGACCTCGAGATTGCCGTATGTCAATCCTTTTCCAAGAATCTCGGTCTTTATGGGGAGCGCGTGGGTGCGCTTCACGTCGTCATGACCCGCTCCCCGCCCACCACTGCTACTCACGTACAAAATCGGCTTGTCGATCTTCATCGAGCTTTCGTGTCTATGGCTCCTCTCTTCGGCTGCCGTGTGGCCAATCAGATATTTCAAAATCAAGAGCTCCAAGACATGTGGCAGGCTGATCTCACGACTATGAGTGGTCGAATCAGCTCGATGCGAAACGCACTCTATTCTGAGCTACTGAGGCTACGTACGCCTGGCGACTGGGCACATGTCAAGAACCAAGTTGGTATGTTCTCTTATACGGGGTTAAGCAAGGAAGAGGTAAAGGTATTGCGAACAAAATACCATATCTATATGCTTCCGTCGGGCCGGGCCTCAATCTGCGGCCTTACAAATACAAATGTCAAGTACGTGGCTCAATCCATCCACAAGGTGGTAACAGAAAGCAATGGTAGGAAGACTCTGTGCAACGGAGTCAATGAGTAGTCGTTAATTGTGCAATAACAAGAAGAAGATACTACACATAGCAGACAATTAGATGAATGATTTTGGAAAGCACATGTGTCCCAAGAATAATACTCCCAGCTTAGTGTTATTACATGTGTGAAGTGCTTTATGAGTATTCATATTCACTTCCGTAGATCGAGTCTACATAATTAAAATCGTTAATGGCAGGTGGCCCAACGACGAGGTGTTGAATTGTGCCCGGGTCCTTTTTTCTTTCACGCAGGTGGGAGTCGGTCATGGTCATAAATGGAACAGTCATAAGCTCAAGAATCTTAATTGTATGTACATGCCAACATAATGTTGACTCCTCGACCTAAGGGCCATCACGGAAATTTCACGTTTAACAGTGAAATACCTATACCGAACACATTGCTAGCTCCAAGTGTCGGCCGAGCTCTCTCTCGATGCGCGCTGTGGCTCTATGCGGTTATAGCTGTCCCAACCGACCTTCACGACCCTCGAGACAGGCCAAACACAGAACAAAGTGGTTAGGTCTTGCGATTCAATGTATTCCCGGACCGGCGGAGGCCCTGCCGTCGGATGGAGGGTACAGGCACAGAAGCGACGCAGTGTCTTAGAGCTGTCGGAAGCTTGCCGTCGGATGCGGAAGCCAGTACCTTATCGACTGCGGAGACTTCGGGTGGGGATGTCGTAAAGCACCAGAGAGCTATAATCCTCATGGGGTGTTGTTCCTAACCTACCTAGGTTTGACTATCATTTCTTGTATCAAATCTTGACGGTGTTTCTGGCTAACTTTTTCAGTCATTCTTATCCCTATTTTTGGGCAAACCTATTTGGCTTCGACTCTCAGAATCCAGTGCTATCTTTGACTGGCCGAAGCCGGACGGAAGTCAACAACAATGATGCAATTTGGACCTTTCAAGCCTTGCGGGAGTGCGGCTCAGGCCCAAGTTCCATTTGGTTCTTCGAGTTCAAATGACCACGACCCTGAAAACAGCGTCTCCGGAGTCACACACGACAGGCCATCCAAGACTGTTCAAGTTGCTGTGCATCCAACAGATGAAGAGACCCCTTTACTAGCAAGTCGACGGGGTAGTGAAGACGGGGCAGCCGACGAGGGTAGCCGGTTGACGAAGAGTGTCATGGTGATACTGCTCCTCGGTAGGGACTGCCTCTTTTCCTCCAACCGCCGAGGGAGATTTAACCAATGCTAAACTATCACCTAGGCGAGTTGCTTTCTCACGCTGATACAACACTTATCTTTGCCGCCGCGCCACAAATTGCGTCGGAGTTGGGCAGTCTTCGTGGCATCGGGTGGCTTGCCACATCGTACACGCTAGGTGTATGTTCGATGCAACCTCTCTACGGGCGGCTCAGCGATATATTCGGCAGGAAACAGATGCTGCTATTTGCATATGCTGTCCTCTCGGTGGGATGCATACTTTGCGGCCTTAGTCAGAGTCTCGTACAGATCATCGTCGCCCGCGCCATCAGCGGCATTGGTGGTGCAGGCGTTATGACTATGGCGTCAATCATCATCACCGACTCAGTTCCAAGGAGCCAATTTGCCACATACAGGTCGTACATCAACCTTGCCACGACGCTTGGGAGGAGTATCGGTGGGCCCGTCGGCGGCTTCATCGCTGACTCTATGGGTTGGCACTGGCTTTTCTGGTGTCGCCTTCCCTTCTTTGCGCTCTCAGTCACTCTCATCCTCACTTCTTTGAAGGACGAGAAAGGTGGTGATACCAAGCAGACAGACGACTCGGGTGACTCTCTTTCACCCAATTCCTTCCGCCAAAAGTGGGCCAAGGTTGACGTTAAAGGTGCACTGCTACTGACCAAGACGATCGTGTCCTTCATCCTGCTACTCGACACAGTTGGGGAGAATGTTGGCACCCCTCAGTTCTGGTTGCTACTGGTATCAGTGCTCACCTTTGGCCAGCTGTTTGTATTTGTCGAAATCTTCGGTACCAATTCGCCAATTTTCAATTTGCGGATTCTGGCGAAGCGCAACGTGGCACTGTCGTACCTAGTCGACTACCTGCAAGTCTTCTCGCAGGTCGGCATGATGTTCTCTGTGCCCTTATACTTTCAGGTAACACAGAGGGCGTCTGCAGCGAAAAGCGGCGCTCACATCGTCCCCGCTGTTATTGCTAACACGATCGGTGCCCTTGCGTCGGGAAAGATGCTGCAAGCTACGCATCGCCACAAGATCATCCTGGTCTTGGTCGGGCTGCTTGGAGCCACCTCTTATGTTCTAATATGGGCCCGCTGGAATGGCGACACTGACTTCTGGGAGTCCCTGTACGTTATTGCTGGTGGCTTTGCCACAGGTGTAGCTCAGTCCGCCTCGTTTGTCACCATGTCGTCGCATCTCAAGAATCAGGAGGTGGCAATGGCTACGGGTGGCTTCTTCCTTGCCTCCAGTCTAGGTACGGTCACTGCTGTCACTACAGTTAATGTGCTTCTTCAGTCATTTTTCAGTCGAAGACTGGATGCCGTCGTGGATATCCCGAATAAAGCAGAGGTAGGGACTTGTCTAACGCTTTATAACAATGCATTTCTAACATTGACTCGCAGTTTATCAGAAAAGTAACTTCTGACATTGGCAACATATCAAAGCTAACTGGAGAGCTACGCAAGCTTGTGGTTGGTGCGTTCATTCGCTCGCTCAAGACCACATACAGTAAGACTTCACGAGGAATCAAAAGTTGAATAAAGCTAATAGCTTCTAGTATCTGGCCTTGCTGCCTGTCTTCTTTCAACAGTCATCAGTGCATTTATACGAGATAAAAGTAGCCAGGAAACTTAGTAAAATAGACAAAGTAGATCAAACAAAAAAATTAATGTACGAGATGAGAGAGTGGCCAACCCACTTGCTCATTTTAACGCTCTGACACTACTTATATTCTTAACCGCTTAAGCCTACATTTTAACGTTCTAAATTTTTAGGTGTAGGAATTTCGCGCTACATGTAACAATCTCTATAGATTAGACTGTAGAACATTGTTTGGCATGATGTAGACCCTGCCTTCAAATGGGGCTAAGTTTTCAGCACTCTCCTTACCCTCGTAGGTTGTAAGAATAAGTTTTGGAGTCTCCCCATTGGTCAAAAGCATTGCAGATTCTGGAAGAGCCCAGTGTTTCTCCTCCGAGGTGAAGTTGAGTACAACCATCATCCTTCTTTTCCGATCCTGCGCCTGCTTAATAAAAGTGTAGATATCGACGTCATCCTTTTCAAGACATAGGTAGTCCCCATACACCAAAATGTCCTCATGCTGCTTCCTAAATAGTAACATCTTACGCCAAAAGCCAAACACACTATCTGGATTGTTTACTTGAGCCGTAACGTTGATTTCATGTGATAATGGATGGGGTTTCATCCAAGGCTGTTTGACATCAAGGCCAGCCCGTTCAGCTTCCTCGGAAAATCCGCCATATTTGGCGGCACTGTTCCATGCCATGGGTATCCGTGAATGATCGCGAGCTAGATGCTGTAGTGCTGTGAATCCTCTGTCGAGCTCTTCCATGTTATTCTCCCCGTGGCGTTGCTTAATCATCTCCATAAAGAGACAACTACTGATGTCCAGGTAGTTCTCCAATGGGTATGTCTCCTTTGGGCCGTTTACTGCACCAATTTCCTGCCCTTGATAAATGTACTGGGTTCCGCTAAGACAAGTTTGAAGAACAGCTAGCATTTTGGCTCCAGATTCTCGATGGGTGGGGTGGTCATCCGTGAGCCTTGAGACAGATCGCGAGAGATCGTGGTTTTCCAGGAAAGCAGTTGTCCAGGCGTCAGTTCCATGGATAAGACTCTGTGCCTTGCCAATGGCCTCTTTAAATTGAGGAAGTGTATAATTTTTGGGAGTTGTTTCGTATTTATGAGTACGGCCCCAGCCTACCTCGACCGCGTCAAACTGGAAGACCATGTTGAGCTGTCGCGCTGCAGCGCTCACGTAGGGCAATATCCTTGCCACGTCGGGGGTGTCGAGAAGCTCACCCACGGTGATCGCTTCGTACCGTGTCAAAATTTCATTCATCTCGCTGATGTGCTCGTGCATCCTTGACCCATTACAGTATAACATGGCCGCAGGCTGGAACGGTGCTGCCGGGTCAGTGACCGGGGCGTCTGGGAAGTCGACTGGTTTGCTGTACATATTGACCGTATCCACTCGGAACCCATCCACTCCGCGGTCCAGCCAAAACACCATGGCAGATGCATAGATGGCTTTCCTGGCTTCCGGGCTGTCCCAATTTAAATCTGGCTGCTCCTTGGCCCACAGGTGAAGGTAATACTCCTTGGTCGACTCGTCCCATTCCCATGCGCTGCCGCCCCCGAAACTGCAACGCCAGTTATTGGGTGGCAGCCGCTCGCCTCTCTGCGAGTACTTGGCTGGTCGCCAGATGTACCAATCCCGTTTGGGGTTGTCTCTGCTGCTCCTGGCCTCTTTGAACCATGCATGTTGATCGGAAGTATGATTGATGACAAGATCCATCATGATTTTCATCCCCCGGGCATGCGTTTCTTTGATCAGACTTTCCATATCTTCAACATTCCCGTACGGCGGGTAGATGGCTTCATAGTTCGATATGTCGTATCCCATGTCCACTTGCGGACTGTCGTAAACGGGGCTGAGCCATATTGTATCTGCACCGAGGCTAGCGATATAGTCAAGCTTGGAAGCAATGCCCTGGATGTCACCAATGCCGTCGCCGTTGGAATCGGAGAAGGATGCAGGGTAGATCTGATAGATGACCGCGGACTTCCACCATGTTTTTACATGCGGGAGACTAGCCATGATGGGTTATTGATCTTATTGGAGGGAGGAATGTAAAGGATGATTTTGGAAGTGCTTGCTACTGAGATGCCTCTTTGTCTTTTTATGTGAACCACATCATGCCAAGACTGTCAACTCACTAACGGAAGGGGAGTAGCGGACTGGAGTTGTAAGTGGAGGTTGATTGTCAGACGGTAATTGGTTCATTGTCGGTCCGAGTAGACAGGCAGTTGATTGGATGGCTGTCGCTCCGAGATGAGTGTGGGGTGATCCGTTTTGAGGCGCAATAAGACTTTCTTATTGGTGTATTGTCGGCCCGAGATATTTTAGCGTTGGCGGAAATTGAGGCATAATCTTCCGATAAGAGATCCAAGAGTGAACTTTTCCCCAGCAAAGGGCTGGAACCATTTCCACGGTATCACTTTCCCATAATAGTTATCTCCACGCTAATCGCCCCGTGGAGAAATTCATCATGTGGAGACAGGCTCCATATTTGGTTATCTGAGCCAGCCTGCTCTTGTGCTTTGAAGAACGAAAAGTAGTATATATAATTCCTTCCACCCGACTCTTTCAGAAGATATCATATCATTCAGAACCTGAAAAGCCTCCATCTTAGACCACAACAACATCATCAAACCATCGAACCTTGTCCTCTTCTGAGGATCTGAGCACAATTTCTTCGCCATGCCCTCCGCAGGTGTAGAACAACCAGTCAACATGTCTCATCGTACCAATGATGATCATGATACCGTTACCCAAGAGGCTTTTATCGCAAATAAGAATGAACAAAGCATGGGTCTTTTCAAATCTCTCAAGCTCTACAGGAAGGCTTGTTTGTGGTCCATCTTCCTGTCCACATGTGTGATTATGGAAGGTTTCGATGTCGTCCTCTTGAATGCTCTCTACGCCTATCCCCCTTTCCAGCGGGACTTTGGTGAGCGCCAACCAGATGGCAGCTACCAACTAGCAGCCGACTGGCAGTCAGGCCTTTCTGGAGGCAACCAAGCAGGACAGATCATCGGGCTTCTCTTGACTGGATTTATTGCAGACCGTCTCGGTTACCGCAAAACACTCATTGGAGCTTTAGTGTTTTGCACTGGTTTCATCTTTATCGTCTTCTTCTCCAACTCGCTGGTTCAGCTTCTTATTGGAGAGATCCTCATCGCTATTCCTTGGGGCGTTTTCCAAACTACGACTGCAACATACGCGTCGGAGGTCTGCCCGACCCATCTCCGCGCCTACCTCACAACTTACATCAATGCCTGCTGGGTCCTGGGTCAGCTCCTTGCGTCCGGAGTGCTCCGAGCTATGCTATCACGGGATGACGTGTGGGGCTACAAAATCCCATTTGCTCTACAGTGGATGTGGCCTGTGCCTCTCATAGTGGGCATATTCTTCGCTCCTGAATCACCTTGGTGGCTCGTCCGTCATGATCGTATCGACGAAGCGAAGCGTTCACTTGATCGACTAACCACAAGCCATGAAGAGATATCATTTAATGCCAACGAAACAATCTCGATGATTATCCATACCAACAAAGCAGAGAAGGATGCACAGGAGGGGATGTCGCACATGGATTTGTTTAGAGGCACCAATCTTCGGCGCACCGAAGTGGTTTGTGTTACATGGATGATCCAAGCTGCGACTGGCTCTACCATAACGTCATATTCGACCTATTTCTACCAACAGGCCGGTATGGCTGTTGAGAATTCTTTCAATATGTCACTTGGCCAGTATGGCATGGGCCTTCTTGGCACTATTGCCGCCTGGTTTATGATGAACTGGTACGGGCGCCGAACTATCTATCTTTATGGCCAAATCGTTCTCGGGATTGTTCTCCTTATCATCGGGTGTGTTGGTACAGTCGGTCGAGAGAATGTTGCTGCCCAGTGGACAATTGGCAGTCTGCTTATTGTCCACACCTTTCTCTATGACTGCACCGTGGGCCCAATCTGTTATTCCCTTGTGTCTGAATTATCGTCGACCCGCCTTCGGACAAAATCAGTCGCCCTCGCACGGAACCTTTATAACTGCGTGTGCATCGTCACCAGCGTCATTACCCCGCGTATGCTGAATCCAACGGCTTGGAATTGGGGTGCTAAAACAGGCTTCTTTTGGGCTGGCTCGTGTATGCTATGCGCAATCTGGACGTACTTCCGACTTCCTGAGCCAAAGGGAAGGACATATCTCGAGCTTGATCTTCTGTTTGAGCAAGGGGTCAGTGCCCGGAAGTTTTCAACCACTGTGCTGCACACTCTAGACGGAACCGTGGACCAGATCTCGATTTTGGGAAAAGTCAATAGTGGGCTTGATGGAGATAAGAAAGACTAGAGAGCGATGTGATGCTTTTCTGGTAGAACTAATGCCGCTCTTTTTTGCTCAAGGCATTGCGCTTTCTACCTTAATTACTTGAATATTTTACTATTCTTTAGTGTAGACTGGGATCAATTACTTGTAAATAGAAAATTGAGAGGCATTTAATTCTATTGAATTGTTCTTTGAATCAGGCCAGGGTATTCCAAATAGCCTGGAGTAAGCCTTGTTATATGGAAGACCTAAAAGGTTGTCGTGCTACTAGCAGCCCCGACTCACAATTCATCAATAAGAGCGGCGATATCGATTGGATGCACTGAGATGATGCGCTAAGAAAATCTAATAGTGATTATTATGGAGTGATGAATTCACGGGAAGGAACCGGTGATCCATGATGTCAATTTGTGATGGCCGGTGGAATTCGGCCCTCGCGGTTGGGAAATTGTTGAGATATATGTAAGATCTAGCACCTAGGGTCTTCAGCCTTCCTCTTTGAAATACTTAGATTTATCTAGCTGTATACGACTTCTTGTCAATCTAGTATTCAGGTCATTCCACCCAGGGCGGAGAGTGATGGGACCGGGGACTGGCATCAATGCCACTGGCGCCGTCGCTGTTATTAGAAACGACGTCGTCAAAATCTATCATGGTGTACATGCCTTTCATAGCTTGCAGCTTCTCAAGCAGGTAATTTCTCTGTTTTGAAGCAACCGCATCGAAACCCGCGAGAAATTTGAAGAGGAACAGCAAATATTCTGCTCTCGAAATATCTTCGTCTTCAATCTGCCCAGATTGGCTGGTCACTACCATGACATCAGCGATGGTGCTGGTTATCTCGAAGAGCTTCTCAAGCATGCCCATCCCGTGGAAGCCCACGCTGGTGACGTCTTGGAGTCGACTAAATACTGATCGGAACTCCGCATAAAGGCTATTGATTGGGAACTGAAATGAAAGTCCCTCGTGATTTGTGGAGGAAGTCGTGGAAGCAAGAAGGCCTTGGGACAATGCAAGCTGCCAGAGCATAGTGCGTAGCCACAACCTGGTAATCACGAGGTCGATATGTTGAAGTTCTGTAAGACCACTGCCCCCTCTGTCCTTTGATAACCTTTCCTCCTCGGCTGTACCAGCTGCATCTTCGTCCAGCTCCTTGTGCTTGTGTTCTATCCACTGGGTTGTCAGCGGCGACTCGGTGGACTGTTTGATCGAGTGGTTATGTTGCGAGCGCCAGTGAGCAAGAAATTTATCGTCTAGAATGGCAAAGAGATTAACCAGGCGACGAAATCCGATGTCGACGTGGCCCGGTATAGTCGTATCACTAACTGGAGGGCCCCAGCTTGGAGCCGGTAAAACACTCCCAAAAGATGGAAGAAGAGCCACATGTCTTTCATGTAGAAACAGTTCCCAGTAAATCCTTTGCCATCTCGCTGCATTATTTGGGCCGCCTGGAAAGCTCTGCCCAAAATCCAGGGCTTGGAACATGGTAATACCTTCACGCAGCCAGGCAAAGCTGCGGTCGACCCTTCCTAGTGTCAGTGTGCAGACACTCAAGAACACACAGGTAAGAATGCGTTTTGCGGTCACAGGCAATGGCTTAAGGATACCATCATCTTTTTCATCATCCCAATCGAGTTCGTATGTTCGGTGGGCTCTGGTGCTGCACCGGACAAATTCGGTCATTTGCACAGCAACGCCCTTGTGAAGAGCCCACGATGACCGCATCCGGTTGATGGTTATAGCTGCAAAGGCATGAACAAGGGCGGTATCTTCGCTACTTTGATCCATATTTCCGATGGCTTCTTCCATCTCCAGAGGCGATATTATCGGATTCAGTGGGTATACAAACTCGGCATATTGTGGAAGCAAGCCAAGGAAGAAAGAGCAAGTCGTGGGCTGTGACGGCTTAGACCGCGATCCGGCCTGAGGGCTATGAGGTCGAGGCTGACATTCGGCCCCATCGTCACCCTTCCTCTCTCCTCGCAGCTGGGCGACAAGCCAGCCACGACGCCCACGTCCGCGTCGGCTTGTTGGAGGAGTCGAGAAGGTGCATGCGAGATTTAGGTGGGCGCACTGCGTGCAAGGCCACGAACCATGGCACTTGACTTTGCGGAACCGGCAGCCATCACAGGCTTTTGCCTTTCTCCGGCTTGTGTCCATTTTTCAATCGAATAGTCTGTACTCAGGGGCCGCGCTCTCATATATTGATATCAATTACTGGTTGCACAAGGGAATCTGTGGAGTGCAGGAGCGAGAAATTACCAGTAGTGTCTCTGCCGAAAATGCCAGGATTATGCTGCGCTTACTACTGCTCATCCCGGCCCAATCACAGACGAGCGCTATAAAACCCCCTATTTAATATATAAGCCATGAAATAAGACGAGTGTGTTTGCTCGATCTACTATGATTATTCAAATTTTTGAAAGCTCTACTTTGTAAAACCAAGCCCTCTCCAATTTATGAGGCCAACCGCGCCGAGCAACCAGCCATCCGATATCCATCCGGCCATGTCTTAGTAGACTAATTTTGCAGGTGTGTCAATGTCTCCCATCCGTAGAAAAGGAGAGCGCCGGCAGGCCTTTGTTTCTCCGTGAGCTCCTCGGTAGACGGCATGGGGTATCCGAGACGGTAAGAAAGAGCGTTGAAGCCAATCTCAGTGGCTTTTCATTGTATAAGTCGATGCCGAAATGAGGAAGTGTCTCAAAGATAGAGTGACTCACCTGGACCAAGATATGTGCTTAGTGTCTCGTTGTTGCATAACCACTCTGGCTGCAGGGCACCTAGAGTGTACTTGGAATGGAATTCAAGTCCATATCGCAACCGACTTCCAGTATCTTCCTGATACAAATCCCTTCCCTGAATCCTTGAGGTCTCGGCCACGTGCGACATCGCGGCAAGCCCGTAGCCTGTGTGTTCAAAGTCTCGACAAGTCTCCTGACTCAGGCCACTCACATTGAAAATTGCCTGGTTGTTCCAGAACTCGATGATATCTTCGTTCGTCTTGAGCCATTTGGCATCTACCGCGGCTGTATGGGGCATATCGCCATCGCTTGCTCTATTTGTTAAATTCTGCTACCGAAAGGCGGATTGCGGCAATCTCCTACCTTTCCAGATAAATATACGCAGCAGCTCGGTCGAGAAACCTCGCCATCGCTTCGTCGTAGCTTTCATGGTCATCCAAAAAGATTGAAATGCCCGTAGCGGCTTCCATCATGACTACAGACACAATCAGTATTTAGCCAATGAAATATCCAGCAGATTGATCGTAGTATATTTACTCAACTCCCAGTTCCCATTATACCCAGGCGCGCCTACAATGACTTGTGGGAGATAGATATCTCGCAACATGTCTTCAAACTTGGCAATGTCGGCATCGGCCCAGCCTGCATCTGTGTGTTTGATCAATTCAGCTGCCCGGGCCCAAACTGACCCTGCAAAACCTGCCTGCAGTGGCGCGTTGCTGTTTGTATGAGCTTGGAGCGTGTTTGCCCAGGCGTTCATGAATTCAATTGCACGTTTGGAATACGTTGTAGATTTGGTAACGATCCAGGCCAAGCCATTGAGGTATGCGGCCATGGCATCATTTCTCTCTTCTTTGCACCCCACAGACACACTTGAAGAGGAACCCCCGCATTCGACAGTGGCGATGGGTTCAGGAGCAGTCCTTGTGGCTAGACTATGTCTCATCATCGCTGAATAAGCCTCGGACCACTCGGAGGATCCATCGGCAACCCTAGAGGAAATTGCTTGGATCTGATCTGAGTCAAGGAGCACGCCAGGATGCACGAAGGATGCTGTTGATGACGACAGTGGTACCACAGTGCTTATGCTACTCGCTGAATACAAGGTTGCTGACGTAGTTGAGGACGCTGTCAAAGTCGATGTCATAGTTTCAACTTGTTGCGTCTGCCTTCCCAGTCCATGCCTATGCGAAGCTCTAATATTCGGTTGAGCAGTACCCGCAATGGCAAGGAGAAACAAAATAAATGATTGACCCAACATATTGGAAGCCGTGATCAAGCTGGAAGATGCCGAGATGTAGAAAGCCCTCTTGCTCGTGTCAAGAAATTAAGGGAGAAAAGACAGCGGGTGTCTAGATTACTTATAGATATGGATCACTGAGCAGGATTGAAATCCAATTGTTTATTAATTAGAGTTGTAACACTCCCAACTCAACACGATAATTTGGTTCTCATGAATGAATGTTGACTCTAGCTTTAACGCCTGACCCCGCGCGCAAAATGAAGGGGTATGTATGGAGCTTTTGCTTGACATGTCACCAAACTTTCTCAGGGAACCGATATGTAGGAATAAGTGGTCCTGGAAAAGAGAATCAGTGGCAGGCCGGAAGCTCATACTCTTGTAGGCATAGAGTGATGACTGGGGGTCCCGAAATTGCTCACCACTAGTCCTGGGACAGACAATCTTGCGAGCGCAGAGCCGTGAGCACATGTCAGGCTAGTCGATTTCGTGCCTGTAAATTGTTTGTCGAGGTGGGCTTTCGGGGATGATAGTGGGCATGCTTTAAGCGAAGGGGTCTCGCCGGTTTCAGCTTACCTTATTCTTTATGATGTTCTCCTTACCAGCAGCCGTCGCTTCCAAGCTTTCGATAGCAATACGGGGATGTCTCGGGCTGATGGCTAAATGGCACTATTACTCCCTGAACAAGAATTACCACCTACACAACTGGGCAAGGGGGTAAGCTGACTCTGGTCTTTTTTTTGTTATAGAATCATTGATTGATATATATAAACTATCTCATCGTTTTCAAGCCCTTTTAATACTCATACTGCCAAAAACCTATATAGATCTATAATCATAGCATATAATCAATTTGTGAGGTCGCTAGGTCACCCGATGTTAGATGTGTCCGTCTTAGGCCTCGAGTGAAAAAAATGGTATCACATCACAGGGGTGGGGCATTTAACATCGTCAATGTTACACAATTATGGGTTTGCATTTAGCTTGATTCCATCTTCCAGGGTATTTAACTAGCTACATTCCTCGGCCAGTGATGATCTTCACGAGATGAAACACATATTAGTATGGCAAATTACTCGGAGTAGACTTGCATATCCCGTTAACATTCCTGAACTCTACCAGGCGTTTACTACTCACAGTGCTTCCTGTAGCAGCATATATTATCGTAGAAACTCCATCTTGCAGTGCATTACAGGCACTCGCATCCAAGGAAGTGGGCGCACCTAGGCAATGTTGGATCCTGATGGAGTGATTTAGTGATTGAGTGACTGGTTTACTTCCTTAGTTTTAAATGTTTCGGTTAGATACGGTAGGTGCAAGTTATATTCCACGGTGGAAGGAGACCTGCCTGCCCAGAGGACACGATATTTCTTGTGAACCGGCAACAAATCCGCATTCCTTGACCTGATAATTGCTTTACTTCATAACTGCACTCCAATCTAATTATGGCGGGATTCCGAACTTAGCGCTTGGGGTAATGGCTATAAAGATTCACGAGGGCCATAAGCCTAACCCTAGCGGTCGTTCAACGCCGTTAGTTTTGCAGAATAGACCTCATTACTGCCTTGTGCTTTTTTTTTCTTTTTTTTTTTGGCTCTTTAAAAACCCTCACCACAATCTCCAATGAATGCCCCATGCCCTACATGCTCTCCAAGTGAGAGCCGTTGTGGAGTGAATGCTTCATGTGATATACGGGGCGAGCTCATTTCGGACTCGTGCGTTTGCTTTTACGCGCGCCGCCCAGCGGATCCAGAAAATGGTTATCGCGTCTTCGTCGACGCAGCCAATGAATACATCATTATTGTCGCAGAGGGTGTTGACTGTGACGCACAATGTGATAACCGGGAACCCAGTAACCTTTGTGCAGAAGTTCCAGACGTCCCGGGCCAATGTGTCGGAGGATCAAGTACAACTTCTTCATCTATAACATCCACTTTCACGACTTCTTCACCTACGACTCCTTCACCTACGACTTCTTCCTCTACAGCATCTTCATATACAACTTCTTCATCTACAGCGTCTTCATCTACAGCTTCCCCACCTACAACTTCTTCATCTACGACTCCTTCACCTATGACTCCTTCACCTATAACTCCTTCACCTACGACTTCCCCACCTACTTCCTCATCTACAACTTCTTCACCTACAGCGTCCCCACCTATAGCTTCCTCATCTACAACTTCCTCATCTACAACTTCTCCACCTACAACTTCTCTACCTATAACTTCTCTACCTATAACTTCTCTATCTACAACTTCTCCACCTACAACTTCCCCATCTACTGCTTCCACCACTTCTTCATCTATAACCTCTGCATCCACGACTTCTTCACCTTCGACTTCTTTATCTGCAGCGTCTTCACCTACAACTTCTTCACCTACAGCTTCTTCATTTACAACTTCCACCACTTCTACATCTATCACCTCACCCATAACCACTTCGCGTTGTGTAGCAACATCCGCAACGATAAGCACGGTATTGTCATCCTCAATTGAAGCATCAGATATGGCATCTTCATGGGAAATCAGGACATCAACGGGCAGTGTGCCAAGCACGACATCGTGGGATGAAGGGATTGATACCTTCCCCGTCACAGTCGTAGTTTCATCTGACACGCGCTGCCCCATCTCAACTCACCTATCAGCCCTATCGTTGATAACAGGAACGGATTCAATAAAACGATGTGATAGCGGTGCAATTAACTCGCTCGGGACTCATTGTGAGGGGCTATCTAATAGCGGCATCTTCACAACCACTCGTCCTACAAATGTTCTCGCTTACGATAGACCTAATGACACGTCTGATGAAGTTCAAGTCATTGCCCCTCACGTAACAAATTCGGGAAAGGCTCCCAGTAAAGCTCTGAATTCTCTAGTTCCGCCAAGCATTTATTCATCTGCAACTAAACCTATGAATTGCTTTGGCTGCCAATCCTCAAGTCAAGATATGTCTCAGTTTCTACCAGTTATTACAACCATTGCTGTTGGATTCGGATCTAGGCTCCAAATTTATGTTATTAAGCTCCTGATAACACTTGCAGCCATCGTTATCGCAATCTAGCTATAACTTTTAAGAGCAGAATCATCTGGTACATATATAAAGCGCCCCAGGAAGGAGTTAAGAACAGGGAAGCTAATGTCGCCATCACGTCTAGATCTAGAACTCAGGTCCTCAGGCTTATTATCGGAAGTATTACCTTCGAGAGAAGGCACCAAGATGCTGTTGTCCGGCATGATGTGTCGAAAGCTGCGGACGTATCAGTGTAAGTGCTCTGGCCAAGGGGGTACGGAACACAATATCCTGCAGAACATAGATAAGTCAGAAGATGAAGAAGAGTTTATCTTCAGCCACAGACTGACTGACGAGTCCCCACGGGAGAGAATGCGTCGCGTCGTTCTGAAGAAGGTGAAGACTTCTTGGGGCCGGGTCGTTGGGGTGTATGGACAGAAGAATTCGGGGGTTTAATAATGGGAGAGACTCAATGCGAAAAATTCAATGAATGCGGTGAATTCCAGATGGATTTTCCAGGTCATAGCTCGGGATGGCTGTTCAACAACTATTCCTCACAGGGTTGGATGCCAAATAAGACATGGAGTGGGCAGGGTTGATGTCTGTCTTTCAAATGTTCGCGAGAAGGTCATTCTGCAATGCCCCAATATACAGCGGAGAATGTCAAATATTAGTATTGTCAGAATTTCTTTCTCAAAATTTGCTATGGGCATCATGATCTCGTATCATGTTTCAAGAATCGGCTTGAAACAAACTGCGATTAGCCACTCCTCCCAACTGTATCAGAGAACTACACGAAGTTTTTCCGTGCACCCAAGCTTACTAGTTACAATTCACCAAAATAAAGATCAAAAAGAACCCAGAAGATATTTGAAAGTGATTGTTATGGTTTTTTGATGGCTGTTGTCAACATGCAACCCGAAACTCAACCTCCTCTTGTTCACCGTAAAGTAATGTGAGGTCACCAAGCCACTCGAACAAGCATGATCCACACCCGCTCCGGGCTCCAAAGACGTTCAACTCGACAAATTGTGCGTGCCCATTCTCTTCATCGTAGAAGACATCAAATGTCAAGCCTTGTTTCAGCAACATCATGTCAAGCGGCTCAGCAGGCTTTAGCTGTTGCAAGATCTCTTGATGGAGAGCTTGGATCGCATCGTAAATGTCAGACGCCACTCTAGCTTTCTCATCTCGCCACACATCAGAGAACTTCCAGGACTTATGCCACCCATACTGGCTTATGGCGGTGATTTTGGCAGACCCGGGTGCACAAAAAACGCGATATTCTCGCTCACTACACATGCGTTCGTTAAACGGGAGGAAAGTAATGGCCACGTCCGAACAACCGCTTAATAGAGATCTTCTCATATCATTCACCGCTCTTTTTGAAGACGATAACCGTAGAATGATATCCATTGTCGAGAGAAGTAGAGATTGGGGTCACCGTCCTCTGTGGAGTCGACACGTTGCATCCTTTGGCGAACAGCCATCAAGCCGCATGAAAAGCCCTTCTGGCGGATATATCAACGATGCGAAAATTGGACAGACTTCTTCCTGGAGATCTTCTGCCGCGGCACGATTGAGCTGGCCTGTGAGGATTGAGCTTGCAGATGAGTCGACTATTAGCTGCGCCTGGTGCCTAGAAAGGTGAATAATTTGCGCGGCAGAGGAGTCTAGGCCTCGAGACTTCAGAACAAGTGGTAGCCACCTCCGAAATGCGTACGGCTCTTCAGATGGGGCTTCATATCCCTGTGGCAGGCTGTCTGCTGAGTGAAAGCATGTATTGAACCTGGTGGTTTGCCCGTGATCATAGTCCTTCTGAACTAGATCAATGTCGATTTGTGCGAGCCTCATGCCGGGCAGATGGAGGAGCTAAAGAAGAAAGGTAAAAGTCTGATCACTTCAACTGTTACGAACACTTAGTCGCGAACACAAGTAATTGGAAAGGGCTCAAGGAAGGCGCCAACGACTTGATAGTAAGCTAGATTGATGCCACTCTCATGGGGAAAGGGCAGAACCGAATTTTTAGGAATCTCCGAACAACATACATTTAAAATAGTTCAAATCGGAGGCACACTGAACAGTTGTAGGATGAGAGTTCAGCTTTCTAAACTTAACCAAGTGACATGACCCATTTTACTTTGGTTTTCAAGCACAAGCTTTAGGCATCAGTAAACATGCTCGCAATTTCCCTGTCTAGAAAATTCGTAATCCATCATTGGTATAGCAGGAATCATGGAGCTGGCTACGCATCTTCAAAGAGTTTCCCGACAAATCTCCCCGCCTCCAGAATCCTCCTGTCCGCACTCCGGGGTCCCGTCACCGTCAGGCCGATTGGCAGTCCGCTGTTGCCTTCTAATCCAGGTACATTCAAGGCCGGGACGTGCAAGACAGTCCACAAGGTACAGAAAGCCTTTCTTCTCGTTAGCAGCCAGTATTAAAACCTGTCCCCCTTCCTGCGGATACGACTCACCGAGCTCCCCGTCCACTCAAGTCCCACGGGCGCCTCGTCAGGCACACTGGGGGTGAGGACAAAGTCGAATTCTCCGGCGATCTTGTCCCACTGGCTACGAAGCTGACTGACGCAGTCGTAGGCCTCGCAGACAGCTTCACCAGAAGTATGCTCTTTGCTCTCCATATATTTCCTAATGGAAGGGTGCAGCTGCTCCTTTGCTTGGATATATCCTGCTCTGCATGTTAGCTCCATTCAACAACTTCAAGGCTTTGGCCGGAGTAGCATGTTATTTACGTGGAAGGAATGCTGCTCTAGCCTCGGCAGCTACTATCATCTCTCTCCAGGCGTAACACCTGTTAAATACTTTGGGTAGTTCAATATCAATGACGGTTGCCCCTGCCTGCTGGAGGAGCGTATTAGCTTGCTCCCAGGCCCCTCGAGTCCCGGGACCGGCTTTGGGCCACATGGGGGACTTGAGCAAGGCGACCCGGCAAGAGGAAGGCATTAGCGGGGACGGGATATTCCTGGAGCCCGAAGAGATGTGAACTATCTCTGATAGCAGGGATAGGTCGTCTATGTTGCGGGTGTAAAAGCCCAGCGTGTCGCAGGAGATTGAGAATCTACCTACGCCCTCTGTCGACAAGGCACCCCAAGTCGGCTACGCGGGTTGCGCTGGTCAGCAAGTAGATCGAAGAAACGTTTCCCTTGGATGCAAGGGCTGTTGGTTGGAGAGGACTGTGGTCTGCTGACCTTGAGAGCAAACGTGCCTGTGAACGACCCCGGCCTGATCATGCTCCCCCCGGTCTGGGTGCCAACGGCAACAGGAACGTGGCCATCGGCCACTGCGGCTGCAGAGCCGGAAGAAGACCCTCCCGGCGTACGGCTCAGATCTCTGGGGTTCCGGCAAGAACCTCCGCGCGAGGTCGCTGCGAACTCGGTCGTCACCGTCTTGCCGAGAATGATGGCGCCCGCGGATCGTAATATAGAGACGATAGCAGCATCAGCGGGAGCCGGGCCATCATTCTCATGAATAGCAGATCCGTATCGTGTCGGCATGCCTAAATTGGCTGTATCAGTACTTGATGCATTTTTATTTTGCCCTTTTCAGATTTGAGGAAGCCAGCAATTACCTTTCACAGCAACAATATCCTTAATGCCAACAGGAACCCCATGTAACGGTCCTCTCTGCTCAGGGGCCAAGTCATCAAGGGCTTTGGCTTGATTCATGGCCGCCTTGGCATCCAGGAACACCCAGGCTTGAATACGACTATCCCGCTGATTGATGTGCGAAAGAAGGCTGAGAACATAGCGTTGCGCCGTCAAGTGGCCACTCCTCATCAGACCAGAAGCTTCACCGGCGGATAAAGAGGGCAGCTCAGCATCTGTGAGCACCTTGCCTCCTTCATCGTATGCCGGCGTGGGTTGAGGCCGAGGCGGGGACAGGGGCGATGCGGGAAAGCCGCTGCTCACTGGGACGAGGGTTTCAGACGCAAGCATGATGACAATGTGACCGAGAAGACAATACTGAGATAGCTTAAGAGATAGCGGGCGTGCAAACCGACCAAGAACTGGTCCGCAGATAAGAGATGTTCGCAACCTTTGCGTCCAGACTAAGAGTCGGCATAGTGTATGAAAGAGGAAGTCTAACCGACGGGGTGCCACTTGTACGGAGCAAAGAATGAGGAGTAAAACTTGAAGAGTGCTTATATCCACTAATCCCGTTCAAGGCATCTCAGCGACGTTATCATGCGGGACGATTATATATTAGTAATAACGGACGTTGCTCAGTGGTCAGTGATTGTTGTTGGCGAGGCGAGAAAATACAAGCGGACGTGGTATTTTCGTCTCTCTAGGTTACCGGGTACTAGGTATGTGTAGATGGTTCCAGACTAAGGGCAACTTGTATATCAGCGAACGTAAAGCTAGCAATTGGTTACAATACGAGCTGCTCACTCGCTAGACTGGCAATATCTTTGAATCCCAGCCTACGCCCCGTCTGTTTCTGCCTCTCCACAGCACGCTGCAGCACTTTGGCGGCTCTCTGCACATGTAGCCCCCAGCCACGCGCATCCTCCAGGAACCTCATGATCCAGTCCTGATGAACCTCGTCGATGGTCTCGATACCCGCGAGAAATATCGGCAGCACCGAGAATACCGAGTGCGGGTTGTGCAACTTGTTCGCCTTGCGCAGCTGAATCGTGATCTTCAGGATCTTGTAGGCTGCGGACTGGGCCTCATCGTCAGTTCGACAACTTGGGTTGCGCATCCGGCTGAGGAGGATGAGTCCGGATTGAATGGTGACTTTTAGATTGAGCCAGTGGTATGATGTTCGTGTGATGGATATAGAGCCGTTCGAGTCGAACCCTTGAAGAGCAAGATCGCATTCCTACACAGGTTCCACGATCAGTACATGCAGGGGGAACATCGAGTCCTGAAGGAATCTTGAACTCACTCTTTCCAGCTCTATCATGTCGGAGTGAAGCATCTCCAAATCATTACTGAGCCCAGGGGTGCTTTCATCCCCGTCCCGAGCATATTGGAGTATTCTCCCGAGTATAGACATGCCTTCGGCAAACTTCAAATTCACAGGGTCCTGAATCATGTCGTCCCGCAGTTCTAAGCTGGGGTAGCTCTCGCCGAAAGCCTCCTTGAGATACAGTCGGCTCCTGAGGTAGAGCCGAGCCAATGACTCCTGATTCTCGATGATCCAAATGATGGTGTCGGCAGCATGGCCACCTTTGGGAAGAAATATCGACCGTCGGAGGTCCAAGTAGGCCAGCCAGAGAAGCAGCCGCGCGCTGACGCCGGTCAGTTCGCTGCTGAGGAGATTACATCTTCCTTTAATCAACTCCCGTATGCTGTCGAGTCTTGACACAAGGCCTGACATGTTGCCAGTGACGAGATCGCAGTGACTGAGGAAATACGCCGTTGCCAGGACGACACCCAGCTGTTCCTGTCGCCAGTCATTCATGACCACCAGGGATGTAGTGAGGGTGTCCATCTCGGCGGATGCCTGTGCATAATGGGCTAGGTACTCGTCGGAAGAGTTCTGTCCGTCCAGCCCGTTATGGGCTGCTGCCCAGGCGATGATGCCGCTTCGTATTGGTGAGAACGTGTTTGCCTTACTAGAGGCGAGGAAGTGCGAGAAGATATTCCACTGCGCGTTCTTGACACTGAGGGTGCTGGTCATGTATGTTTTGAAGTGGTGAATTGCAGATGGCTCTGTGTCCGATGGGAAGAGGTTCAGGCTCGCAGAGAGAGAATGGGGAATGAATATTTCCTCGAGGCCGTCGTTGGAAGTTTGGCCATGCTCCGATGGGCTTGACGGCGAGTTTGTGCAAAAGTCTCCGTCGTTGCCGAAACTCTGTCGTAGCACAATCTCCATCCCAGGAGATGGGGAGACGTCTGACTCATTTTGAAGCCACGGGAACGCTGATACCTGAGAATCACCTAGTGCGGGGATCGTAAATGGCTCGTGAGAGATAGGGATATCCCCAAGAAGGGGATGGTGATCCAGAGAAGGAGGAAGGGTGTGAGCCTTGGGCTTCTCCCCCGATGGCTCAGACGGCGGCGCCCATCCCCAATTGTAAGGAGTGTCCCATTCAGTAGCGACAGGGCTTGTTGATACTTCTAGATGCATGCCATCTTCGAGCATTGACGTATGGGACGTCACTGGGGATTTGACATGGAACGAGGATAACTGGGGGCTAATTTGGCTGACCAGAGTTGCTGACCTCAGGTTGCTCGAGAAGGGCGAGACACAGTCGAGCCGTAGCCGGAGACATGTCCCACAGGGATTGCCTGGCCCGGGACACTTCACCTTGCGGCGGCGACATGTGAGACATCCTGTGAACGTCCTCGTTCGTTTTCGCCTCAAGGATGGAGCCGAAGATGATGATGATGACATGGGTGACGATGTGAACGATGAGGGTCCCTTGTCGTGCTCGCTGATGCAACATGCAAGGAGAAAGCAGGCGGAGTCGTTCCCGGGCTGGCGGAGAGGATGGATCGCGATCACGGCCGCTAAGCCAGATTCAGGGGCTCTCGGCGACGACCAATCGCGTGTCGAGCAGCGAACCGTCTCCTAATCTTTGGAATAAAGTTTGCTCGGTCTGCGATCCTAAAACAGACATCTTAACGATAGCCCTGGCCTGGAATTAGAACTGGGAGATAGACAGGCGCAGTTCCCGAATTTGTATCGAGTCTGTCATGATATCGGGGTACATATCTGGGGTCATGGAGATGAGGATTCTCGATTTTGTCAAATATTTAAGCTGACCCGAGCGGTTTCAAGACATCTAGAGTCTTTCTGCTCACTACCTTTCCCACGTTACATTACTCTTCCCTCCATCTCCAATCCTACTTCTATACCAGCATCTCATCATGGCCGGTGGACCGAAGAAGCCTGTCAACATCTTCAAGCACTATGCCGCAGATGCTCCCAAGGAGATCTTCAACTGGCGGTTATGGTGCGCCATCGTCCCCTTTGCCCTAATGGGCGCCGCCCGCGGCATTGACGAGGGTCTGATCAACGGTGTCTTCACATCTTCCGCCTTCCAGGACTACCTTGGCATCAAGAACAACGACCCCTCAGAACTGGCCAATATCAAGGGCAATGTCGTCGCCATGGTCAATGTCGGAAGCATTGGGGGTGCTCTTCTGTATGGAAACTTCTGAATCCCCCCCGTAAGAAGAAGATTAGCAGGCTAACGAGCCACAGCGCCTTTCTAATTTGTGACCGCATCGGCCGAGTCTGGGCTACCCGCGTGCTCTGCATATTGTGGTCAATCGGCATCGCCATATTCATGGCCAACAAGGGCCATCTAGGCGCCGTATATGCCGGACGACTTATTGCCGGACTGGGGATCGGCCAGACGACCGTTGTTGCTCCCGTATACATCGCCGAGATCGCCCCGGCGTCTGTACGCGGTGCTTGTACCTGCTTCTTCACTGGAGCCGTCTACGTCGGCGTGATCATTGCGTATGTTGCCAACTACGGAACGTCCAGAAGTATGCCCAACTCCATTGGCCGCTGGGTAAGTCCCCCAACAACATGGTACCATAACAAGAAAGACTCTCTCGTCTCTGACTTTTGACTCCTTCTAGCTCCTCCCCACCTCTGTTCACCTCATGTTTGCATTCATCATCTTTGCCTTGTGCTTCATCTTCACATACGAGTCGCCCCGCTACCTGGTCGCCGCCGGTCAGCGCGACAAAGCCCTCGTCAACCTCTGCAAGATCCGCAACCTACCCCCGAACCACGAGTACATAGAGCGTGAAATGTCCGACATTGAACTCTCCCTCGCTCACGAGAAGGAAGCCACTGCTGGGGTTGGCTTCAGCGGTCTCCTGAAAGAGCTGTTCCTAACTCCGAGCAACTTCTACCGCATCTACATCGGCATTGGCGGCCAGCTTCTGTCTCAGTGGTCCGGCGGGCCCTCCATCACCATCTACGCGTCCAACCTCTTTGCGCTCGTAGGTGTCACCGGCACCGAGCAGAGCCTCCTGTCCACCGTCGTCTTCGGCGTCGTTAAGTTCTGCTCCTCTATGATCTGCGCCCTCTTCCTCGTTGACATCATTGGCCGCAAGCGGTCGCTCCTCATCGGCATCGCCCTACAGACCGTGTCCATGGCCTACGTGGCCGCTTTCCTCACCAAAGTCCCTCGCATCGCAGAGGCTGGTTACGACCCGTCCCCCTCTGAAGCCCGTGCCGGCACCGGCGCCATTGCCTTCATCTACATCTCCGGAGTTGGCTGGGCGCTCGGCTGGAACAGCATGCAGTACCTCCTCACAGCAGAGCTCTTCCCTCTGCGCATCCGTGCCCTGTCGTCCTCTCTGGTGATGTGCACCCACTTCGCCAACGCCTACGGCAACAGCCGCGCGGTCCCCAACATGCTCCTCCCGATTGCGCAAGGTGGGTTGGGTCCGGCCGGGACATTCTGGCTGTTTGCAGCCATCACCATTTTGGGCGGGTTCTGGGTCTGGGTGACGATTCCTGAGACGGCGGGACGGTCGCTGGAGACCATGGACAGAGTCTTTGGTCTCCCATGGTACCGGATTGGCCTCTTTGGAACTCGTGAGGCTGAGCGTATCGATTCTCTGGAAGCGATGGAGGATGAGAAGGTCGTCGTGGCTAAGCACGTTGAAGAGAAACGTGACGCGAGTGCTGCAAGCCAATAGAGCTAAGAGAATCCCGTAGCGAGTTCATTGAGCTTAAGTACACCAATGCTCCTAACATATTTGCCCATCTAGTAGGAGGGAAACCAGGTTCCAATCTATCATCAGTACTTTACTGATATTAGAGAAGTATAAAGCATACAGATAAAAGGTATAATAAACAGAGAATATTATACTATATAAAAAAAGTAAAGAGCGATGTATAGCCAAGGGCTCAAAGAAACTCTTAATATCTATATAACTAAATGGAACATATATTTCTAATTCATCTATACCAAAAGAAAAACTTTGCTTTTCGTCGAGACGTGCTGAGCTATGAAATTCGGTACACATCAACTACCGAGGCATTCTATTCTATGAACTGATCGACGTTTTATTCTTTTCCCTCTCCTGCCTCCATGATTGTCCCCATCTCCACTCAATCCAAATAAGAGGGGAACACACCATGACCACCCCAGCCAAAATCAAGAACGAGTTTCGCAGCTTAAGTGCGTCAATCATGGGTTGGATGGCACTAACGCCAGCCGCGCCCAGAAGACAACGGCAGAGGTTGTTGAGGGCAGTTGCACTTGCCGATCTGTCGGGAAAGCAATCAATCAACATGGTGGAGTTGACGTTGAAGATCGCCGTGGACGTGAAAGCGATGAAGAATTGCAGGATGAGGGGGGCGGCAAGGTTAGAAGATTGAAAGCGACGAATGTCGTTCAATTCAAAGCTGGGTCCATACAAAGCCATTGAAATTACAAATGCGATGCTGAAATATGGTACCATGGGGAGCCGCGCACGCTCAAAGGGGAATTCTCTATCCTTCTTGATGTTGACTGTGCTGACTCGTCGTTCTTTCTTATACTGTTCCTCAACGCTCTTGAAACTCCGATCCAACAGTCTTCCTGTAGAAAGAGACCCCAGGACACATCCTAAACCATTAGGTAGGAAGCAGAGGCCGATCTGCCATTGAGTCAGGAATGGATACCCTCTTAGCAAAGCCGTTGTCGTTGAGGATGTCACCATACTCCATGCCGTGTAGACAATAGCGCCCCAGGATAACAATGCGGCAATGTCTTTCTGAAAGATGTATCCTAGCGGGGCGAAGATCTCCTTGAGAGAAAGGGGTGCTTTGGAGGGCTGAAGTGTCAGTTGACTCGCCGTAGCCCATTCTTTGGGTGGCTGAATCCAATAGGCGAGAGGCTTCTTGAATCCAGAAAGGGGAATGCTCCCATTTCCAGCTACAGTCCGTTGCGTCTCAGGTAGGAAGACCAACAGACCGAGAAGTACGGAAATACTCATGCTAAAGAGGAGCCAAAAGATGCTTCGGAAACCCCAAGCACTATTGAGCACACCGCCAATGATAGGTCCGATTGCCTGCCCAGTCATCCTGGATATGTCTTGTTAGCGCATGCATGGAGCCACGGCTTGAACACAGGTCATAAAGTAAACATCGGTGTAAATCTCACCTAATTCCTGCATTCGTTCCCATGAAGCCACCACGCTCATTCGGATCTGCAATATCGGAAATTACGCCAGCACTGATACTGATCGTGGCAGCAGACCCTGCAGCTTGCAGACCCCGAAGTACCATGAGCATAGCATAATTGGATGTGAATGCCAGGGCCAGGTTGGAGGCTGTGTACACGCTCAGTGTCAACACAAAGGCTAAACGCCGACCGCCAGTGTCCGAGACGGCACCGAAAATGGAGGGGGCGATGCCCTGGACAACCATGTACACAGTGATGGTCAATGCCACCAAGGACGCACTGACACCAAGTTCCGTAGCGATGGTATCGACGGCAGGGAAGTAGATGTTAGACGAAAGAGGAGAGAAGGATCCAGCTAGAGATACGAGGTAGACCAAGTTCCATTTTTGGCGTCTTGTGAAAATATGATAAGGGGGGCGCTCCGAGTTGGCACGAGAAGGCGGGAGCTGGGTTAAAAGGACAGCATCCCGCTCCTCATCAGAGAAGTACTCTGTGCCATTGCCAACAGTTATACTACTAGCAGCAGCAGAGGGTACAGTCGAAATTGATTGCGGTGGATAGCTGCCAGCCTTCGGCAAAGGGGTGAAGTTGGCGCCCATGTTCCAATAATGACTTGGAAACTCTAATTGATCTTTTCTTACTTATGGTATCCTTTAGTTAAAGAAAAAGGTCCTTTTAGCACAGGGACTTCCACTTCCCTTATATACGAAAAAAGCAGTACCATTGTCTCATGGTCAAACGTATCAACCTTAGTCTCTCACCCTGAGTGACACGACAGCTTCATCGTAAACTGCGAAGAAACGTCAGAAACAGGGATATACATCCGGCATGTGGTATCAAGTGCCGGGAGGGTTGTATCCGCGGCGGGCGAGGCGCAGGGGCCCGACGCGTAAGAAGCCGATCGCCGCTTTGCATCTAGCACCCGACAGACCAACGAGAAGCGAGAACGACAGCCACACTCTGTATCTCTGGCGCGTATGAAACATGGATAGGTAACATTCGCTTCTTCAAATCTTCCAGTCACCCTGCAGGCCCTTTGCGCATGATGTGGGTCAAAAGTGAGGCTCAGTCCAGACCAACCACATTAGCATACGACGACACAACCCGATGATTCATTTTGTGTTTGGCGTGTCCATATATCAAGCTCTCTAAGCATAACTCTTCACAGGGATTCTCTTACCTTTTCATACGACACTTCGGCGATATACACTGATAATACCCACTCCAGTCAAGACTTGACGTAGGAGACTAGTGCTCAAAATTACGTCAAATAATTTTTCGATCGCTACACCAGATCCATCGCCCCTTCGTGAAGCATTTCGCATTTTGTGAGGAACTTTTTGCTTCTATACGGATAGTGGCTATAGAGGGTTCCTAAGCTCAGATGTAGAAGCTGTCATTTGCGTAACCCAACGGCATCGTGCAGAAGAAGGCGAGGCGAGGAAGGTCCCATCACTGGGAATAATGCCAAAGATAACAGCGTAGCATTCCGTCTCAAGAAACATTCTCGAATACTTCTAGCTACATAGAGGCTTTCGTGGAAAATCTTCCATTCACAACTCACATACCTACCATTACGAGTTAGCATGGCATAAGCGTCGAAGCTCATAAGGGGAAATCTCCACCATCATAAGAAGGACATTATTAGGGGAAAAGCAAAAACCAAAGGTAAAACAGATGCCCAACGCACTGGCCCCTCGAGATGTCTGGGTCTGGGGACAATTGCGTTGCTGGGGCTGTGCTTGGTCGCGTAGAAGAACGGGAGAGAATGTCAGGCAAATGAATTGTCGTTTCAACAACGATGCATCCTCATCATGGTGTAGAAATCCTCTTGAATATCGACAGGTATTTACTGTCTAACCTACCTACCTCTTCTCACCAGGTGATGATGTTTCATTGCTTTACACGTTATTTCAAGAAGAAGCGGTCATGGTTACTCTCATGTGTTTCGAGCAAAGTTACGGTGGTCACTCCAATCAGTGATCCACCACGGGAGGCCAGCCGGACTATCATCAGAGATCGTGATCCTCGTTGGCGAGCGGGAGGAAGAGGAACGTGCCACGTACAGCCAATCGAATCCTGGTGAGCGTATGCTGCTGGTTAATCTACCTGGACTAGACCATGGGAAATGGTCCAGGCCGACGTTTTGTGGGACAAGGGGTAGGGGAGACAGGGATTTGATGTATTGTCAGAGAGACAAGTTCAGTGAAGGCTAAGCACTCAAATTGATCCGCAGACTTGCTCGGCCGAGCAAGGCTTCTCGCCGCGTGTCATGTCGAGGGTTGCTTGTAGCTGGGTTGGGAGCTGGGAGCACATCGTTCCTTGATAAGAGTGGTCTTACAGACGCTTGTACATGCTCACAGGGATGTGGTAACTAACACAAGTCGTAATTATCGTCATTCGATTGGCTGGCTGGTCTTGTCCGTTTATGATCATCCACATTCTCCACACCAGGGCCGTGCTCAGGCTCGGAGCTCCGATTTTGACACCGAGCCACAGCGTTTCAGGGTCAAACTGATCTCCCAAGGCCTGCGATTGGATCCTTTGTTGTATGTGGTATTAATCACGGAGATTGGCCCTTAGGTTATACAAACAGTTCCCACACGCTTACAGCAAAAAAGGTAGAGGGTTCTTGTGGAGTGGTGTGAGACTGGACTGTGCCAACGTCAAATGTGGAAAGGCTAGAAAGGTCTGGTGTATTATTAGTCAACACCCCAGCCTCAGGCGGGTAAGCCTACCCTATATCTCAGGATATCTCAGAATATCTCGCCTGAAACAAGAAACATCGTACATATCAAATATATCAAACATCTCTAAAAGTTAATCTGATTGATTTGCGAAGTACTCCCGCTTGATCTGTTACTGATTTCATTCGTTTGGCATGACGGTTTGACTGAAATTGTGGTGATAATTCCGATAACTACCTAGATAACTGATGTTGTACACCCCGGTCTAAGAAGTACTCGACATAACACTTGGAACGAAACACTCTCTCTATCAACAAGCTGTCAGAATAAAATACGGCGCGCCCCGGAAGAGTGAAGACGAATAGACGCTGCGTTTCTACTAGCTTGCAATTGACTAACTACCTAGCTATTGCTATGAGATCTCTCTCTAATCGACAAGTTGGCTCTTGAACTTCCCAAATCCCTCAATCCGTCGCGTTGTTTATTTTTGTGGTGGCTTCGCGTTCCGGACCCATTTATCTACGCGCTCTCATTGGCCAATCTCTTTTTTGGCCTTGACACAGGCTGACGCTGTCTCTTGGGCTCCTTATGAGGAGGTGCCAATTTAGTTACTTCATTCACTTAGAAAGTCGGGTTCAATGGCCTGTTTATAGCATACTTGCCTCTTTTTGATTCCATCAATTCGCAAGGGGTTGACCGGGTACGACAATGCATACACGGCACCCTGTCGGCGGCGTCACATTTGACCCCCGACCCGTCCAGTGTGACAAGCCCTGCAGGCAACCCGAGTTCGACTGGTCGAATTTGTGACATCGGTGTCCTTCTCCATGGCTGAGAGTTGCTTGTTCTTGGCTTTGATACTTGGAACCCGCCAGCCGGGTAGGAGTTTGTTTCTGCTTCGCAAGACGGCGAGGGATTTTAACGAATGCTGAGTAAGTAATTATGGCAGCTCGGCGACTTGACGTCAAGATACCTCGGCCTTTTTCAGACGCCATTCGAAAACTCTATTTTACCCCCGTGGTAATCTCCCGACCGGACCTACATTTGAAATGCGACATCACGTCAGCGACTTCGGTCAGACCAGTAACCTCACTGGCAGACAGATACTACGTTCCCTTAGTGAAGCAGGGCTCAGCCAGTACTTGTAAGTACAGACGGGGTCATGCACAGTCTCGGTACATGCCCCTTTACATATTATTGCCAATTACTTCTTCTTCTTCATCCACAATGCCTCTATCCCCCGACACGACATCAGCTATGCAGGAGCTGGCGCAACAATACTCCCTGTCTGCTCGAGGCGCTCAGGGGGTATTTGATCGAGACATTTGGGGGCCTCGCGAAGAATCGATGGGAAATCCCTGGTCCCAAACGAACCCTGAAGGAACGTAAGTGGTCATCTATTTACTTCATGGTCCCCTGACTGAACATGCTAGAATCATCCTCCGCCTGGCTGAGAATAGCCTCATGCACGATGAGGTTTCAGCATTTATCAAACAGCAGGTTGGAATCTTTCTACTGTCGCAGGATGTCCCACCCTAACATGTATAGATGTCTGTTCTCCCCGTCAATCACTTAACCTACAGCACTGGCCCCAGAGGATCTCGTCGTCTTCGCTCTACGGTGGCGAAGTTCTTCGAGGAGGAATTTGGGGCTCGTGAGCCCATGAGCGTTGACAACATTTCCATTACGCCGGGCCTGGCCAGCGCAATAGATTCGTTGAGTTGGGCCATATGTGACGAAGGGGACGCAATCCTCATTCCACAACCGCTCTACAACGGTTTCAACTTCGACCTATTGAATCGTAGTAGTGTCCGGATCGTCGGAGTACCGTACAGTGGAATTAAGGGGTTTTCAGGACTTGACGACCTCTTCAACGCCGAAGTAAACAAGATAGCGATAGAAGCAGCACTTCAGAAAGCATCTCGAGATGGAGTCCGAGTCAAAGCCCTCCTGATCTCCCAGTAAGCCAAATTTGCCGAGATAGAAAGCGATGGTACTGACGTTTTCTAGCCCTCACAACCCTTTAGGGCGATGCTACGTTGGTTTCTTCTTTACTCGCTGGTCTACCAGAGCTAATCCCGGCAACAGCCAGTCGAGACTTTGATTGCATTCGCCTCAATCTGTAGTCAACATGGTCTACACTTCATTTCTGACGAAATTTATGGAAAGTCGGTCTTTCAAAACCCGGCAATTCCGGACGCCACTCCCTTTGTGTCTACGTTATCACTCGATCTTCAAGGTATCATTGACCAAACCCGGCATCATGTACTATATGGTGCAAGTAAGGATTTCTGCGCCAATGGACTCCGTCTAGGAGTTGTGTGTACCCGAAATAAGGGAATCATAGGAGCTATATCTAGCATCAGGTGCGTATGACCCAATACATCAATGAAGGTTGGCGTATCTGACGGGACTTGGGATTAGCATGTTCTCTTGGTCTCCACATCTCATTCAGGACATGTGGGCGGCCATGCTTGAAGACCGCATATGGCTCGAACGCTTCATAGAGACCAAATTAACGCTCATGAGGGAGAATTATGAGATAGCAACATCATTCTGTCATGACCACGGCATCCCCTTTTACGAAGCGTAAGTAGCACGAAAACCTCACCATTCATGAGCTAACAAACGAAAGCAACACGGGCCTATTCTTATGGCTAGATCTCCGGCATCTGCTCCTATCACACGCAACATCCAAGGAGGATGGGAATAATGTGTTAGCCACAAAGTCCCCTAATTCGAAGGTGCTTCAAGAGCGCGAGACTGAAATAATAGATCTGTGCCTAAAAAAAGGCGTTATGATAGCACCAGGTCATGTTTACATGCCGGAGGAGTATGGTTGGTTTAGAATGACTTTTACTGTGAAAAAGGATGCATTGCGAGAAGGTTTAGCTAGATTGTGGAGGTCTTTGCAAGAAGCCGGTGCCTAGACGGCTAGTCCCAGCATCTAGTAGAACTCGACTCACGGTATATCCGCAAAGAAGAGACGGTCTCAGCATTGAACCGTCATTGAAAATATTCATCTCTAATGCTTCTTTAACACACTGCGCTGATTAAAGCCAACTAGTGGCATACCAAGTAGGTCGGACTAGACTTCACCATTCAGAGCACATTGCTTTCCATTCCTCATATTTTTCGGGTTTAGCATTGCAATGCTACTCTCCACTCCTCTTAAGTAAGCTTACCAACAGCAGAAGTTTCTTGGACTTGGCAGGAGATGTATATTTATTACCCTGTTTTACGACCTTGGTTGCGCTAGATCCCAACAGCCAACTGATGACCTATCCTTTGCCAAGTAATATGCATTTTTGAGCATCTAATCTTTCAAAGTTGATCATCGCAAGATTTTCTCAGTTCCCAGATTATACACCAGACTAGTTACACTACCCACGAGTAAACGTGACATCCTCATCTTCTGGTTATAACGTATCTAAATCATACGTTACTAAAACAGCGTTAGCTGGCGTAGGATTCAACAGAGAATATTGCCGAATGACAAGAGCTGTACTGTTCCCCCGCATACGAGAGTTATAACTCCCATCACGCTGCAGAGAGTCGTGAGATTTTCTTTACTGGAGGTAGAGAAAGCGCAGAGTAGGGCACCAGCCACTCCTGCTACTCCCCAGGCCATCAAAACCGAGCCGTAGCTACGCGCAAAGGCGGCAGGTTGTGAGTGATGACGTTTGATGAGGCCAGGTAATATCCCGAAACCCATGCCGTGTGCGAAGAGAATAGAAACGAGAGTGATCGTAGCTTGTAGACCGCTCGGGTACTGTGCCAGCCTCAGAAGCATAGCTCCGCGGAGGGTGAATAGCACAAAGAAACTGGCTCGCGCACCGAGCCACCCCTGCAATGGCTGTGCAAGCACGCCGCCGAGTGCAAGAGCAACCAGGAGGAGTGGCAAATTTAGTGCGGTATCCTGATGATCGGGCTCACTGTATAGGTTTGCCAGTGGCAGTATCCCAGCAAAAGCCGTCATGCCTGGTAGAGCATTGAAGAAAAGCAATGTTCGGAATGCTCTTCTTGGGATAGCTACATTTTGTTCTGAGTCTGGTGATCCCGTAACTTGGGCGCGGTCGCTGGGCAACGCAATCATCGTACAAAGGGCAACTAAAAGGGAGATGTAGCCTGGTAGACGAACAAGGTGCCCGAGACTTTGCTGGTCCATCGAACTGAAAGAGAAGTACGAGCATGAACGTATGCACGCTCCCGCACCAGCAGAAAATCCCAAGGGACCGATGGCGCTTCTTGCCAGCGGTCGGTGCGGAAATCCCTGTCCGACCAGGACGATGACTGAGAGATAGGTGTAGCCCACTCCGATTCCTCCAGCCGCAACGGCGATCAATATGCCTACGAAGTTCGACATGGCTAGTGCATGTCCGGTGCCTATCAGTGTCAGACCCCAGATTGCAGTTCCACTGGCAGCTGTAGCACGAGCACCCAAGGTCGATAGTACAGACGCGCATGTGCCTAGCCCGAAGGAGAGTCCGAAGCAAGCTGAAGCGAAGGGCGCAAATGATGACTGCTGAGACATGCCCAGGAGCCTGGGAATTTCCGATTGTATGGTGCTGAGGGCGTACGCACCGCCGACACAAAACATGTTTGCGTAGCTCGCTAGTGCTACGGTCGATGAACGAGCCGCTGGATGATATGAAGAATGTGATGCTTCTGTCATCGTGCTGGTGTCGGTGAATGCAATCACGATTGGAAAACCCCTCTGCTGCTAGTTCTTCTGGGAGACACTGTTCGTAATGAACGGCATATGATCTGAGGCCACAGTATTCTGCAGAATATTCGAAGCTGAATGGAATCGAACACCTCCAGAATTGAATCGAGCTCACGATTTATCTAGTGCTTCGTGACAATGACGGCAATGAAAGAGGTAGTGCTCACATTGGACGCTCCCCACTCCAACTCGGGAATCCATAACAGTGGATTATGTCACTGGGACGGACGCCTTGCCGCTTGGCGGGAGTCATTCCGCCTGGAAGCCAAAAGTACGCTCCGCTGACAAGCACACTGATCCATGTCGAGTAGGCCCTAGAGCCGTTGCAGGTCGTATATCTGATCGGAACTGAGGCGTGGACGGAGCTCCGCAACAGCCGCTCACGCCGGCGGTAATAAGTAAACTTGCCGCTGCCTATCTCTTCAGAGTTTTAACGCGACAGGTTGTTAGCATCAGCGGAATGAGAGCCGCCAGTAAAAGAAGGGTAACATGGTGAGTCCTCTTGCTACTAATTCTTGGTCCGCCCGAAATCTACTTGCCCAAGCATTGTGTATGAAGCTCTACTGTTCATAACTCTGTGCTGCGGCGTCAATACTCGTCGGATCTATTGAGACGCACACTGGGCGATTTTCAATATACCACTGATTTGACAATGTCATGGCTAGATTTGCTAGGCCTCGTTGAGCTCCGCATAGATCGGATAATACCTAGTTCATAAGATTATGTATAACATCTCGTCCTCCTTGGATGCTCCAGGTGCGCAGTCGGTCAGCAACTAAGCGTTGACCAGAAGGCCAAAGTCATGGTCTGGAGGCCGCTGGGGAAGGTGAATAAGCTCAATACTGAGCGACCCAGCGTAGGACATAACAAGCCTCGATCGAGGCCCATGGTCCCCGAGCTTATTATTACCTGAAGTGGAGGAGAAAGAGACTAGGAAAGTTATATCAGTTGCGCGAACGTCATGCTGAAGAATCTTCGGGGCCATCCTTCTACGTCTAGCGTCGTGGCAGTCGTGACAGCGGGAGAGGCGGAAGCACTTCCCGCCAACTGAAAGTTGCGAGTCATTTCCAAGGCCCAACCATCCCCAGGGTCTTATCTCCTCCCCCGCTTCAGCCCCAGTCTCCTTTGATTCACGGGAATCGTATCTGTGGAGAGAAGGTCACCTCCTTCGATGAGTGAAGTACGGCATCTTGCTTAAATTCAAGGCGTTTGCCTCGATGTTCAAGCAATATGCCATCTGCTGTTCTAGATTCTTCCGCCGCCATTCGCATCGTCTATAGTCCAATAGTCGCCTAACATGCCGCCTTCCACTCGTCTCGCAGGCTCTCTTGCCAGTTTGAAGCTGAATTGGACTACAGCCCTCGTCGTGTCTGTCTGCGTTGTGGACTCCGTGACGATCGCGTACGATGGGTCTCTGATGGGCTCCCTCAATGTCATGGAGACCTATCACAACTACTTCCAACTTACGACTACTACTACGGCTATCAACACCTGTGCAACATTTCTGGGTGCCATCTTGGTCGGGCCGTTTACCGGCATCTTGATCGACAGGAAGGGCAGAAAGAGTGGCTTATGGGCAGCTGTCGCCATAAACATTCTCGGGGCCGTCCTGGCCGGCTCCGCCATTAACGTCGCCATGTTCATAGCTGCCCGCATTATCATCGGTGTCGGTGTAGGCTTGGGGCAGACGGCCGCAAGTACATACGTTGCTGAGACGACGGCTCCGAGCATCCGATCCTTTGCTCTTGGCCTCTACTTTTCCTGCTGGGCGGTTGGCGCACTGCTTGCTGCGGGAGTATCGTACGGGGTAGGTGATGTTGCTCGTATCAACCCTGATTTCTTTCCAGGGATAGCTAACATTTAATAGTGTTCAACACTCGAGCCCTCGAACGAATCCTGGCGAATCCCATCATACTTACAGGGAGCCATGCCACTTCTCATAGTTCCACTTCTGTACTATATCCCCGAATCGCCTCGCTGGCTGGCGTTCCGCGATCGCCGGGAAGAAGCGTTGGCAATCATTTCGAGAATTAGCGGCAAGCCCGAGGATGATGAAGATGTACAACTGCAGTTCCAGGAGATTGTTACATCGCTCAATCACGAAAAGGCCCAGTCCATGAGCCTCAAAGCCATTATACGCAAGCCAAACAGAAGACGCTTGCTTCTCGCGCTATCTGTCGCGCCCCTTGCCATGCTCACAGGATCTAATGTTATCACGTAAGTCAAACCTCGAGCGTCAGTCAACTTTGATGCTTACTTGCGGTCAACAGGTACTACTTCGGAAGCATGTTGACACAGGCCGGCATTGGAAACCCTACGACGCAGCTTCAAATCAATGTAGTTCTTTCTTCGTGGCAACTTGTAGTGGCCATCACCGGCTCCAGCCTCGCAGAGAAGCTTGGCCGTCGTTTCCTGGCCCTTTTCAGCCTCGGGACATGCTCTGCGTTCTTCTACATCCTCGCGGGATTGACGGCCAAGTATGGAACTGCCGGGGACAAAGCAGGCACGTATGGCACAGTGGCTTGCATCTTCCTCTTCCTTGGAGCATACTCATTCGGCATTACCCCTCTCACGGCCATGTATGCCCCTGAGGTCCTGTCGTACAACATGCGCGCCAATGGAATCGCGATGCAGGGCATTCTCATCAAGTCGTGTGGAGTCTTGGTCACCCTCGCTTTTCCATACATGCTCGAAAGCCTCGGCTGGAAGTCGTATGTTATCAACGCTTCATGGAACATTCTTCTGTGGCTGTACATTTGGTTTCAGTGAGTGGAAACTAAGGGACTCACACTGGAAGAAGTAGACAGAATTTTTGATGGCGAGGTGCTTGTTGGAGAGTCTGTGGAATCTGCTGAGAAAGGAGAGGTGGTTATGCCAGAGGTCAAGGAGATATGACGGGAAACATCACTGGCGATTGACAAATGTCGCCTCTTCAGGGCCTAGTTTCTCTGTGTTGCTCAGCTGCTTAGTAACTGTTTAATCGTCGATAATTAAAAGTTGGTGCCCAGCATTGGAAGCCTCCTTTGAAGCGATGTCTTATCTTCAGTTCCAAGTCGCAAATCATTTTACACATAATCTGAGTGGTGCTAAGAGGACAAAGCTCCGATAGCTCAACCAGCCAGAGATGCAAGAAGACGAAAGGGACCTACACGATATCTAACTAGTCCTTCTTGGCTCTAAAAAGCTGCACCCGCACACTTGGTTAGTCGAGGTGGTTTGCAGGGCTCTCCATCATAGTGCCATTGTCACCTGTTTACTCCACGTACGTTCGTCTACGGCACCCACTGACAAGGTAATGTGCACAGCTCGCGGTATCTTTAACGTACACTACTCCACGTCCGTCATGTCTTCAATGCCCATGTTAGATCAGGTTGGCCATCCCTGTTGCTGGGGATTGCGGGCGGAGTGTTTGCCGCTCATCTCCACACAGTCCAAGGCGGCGCTTTGGAGTGCGCTCTCCGCTGGCGGGAATTACACGAGTCACTGCCGCCTTGCAAAAATCCCATCCACTCCATTCCGGAAACCGGAAATGATGTGTCTGTGATCTTAGGGAGGTGGCGTAGAGAGCCTCGGTAACTGTTCCATCCGAGAATCCTAGAGATTCTTAAGAGGCCTCTATAGGCCGACGGCCTGCAGGCCAGCCTGTGATAAGGCAGCTCTCAATTTTCAAACAGTAAATCTTGAAACTCTCTTTGACTATGGCACCTCACGCGACAGAAGAAACCAGTTCGGGTCATCTTATTGAGAATTCCATAAGTCCCAATCAATCTACCATTGCCCAATTGATCGATGCCCTCTCTCTGGACGAGAAATGCAATCTGCTCTCGGGTGCGAATATGTGGGAAACGCACACCATTCCACGCCTCGGAATCCAATCCCTCAAGACGACGGACGGGCCCGCTGGGGTGAGGGGTTCAAGGTGGACGGATGGGACGCACACAACGCAGATCCCCTGTGGAATCTCGCTTGGTGCAACGTTCAACCCAGAGGTTGTCCGCCGTGTCGGGAAGATCTTGGGTTCAGAGACCAAGAGAAAGAGAGCGCACGTGCTTCTGGCGCCCACCATGAATATATCCAGATCTCCATTTGGTGGCCGCAACTTCGAGAACTTTGGCGAAGACCCCTTTTTGACTGGTACTTTGGCGAGCGCATACATTGACGGCGTCCAAAGCGAAGGTGTGGGCGCTTGTATGAAACACTATGTCGCCAACGACCAAGAAACAAGGAGATTCAACATGGATGAGAAGATCGACGAGCGTACTCTTCGGGAAATCTACCTGAAGCCCTTTCACATGGCACTGTCTGTGAATCCATGGACAGCGATGACGGCATACCCCAAGGTCAACGGGGAGCACGTGGACATGAGCCAACATCTGGTGAAAAACATCCTTCGCGAGGAATGGGGTTACAATAACCTGGCGATGAGCGACTGGGGAGGTCTCAACGATACGGTCAAGAGCATCTTGGCCACTACGGACCTGGAGATGCCCGGACCACCCTTGAGATACGGACGAGCTCTAAAAGACGCAGTTATTAATGGTGACGTATCAGAGAAGTGCCACATCAACCCCTCGGTGGAGCGTTTGCTGAAGCTTCTAGCCAAGGCAGGGAGGCTGCAGGGTCCTGGAGCTGCCGTCACCGAAGACCATTCAAGCGAAGCTACCAGGTGTGAAGAAGACGAGGAAGAGTTTGACGATCCAAAGACCCGCCAAACAGTCAGGGAAGCTGCGGGAGAGGGCATCGTTCTTCTCAAAAACGACTCCGGCGCACTGCCTCTAGCACCAGCCAGTTTGAAGAAGCTTGCCATCATTGGGCCGAACGCCAAATATCCGACCACTGGCGGGACGGGGAGTGCCATCGTGAATCCATACTATGTCACCAACCCTTACCAGTCTATCAAAGATGCTTCCAAAAGCATAAATCCTGACTTGGAAGTGCTCTACGAGCGAGGCATCCTCACTCATTTGCAGCCCCCCCTTTTGGGCGACTGCCTGGTAGCCCCCGACACCAAGCAGCCAGGGATGCAGGTCGACTTTTTCGACAGCGATAGATTCGAGGGCCCTGTCGTTGCCACGACAAACTGGCACGATTCTCTCGTGTACTTTATGAGCGACGGGGACGTTCCGCTTTCTCTTCGGGGCACCCGGTATACCTACAGAGCAACGGGCATTCTCCGGCCTAGTGTTACTGGCACATACGATTTCAGCTTCTCGAGTACGGGCAAAGCCAAACTTTTCATTGACGGAGACCTGGCCATCGACAACACAGAGTGGACGCAAATCAGTGGAAACTTCATGAATTGCGGCAGCGTTGAGCAGTTTGCAAGCCGCGAGCTCGAAGCTGGCAAGTCGTACGTCGTGTCTGTGGACAACTTGGTCGTCCCGCCCCCTACTCCCGCCCACGACAATACTCTCTTCCATAAAATATCCGGCGTCCGCATAGGGATGCTCTACCGACATGATACGGACGCCATGTTCAGAAACGCGGTTACGGCAGCAAGCGTTGCTGACGCGGCCATAGTTGTGGTAGGACACAACAACGATACGGAACGCGAGGGGTCAGATCGCACGTCGCTTGCCCTCCCGGGGCGTACTGATGAACTGATTCGGGCAGTCTGCGCCGTCAACAAATACGTCGTCGTCGTCACACAGTCAGCGTGTGCCATTTCCATGCCTTGGGCGGCGGAGCCCGCCGCCATCGTTCACGCGTGGTACCAGGGACAAGAGTGCGGAAACGCAATAGCCGACGTAATTCTAGGCGCCGTGAATCCTTCGGGGAAGCTACCTGTGTCATTTCCAAACCGCATAGAGGATCACGGCTCATATGAGTGGTTCCCGGGCGACGCGGCGTCAGATCAAGCACACTATGCTGAAGGCGTGTTGGTGGGATACCGGTGGTTTGATGCCAAGGGCCTGGAGCCTCTGTGGCCCTTCGGATTTGGCTTGAGTTACACATCCTTTGCGATCTCGAATATATCGATCCAAGGCTGTATTGATGCTAGTGGCTCTGGAACGATTCTTATCACAATGACGGTCATGAACGTCGGCAGGGTACAAGGAAGCGAAGTCATTCAGGTGTACACTTCCCCCTCGCCTGTTTTGAAAGAGCTCGGCCTATCAGCATCCCCAAAGTCCCTGGCTTCCTTTATCAAGATCGGCCTTGATGCGGGAGAGTCCAGACAGGTACAAATTCCGGTGCAAGGAGACTCTTTCGCCTGGTATGCTGCCGAAGATGGTGGCACGGGCAGACGGGGATGGAGGGTGGATCCTGGCGTGTACAGTTGTTTCATTGGCACGAGCTCCCGCCACATTGTGTCGGAGGTGAGCATCTTGATAGGGTGATGATCTAGGCTATTTGAGCATTCTATACTTTGCCTTCACAGCATACACAATACAGAGCATCGCCTCAATGCTAGATCCATGAGCTGTCCAATTCTCAAAGATTAAGATAGTGTCGTCCTGTAGCTGTGCTATTCCATCTATCAACCCAGACAGCTCGGGGCAGAGCGAAGCCTTTGTTAACAGCAGAATGCATGCCAGTGCACTTCAGTGGCCAGTGTTAGCATTCACATCACACCTAGGCAGAAGATATTGCAAACCTACGAGTGGAGGAAGATTTCCAGGGAGGCGGAAGGCTGCCTTAAACGCACTATAACAGTTTTGATATACTGCTGACAATGGGTTAGGCACTCGCTTGCATTAGAGAGTGTCTGCTGTGGGATCGCCTGCCCCAGAGAAGACAAGTGAAATGCACGTAGTAAGAAGGGCCGGAAGATGATATCTCCTGCAGCGTGGTAGCGCATCTTTAGCACGGCTTGCTCAATCGTCATATTCTCGAGAACAGCAGGCGGCTTGATAGACTCCGGTAGAAGCGTGAACCATTCACGCAGCTGGTGTGCTAGCTCATAAGAGATGCGAAAGGAAGGGCCGCTGCCTTCGAGGGATTCTCTTGGCAGGGTCTTCTTGCGAGATTGGTCGTACAGTGCATTGTGGATGCGGTTTAGCAGTTTGCGAGAAGAGATGTTCGCTAGCCAAGACAGCATGTGAGGATCTGCAGGAGTCCCACAATCTGGGAAAGGCATATCTTCTACAACTTGCTCCACCCCGCTCCTTGGTAAATGGTGCTCAGCTAGCGTATCACTATATTGAGGCCGTCTGTGAGCTTTCTATGCTGGTCTTCGGTCTGGCCTGCGGTGAAGTGAGCTTACCATTCCAAGATGAACACAGCCCAGCAGAGCCGAATAAGTGCAGGCGTTGGGCTTGTCCTGAATTATCATTAGCCGAGTGTGCTAGCCGGCTGTTATGTGACACAGAAACAGACCATAGCAGGATCTGTTGGGTGCTGGTGGATGCCATGTGCACCAGTCGCCATGTTTGGAGGGGTCGAGATAGGTAGCCAAAGTAAAGCGAGGCTAGGTACATGGCTTGCGGCAGAACAATATCAGCACCGGAAAACAGGGGCCACTCGTCGATGAGGTGTCTAAGAGCGGGCTCAAAGAAATCGATTCCAGGTGGTGCATCCTCGGAAACATCCCTGAAGCTTGAAACCTGAGCGATGGAACCGAGTGCCAGAACCATAAACACAAGGCAGACAGAGTGAGTAATAGCGAGTGTACCCTCGGCGACCACTTTGTCGTATAGTAGCAAGAACTCGTCGCGATCTAATACTGGATGCTGTGTTCCAACTAGGTTGAAATAGACCTCGATGAGCTGCCGTGTCTGCCAATGTGAGACATCGGGCAAACCCGCCCTACTGTGTTTCCCCGCCTCACCGAGGGACAGCCTTTGAGGAACATTCCGCTTGACTTCAACACGAGAGAGGGTAAAAGGGGGATAATCTCCAACAAGTAGCTTGATGGCCTCGGAACGCAGTAGATCTCCGGTTGTTGTAGAATGCGCGATCGGGATCGTCATGGCGGCACTGGTACTTTCCGGCGACTCTGGTTGGACTGCCGTGTGCGGATGCATTGCCGCCGGGACGGAAGGGGAGGGGATAGTGGCAGCGACGTTTATGGTCCCAGCCTCTGGGGATACTTGAGCGAAAGTCAACCCGGCGCTGGTGGTAGCAGCTGGCGAGTAGGCTTGAAGCCACGCAGCACCGGGACTTGCATGATGCTGACCAGAAGCAGTCGTTGCGATTTCGCTAGAACCGAAGTTTGCAACGATTCGCTCAAGGTTCTCGAGCCTGTCTAGGATGATGGATGTGTGCTCATCATTGTGTCCGCAGCTTGGCCTACATTGACGACAATCTGTTAAAGCCCACACATTGACTTTGAATCGCGGCACGTACTTGGATGCCTGCTCTTGGTAGACGCATTGTGAATCATTCGATTCCTCGCAGAGACTACACACAGGCTGTCGCCCATCGCATTTCCGTTTTCTATAGCGGCCAGGCGCTTGTCAGGATCGCTCACAATGCAGCACTTCTTACTGGGATTCCAGACGGCGTGATGCACGTCAGCTAGGATATTGGCCTACCGTTTGCGACAGTAGTTACAGGCAATTGCAGCACGCCGTTTCGCAGGAGGATCCATGCGCTTCGCGTTATTGCAGACCCAGCGGCGGCTTGGGCGGAGAGTAAGCTGAAGCTCAAGAACAGGCAGTACGAGGGGGAAGCGCGGGAAGTGTGAAGAAAGTGGTCGGTGCGTGCGGCGTTCAGACTGAGGTCGTATCAAATCAAATGCTTTGGTGGACTCAGAGTGGATCAACTTAGCGGCGGAATGGCGGCTCCGTTGCCGCTGTAATTGATTAATGACTCGCCTCGAATGTTAACTACATTTCTTTTCCAAATTGAAACCTAATTTCACAGAAGGGACTTTGCTCCTACTGGGAGAATGTATACTTGAAACTTTCCTGATCTAGACTTTCCAATATACCGCTTGCTTAGATCATAGGAGTCACCTGAGCAGCCATCCTAGGCAACATACCCAACTTCTGACACTCCAGATACATCTCGTGTACACTTTCCAAAGGATCAACAAAACCATTGAACCCAAACCTCCTTGTCTTGGCTAGAGATGCAGTGCCAAACGATAAGTATGCAAAGTCGCCACTAAAAATGGAATCCAAATTCTCCTCAAAGGGGTTCCAAGTCAGCTCTCCGGCTGAGCTTTCCATCAACCTTTTCCACGTGTTTTTGTTGGCTTCATCCTCGGCCCATTCTCGAAGCGTGAATCGTCTCTTCATCTCCTGTGGCGGGCCGTAGCCCAGCGGATTCTTAGAATCGCCACCCAATGACATGACCTTGCTGTGCTGGTCATCACCCATCCTTGGCCCAAGCACACCCTTCGAGACTCCCCACCACTGCGCCAGAGCGCCGAAGAATCTGTCCCAGCTCAGAGTGGCTCCGTCCACTGCGTTGAAGGCCTCGTTGGCACAGTCAGGTTCCAACACGGCCCACTCGCTCAGGTAGCCTGTCAGGCGAGCCGTTGAATGCATTGCCTCGAATTGCCAAGCTGTCAAATCACCACCAAACTCAAGCGGTTGACCTTTATGCGCCTGGACAACGGCGTAGATGGCAAATGACACGAACATGTTGAGAGGCGAGTTAGGAGACGCACCAATGACCCCAAATGGCCGCACTATGTTCCAAGCGGTGCCAGGAAACTTGGCGCAGAAGTCTTTCATAGCGTCTTCCTGGTGGTAGTAGAAATTGTCGGCGATATGGCGCGGCTGTGGGTCGGATTCGACCATGGGCGTGCGAACCCTGCCCAGGTGCATGCCATAGTTCTTTCCACCTGTCTGTAGTAGAATTCGCTTGGGCACTATGCCGGCGAGAGGCATGGCATCAAGGAGGTTCTGAAACATTGGTGCGTTGGTTTCGATTAGGGCCTTGGCCGCCTCTGGGCTCATCGGATCCAGCACCGTTTTCGGTTGGAGGTAGGCATAGTAGAATAGATACTCTGCCTTTACATGAGCTTGCTGCAGCTTCTCTGCAATTGATTCTGCAGGAGACGACAGATCAACTGGCACTTGGGTGACTCGGGAGAGTTGTTCGTTAGAAAAGAATGACTTGGCCGCTTCAGAAAGAGGAGACCTCGAAATGATGAAGATGCGTGACCAGCGAGGTGTATCGAGCAAAGCCCTCAAGGCATGAAATCCCGAGATGCCGCTGGCACCGCAAACAATGGCAGTCAACCCACAAACCTCAGGTCCAAATTGGGGGAGGTTGCGGAACAGTCCGTTGCTGCGTAGGGGCTGCAGACGTGATGACATGTTGATGAGAATGATCGAGAATGATTGGAACAGGCAGTTTCAGGTTGCCAAAGGTTGATTGAAGGCAAACAATGATAAAACTAATGTTGAAGGTAATTTGTCTACTTATGCACTTCGCGACGACACAATGATGCATCAAATCTCAGTTACTCAACCTCGTGGATCTCACTCGGCACCACTGCGCGCTAATAAATAACCTTACACAACCTAAATAGTCGCGAGAATGTGATTGGCAAACGAAGAGTTCCTGAGACACTTCGATGCGTGCCTCCAAATGCATGACATCATTGCCTTGGCCGCGATCGGTTGGGGTGGAGAGAGACGGATTCTTTGTAAGTTCCGAGGCAGGTCGACTAACGGTTTGGTGCAGTTCTGCACGGCTTGAAGCCTGAGATGACAGTCAACGCGTTCAAATCTTCACCTCACCACAACACGGAAGGCGACAAATCTAGCTAGCCAGTTGCGTAATTTTATCACGCCGCAGTACTGAACGAACGATAATCATAGGGGTTCTCCCGAACAATACAGGGGTCTTTTCAACCAATATAAGATACCTGGATACAAACATACGCCCCTTCAACCACTTTAGAGCCAAGAGTGCAACAACATCGATGAGGGATTCGGCTTCACTTTGGTTGACAGAGCCCTAGATCTCAACATGATGGTTTTAACTCTCTACAGCAAGGCTCGCCTTGATTAGGTCGGCTGCCTTCTCCGCCAATGCGTACACTGCAGCGCTGGTGTGGCCGCTCACAAGGTGTGGTATGACTGAAGCATCCACAACCCGCACATTTGCTGTCCCATAGACCTTGAGTGTTGGGTCAACCACACCTCCCAACTCTCGAGGCAGCATGGCACACGTCCCAATGGTGTGAGATGCCGGCACACCTTTGTAATTTATTCTATTAGCATGACTGTCGCCGAAAAAGGCATACACATAGATCATCATCGGCTTTCCACTTACAGGAGTTGGTTAGAAACTCTGCCCATTGCGCATCTGTCGCGTTCTCTGGCAGCACTGCGTCTCCAGGGACAATGAGATCACCGACAAGGTCGCTCAACGGCTTGGTGGACCATATCTTTCGTGCTATACGGCCGACTTCCAGGGCGACTTGCCTGTCATAATTAATGGATAGAAAGTTGGGATCTACAGCTGGGTTGTCAATCTCCCCGGCGGCATTGAGGTGAGCACTTCCCCAAGAAAACGGCAACGTGGGCGAGAACACGATGCCGACGACGTTGCCCAAGGCGAAGAATTCATATTCCACCACGCTCGACTTCTTACCGAAGATCACGTCATGCTGGATCTCGAACCTTTGCTTCAGTGCCTCGGCCGACACGCCCCCATTGAGCCTCTTTGCGATCATCTCCGACCAAGACGCGAGATTTTCTTTGGTAGCCGCGTCGACGGTATCGGTGGCAGCCTTGAATACGTCTTGGGCCGTGGCAAAGGCTGCAAAAGGGACTTGGCCGACGAGCCCCGGGGTGGCTTGGAACATGAGCACCCAAAGAGGTTGGTCCTGAAGCGCCTCGCCAACCGCCGGAAGCTCAACTTTAGTCGGGATGCCATTGCGGGCCAGAATGCTGGGATCTACGTCAGCATCATTCTTAGTGTCGGTGGTTCGCTGCTACGTACCTAAGATTCCCGATTCCCGAGGCCTCAAGGATGAGTGGTGAGACATATGTTCCAGTGGAAATGATGACCTCCTTTGTAGCCGTCACGGACGCCAAATGACCTTTATCGTCCGTGTACTCGAGTCCAGTGGCAACGGCCTTGCCGCCGCCGGCTTTTGAAAAGATGATCCTCTTCACAGCCCCTTGGATGACCTTGAGGTTCCGTCTGTCGTCAATTGGCTCATAGTAGGCGCGGGCAGCGCTCTCACGGACGTTTGCATCTCGATCCATGGTTTTCGGATATGCGCCGAACCCGCGGTTCTTCCCGCCATTCACATCTAGATTCAGGCTGAAGCCCAGCTTCTCGCAAGTCTCTCGAGCCGAGTCATAAAAGGTGCCTTTTTCCACTTGGAACGGGTGCCCGGTGTTGAGCGGACCGTTCTCCCCATGATACTGCGCGACATAAGTCATCCCGGCCTCGCGCTGGGCCTCAGTAGGGATGGCGAACTGCTCCGAGCGGATGAAGTACGGGAGCAGCGTGTCCCAGTTCCATCCTGGGTTGCCGAGCCGTTCCCAGGCATCGTACTCGGCTTTGTTTCCTCGAATATAGTACAATCCTAAGCAAGACGTGTGTGAGCCATTGAGGACGAGATCAAGGTTGGCCGGCCGGCATACCGTTAATGATTGTGGTGCCGCCCAGTGCTTTGCCTGCGGGATGGTCAATGACCCTGCCGCCTAGCTGAGGCTGGGCTATGGATTTGAACTTCCAATCCAGGTCGGGGCTGTAGGTAACGCCAGCCAAGTCCACGTTGAGAACGTCGGCATCGTCGCGCACGTCGCGGCCTGGCTCGACGACGGCGACGTTGATACTGGGATTCTCAGACAAGCGGTTGGCAATGACGAGCCCTGCCAGTCCTCCGCCGGCGATAACGTAGTCGAAAGCCATTCCTAGATGAGGCTGGCACGCAAAGGTGGTGGGCACGAGCTAGAGGAGACGTGTCGTGGCCCTAGAATGACAGAGTTAAAAAGCTTTCTTTTGGGGAAACTCGACGGGCGGAGCAGCTTACCTGTGTACTGATGTACTGCGCTGGCGCTTGTCCATGCACCCTCCAATCCTTGTAGCCATTCATCCATTGAAGCATGTAAGGTAAGACCTTGGCAGGCTCGGTAACTAACAATGGGAAGCGACATGGGTCTGGATATTGATGTCAGATAGCGGAGAGTCGCCCCTTTGCGTTCAGCCCAAGTCAAGGCCAATGCGGTGGAACCGTCAGCTTACCCAGTATAATATTTGACGGGCACATGTTGCCAAGTAAGGACAAAGATACATTTTGACTCTGATACGCAGACGCAAAGTCATCTAATAGTCTTGTCTCGAGCTAGTTGAGGTACCCTGAACTTACTACTACCTGTGCAGATATTGATTGACCCAAGCCACACGATGTACTTTATGTGATACTAGATTGTACAACGAAGATTATTCATTCTAAATTACCATCACCTATGAGAGGCTTCAAAATTGATGTTACAAGAGTCTAATTCCAATCATGAACGTCCTGCCATATCAAGACTGCCTCGTGATTGAACACATCCTAACCCACTCCCTGACCTATGCATGGATGATGAAATCATCTTGGGCACTTCATACCGAGTGGCGCAAAGGCGACCCCCTCTCATCTTTTCAATGGCGAGCGATTGTATGCAGTTGCGAAGGCGCGGTGAGTAAATCTATCCGATGCTAGCCAAAGCCATCTGGACTACGCTCTGCTAACTTGATAACCGCTAGGCACATCCCAAAGATGGCATGACTGTTCATCTGAGGCTTCGTAAACTGGAAATCTAAGCATGTGGTTTGTCCGCCCTCGATGGCCATCTCCTGCCCCTGGATTGTCTGTGGAGGAGCGGGAATTGTCCTAGGTTTCTTGGATGGTATCCTTGTACGTAGTGATTAAAATCACGTAAGATTTATATGCATCAATCTGCCGTCAAGATGTTATTGAGTCGGAGCCCGGATCCAACAAGTCAAGCGGGCTGAGAGACTTAGAACATGCGTCAAGTTGCCTCGAGGTATATCTGATTATTATTATATGCCGTGTATGAAAGAAAAATAACCTGGGGTAACCCAGGTAGCTAGAAAGAAACATTACTATTATATATATATGCAGTTTTCAGTAGGCCGGCATGGGTATTATACAGTCTCCGATTCGTTAGTTCCCTCGCTACTCAGAGAATCGGCTCCTCTCTTTGTTTTAGGGCCTCTATTCTGGTTGCTGGAGTACTGAGCGTTGACTTGCACTGAGTAAGGCGCGCCTTGATCAATCAACATGTCTGTGTCGTTGTTGAATCCGTTAGGCGACTTTGGTGCTTGTTTCCCCCTCTCCATGGTGTTCATCTCGATGGTGGTCGTCACGGTCGGCCAGCTCTTCGAGTCCAGGTTGCCTGCCCTTGAGGTTACCAGTGTCTCCCCGTGGCTCTGGGTTCCCGCTCCTCGGGAACGTGAGTTCTGGTTGTAGCCTGAGCTGCCTTGGTAGTGCTCCGAGTTTCGGGCAATCTTGGCAATGAGTGTGGCCATGGACATTTCGATGTTGAGTTTGACAATGTAAGCGAGGGGGTGAAATTGCATGTACCTATTAGAGCGAGACAGGAGGTTAGCTATCGGTTTTCTCCAGGCAAGTTGTGCTGGGAGAACGATCTTAGGATAGCCACGTACACGAAAGTGTTCTTTAGACTCATCATGGCCACGATGAGCACATCCATTCCCAGGGAAAATCCGATGATGAACATGTTGAACCGGACGAGATTCTTGTACTTGTGGAGACCCATTTCGACCAGGTTTTGCTTCACAATCCGAATGAAAAATATGTTCAAAGCGGCATCGACAAGCAGGTAAATCACCTTCTCACAGCGATCCCAGATCTCATTGATGTGAACATACTCATCGGATATCTGTAGACGAGCTGGGATCCAGATGCAGTAGACTGAGATGTTGATGGCGGTGATTAGGAAGGCTGTTCCCCATTTGACTCTCCATAGTAGTCTCTGATCGGTGAGGAGAATTCCGCATCGGTTCACGATAATCTGAAGAAGGAATTGGACCTGATGTGTGTTAGAAATCGCTCTTCTCTGAGAATTGTAGAGGCATGGAAGCACATACTTGAAGTGCCCAAAGGGTGACTGGTAAATAAAAGGTTAGCCAGGGTTGGAATGAGATAATCACAGCTTCCGCTGGTAATGTAAGTGGAAGTCGGGAGAGACACTTACGAATACAAAAGAAAAAGGCGAAGCTGTATATTGAATAATCATTAGCAGGGTCCGCAGACTGACGTGTTGTTCCAGAGTAACCCATACCTAGGAGGAATAACTCCCATGATGTTCATGAAGCAAATAATTCCAAAGCTAAGACACACGGTGATCTCGGCCCAAATCATCCAAACATATGCATTGCTGAGCATGGACCAGCCACGCCGGCGGTAGGCATTTGCCGTCTGTCGTATCGCGGTCCATGTCGTCAACCATCCAATGCCGAGGGTGAAGCCCCACGCGACGGAAGCAATAACTAGATCATTCGATGTCACGTTCTCCGGTACATAGCGATCGGGTATTAAAGTTACCATTCTTCGTGAGGTCTGACCGTGAAGAATCGGTCGGTGAGGCTCGGTGGATGCGGTCAGTATCGAGAGCAAGAGGCAATGGAAGGTCTAGAAGTCAAGTCTAATGCAAATGGCAGGCTGGGTCAAGCATATGAAAAGCCACCGGGACATGGGAGGACGCAAGACATTGATCTTTTGAAGAAAACCGCCACTTGAAGACTGGGCGTCAACAAAAGGAGAGTCCAATTTCTTTGCTAGCGCATTATTGCCCAATGACAAACACCTGATCCCCCTCCGTATTCACCCTGCAAGATGTATCGGACTCTTCCCGCTAGTGTGGCTTTCGGCATCAGACGCGGTTTGGACTAGCAACGAATAGGAAACAAAGTTCTCCAACACGATATACCGATATACCGGACACTGTTCCGCTAGTCTAAAATTTCTCTCAGCCCCTCGATCTAGTTCTCAGGCACAATATAGTGTGCGGCGCAAACCTCCCGAAAGGGTTACAAGGAGTCAACAGCTAACGCCTTTGGGCTCATTGTCTGTCATCTCATCAACATGATCGATACCGGGCTTTATCCGGGGCCAATGTAATGATTCATATGTATCTTTCTTATGTGGCTTGTAGGTTTGGTTTGAACCCTGGGAGAGTTGGGCGATTTAGGAACGGCGACTCGCGTTCTCCTTGTCCATTTTCCTCTTCTTCTCGGTTCTTTGAGGGGTTTCCTTGCTGCCTCCCCGAAAATTTTCGGTGTTCCTGTGGTCAGCATGTCGCTCGAGAATCTGCTGCCTCTGTTTGCGCGATAGCGAAATGAAAGGACATAGGCCTCGGTTGGGACTTGACCGAGTCAAGACGCAGCGCGTGAGATGTGCCGAGCCTTGGTAGCGTAATCCTTCGTATACTAGTGGCGCTCGAGTTGACATGGTCCCCTGGACTTGCCCGCTCCCCTCCTCGCCCCAAACCATGGCGTCGGAGATTGTGGAGAAGACCGGTGGCTACCTGGCCCCTTGTTTTAGCCCATCTCGTAGTTCTTGTTGCTCCGCTTCCAGGTCTGTTTGTTTGGTCACACAAGATTCAGACAACTTCACGTGTCCGCCACGAGGCTTAGCTGTCATTGAGAATTGGGTGCACGTGGTTTTGATTCTTCACTAGTTTCTCTATGTAGTGTGATTCTGTCAGAGGATATCTGTTAGTATCACTTAACAGTCCTAGTGTACTTAAACTGAGACCTGGCTACATAATACAGTATCTACACCACTCAGAAACTCAAGACGCCAGAGATAAGAGTACTTGTAGCACAAAGGTTTCGCCGAGGAGCTCCCAGAGACAGAGATGGCAGGGACCCAGGGAGGGAGGGAGCCCACGGGCGGGGAGATATTAAGCAAGGCATTTAAGTGGCGAGACTAGTCATGCGCATCTTAAAAAATTTCCCAGCTACTGCACTGGTGACAACTCGCACCGTCGATCAGTTTTAGCTACCAGTGAATTCATAAGCTCAGTGCCAAGGCCTCTAACTCTAGGTACCGTATGACTAGTTCAGAAACCTCGACGTGATTTCTTATCAAGGCCACGTTAGCCAGTGGGGTGACTGAGGGAAATAAGTAATGCCCGAATGAGGCAACTTGAAGCCCAACGGTGAAGATGCACAGTTGGAAGATTAGCATTGATCGACAAACACTACTGTTCTGCCGGAATCTCGGCACAAAAATAGTGGCCATTCCGATGGGAAATGCGCAACATTTCGATAGTCTGGGGTGATTGGCACGGAACCCGGACGATGCTCCCCTTTCTCCACCTCCTCCTCTCTCACTAGGAGCCGGGACTAAGATAGCCTTGATACCACATCTTGCGCCAGCCCAGCCAGAGACTTGTCACCCTTAGTCAGGCTCAAAAATGGCACATCAACCCCGAGTGCACTCCAAAACCAGTTACGGTATTCTGATATCAGTAAACTGTCCACGCCATACTGATGGATTGGCTTGTTAGAGTCCATCTCCTTGAGAGGCAAGAGAATCATACTGGACAGTCGTTTAGAGATGGCTCTCAAAAGAGCCTCTTGCAATGACCCAGCATCTGCTTCTTCTCTCAGAGTATCAATGGCAGGCTTTGAAATGGATTTCAGCCAAGCTGGAAGTGACCCAAGGACAGATTCGCCGCTCCTCACCGACCGGGTCTCCTCCTTGTTCTGGCTGGACAGCGTGGACACGACAATGGCCGAGCGAGGGTCCCACCAGCCTTCAAACTCCACTTCGAATCCTTGCGCATACAGTTCCCGGAGCCGCGTGGTTTCCATCCCTGTCAGGAGTTCCGATTTCTGTGGACGCCAATGCAAATCATTGACCAGGCCGAGATCAATCATTTGAAGCATCTCATCTTCACTGAGTGCCATGAGCCCCCTGCGGAGCAGCCAGTTCATTACATCACTGTTCTCGGACACGTAACCCACATCAGAGATGACTCCGAGAGCCACTGCCACTGTTGGCTTTCCCTGTCTCTTGCGCCACTGGGCGAACGCATCGAGAAACTGGTTGGCCGCGCAGTAGTTGCTTTCGGTGGCACTTCCATGACATCCAGACAGAGACGATGTGCATAGGAAGAAGTCCATTTCATGACTCTCGAGGGCCTTGTGCAAGTTCCAGGTGCCTTGCCATTTGGGCTGTATTCCCTTATGCCAGGCTTCGTTGCTCACTAATAAAAAGAAAAGGGAATGAGTTAGTTCGCGAATATCCAGAGTTCAAAACTGAAATTTTAGAGTAGTTAGGGTTGGGCGGATAAAGAAGAAATTGTCTTACTGTCGCGGAAGTTGGAAGCGCTCACGGCCATGGCAGCTTGGATCACGCCGCCAATGGGCAAAAGAGTTTCCTCGCAGGCTTTGACGGCCAAGACTACTGCATTGGAGTCAACAACATCCCCTCTGACCACATGTACATTGGCCCCAGCGTCTTTGAGCCGTGCAACCAGCTTCCCAGCTTCAGCCTTGTCGGTGCCGGAACGACCCATAAATACGAAGTTGCGCGCTCCCCGAGACATCATCCATCGTGATAGACTACGTCCGATCCCACCCAAGCATCCCACAAGAAGGTAAACTTTGTCTGGGTGGAATAGGGTTTGATACTTGGCCGGGGAGATCTGTTCCAAAAAGTCGACGAGTCAGTACATATCAAAGGACTGGAGTACGCTTCATATATGACAGAGCATGGGAGTTGCCTTACAGGTATACTGCTTTCAGGATTCTCTAAAGATATCACAACCTTGCCAACTCGGCTTTGTTTGGAAAAGTGACGATAAGCTTCTACCACGTCCCCCACATCATACTTGGTAATCGGGAGGGCTCGTATCTTTCCGGAGCGGTATAGCTCTAAAGCTTTTGATACCAACCTATGCCAATGATTAGTGCCACCTATCATATGACATGCAATGATGGTAGGTGTTCACATACCTATTGAGTGTTCCTCGCTGACGTTGAGTCTTGTTGTAGAACAGCTCACTTAAGTCAAACGCGGTAAAGGTGACACTGCGAAGGAAGACGCTCATATCCAACTTCCCAGAATCCACCAAATCTTTTTTCCCAATCTCAACAAATCTACCAAAAGGGGCGATGCAGTCCCAGCCGTCGTGCAGTAGGTCACCTGCCAGCGAGTTGACAATCACGTCAACGCCCGCACCCCCAGTGGCTTTCTTGATCTGAATTGCAAAGGAACTGTCACGAGAGTTGAAAATGTGACTGTCCGGTAGATTGAATTCAGACATGAGAAACTCTCGTTTGGCTATGGTGCTGGCCGTTGTGTATACAGTTGCGCCCATGCTCAGAGCAAGACTGATGGCCGCAATACCGAATGCACCCGCCCCAGCATGGATCAAGACTGATTCGCCAGCTTGCAAATGTGCGCGTTCCTCTAGGGCATAAATGGCGGTGCTGTATACCACCGGTAGAGTCGACATGACAGAAAAGTCCTCGTCTGGTAGCAACTTATGGACAGCCGAGGCGGGCACCCTTTCTGTCGTGTTCCAGTGGTTCGGAGCCATAGCAACAACTCGATCCCCAGGCTGGAGGTGGACATTCGGCCCTACGGCTCTCACTACTCCGCTAAATTCCAGTGCAAGAGAGCTTTCGTGGGTTTCGACACGTCCAAACATGGTGTAGACGTCTTTGGCATTGATGCTCACGGCTCGGACATCCACGTCAACGTACCCATCCTTGAGTTCGCTGGTCGGCTCACATACTTCTTGAAAATGGAGTGAGCTGAGTAGTCCGACTTTACCAAGAGCGAGGCGTGCATGGCCCGCGTTCTTGAACTTGGTCTCATGGGCTTGACTGTTGGAAGTGGAATGCATGCGGCTTCTGAATAGCGAGTTCATGCTCTCGTCTGGGACGATTCGGCTTATGTGGAGCATTCCATCATGGTGAACAAACTCGAGGTCGTCTTTGGGATGTTGAGCTTTTAATACGCTCACTATCGTGGTGGATATTGAAGGCGAAGACGGTGATTCAGATGCGGCAGTGGTGAGCGAGTGGCCTATATCGAGAACAGAAAAACGAGTACCGGGTTGCTCCACATTCAAGCAACGAAAAAGCCCGCTCGACAGTGAAAAGTCCGGGGTTTTGTAGCCAGATAAGGCATCTGCCCCTGTGATCCAGAGAATTGCGGATGCTTCACTGCATACGAGGCGGCGCAAAATATCCATTTGCTCCGGTTTCATGGCAGCAAGAAATCCTTCTTCGGCCTCCAAGAGCGAGATGCAAATAGAGGTATTTGTTATGGATATTTTAGAGAGGTCCAGAAGTGAAACGATGTCCACTCGTGCCGCTCCAAATGCACCGAGGAGACTGGCAGAAAGAGTCTCGGCCAACTTGTCCACAGTACGTGAAGGTGTTGATCCTAAAAGTACCACAAACGGCTTTCCTGATACGGAGTCGGAAACGTCTTCATTCTTCACCCCCAGAAGGCAGCGGTTGCCTATGTCGATTGGGTTGAAACCGCACGCCTTTAGGTTGTGTAATGCTGCTTCTGACGCTCGAGTAATAATGATGCCACGGGGACCAACTAGAGAAGCAACTTGTTGAGGCAGTTGGTCACATTCCCAACACTTGGACGCAGCTATGTGCGTTGGGATTAGGACCACATCAAATTGTTGTTTGTCCGTGACACTAGACTCTACTTGTATCATTTGCTTTTCAAGCTTGGCAACATCCCACGAGCGATATCGTGGGAATAAGGAAGACCCTTGATCCAGGAGACGTTGCCAGTCACCCGCGTTGGAAGTCTTGCCAGGGCTACTGATCTCGAGGACTTGCATTCCTGGATTTTTGTGACCAGCCAAATCAAGGATGGCTGCGATGCGAGCAAAACTCTCATTCTCTGCCATGTCAGGCTCTTGTGCGTCGACAAACCGAGACACGTAATTGCGCAGTTGGCCTTCGGACTCGGAATTGACCCTGAGCAGGTCTGGTTTCCACAACAAACGCATGCAAGGGTGGCGATAACTGCCGGACGATGGGATTCTTCCATTGGACGACGCATGGCTCGCCTCCTTGCCGTTGTACAAAGTGTAACGGGCATTTTCTATATTGATCACGGTGGCGCCTTTCTCATCATTTTTCCTTAGCGTACATCCTACTCGCATTGTTCCAGGACTTGTGAGAGCAGAAATTGTGTGAATGACTCCCTCGTTCCCGGTATCACTTGGCCCCGTAGGATAGATCTGACATTTGCCTATGAAAACGGGAAGGAAAACTCTCATTTCTGAGACTCTTCCCGAAGTGATGGTATTGATTGGCGTCTGTAGGCATGCATCAATCAATGTGGGATGAATATCGTACGGTTCCCTAGTGGTGCTTGATCCTGTCCCATCCTGGGTGAGACGGGTGCTATAGACAGCATCAGTTCGTATCCGGCTGCTGTCCACCCAGGACCCTGTAAGTGTTTGGAATGTAGGACCATAGCACATTCCTTTCGCATCCAATTTGGAGTAAAAGGGGCCTATTGGCTGCTCTTCGTAGTTTTCAATGCGCGCCGCCTCCAAGGTGGTAGTCTGACCACAATCCGAAGACTGGCCCGTCTGCAAGGCAATCTGTCCGTTACAGTGTAGTGTTGCTTTCTCATCAACCCAGGACGAGATGGAAAACTCAAACCAAGTTTGTGACGTGGAGAATGCCGACAGCTTGTATTGTTTGATAGTCGTGTGCATCTCCAGACCCCCTCCTCCACTGTGTTGGGCATTCTCAGGAACAACTAATGCTGCTATTAGGTTGACGTCGCGAAAGAGAAAGCTCCTTTCAGGATCGTCGGAGACATCATACAGTCCCCGAATCTGCTTGAGGCCTTCCATGGCCATGCAGAGGTAGCCAGCACCAGGAAAGAGGACCTCTGACTCCAGCTTGTGGTCTTGGAGCCAGGGAACCTCGTTCACTTGTAGGACATTCCGCCACCTGTGCTCGATGCCGTCACCAGCCACTTGAAGTGATCCCAGAAGCACATGGCGGGGATATTTTCTGTTCTTAATCTCATGGGACGCCCGAGGCTCCGTGAATAATATACCACCAGAATAGTCCCAAGGGTAAGGTGGGAGGTCGGGGATGGGCTCCAGTTGCTTGTGACCCATACCGTTGACAGCCGGCCACTGGAGCTCATATCCATGCTGGAAGAGCGTTCCAGCGAGCTCTAGCATACATTTATCCGAGTTTTTCTTGCGGTCGAGGGTCGAGGAGTAGATAAAATCGTGCTCTGGACTATTCAATCCTTTCCGAATTTGCTCAAGAGGGCCTCTGAGGGCAGCATGCGGACCACTTTCGATGATATGCAGTTTGCCCATATTCATGTTCACGGTCAGATTCTCTACCGCTGGACCGAACTGAACAGGTCTCTCGAGATTCTCACACCAGTATCGTGCTGGCGAGGATATCTTGTGATCGAAAACCCTTAGAATATCACTATCACGGCCGACTGATGAGTACATCGTCGCTGCCGGCCTTGTTCGGACATGGCCATCCTTGAACACTGGTTCGAGTAGTTCCTCGTATAAGTGGCTAATCTCCTTCATGATGTGTGAGTGATAAGGGCGCCCATTTGTCTCCAACAGACGGACAAAAGAACCGCGTGCTTCTAGTTCTTGACGGAGGCTCTCTATGCCACACAAAGATCCACTCAATGTAACGCTCTTCGGAGAGTTGACACAACCCACACGGACCAGGTTCCCGAGGCCTTTTTCGTGAATGAGCTCTGATGCCTCTTGGTTTGATATTCCTGCAGCCATCATTCGACCTGAGGTAGCTAATCTGTTGACAGCATACCCTCGGTAATAGGCCGTGAGAATTGCCTGCCTCGCCGATAGAAAACCTGCAGCATACGCCGCAGCAATTTCGCCTGAAGAGTGGCCTACGGTGGAGGCGGGTCGAATGCCCCAGTCGGCGAGTGTGTCAATCAAAGCAATTTGAATGGCAGTACAGACGGGCTGGCTTCGAGTGACATGATGGACCTGGTCAGCGGACGAAGAATCTGAAATGGTCCCCTGAATTGACCAGCCCGGTCGCTCAGGCACACTTTTCAAGTCCTCGTCAAGGCTGCGGATGGTAGCAGCAAATCTTGCACTGCTCTGTAGTAGTTCCTTTGCCATTCCGGGGTATTGGGCACCCTGGCCAGTGCAGACAAATACGATTGGCAGCACTGAAGCAGTCTTGTCGACGGATGGGATGCTGGCCACTGAGGGGAAGCTGTCAACCTCAATACCAGAAATTCCCTCTTTAGCGACGAGGAAATTTCGATACTTCATATGAGACCGTCTCTGGGTCAGAGTGAATGCCAATTTCTCGACATAGGTCGAATCCGTTTTATGCGTCTCGATTGCCTTGGCGGTCCCATCCATTCTCGCTTGAAGGGCATCTGTCGTGGCAGCAGAAACTGGAAGAATAATTGAACCTGTCCTTGGATGGACACCATTTGCCTTCTTTGCCTCCTTCAAGCCCTTTCCTTGAAAGTAACTCTGTACTGACTCTAGAATGGCGTGCCCGTTTGCTCCCCCAAAGCCAAAGGAGTTTACACTTGCTCTCCGTAACGCCCTGGGCCATGGCTGCGCTTTTTGTACAACCTGCATGTTAAATGATTCGAGCTTTACTGATTGACAAAATCCACTCTTCGTCAGCATTATAGGTAGGTTCAATACAGAACAGGGCAGTACTCACGTGCTGGGTTGATTTTTTTGATGCCAAAAGTCGGGGGAATAATGCCACTTTCAAGGGCGAGAGTGACTTTGATAATAGACGTAATGGCACTTGCAGCCTCGCTATGCCCGAAATTCGTTTTCACCTAAGAAAGAGAAGATCATAGTTAGTTTCAAAATCGCTATCCTTGATGATATAAACCACTCTTGCTTCGCGGCACCTACCGATCCAATCATTAATGGTCGATCAGGTCCACATTCGAATGCTCGCCCAACACCTGCCACTTCGATAGGATCTCCCACGGGTGTTCCTGTGCCATGACATTCCACATAATCAGTGCCTGACTTGTCGATACCGGCTTTCTGATAAGTTCTTCGAATCAGAGCCTCTTGTGCGTCAGAGCTCGGCTGCGATATGCCGTGCGTCCGACCATCTCTTATTGCCTCTCTCCATTAGCTTTATGTTTCTGACGCTCTCCCCGGCTAAAAGATTTAACTCACGCATTAATTGCCGCACTGCGGATGATGGCCCTGATTCTGTCCCCATCTCTCTGAGCGGCGGAAAGTTTCTTGATGTAAAGCGCATTGACAGCCTCGCCTCGTCCATACCCATCTGCCGACTCATCAAAGGTGTGGCAAGACGATGTAGGAGATATTACCCCTCCCGTGATGGTCATCAATTGCTGCTCAGGCCCTCCTAGAAGGTTGGCGCACGCAATAATGGCCCCATCGCACTCACCGGTATTGAGGTCATTAATAGCGGTGTGGAGTGCATACATGGAAGAGGAGCATGCTGTGTCCAAAGTGAGGCTATTAGAATCAGCATCAGTTTTCTTGTCTTTTCTCCTTTTTCCAATGGTCCGATAAAACATCCCACTCGGTGATGAAAGACAACTTACCTAGGGCCTCTCATATCAAAGACATAGCTGATACGATTGGACATGAGGGCCGGCGACAATCCCGTGGCGTGATACCGATGAAAATAGTCTAGATCACGCACCTGACCGCTCGCATAATCCCCAGTGAAGTTTCCAACATACACTCCGGTATTCGAGCCAGCGACACGATCCATAGGAACTCCGGCACCTTCAATACACTCATACACCACTTCTAGTAGATTTCGTTGCTGGGGGTCCATGTACATGGCTTCCAAGTTGTTAATGCCGAAGAAATGATTATCAAATCTCCGAGTGTCCCCCCGCAAAAAGTACCCGCCTTCAGGCTCAACGACGCCCGCATGGCTCTTTTCACCTGGGCGTTTGAGGAAGCCATCAATGTTAAACCGCTCCGAGGGCATTCTGCCCTGTGCTGTCCTCTTTTGAATGATAAAGTCCCAGAGGTCCGTAGGCGAGTAAACCCCCCCAGGCATACGACAACCTTTAGAAAGGATGAATCTTAGCATAATGTATAATTATATGAATAACTTTGGGCTTTGAGATGTCAGAAAGTAACTTACTCATCCCGATAATGCATGCTGGATCATCATTACTCTCGGGCAGGGATGGATGGCCTAGTCGAGGATGAGGCGTTGAAAAGCCGTTCGTGCCGTTGCTTTGAGACATGATGGTTTCGTGACAAACGAAGTAGAAAGAAGATGTTTACGAGAAAGCAACCACATGAAAGTTATCCAGCACACACTTTGATTGCACCAACTATATTTTGATGACTTAGAGAGCGTCGTTAGATATATCTAGACCGGACTATCGAGGCAAAGAACTCGCTAATCGCGAGCCCTTATAACCAAATGAGGTTATGGCAAACTGTTCACGCGATTGTGTACCAGATGATTGGTCACAATAAGAACCGCATTATCTGTTAGATTAGACCGAGAAGTACGTAAGTGCAATGCGTCGGTAGGTGTTGAATGGGGAGTTTTCTGGCTTAGAATGAACTCATTTAATTTAGATATTTTACAACTTACAAGTACGTATCATAGTCTTCTTTTTATAATGTAGATAGTGTATTTACTAATTAGATAATCTATAATTTAAAGAGAAAAGTTTAAGGAAAGCTATTTTAACCGACTAATTATAAAAACATAGTATTTAGCCTAAAGATGTAGCTTATACTTTTAGATCTACTAACTAACTCACTGTAAATATCTAGCTTATAGTTATATAATTAAACTACTATATAATTAAGAGAGAAGATTTTAAAGGGTTTAAAACTATATAAATATATTATATAATTTCTTCTTAAAAATATAAAAGCCCTTTTAAATTAAACTAAGAAAAGAAAAAGGGTTTATAAAAGGTTTTCCTTAAAAGAGGTATTAATAAAAAAAGGTAAGAAAGTATAATAAAAGGCACTATAACTTTATAACTAGTTAAATATTCTAGCTAGTATAAATAAGTAGAGAGATAATTCTAATTTATTTTAAAGTTACCTTTTTTTATAAGTTAATTAGCTATTAATATATCTAAAAAGTTAATTATATAAAGTTACTTTAATATTTTAAGCTTTATACTTAGATTTAAAATTTTAATTCTCTAGAAAGCTATATAAGGTTTTAAGGGATATTAAATAATATTAATTTACTAAAAGTGTTAGTTATTTACATTTTTAATAAGTATAAAATATTAACCAATAGTGTTATACTCTAATTGGTTAAACCTTACGTTTGTAGCAGAGACTGTGTATAGGCTCTCTATTGTGTAGGATCTACGGTGTGTCTTTTGCCATTGTGTTGCTTAGACCCGGCTCGTACAGCCTTGTTAGCAACGGAATCATTTACGACATGGGGGCGTCCCCCTAACAAAACATCCTTGTTGGCTTTGCAATGAAAGGTGCTTGGACGGATAAGACCCCTGTAATCTGAGAAGAACGAATAATAAGGAAGTGGAAGGTCTAATTTGGACATATGTCCGCCATTCTTTCCTTGTTCTAAGGTTTCCAGAGGTGCCCTACCGAGTACCGGGTGCCTCCAACTCCTTGATGCGGCGACATGGCTCCAGCAAATGATCTGATGTCAGCTCGACATAAGTGCCAAGGGGGGGGGGAATGCCAAGGGCGGCAAACTCAAAAATGCATCCTACGGCATTTTTTCCGGAGCGACGTCGCAAGAAAACAGCCAGCGTGTTAGATCCTGAACTTTGGGCCTTGTAACTGGGCTGAGTAGAGTGTGATTCTTACCGAGGAGGGATAATACCTGATGAGGAAATCACCAGGGTGGAGGAGGGTGGTAGTTCTGGATTTGATCCTATCCCCCTTCATGTCACAGGTGCAACCATCTTTCTCGCTAAGGTATCCTGATCTAGCCATGTAATGTGGACGTCAAACATGGACATAGTCGATGTTTCTCCTTTACGGATGCCTACGATTGGACTTTGGGTCAGTGGGACGGGGCTATTGTTTGCGATAACACGAGTCAACACCTACTTCTCACCTGCATTATCAATTCGCCACTACTCTTAAGATCCAGTCAACATTTACTGGTACCAATACAACTGATACAAATATCAATATATATTTGTTACCCACGAGTATTCTACTTAGTACAAGGGTCAGTACGTAAGCACTGGTCCCCTGTTGGTCCCAGACCGTCCTACTTGCTTGGCACCCGGCCCTCATTCTCATGCTCCTTAGCCAAAGCGCCCATGTAACCTTCCACCTTATTCTCGTTAAAGTAGTAATCCTCGATATCAAGGAGCATATACAGCATACGACCCGGCATAGTGCCATTGCCGGTGATATTTTTCCATTTGTGAGCAGCCGCTCGCTGGACGATGATGTCTCCTTCCCGCAGGATCTTCTTCTCTCCCGAGTCTAGAGTTAGCTCAAAGATCCCTTCTAGAATAACACCGTAGACCAACGCCATGACTCGGTGCATGGGGCCTTCAACATCAGGAGCAAAATCAATCATGCGAAGGACTGTCCCGTTGGGATAAAAGACAGGAGGCTATCGTAGGTCAGATATGAGTTCATCGTTGTGACAGCAGACAGGTTAAGAGAAAATTGTGCTTACCCTCTTTTCAGCAGCTTTCTCAACGTCGACATCGCCATTGAGATTGACAGGCGTCTCTCGTGTTGAGTACATGATCATTTGAATGGCTTGTTTATCACCCATGACATGCTGGTGATCTCCGCCATCGGCGCTGAGGAAGACAGATTTCCCCTCCTTATCAAAGGTCGTGATATTGCGCTGAACACGCCTGAGCCCGGCAATGGGGAAGTCGTGGTTGGCGTAGCCGATGCTTGCCTTGGTGGGCTCCTCTGGTTCAGGGGCGGCCGCCATGGTGTCAGTGGGCAGACTATGTGCAGAGTTTTTGATCCACGAGATTCGGAATAAGGGAGATATCTGGGTGATAACAATGTGGACAACACGAAATGAGCAGGCAGACGGGACAATCAACCACTAAATGGAAAGTGGAGAGGTATAAGTTGAAGACATGTATTGATGAGTGGAGATATAATGAAGGATTGCCGCCATGTTACCCATGGGCCCTATGAATGTATTGCCACTGCTTCTGCATCGCCTTTATATCCAGGAGAGGAAAGTGAGACTGGGAAGAGTGTGATTCATTATCCTTTATTGATACATTGACTCTGGACAAGAATAGGGGCACTGTGGAAAAATACTTACTTGTACTATATCTAAGCCTATTTTAGAAAGTCCCCGCTCAGTAATGAAGATCAAGCATCTGCTACGTATGCTCTCGCTTCTAGAGTAGTTATATTACGCATTGAAAGGGATAGATTTATAGGGGTGCTTTATTACAGCCGTCGTGTGTTGTTACAGAACACTTTGGGGTGTTTTTATTGCACCAGACTAGTAGTCTGCGTTTAGTAATTTATGAGCATATAGTGTATGTAAGGATAAATGCGTAGTGTACTCAGTCCTGCCCATTCACTATGTCGCCTTCCCCAGGAATCTGTACATGTCCTTTTCGGGTATCATATACGACCATATGAAAACAAGGGCTCGGGCGCTGATCTTTTCTTCTTTGTTTATTCCTCCCTCCTGCATGGTAACTTTTATCGGCGCATGATGTTCAAGTGAGTAGGTACGTAATGTAGAACATACATGGTGATCTAAAGTCCAGATTTGACAAGGACCGTCGTTCCCCCATCCATGACAAGTCCGCAGCCGTTCACATAGCTAGATCTAGGGCTACACAGGTACAGGACAGCATCGGCAGTCTCTTCCGTTAGGGCAAGCCGACCCAGCGGGGCCAAATTCTTGACCGCGTTAACCAACCCAACCTTCTTATCCTCGATGAGAGGTGTTTCCACCCATCCAGGGCACAAGCAGTTCACTCTAACCCCATACTTAACCAAATCGATGGCTACGTGCCATTGTGTTAGTCGTTTTGCGTTTCATGGGAAATCCATATATCGTTTGACTGACCCGCAACTCTACTTAGGCCAAGAACAGCATGCTTGGATACCACGTAGGGGCATCTTCCAGGGCCCGCAGTGTAGGATGCTGAAGATCCCATGTGTACAATGGTGCCTCGCGTCACGGCACGCTCCTTCTTGACAATACTAGTGGGTGTGGGTGTCTGGGACTTCATGACATTGCCCACAGACTTGGTGACGAGGAAGGATCCTGTCACATTGACATCCATGATCCGCTTGAATAAGCCTGCATCGACCTCACTCGTGCATTTTGCCCCAGGGATTCCAATCTAAGAAAGATGAAAGTCAGTCAATTTCTCAACAAGCCAAGGCGTCGTAATGGGGGCGGGTAGGAAGCCAGGGCTGAAAAATAGGGGGGGGGGGGGATCGGTGCGATTCGGAAAGCCTTACTCCTGCCGAGATAAGACAATAGTCGATGCGGCCAAACAGATCCACTACTTGGCGAGTGCCTACATCAACGGAATCCTCATTTGTAACGTCAACATGGAGGGAGAGCTCGCGAAAGTTAGGATTTGTGGCAACGGCTTTTGCCTCTTTCATGGCCTCATTTGCCGCGTCCAGATTGATATCGGAAATGGCAACTCCGGCGGCGCCCTCCTTAGCAAATGCCAGGGCAGTATCCTTGCCTATGCCGCTTCCTGTGCATGATTGTTATTTTTCTCAAATACTCGCCGTTACTGAGGTACAATCGTGGATATTGGATTATTCAAAAAGGGAACAAAAAGGTACTCACCTCCGCCAACAATGTATGCATAACCCGTGATATCCATTTAGGAACCAACAGAGTACCGAGTAGGTATATGATAAGTAGTTTAATGCAAAATCCTTGCACGGGATAGGTAGAGGAGGGGTAACGACTTCGGTAATTCCTTGTCTCGTTGGAGAGCGAACTTGATGATTCGTTCAATAAATCAGACCTGCATATTTATACCTATCCTGGCGCGTATTCGTTATGTTCTTGATATGATGCAGCTGCCGAAAGGTCCGTTGTTTCAAGTGAGTGACCGCATAGCCCAACCTGCATGGGCTGATTTGTAGATGTAGCAGGCAACTGTTTATTCACAATACCGTCTAGCTTACGACGCAAAGTAGGATCACCCGGCTGATAATGCCAGTCTCATCCCATAGCTGCATAAATCAACGTATGAGTTAGATGAATTCTCGTAACCATAACGCGATCAGGCAGCAATGTAACTTGGTAGGGTTGTGTAGGAACACCAAGTACATGAAGTCCCGTTGGCTAAAATGGGACTTTTGGTCGGCCTATTGTTGTTGGTCAGTAAACGAGAAAACAATGCAACCTTCTGAATACCATGGTGAGGTGGTTTTCTTGCATTGAATGGTGTGATCGACGAGAATTACCCTGATTAAGCCCTAGGATTCAGGGGGGCCAATATGCACTGCGCCTCTATTGTGACGCCCGGCCCGTCGCCCTATCTATGCAGCTTATTCTTATTCTTGTCGGGTCTTTGCAAACATCCTTGTCACTATCGAGGCTTCCACTCAAACAGGCCATGCTACGTCATAAGCAAGCGTGGATATTTTGACCCGCATCCCCATCCCTTCCCTGCTGGCTCTCCCTCCCCATCTCCACCTCCACCTCCCCCACCTTCTTCATAATCCCGTACCAAGATCAATCTAGAACGCCGGAAATTGTATTTTGCCTAACCCTGCCAGATCCAAATCCTAAACGCGTCCACCTGACTACGTCCGGTCTAGACAATACAGACAGCACCAGCACAACACAGCAGAGCACATCGGCAGATTTCCACTACTCCGAATTAGAATGGCAGCCCCGAGCAAAGACGAAGTGTACGCCAAGGTCAAGAAGGGACTTGAAGCAACTCCCTTTGAGCCTTCAGAGCTGACAGAGCTCGCTGGAGGGTCTGTCAACTTCACCTACGAAGCAACACTTGCGAAACCACTTGAAGATGGGGCTAAGAAGGTCTTCATCAAACATGCGGAGCCCTACATGAAAGTCCGGCCTGAGACTGCCTTGCCTCCCGATCGCGGGGTAAGTTTGACCCGTGAAAAGCTGTCTATTCTACCCCTGTTATTAACCACAATAATAGAATTTCGAGATGCAGTGCCTGGAGCACATGTCCGGCAGACATATTACTGGGGATTCGAACCAGACAGACTCTCATTCCATTACCATTCGTACCCCCAAGTACTACAGCTTTATCGAGGACAGCTCCAGCCAGATCCTCGAGTATATGCCCGAGGGTACGACACTCAAGGAGTTTATACCCAAGTACTTTGGCCAAGCTACTGAGCCCAAGGAATCCGATGCTCATGAGATTGGAAAGACCGTGGGCTCTTGGCTCAAGGGGTTCCACCAACTTACCGCCAATGATGCGGAATTGCATGCCGTTGCTGAAAAGAATGCGCTAGGGCGGTTCTTTAGGCACATGGTCACCTTCACTTGGCTCAAGGATCGCGTCGAGCAATTCCCTACTGCGCTGGGTGATGCCAAAGAAATCTTTCAGGAAGTGGAACAGGCCATCACTACTGAATTGAATGATACCAGCAAACTTCAAGCGATCCACGGTGATTTTTGGACTGGAAAGTACGTCTTCTATCTTAATCCTTTCCTTTTTATATATTCTTGTCTAGGTGGGAATCATTCCGCGTAGTTGAATCGTTTACTGACAATTTGCACTCTCCAGTATGATGATTCCGGACGCCGAGATACCTAAAGACGGGAGCAATGTGACCTTGTTTGTCGTGGACTGGGAAATGGTACATCTAAATGTGCCTCATGTGGACTTTGGCCTCATGGTTGCTGAATTCTATTACTTTTGGCTGTTCAAGTCCATGCCCGCAGGACGGTGGATGATGGAGAGCATGGTGGAGGCATACGGTCCGCTGACAGAAGAATTTGCCTTCCGTACGGCTGTCCAGGTTGGAGCACATCTGGTTTGTGTCATCACTGATTTGAACAGAGTGCCTACGGACCAATTGGAAAAGGCAGCCGCCACTGGCAAGGAGATTCTTGTCCATGCCTGGAAGAAGGACCGGGCATGGTTTGACAATAGTGACTTTGCCTGTCTTTTCCGCCAGATAAAGTGAGTCTGGGTAGTTTAAACAGAGTCTATGCAACTCGAGTTCGAAGATTTGGTCTGAAATGATCGGGATCATTAAGAGCAAACGGAGAGTAGGATAGCTTAGGTATTTCAATGACAGTCTCTACTATTTCGCGATGAAGTCGTGTCTCTCCTATCCCTATACATTTGTCGAAAGCTAAATGAAGTATTTCAAACTAGGCAAGGACAATCTCAATCAACTTTCCATCAGCGTCTTCGGTATCCCAAATCTTGGATACCTGAAGCCCAGCCTCGGCAATCATTTCCCTCCACTCCTTCTCCCTCCTCTCCGTAGCGGAAAGGGCCAGCATCATCATAATATCGGAACCCGTGGAGTACCAATCAGCACTCATATCAGCGACGACCAGATCCAATACTAAAATCTTACTATAGAGAGGTTTCATAGCCCCCTTCAAGTTCCTCAAGATAGAGATGCACTTCTCCTTGTCCCAGTCATGCAATATCCTCTTCAGAAAGTACGCTTTAGCCCCTTGGACGGGCTGAGGCGTGAAGAAGTCGTGAACTTGCGCCTCCACAGGCGAAATTCCCGCTGCGTCCACCCGATGGATCGTGGCTTCAAGGTCTTGAAAAATCAACCGGCCACTTCGATCTGACTGTGCTTGGTGAAACGCAACCATTTCTTGGCCGAAACCCCCACCAACGTCCACGATCAATGGGGCATCTGTTGAAACATCATGCTTACCGCCGAGAATCTCATCCAAAGGGATGGTTTGAAACCATTTCGCTCCATATGCTGTAAATTCCATCTGTGGTGGCAAAACCAATGAGCATTTCCTTCTCCCCAAAACAAAAATTGGCATTACTTACAGTCTTTTGAAATCGATCCAAACGAGACTCGTTCCCCGGCCGGTTGAGCCATGTGAAATAGTCCGTATCAATCCCAGTAGCAAGACGAAACAAACTCTCACTTTCTTCTAACGGCATTCGATACCCAGTCTTGCGCAAAGCCTCATCCGCATGAGCCAATAATCTGCTATTAGACTCGTACATGTGCATAACAATAGCGGCACCATGCGCAGATGCGTAAAGTTTAGTGACGGCATTTGCTTCGAACAAGCCAGGGCCAGCTTCCTCGACGATATTCCTATTGACGAGGTGCCTCAAAAACCGTTCTGTACTCATCAAACATGAATAAATGAGATATAGATGAAGTAGAGGACGATAGTAAATATTAGACCATCCTTTCATGAGGGATATTTACCTAGAAGTTTCGGCTCTGCGCCCGAGGCCTCTGCCAACTCCGTGGCGCTCTTTGGGCCGCTTTCACTTGCAAGCTTACTGAAGATGTCCAAGGAGGCACAAATCTTCGCAGCAGTAAGCATTGCTGGCTAATGGATCACAAGATAGTCAGCCTTTATTTTTCTTTTAAGAATGCATAAAAAAATACAACAGATTGCTCGAGATCATCAAATGACAGACCCATTGGAATGTTAATCGCAGGAGATTTTCTCCGGGCGTCCCCAAAGATGCTGCCAGCTTTGCCGCAGCTTCCGATACTCTCTTTTTTTCTCTTTGGCTCAGGCTGGGATCTTGCCATTTCTTCTCGATATCCTTGAGCAGGGCGATAGAGGTGTCCGCCATGGTGCTTGTTTCTATTAGAATTTGAGAAATTTCAACGATAGGTAATATAACAATAGCTAAAATGTGAATGATGAGTTGAGATTATAACATAGCGATCTTAAACATTCGCATGAATTAAAACGACAGCTTGGGAGGAATGATTTCGTCCTGGGGGCATTAATAGGGAGTACAAGTCCCCCCATGAATGGCGTCGTTAATAGTGGTTTGGTTCGAATAACACAGCATGCAGTGAGTCCTAATTTCCTGTAAGCCACTAAGCCACAGAGGGGCAACTATTACAGCAGCTCAATCCCTAGTTACAGGCCTAGTTCCCTGTACTTACAGAGGAACTTACTCATTGCTCATTCACAATTCTTGATGCTACTTTGGTTCCCACCTTTTAGAGCTCGGCGTAAACTGCTTAGCCTGCTGAATAAGGCTTAGTTCCCGAGGGCTTGGCATTCACAACCTTGTACTGGCGAACCCTGTCGCCTGTATATTTAAGCGTAATGGCATGGAGGAGATGAGAGGTGTTTCGTGGATAAACTTGGCAGCCCCAGCCCACTCCCGCTACAACCCTGAGCGAAGAGACTAAAGTGCTCGCATTAAGGCTTGCTCTTGCGAGGATCTTGTAATTAATTATAACATATTGAGAATACTATACTACATTAGCATAACACTTTAAGGTCTAAGTCTATATCTAAATTAATTTTAAGATAGCTAATAACTTAAACCTAAATTAAAGGGAAATAAATAAAGATTTATTCTATATATAAGGTTTTATCTTATTAAATAATAAATAAAGAGACTAAGTATTAGAATAAATAATATTTAAAATAATTAATAATAAAATTTTACTTTACTAGTTCTTATTTTTATAAATAACTTTATTAATTAATTATATAGATATATTATTATTAAATTTCTCTTACTATATATTAAATTTAATTAATTTATATAAGGTTTCTAAATCTAGGAATAAGTAAATGTAGTAAATAATAAAGATATGTTCTCTGCATGTAATAAGCATTTTCCTGATTCCTCCATGATCGGCATCTTTTATGGTGGTAGCTCAAGGTCTCATCTGTCTCGAAGGAAGGAAGTACTTCTGTCTTCGCGTAGCCGCCCGTGGCTCGGCTACAACTCCACGAGGCATTGACAGGCCATGGACACATGCTACTCCTGTGTATGGCACCATGCGGCTCACCCACCCTCCACTTGTCATAACCGACCTCACCCCTCCATGACGAATTTCTTAGAGACACGTGGAGGTAGGTATGATGCCCCCACTCCCTACAGAAAAATAAAAACCTGTTCCGGGGCTCCCCAGGCCGACGTACCCAAGCCGCCGTGATCTTGGCAGCAGTGCTCTGGCGTTCACAAGTTGCATATAAGGACCTTTTGCCCCTGGTCAGCTCCTTCCATGCTACTCTTGTTGTGTTCAGCCTTGATGGCCTTCCAACTTCTGCCTGCGACGTGTTCATAGACCCTGAACGTTTCATCTCGAGAATGTATGTTATATCCTTCGGTGCTACCGTTGCTGAACGAGATGTTACTGTTGCTATCTGTCTCCCTGATCCAATTCGAGAATGCATGTTAGATCCTTCGATGTTACTGTTGCTGTCTGGTTCCCTGATCTTTGTGGCAACACCATCAACACCACGTTGGCCTGTGGTAAGATATCGCCCCTTCCAAATGTGATCCTCGACGAAACCGGTTGCTTCAGCCGAAGCCAGCTCAGTCGCGTAGATTATTTCACGTGAATGGTTCATTTTCATCCTCTTCAAGGCTTTCCCACCACTAATAAATGCATTCCTTGGATTTCAAAAGTTCATCCTGATCAAGAACCCTTTTTATCCATACCGGTTCTCGCTTGTTCATCCCCCCATTTTCTTCTCTCCTTGTCTTTCCTCTTTTTCCTTCCTTTCCATCTTGCTTCAATAAGACACAATAGGCAACAAATGTCGTATTGCACTTGCATAGTTTACACATAAACCGCGTTGCGTTCACTTGGTCTCCCATCACTCTCTCATCCCACTGTGCTTCGCGTGTCCGAACAGGATACAGCTACCAGCGCTATGGCCGACATATCAAGCATGACGCCAGAACAGTACCTGGAGTACATCAATGGGCCGGCCGCCATGCCACCCGATGGTGAGATGCCAGACTTCACAAGAATTGACAACGAGAACGGGATAGCCACCTTCGTTCTGATCTTCAACATTACCATACCAACAATCTTCACCTTGTTTTACGCATATGCCAGAGTCTTTGTGTACAAGGACTTCGTTCATTCGGATGGTTCGACCCCCAACTTTCTTTCATTTTCCCAGTCCAAAGAGGTTGCTTTGCACCCTCTTGCCTGCAGCTTGTACTCAGCCAATGCCTGCTAACCTCTTCTTCTTCTTAGTGTACTTTTTCTTCTCGTACGCATTGTTCATTTGCTTCTGTGCATTTGCCTTCAAGATTATGCATAGCTTTGGATTCCATGTCAATCAGTGGGATTTCATGGTAAAAGAGATGCCCCTATTTATGGCAGTGAGTTCATACCGCCCATCCTTGATTCATCACCAGCCACATGCTTGGGGGTATGGTCACTGATACATGTCCTTCGCTAGGACACCTTCACCTCCACCATTTTCTACATCCTCGGTGCCATGTTCTGCAAGATTGCGATCTTGCTACAGTGGACTCGAATTTTCACACCAAGAGGAACGCGAACGGACCGAAAGCGCAAAGTCATGTTTTGGTTATCCATGTTTGCCATCTTCTTCAACCTTGCATACCACCTCGTCGCTGTCCTCACCGTCATTATCCCGTGTGCTCCATTCTACGGCAATGATGAGCGCGGCGCGCAGCTCTTTACATGCGTGCCGGAAATATACTTTGACTTCATCGAAGCTTGCCTCAATGTCGCTTTAGGGTTCCTCATCATGGCTATTCCACAGCAGGTTATTTGGAGCCTTCAAATGCCGTTTAGAGAGAAGCTCGGTATCTCCATACTCTTCTTCATTGGTGTTGGGTAAGTCAATCCCCCTTCTCTCCGCATTACACTTCACCGAGCTCTGGCTACGCCCTTTTCTTTTCTTTTCTTTTCTTTTCTTTTCTTTTCTCGTTTTTTTTTCTCTCAGAAGCTAACAATTTCTTCGTTCTATGCAGTGCGATTGGTGTCGCCATCGCCAGAGTCGTCGTTTGTGTTCAATGGTTCAGGGACAGAGGCATCTTTGGAGATGCTGACCCCACGACTGTCAACTCTACGTATGGCATGGCAGATCAACTGTACATCATCACCGTTGAACAGGCTCTCCATATCCTCATCTACACCCTACCGGCAACTCCCAAGGCTATGAAGAGCTTGGGCGTCACGAGGGTGTTCTCGTCCATTGGATCCTCCTTTTCCACTCTCGTTCCACTGCTGTCGAAGAGTAGAGATACCTTATCGTCTTCGAACAAACGCTCGGACAAGCATCTCAAGCTGTCTGGATCGGAAGCCGACGAGGCCGTTCTTATGAGCCTCGAGAGTTATCCTGCATCGACGCGGATTGATTCGTCACATGGGAGAGATGTTAAGGGGAAGCCTTCTATGAATTCTGTGCGGACAGACTGGTCCAAAAGATCGGGTGAACCTCCCAGGACCATGGCAAGGCCTTGACCATCTTCATAGCCATATTTTTCTAGTAGGCACGTTGAGTTATATAGTCTTTTACTAGTGGGCAGCGAGGTGTGCAATCACAATAAGTTATAGTTGACCGGTCAAAAGGAAAAGAAAAAAAAAGGACAAATCCACTGAGAATGGATGGTTTTTGCGAGAGCATCGTGATTCGGTTTGTTTCCTGTATGCTATCTAGGTGATATCACAATAACTCCACCGATTGAATTAAATCCTTATTTAATAATTAAGAGTTAAATTCAAAAAGTAGTATGTTTGAAATGACTCAGTTTCTGAAAGAGCCTATCAATCATTCATTAGATAAAGGAATGATGTGGTTTCTGATAAGCATGCGGTGTACGCTGTCTTTTTTCAATTATCTGAGTTATTTGCTTAAAAGGTCCGCACGAAGAGGTAGTGTACCAAATACTACATTGATCGTAATCCCTACTTAACCCCTGTCATGTAACAGCTTGCCAGGCATATGGTACTTTTGTAAGGATGCCGTTAGAGTAATGGCTTCGCATGGCCCATGGGCCGACGTTTACTGGCCATATATCCGTCTCTCCAACTCACCGGATAGTTCGAAGGATCGATCTGCTACATGTCACTCATCCTTGCTGCATCAATACAAATATCTGCCTTCCAAATAAGGCCTCTCCGCGCGACCCAACCACAAACCAAGTAAGGCCTTGTTTTGTGTTTCTTGATCTGTGGTGGCACTTCTCCTTCCTCTTCTTCTTCCTCACGTTTGGTTCTCATCGCAAGAAAGTAACCATGGCACTCCGACTACCAATCGCAATTGTACGTATCCGACCCCTTTTCTACCGAGGCAGGCAGCACCAGCTAATAGAGTCATCAAACCAGTTCGCCGTAGCATTAGCTGCCTTGTTCGCTTGGGTGCGCGACCGTTCCAACGCTCTGTCTATCTTCTATGCGAATCACCCTGATCGGTTAGTGAGAATTAATACAAGTAAAAGCTACGAAATCAAATTCCAGGATCGTGTAAGAAATTGTGAGGATGCCTTTCTCCTCAAGGAACAAGGACTGGCTATCTTGGCCTGCGACCCGGGACGTGACAAGTGGAACACAGTCATGGTAAGATCAGTTGAATGTTTTTATTTATTTCTTTCTTATTCTCGTTGCTGATTGTATCTCGGCAGGGTGTTTTTCATCCCGGACAAATTCCTCAAGCTGAATTATATATTTACAATTATGCGGCTAAAAACCTTGACGACGATAAAATTTTGAAGAAGCTTGAGCTTGTAAATTTCCCAGAAGGCCTTAACTTTCACACGGTCGGTTTTGGATATCACGAGGAATCATCCCATCTCTTCGTCACCAATCATGCCCGTACAGGACCTCGAATTGAGCAGTTCAAGCTCGACATTCGCTCCCTCAAGGCTACCCATATTCTATCTATCCTCCATCCTCAGCTCATTAGTCCTAATGCCATAATTCCTCTCAGTGCTGAGGAGCTTTTGGTGACCAATGATCACTACTTTACAGCTAAACAATCCAAGCCTCTCTACCTAATGGAGTCATATCTCGGCCCTGCACTCGCACCTCTCTTGTACATCAATCTCAAAAATATTGACAAAGGGAACGCCAAAGTCCTAGCTCGCGTTCCCTACCCTAACGGAATGGGCTTCATCAACAGCACGACACTAGCGATTGCCTCTACCAGTAGAGGAAGCGTGTATTTTTACTCCATGACGAAGGACCAACATAATCTTCCCAAACTGCAATACCAGTCGCGCATTCGGCTTCCTTTCCTCCCAGACAATTTAGCAGTTGAGGATGGGAAGCTTCTCATTGGAGGCCAGCCACACCCGCCCTCCATGGCCAAATACGTGAGCATTCGCCACATATGCAACTTCCCAGATACACTGCAAGGAGCAACGGAGGAAATGAAAGACGCTTGCAATAGCTGGTCAGCCACATCTTGGGCAGCAGAATGGAGTGAGGCCGATGGCTTAAAAGATGTATATGCAGGAACTGAGTATCCTACCAGCTCAACCTTTGTGAGAGATTCGAAAAGAAATGTGGCCATCATTGTTGGGTTGTACGCTAGGGGCATTATGGTTCTGCATGAATGAAGATGCCTTCATCTCTTCAAGAAACTAGATAGGAGTTTGCCAGCAGAGTCAGACTTAGTCTCGATAGCCACAGCTAGCTGCACGAGATACAAACAAAAAGAAAAGGGTCGGCTAAAGCGCCCCTTGGATTTGAGAAACCTCAGTCAGGTACCGCTCCTATCGGTGAATTGACACTATTAAGGCTGAAATCGCGCCCCTCACATCGTTGCATATTAACGTATTTCGACTGAAGGATGAACCACCTGCCTACTGCGAGCTAAACACAATTTGAGCTCAGTCATCTTCATGCTTAAAGGGTTGGTCTAAAAAGAAAGGAAGAAAGAAAAATGAGCAATATCAGTATACATAAGCTGCTTTATTTCTCTATGCCCAAAGGTATCTCTATCGCTTCGATACCGAGCCGGTGTCCTACCCAAAATAGGATTTTCAAGAAGTTACACGAAACAAGGATAAAAAGAAATATTTCCCATCCTCATTCCACGTGAGAAGTTCCACGATTGCTGTGGAGAAGGATCAATCATCCATTTCTCTTCTTTCTGCCCTTCTACGCCTAAGCGCAGATCCATAGACACCACCAGCCAGACCCGCGACGGTGGCTGCCAACACTGCGGCGCCATGGTAAGCCGGCCTAAACTGACCCCTCTCCAGAGCCTTGAGGTTGGTAAAGTACCGAGCTGTGCCGTATAGAATAGATCCAGAGCCCATGCCCATGAGGGCGCCCACCAGAACCTGCGAGTCCTCCTTCTCCTGCTCCTTCTCGCGCCGGGCCTGCGGGGATCGAGGTTTCTCGTGCTGCAGCAGCTCGCCGAGGTCAAGCTGCGAGAAACGCTCAATGGCGATTCCCAGGGCCACAAACCCTAAGCCGGTACGAATCCAGGCTAGGAATGTGCGCTCCGAGGCCAGATGGTCTCGGGCTACTGAGCCAGTGTTTTTGTAGAGGGGGGTGGCGACCTTGAACCAGGAGGACATGATGGCTGCCGGTCTTGAATTAGATAAGTATTATGTTAGAAAACTCAAGGTGTAGTGACAGAAAGCCGTTCTCGCGGTGCGACCTTAGTCAGCTAGTAGTGGAAGAAGCCAAAGAATAAAATGGGATATCGGCTTGTGTGTATGAAGATTCAGATCAGATCCAAGACGCGCGATGACGCGAGCGAATTTCCAACCTTGGAAGCCGGGCTAAGCGAGACCGAGGCCGAGGCCCCACTTGCTTGTCACCTTTGCCTACCCTAGAGCCGCCCCGATCGTTCGGACGTTAATATTGTGAGCTAGACTAACTTCATAGAATTATTCTGCATGTCTTGAGAGGTAAAGAATAAGTAAGATAATCTAGTTCATTAATTCTGCCCAAAGGGATTTATCAGCGCGTACAATGAGATTATAAAGACAATGACCGGAGATGTTTCGGAACTAGAGGGAGGTAGAGCCAAGGCCTAATTAGAGTCTTCAAGTCACCGAAGTATCCTCAACACCACACTTGTAGAACTTGATCATTATAACTGAAACGATATTAAAAAGGCGCGAACTTTCTCTTGGGCTCTTGGGATAACTCTTGGTTTCTTTCCTCTTTTTCTTATTTTTTTTTTAAAAAAACTCTATAACCACCTATATCAGGGTAAGTCGCATATCGCCTGAAAACTGTTTCCTTCTAACTGTTAGGTTATCCCAGCTTTTTTTCTTTCATAAAGTACTTACTATCAAGGTTTCGAAGGATGAAAGTTCCCGTAATTGTCACCATGGCGCAGTGAACTAACGACAGCTCCTGAGAAGCTGGTGCATTTACTGCCTGCCAGGCATCAGCAGTACCTGCATCCTAAAGATGAGACCGTATATCAAATGGAAGCGATTCGACACAGAGCAGGTAGGTGGCGTATACAAGTCGGGAGGGGCCATTCACTGCCAGCATGATATGGTAGACGAGCATTGTACGGATAATACTATTGGCGAATAGCTCAGCTCTCCAAGGCTAGAACTCAGTTTCCGGCACCTGTTTAGGAACCTGCATATATTAGAGTTGTACAATTTGAAAGCAAATTCTATGGTTGAGTTTCGTCTCCTCCTCCGATTCTCTCGGATTCTCTAAGTTAATCTAACCCTGCCCAGTATCCCTAATCGCGGTAGCGGACGTTGTGACCCTATAGAACCCTTAGTGTCTACTTAAAATTGACCTTTCTTATTCTTCTTATTCCTCAGTATCAGCGGGCCGCTGGTAGTTCTTAAAAGACACTAAAATTCCAAAGTCATAAGATATCTTAATCGCGCCTGCCGTAACGAAGGCGACCCAGAAAGCATTGTTCTCTGCCAACACTCCGGTAACCAGTGGCCCCAAACCTTGAGCAACAGTCTTCAAAACGTTGATGAATCCTATTACAGCAGTACGCTCTCCAGGAAGAAGGATACCGGCAATAAAAGCCGAGCGTGGTGCAGTGTCCATGGACTGGCTGCAGGATCTAAGAATCAGAAAGATGATGGCCCAGTACGCCTCGTTAGGCAGCGGGATCAGGGCTAAAAAGACTGAAGATGGGAGGTGGGTGAAAACCATTGTCTATGTAGCAGGAGAAATGTTAGTGGCAAAAAAAAAACCCAGCTTTCTCGAGGGCAACCTTATTTGTGTGGTTGGAGCTCACTTTCACATTGCCAATGCGCTTCGCTAAAGAAGACGCGAAAAGCGTAGAGACGGCATTGAAAATACTAGCCGAGAAAAAGATAGAACCAAGCTGTCCGTCGGCTATATCAAATCGAGTGCGGAAGTAGTAAGAGACCCATGATCTTAGCGAAGATTAGCGATTGGAACGGCATTTGCGCCAGCGAAACACCACTCTCAAATTTGAAAATAGGCCTACTTACATGGGTACCAGGCCACTTCCAAAGCTGTCCAGAGCAATGAGCGCGCAGAGTAGGGGCAGGAAGCTGAGGCTCTCTCTGCTTACTTTGGGTCTCAAAGACCGTCGTAGCTTGGACTTACTCGTCTGAACTTCCGAAGGTTCAGCAAGAAGTGGTGATTCCTCGTCAACAACGCCACCGACCAATTGCGGCCGAGAAGTCTGTTTGGCCTTTTCTGTTGGTGCCTCGACAGCCTGCGTCATACAGAGGGCAAAAACTACCTTGACGAGACCGAGGATGGCATAGGTGTAGAATACCGCCCGGTAGGCATCAAGAGCCGACCACGAAAGAACTTGCAGTAAATGGTTAAGCACCCAGCCGCAGGTCACGATTCCTGTAGCCGTGCCTGAGTAGCCCAGAACGCAATGCCAGGCAAAGAGGTCACTATGATCCGAGGGTTCGACTAAATGAGCCACAGCACTTTCCTCGACTGCTCGAAAAGGCCCAATCTCGTTACCACTATCAAATAGGTGGGTTAGGACGAGAATGTAGGAGGATAAGGTGGACTGCTCACTTGGCGCTGATAACACCGACGATGGCGGCAAGGAGAAGCAGCCAAAAATTGTGAAACGTCGCAAAGACCACACCGCTCAGAACCATCAGGAGGGCTCCTAGGACCAGTATCGCCCGTCGGCCCACGACATCAGCCACGAGGGAAAGCACCAAGCTGATGGCCGCGTCACCTATCAGCGTCAACGTCATGAACAGACCGATGTGACTTTGCGAGATGCCCAACTCATGGAGGAGAGGCACGAGGACCAATGCTGTTGCTCCGTAAGCGTAAAGTCTTACGAAACGCTGGAGACAGAGGAGTTTCACGTCAAACGGGGCGCGATATAGAGCTGCTAGGCCCAGCTCCTCCAGTACTTGACGCAGGACATCGCGGGCGCGGTGCCGTTGGGGCTGATCTCCTAACTCCGATGACATGTTCAAAGATACAATGCTAGTCTCTTAGGACTTGGTAGAAGGATGTTAAGGTTGAAGTTTCTGTACTTGACCCGCCCCTATCTACCAATGGCGGATGATGCTTACGTTACCTTCATCACGCAATTGCGGGGTTTTATGAGTGAGTCATGATCAATCTTGAGTTGCGGAGCGTTTCGCTGCTTCTGGGTTCGATCGTAATTATCGCCATCCGGTTGCGGAAAGACAACGTCGAATAAGTACCCAATTCAAACTCTTATTCTTATCATTCCTAGACAACTTAAGCTTTTTTAGAGTGCATAGCTTTGAAGTCTTCCACTGATAGGTAAAGACCGTTACACGATTAGCCCTCGATTCTAGATTTTCCCAGCAAGCGCTATGTATACTATACAACTACTATTTAAGACACTGGTAGTAACATCACTCTCGAGGAAGATAGCGCGGGTTGTTGCGATTCAACCTTCGGATGTTGACGGCGAGAAGCCCCTGTTTGCATACAGGGTCGACTTCTTAGTAACAGTTGAGCTACGGAAATGGATCGGAAATGAATTTGCGGCGCATTTTGCTATTTTTGAGATGATGAGTGGGTGAATAATTTTGTCCATTGGTGATTTCGTAGCAGGAATCAACCAGCCTACACCAGGAAAAAGGTGAAATGAAGTATTTACGATTAGTTGCTATCCATTACATAGTCCTCTAGTTACCTAAGTTCCTGCACATATTTTCATAAAAATATTCGGTTTGTTTAAAAGTGACTAATGCATCTATACGCGCGCGCGTAAGCGCTTGGAGGGGGAAAATAGCAGGGGGCGAATATAAATCTGACTATTGACAGCAAGGATGGATGAAATAAAGGCACAGCCGCATCACTCTGATTCGATCCGCTGTAATCAGTCTGCCTAACCAAACGCCTTACATGATTCGAGGCGCAATAGGCGTATTCCTGCAATTCTTAAATATGTGCTGGATCGTAACCTGACAAACAACAACCCAAAAATTATATCCAACAAGTCACAGATTGATTTCGCGATGAATATCTCTACGGAACCACGTCGGCGATATCAGGCTCTACCCAATGGCCATATTCGGCTTTTGTCGATTGAGCCGTCTGCGGATCGCGATGCCCGGGTCGAGTGTCACCTCTCCCCGGCACAAATCGGCGAACGACCATATGAGGCTCTATCGTATGTTTGGGGTCAAGAACATGCAACCCTCGGCATTCTTGTAGACAATGAAGAAATGCTGGTACGGCCCAATCTGCATGGCGCACTGAAGGAGCTCCGCTTGACAGATCAACCGCGGACACTCTGGGTCGACTCCATCTGCATCGACCAGTCGAATATTGCCGATAAAACTCAGCAGATCAAACAGATGGCAACAATTTACGCGTCTGCCGCACAAGTTGTTGTCTGGCTAGGCGAAGAGGACCGCGACATGGATGCAGCGCTAGACTTCATTCAAGGGCTATCAAACTTGGACCCTGCCACAGCACGCGTGATTGTGGACAATCAAGGTGTGCCGTGGGAGCTTCGCAAGAGGGTTTTCAATGCGCTGGGTATGAAACATGGGATTGACAATTATGACGAGGTTGTTGGGGGTCTCGTTAGGCTTATGGAGAATGCCTGGTGGACGAGAATATGGACTGTCCAGGAGATCGTGTTGGCTGGGTCGGCAACTCTGAGATGCGGCGCGAAATCTGCCTCATGGGGCAATCTAAGCAAGCTGGCTGCGTTTGCCCTTGAGGTTTCTCATCACAACACCCTGGGATTGGGACGGCCAATGGACGAGGCAATATTTGATGAAGTCACTGCTCGCGTGTCAAAGCTATACATTGCCGTTGGTTCTCTCAATAATCTCTCATACAGGATCAAACAAAGCTTGGACATACACCTGGAACAGATGATTTGGTCTCAGCTGCTCACTAGACGAGCAACAAATCCCTTGGACGTGATATACGCACTCCTAGGCATGGTGACGGAGAAATCCGTCATCGAGATTGACTATGCGATGACGAAGAAGCAGGTCTACACGAGCACTATAAAAGCCATGCTCGAGCGGGGTCATCGCCTTCTCCCGCTCCATTTTCTGCAGGACTGCTATATGGAGCGTGATGCCAGTCTCCCTTCTTGGGTACCCGACTTCGAAATACTCCATTCTTCTGCGACTATTAACCTAGCCACAACTGGTATTGGGACAACCCTGGCTCTGGCGTCTTTGTACAACGCCTCGCTCGGCGATGCTACTGATCACTACGTACCACAGTTCCTTGACGACGGCAATGATGTCTTGCAGGTTGAAGGCGTGTCGGTAGATCAGGTGATAAGCACAGGGATCGTCTGCCCTCGCTTCCCCGATGGATCGAAGGAGCGGTCACTTCAACTTCAAACTATTATTAGCCAATGGCGTGAACTCATAACTAAGCCAACAGACGAGTACATTGGAGGAGGTTCTGTCATTGAAGCGTTTTGGAGAACCGTGACATTTGACCTCGACCTCACAGATCGAGATTATCTGGCTGGGAACCCAAACAGGAGAGACAAGAGATTGCCAAGAGACGCGAAAGGGATGCCTCCGACAACCGCAGCCGAGGAAGATGAGATACTGGAGGGGATTGTCGATGCGCCTCCTCCCAAGACAGTCCTTGAGAAACTTGGCGAAAGGCGCTTGTTCACGACCAAGTCAGGGTATTTTGGCCTGGGACCGGCCTCCACACAGCCTGGTGACATTTTCTGTGTTTTGCGAAATGCTCTGTTTCCTACTGTGGTCCGGCCAACAACGACCGGTCGTTATATTATCGTCGGTCACAGGTAAGCTCCTGATATTTCTCTCTGATTATTCATATATTATATTCCAGTATGCTAATAGTTTGATATTCTAGTTTTGTGCATGGGATTATGTCTGGCGAAATTATCAATTCCCTGAATGAGGGACGATCTTCACGACAGGTGTTTGAATTTATATGAGAAATGTATTAAGCGAGAGATCTTAACTGCAATAATTTCTATGATATAAGATCTCCTGGCCGTCTTCTATAATGATGCAGGCGGACAATTTGACATTGCTTTTTGACAAGGAATAACTGCAAATAATGTCGGCTTGGCTCGACCCTTATTTTTGGTCGCTAATCATCTACGCGTGTTTATAAATATGTAGTCTTCAGAGAGACCCAACTCAATTTCAAGTTTAGTATATCCTAATACGTCCAGAAGAGACTCGGGACTTGGTAATTGACCAAATTATCCCACTCCCAGTCTGACAAGAAATCCCTGGTATTAAGAGTGACAGCCCAGTCCAACTCTTTGTCACTCTGCACCCAAGCGCGAGCACCGTTGACGCTCCCGTCACGGCGACTTGTCTGCCGATCGCCATACCCATATGCAGCTACACATATGGTCGTGGTGGTTAGCCATATGCTCTTTTGTGTAAAGTAGGTGAAGGGGCTTGGGATTGAACGAGCTTACCGTGTGATCCGACAAACTTGGCAATGGAGCTTGCGCTGCCCGCCAAAGAAAATGCACCCATGGTCTGCTTCTTGATGTCGCCTCCTCCTCCATAAACGCCTGAAATTCGTTGAGTCGACAAGGGATGGAGCGCATCATATCCGATGACCCTGGTTTCTTGCGAGATACGATCACTCGCGTGGGCTGCTGCGCCATCCTTGTACAACGCGATATCCAGACCGTTCAAAAGATTCTTCTGGAGAAACTCCAGATATTCCATCCCGGAGACCTTTTCAACAATGTAGCTAAGAACCATTGTTCCATAGTTGGAATATGCGTAAGATGCATCGGGCGCAAAGTCGAGCGGCCTCCCAATAGCCCAGTCAATAACGTCCTTTATGGTTGCCGTCCGGCTGCCTTGCAGCAAGTCCAAGGCGACCATCCGAAACTGGAAAGCCGGGTCGCCAGACTTGTCGCGGTCATATCCAGCCCTGTGCTCGAGAAGATGCTTGACCGTGATGTTGGCGGTGCGTGCATCCCCATACTGATGAAAGCCAAGCAAAGGGTATGCCGGGGTAGAGTAATTGAGGCGTCCGGTCTGTACTAGGTTAACAATGGCGGCATTGACAAACATCTTTGAAACGCTACTCAGGAAGAACTTGTCGTCCGGCTCGACTCGGGCGCGACTGGGCTCGGCAAAGGTAAAGGAACGCTCCGTGACGATGGTGCCATTCTTGGAAACGGCGAACTGGGCTTGGCGGACCCCATTCCTCTGCATCCATTGACGGAAAAGGGAGTCCATATTGCTCTTGGCCTGCTCGTTGTTAGCAAACCCATCAACAGACCCCTTGGCGGTCCATGTGCGCTGCTCGGATAGATCCGTCTTAGCGAAGATGGCCGTAAAGCGAGTGTCGACGCCGGAACCTGCCCCCTGCACATGGATGGGGTGAAGGCCATTCGTCTTCTGCGCCAAGATCTCAGCATCCAAAGCGGAAGCGGAAAGAGAGGCGAAGGAACTCCAAGAGCCGATGTTGGTGTCTGTAAAGACGGGCGTAATGATATGGTCCTCCGAGACGAACAGGTGCGAGGGGCGCCAGAAACGCTTCGACAGCTCGGCTTGGTACACCTCTCCAAAGTCAATGTTGTAAGACGGTGTGGTGTAATACACGGTATTGAAGACGTTGCCGACATTCTCGTGGCCGAGTACGCAATAACCGCGGTTCTGGGGGGTGCCATACATCCGGAAACTCTTTACAATCATGGAGTGCCCGACGGTTGCGTTCTGGAAGGCATAGGGGTTTGTCAGATCGCAAGTCAGTGCCCAGAATGGCGCGCCCGAGATCTGCTCCATGACACCGGCGAAAGTGGCACGTTCAGCCGGCCCAGTCGCGGAGACATGGGTCGCGACGTAGCCCTTGGCCTGCCAGGCCGTCCACCAATTTTCGAACGACTTTGCGTCGAGACCCTGCGCCATCTCGAAGGCGGGGCCATCCCGTCGAACCCAAACGGCGGCAAACTGGGCATTCTCGGGCTCTCCATACGCGCTGAGAGAGATGATGCGGTAGCCTTGCTGTGTGAGTTGGGAGGCTCTGGCAGTGTGCTGGGCTCCATTTACAGAGTGGTATACTTCATATGTAGGTCGAGTGCTGTCCTTGCAAGGCACGGCCACAGCCAAAGAAAAGAGAGAAAGGAGAAGAAGAAAATGGGCCGCATGACGGCTAAATAATGAACGCATGTTGAAGGGGTGCACCATGGCGTGTAATGAGCGTGTTTTAAAGAAAGGTGGGCTATGATGCTCACAGAATGTTCAATATCCACATCATGTCCGGAAGATTAAGAGTATTTATTGACATTTACTCCAGTCTTGTGCTTACATCAAGTTGCACGAAAGCCAAGCCCGGCTTTGGTATTGTTTCTTATTATAACTCTAGCCGGCTTGGCCGTACATCCCCTTAGAATAACACGAGGCAGGCAATTGACTGCCCGATACGGGCTTCGATCTGAGCCTCTCCCTATTGCCGTTGGACAACAGACTAGTCCAAGCCACCTTATCAGGGCAGACTATCTACAAGACTATTGGAACAAGCCAGCTAACGGGCCAACACGAGCGGATGCCGCACGGGCGAAGTAGAGTAGATCTTTGGTAACACTCCAATGCTGGGGAGAACAATCTTGCTCCTGTCTTTCCCCTCGCCGTCAGTCTGATGTGGATGACGGCGACACGCAAGAGGATGATTTATCTGTGCTTGTAGTTCTCCAACAAGCCAGTCTCGTGCTTTGCCGTTAGTCCCACACACCGCCAGGCCCTACACTACCAGCGGCCCGCATGGGACTATCTACAATAGTTATTGGAATCGGGTCTTAATTCTAAAATCCAGCCAATAATTTCATCATCCTCTGCTAAGGCCCCAAGTCAACACTAGTGGCTGAAGAAACATGCAGCCTCTTTCGGCCTAGACGATGCCATCTACTGGCTAGGAGGATAAATCATGATTCTAAATCAAGCATATTCGGTGGCGGAGTCTATCACGCAGCATAATCTATGACGGAGGTTTCAGGCATAGCCTTGGAGCATGATTCAAGACGCTGTTGTCAAGATGCTATTGTAACAAGGTACCTATTGCAGTAATTGCACCAAAATCAAGGCTGGGAATTTTATTTGTCTATGAAATGGTAAAGCCCAGGCCGATAAAATTGATTAACACTTAATTCACTGTAGACTGAATGTTTTCAACGTTCTCTTTAACCTTAGGTACCTACAAAGATGTTCGTATACTGGTAGCTCATGGACCTAAAATCCAATCATTATTACTATTCTTGGTTCAGTTCCAAACACAACAGTAGTCCCTAATACAGCACAATTCGGACACCCCTCGCCTGCTACGATCAAAAATCGCTGAGCGGTGGAGTTACACATATTACACATAACTTGCTTGTGTACACTCGCCTGAATGAGGGCGCCAGAGCCGCACTTCCAAATCTTCAGAGGCCGAAGCAATAAACTAGGCATCAGATTCGAAGACCACTATTTTAAATTTATAACTGTTGCCCGCTCAATATCTCAAAGCCATGTGCTCCTATTGTTAGAATAAGCTGGGAATTAGGTGAGAAGGCTTCTAGAGGAACCCCCTTGCTTAATCCCTCATGTTATGGAAAAGGTTTATCTCTGTTGGCATACCAGAGCCGAATTGTACCATCGGCAGAGCCTAGGTAAGGCAATAATCTGGCTATCAGGTGACAAGGCCTATGAAATAACACAGCGGTCAGTGTGGCCCTGTATTTCTGAATACATAGTACCCTATCATCCCACCCGCCAAATGGCTCACGCAATGGCGAGGCTCTATCACCAAATATGTACTTAAATAGTTGAGATGATGATGAGTTCAAGATCTTCACTTTCATTTTCTGTCCCTCATTTTATTTGGAAGAGTGTTGGGCAGAAACGTGTCGACTTGCAGTGTCGCTGATATCTCATCGGGTTGGGGGCTGAGCCCCGCAAGGCGTCCAAGGCGGCAGTGTTCGGGCATAGCCCCGCCTGCGAGGCAGCCATGACACTGCAGAGATAGATATAAACGAAAAGGGACCTTGACCCTCTTTCTCCCTGATCAAATTATCTATACCCATCTGAGTTTGAGTTCTTGCACCTCTTCATCTTGCTATACATAGATATCGCTCTATTATGCTAATAAACAGAAGTTATCACTGATGGATCCCCTCAGCGCCCTCAGCGTCGCAGCAGCAGCGGTGCAGTTCTTTGACTTCGCCTCCAAGATCTTGAAAGCGTCCACAAAAGGGTACCGAGATGGCAAAGGCATCGACTTTGAAGCCATCGAAAAGACATTAGAAGACTTGATCGACCTCGAAAAGGGTCTAAACCGTCCAGAAAAACTCCAGCTAGGGCAGGGCGCAGAAGAGACAATCACAAAACAAGAAAAGGTGCGTGAGCGCTTCCGCCGCAAAGGTATATGCTGAGCTAACGGCAGGCCAGGCGCTGGAAGGCCTTTACTCTGATTGCCGCACTCTTGCTGTGGAATTGGTCAACATGTTGCAACAGATATCAAAGAAGAAAATGAAGAAAGGGCACAAATGGAACAGCTTCCGGCAAGCGATTCTCTCCGTATGGAACGAAGGCCGTATTAAAGCACTGGAAGAAAGCATTGGTCTGTATAGAAACCAGCTCGTGACACGGTTATTGTCATACTTAAGTGTCAAAATGGACCTTTACGCAGCACATAACCAGGACCAAATGCAGAAGCTGGACACAAACGATGCCGAAATCATGAAAGTCATCACCTTCACACAAGATCAGGTACTGTCAGAGACTCGGAAGAATCACCAAGAAGTCGTGAGTGCTCTGTTCACACTCACGAACGGGGAGACGAGGACCATGGCACTACCCGAGAGGTCGCAGGCCGACCTACTGGATGCTTCCCAGGCAAAATCAGTAGATCTGAAGGCACAGAGTATGCTTGAGTTCCAGAAAGGCAGATCGATTACAAAGAGCGAGGCCCAACCGATCCAACAAGCAGTTCTTGATTGCCTTCAGTACCGCCATATTCGTGACCGATTCGAGACAGCCCAAGGGCGGCATAGAGACACCCTCGATTGGATATACTGTGATCCAGTAGAAACTAAAAAACCTTGGTCAAATTTCCGAGAATGGCTTGCTTCTGAGGAGCAGCAAATCTACTGGATAAACGGGAAGCCTGGGTCGGGCAAAACAACACTGATGAAGTACATCAGCCAAGAGAGCCGCACAATGGATGGATTGAACGATTGGGCGGACGAAGGTAAACTTGTGTCTGCATCCTTCTTTTTCTGGAATTTGGGGCCATTTGAGATTCAAAAATCGCAGGCTGGGCTCCTTCGATCTCTTCTGCACGACATACTTTCACAAGCACCGTCACTCATCCCCATCGTCATGCCGGAATTATGTCTAGATATTGTAAAGTCCAAGGAGGAAGTGGGCTCAGGTCTCTTCGAACCGCCCGGCGAGGGGTCAAATAAACCCTCTCGTTATATCGGCGATCCTACGTGGCCGGAGCTCCATCGATGGTTTCGCCGGCTTCTACAACAAACCAACGCCAAGTTACGGTTCTGCTGTCTGATTGACGGTCTGGATGAGTACGTTGGAGATTTTAGGGAACTCATTAACATCAATCTCGGTGAAGTGAAGGCCTCTCCTTGGATCAAGTTCGTTATATCAAGCCGGCCAATCATACCATGTACCGAAATGTTTTCATCGTTTCCTGGTCTGCGCCTTCAAGATCTGAATTATGGAGACATCCGACAGTACGCAACAGATATGCTCCAGCCAAAGTTAAGCCTTTTGGCTGATGATGTCGGATCACAAGAGTCTTTATTGATTGAAGAGCTCACGAGCAAATCTTCTGGGGTCTTTTTATGGGTCGTTCTCGTCGTCAAATCTCTCGTTGAGGGATTAGAAAACGGGGACAGGCTGTCAGAGCTTCGGGAACGGCTCCAGCAACTCCCATCAGACCTGGCGGAACTGTACTACCAAATGTTTGACAAAATAGATGGCTCGTATCGGCGGCAGGCTTCGAAGATATTCAGGATTTTGCTCCAGGGTTTGGAATACGAGGCAGAAAGAGATGAAGCCTACCCACTTAGCGCCTTCATATTTTCTTACGCCGAGCACAGTTGGTCCGAGGTATTATCTGCTCCATTTTCAAAGATGACACCTCAAAAGATTGCTCGCAGATGCGCCGAGGTGGATCGTCGGTTGCGGAGCCGGTGCTGTGGGTTGATTGAGATCAACCAACGAACAGTGACAGATCCCCTTGCCGACGCGTGGTGCGAGGGACAGCTGGAACGCGGTTCCCATTATTATGTCCCGAGCAGTTCAGAAAAGGGGGTTTTAGAACAAGTCCGTGTTGCTCAATCTGCCAGGCTTCAAGACAGAGTGGTCATAGCCCCGGTCATGACGGTGCACAATGGCAAATCCCTCGGGGAACCTGGAAACAATGCAAAGAGCCCTCCTTCAGTTCCGTGTGTCGAATTCATTCATCGATCTGTGGTCGAGTTTCTTCGAGAACCCTCCGTCTCAGCCATTCTTTACAAGGATACCGAACATGGAACAGATCCACGTACGTGTCTGCTCTTCGCTCAAATGCTCTGGCTTAAGGCTGCACCTCGTGACCAAATATTCGGCCTAGGAAATTCTTGCACAGGTCGGCAGCATTTCCATGGTGTCATGCGCACCACTCTTCGAGACATTGCGGAGGCCGAGTCTTGTAAACGCCCTTTCCCGCTTGACTATTTGAACGAATTGGATCGTATACTTCAGTCCCACTGGAATGCAGCAAAGTTTGCACCTTATACATCTGGTCCTTTCAGATATTTCGCGCCCGCAAATGGTCACTGGGCTCAGTCGCTCTTCTTCGTTGCGAGTCCGATCGAGGACAAAAGGTCGTCAGCAACACAAAACCCGGTAGGCAAAATGGACATGGTAGTATCCGAAACCACCCCAAAGCCCGCCCATTTAAATGTAATAGGGCCAAGCCAGAAAGTCTTGGACGAAATAAACAATCTGGGATTGGCTCGGATAGCCGCTGCGCTGAGCCTGAAGTCATTCATTGAAGTCAAAGGGCACTCGGAGATGAATAATAGCCCTACAGATCCTAATGTATACACGCGCCTTCTGGAATCGATTGTCCGATCCAAGACTGAGATGTATCTGGTCCAGGATCACATGAGGAGGGAAGCTCAGAAGATCAGAGAGAGCGGCTGGTGGGGACAGTTGACCTTTGAAGGTATCGGCGCAAGTTCTTGCATAGCAATAATTCAACATCTCCTCGACAGGGGAGCGGATCCCAACCACATTGCGGAACAAGACGAAGCCTCTGTTTGGATCCGATACCTCCAGATCACGCCAATACTGCTATACTTTGAAGAGGACGTGGGGGATCTCGCACGGCCCTTTCGAGATTTTATATCTCACGGAGCCAGCTTATCAGACACCTTGGAAATATGTGCCAAAATGGGCAATGTTGACGGCAGCATTCATCATTTTAATTACGTGTGGCTCAAACGCCTGGGTATCAAGTTGGGAACAAACCAACAAATGAGTAAATGGCAGCCCAGGACCTTTTCGGCGCTCTCATTTTTGGAGTTTCTGTTTCATCATCAGGTCTGGATCAGTGATGAAGCTGATGATTTGCTCAGTATAGCTAGAAGACAACCTCATTCGCAGAAAAGGGACGAGAGATCCCTGAGTGTCGGAGTACCCGGAATGAAAAAGGGGAAGGGAATCAAAGAAAGGTGGCAGAAATTATTTCTTCTATAACAATCTATGAACTTTGAGTTTTGTCTGGGGTCAAGAGGGAAATGGAAAACTGCGTTTGAGGAAACACCAATTGGGATTTTGTGGCATTGTATATATCCACCCAACACGTTTTAACTCCCCAGAAGCACGCATATATCTAGACGAAACAAAGCATATGTCCACACCCAGCTAGGGGTAAGAGGCTTTTCACCTACAAGTCAAATCTCAGCACGAGGCTAGACCTCCCACTTTGCCATATACCAGTCCAATTCGAGCACTGTCGGTTTCCTCCCAGTTTTGACGATGTCATGGATCTCCTGGCGAGCAGCTACACATGCACTCTCAGTAGCCTGGATTAAACCATCCGGACCAGAGCTGTAAACCCATGCCATTCTCTCTGCACAGGAGCTATGCGTCTCGCTTCGCATTGCTTCATACTCCTGGCCAAGCTCAAGGCAATGCCTGATACAGTTAGATGGGTTGAGTCTTTCACTGAGAGAGCTAACGTGTTCAAACACGTCCAAGGAGCGAATTGTCCCAGCCATTGCCTTGAGCTCCTGCCATTCCTTCAAATATGCCATCTCTTCGTGTCGGATGGACCATATAAGGGTGAATCTGCTGTCATCGATTGAACCTTTAGCCTTGATCCACCACATTGCAAGACTGTAGGCACCCGTGATACCAGTGCCGCCGACAATACATATGATGTGGAAAGCCGTCTCGTATCCCGTGTCGCCTGGTCGGTACGGGCCTTCAATCCTAGCCTGCAAGTCGGTCCGGCCTAGGGGCGTGGAGGTAAGCGCCGCCAGCTTCCATGTCCATTCTTTATCCAATTTCTTTTGGTTCTTGCCCTGTGCTGGCTGGAAGAGAAAGACTGGGCCAGAGGACATTGACCCCGGGATGGCTGCGGTGAAGGGGTGATTCTCCAGCTTATTGACAGCAGGAAAGTTGAGATAATAACACGCGAGAGCATCGCCCGGGGCACTTTCCTTCTCTGTTGATATAAGAGCGCGGTATTTTTCGTTGTGGGCGCCCTGCGCTGGCAGGGAGATTCTATACCAGCCGTTGCTAGCATCCTCAACTGACACCACCTGGGTCTTATGCAGCCCACCAGCCTCGCCCCCAAATAAACGAATCGCCCAATCAACGGTCCAGAGAACCAGACCAGGTATAAGGAAGTATATGTCAGTACTAGCGTGTATTCCGGCACCCACAAGTATGAGAATGCTCGTTATAAGATGACTGTAGTAAAAGACGTTATAGAGCCGGCGTCGGACGAATGGCAGTGCCGTCAGGACAATGAGGATCAAGGCTACAAGTGTGGCAGCCCCTGTGTAGGTAGTTTGCGTGTACCAAGAGCTCCTCTTCTCGCTTTCTTCAAGCGTCATGGCCGGGTTTCCCGTAGCGAAGGCTTGCTCTTTGCCCACGTCCCCTTCACTGCTAGGATCGAGGGCGTATAGCTATCATTTATCAGCTTCAAAACTGTACGGCGTTGAGTTGGTTCTACTTACCCCGTATGCCACTCCATGAGCCAATGTTGCCGCCAGGAATAGGTAAGCGATGAGTTTATGTGCAGAGAGCAGTGTGCTTTGGTGCACACCAAATGATAGGCCCACCAAGCTGTTCCGTGAGACGGGGATCAATAGCAGTCCAAGCAGAATGTCAGCGTAGTGTCCTGTAATACCAGTCACCGTGAGCCGGATCTTGGCGGTGTCCCACTCCAGAGGATCTGTCCTTGCTCCCCAGAATTTTGCTTGGGCTGGCAGCCAAAAGGAAGTCGTACCAAGCGTGGTAGAAATCACTAGTAGTGAGATGGTCAAACCGCCGACTGTTATACGCTTTCCCAAGATAGGGAGTACCGGGGACAGATGAGAGCGAGACAATGATCTCCCATATTGAGTTGAAGCCTGCAGTAAAAGCAGACAGCTACCAGCCACGAGCAGTCCGTAATATGTGGCTATGTGGAGCCGGGTCTCCAAGGGAAAGTAGTCTTCCGAGCAAATTGTCGCATAGCATGGCAAGTATGTTAGGCCGATGGCCAAGCCAGCGGATGCGATCAGTAGAACAAAGGGAGCAGCAAGACTTGTTAAGTGCGCCATTGTAGAAATGAGAATGGAAATGAATAATTGCAGTGAGTTGGTGGTGATGTATTGAGATGATCCGGACAACATCAGCAGCATGGAGCGGATGGCATAGAGTTTAAATAATAGAATATGATAACTACATTTCGCCCAAGGACTATATTTAAACGAGGCTGTGTCTCGCTATTCAAATCCACACTGGATACGAAATATCAGGAGTCCGACTTTGTAAGACGAAAGAAGCAACCAGGTTCAATCTGGTTTGTGAAGGTCACCTTCAGGAATAGGTGCCCGGGATTGTCGGGGAGTGAGCATGACAAGACAAACCCTGCTTTTTGAACGACCTTGACTACTTTTAGGCTTTTGAAGGGGCTTAGATACTAATGTTATCTTCAACGGAAACATCCCGCTCAGCTTAAGCTTAAGGTGACGTCGAATGACGGCCAAGCCATGCTCGGCAGATCTTTACTTGTTGCCCACCCCTGTTCGGAGCAACTTTTAGCGCGTGTCTACCGAAAGATCATCCGTCATAAGCATTATCTTCTCCCGGTCGGGCCATTGCGTGTCCTGTGGACCTCCCGAACGCGCCTTGACCAGTCAGCCAAGAGGAACGTACAATGGTATCTCTTGGCTCTGCGTGGATTGTGGATATGTCAGCCTGCTCAGCCAAGGCCAAAGATCCTCCGTTAACGAAATTGGCCACTCGGACCATCTTTCTCTTCTACCACGGAATAATTCTCGCCAGCATCTCTCTCCAGTTGTCCCCAATTCGTGCGCCCATCCACCCGACGAGACAGCGTGAGCAATATTCAGTAGAGCGGCATGGAAGAGGTTAGATCTGCTGTCTCAGATCCTTCACCCAGCGACCCGCCATCAAGGGTCTGCGATCGGTGCATCCGGTAAGGTTGAACCCCCTTACTTTCACGATTAGCTCTGGCACCTTATTTACACTAAAACCTACGGTGCAGGAGAAAGGTCAAATGTATGCCCATGTGTCAGCTACCAAACATCCTTTCCATCTGTAGAACGTGCCGCTCACCTTTCTCTAGGTGATCAAGAGCGACCAACATGCTCCCGTTGCTTTCAGCGTGGGGAGTCTTGCTCCTACACATCCACACGGCGCAAACCTGGCCCCTTACGCGGCTCACACTACACTACACTGAGAACGAAGTCGAAGCGGTCATCTAGTACGTATTAGATAACGCAGTTCGGAAGTTTTCACTCCGGCTCCAGCTGGACACTCGCTAACTAGCACTTCAGACCCTCACCAGGGTCGTCCCAATTCTCTAAATGAGTCTCCAGCTTCGGATAACACCTTGACGCCAGCGACACCTATATTTACGCACAGGCAAGACGATTTACCCCGCCAATCAAACTCAAACTTTCATGATACCCCGACGGAGACATCAACCAGTCATCAAAGTGTCATCGAATTAGGCATTACTCCACACCAAGAGCACGATCTGTATGCGCGTCAAAAGTCTTTGATAACGGGAAGAGCTACTAATCTTTTGCCATTCGCTCCCAGTCTTAATAAATACTTTGAGATCATCCAGGATGCGAGCCCAATTTTCTCAAAGGACCGGTTCCTCCAAGGTTACAGAGATTCCTGTAGCCGTGATCTCGTCTCTACCATGGTTGCTATAACAGCTAAGCTGACCAAAAGCGACATTTTCGTTGACAGGTCCCAATTAGACTCTCACATCGACATACTGCTACATTCAGGGTCACTTGAGGTAGACATGATCGGTGATTGTCCATCATTAGATGAATTCCGTAAGGCCTGCCTATTGGCCGTTTACGAGTTCCACCAGTTCCCGGGTCATCAATCCTGGCTCAGAATAGATAGGCTCACACGTATGGCCTATCGCGTTGGACTAGATCGTCTGGAGAATATGCGAACCCTCTATAGCGACTGGGAGGCTATTGGGGAGCAGGATATGCAAGAATGGCGGGCTGTCTGGTGGTGCATCTATCACCTCGATTCATACTCTAATCTCGCAACGGGCACACCGTTCCTCATCGAGGATGATAACATTAGCACATCCTTGATTCAGTGCCACCCAAACAACACACCCCCGGATCTATATTTACCTCCACGCTCGGGATCTTTATGGGAGATTCTTCCCTCCATTACCTCCAACTCTCAAACCAGTCTCAGAAACATCAACATAATTGCGGTTGCTGCCACGCGCCAGGTTGGGCTCGCGGCACGAATGCACCTCTTGCGGCGAAAGGAAGAAACCGCCACACGCCTTGCACACATCGAACGACATCTGTCGGCACTCCGACTGGCCCTCCCTTCTAGCTGGCTAAATCCTCGACGCAATGCGTTTTCAGACGAGTCTCCCGCCGACCATCATGCGAGGCTGATCACGGTTCTTCATATGATAATGGCTCAACTACTAGTCTCGATCCTCAGCTGCAGTTGCAGCTGCAGCGAGAAGCAGGATGAAGAATGGCTTGTGAACTGGAAAAGGGTGCTTGAGAATTGTCAAGATATTGCGACTACAGCCTCGGAGTGGAACAGCTCGTTATGTTCCACAGTTGATCCTGCCATTTCCTTGACCATCTTCACGGCACTGGTCTTCCTGGACCTTCACCAAAAATCTTCTTATATTTCTACAGCTAGCCTGAGATCTACCATCCAGCACAAGGATATCTTGCGCTTACAGCTTGAGCATTTTGCGAGTATATGGACACTCCCTCGACTTCTCACTTGTATGTAAGCCCAACCAATTCTAATTACCAGGGCTTCTCTAACTAACGCACTGTTTCTAGTATCATTCAAGGGCTTCAGCGAGTCGGTTTCTGGGCCGCTTTCAAACAAGCAGATAGCCTCGATAATGTCGCGCTTCGAAGCCCCCTTGCACCCTCGATGGCTCCAGTTCATCTCCTCTACCCAGTCAGTTTCAGGCACTGGCGGATACTAGAGAGCACGCGGATCATACGCCTCTCCCGCTCAAAGTAGATTGGTCAATTGACCTCATAGTGATGGACATTGTCCACGACAAATAATTTCCCCTTGCAGCATTTTTTAGAATTCTTGGTAACCTGCTGGTCTGCCTGAACCAAAATACGTGTAGTACTTGAGAAGATTTTCAAGGTTAGAGCACTCGATTTAGCATTGTACCATTTTCGAAATTTGTAGGTGCTCTCAGCAGATTTGCAACTTGTTTGAAAGGTCAACCAATTATAGTCTTTAGAAGCATATCTCTTGGTCTATGCATCTAGAACCAACTGTTTCAGTAAAGGGCCTTCGTAGTGTTGCACGGAGGGTTAATGCAAAAGACTACGCCGTTAATACCGCAATGCAAATACCATGTTAGTTGGCTACATACTCAACACTGGAATCCATATTGCATGTACTCATTACGTTTAGGGCATTCGAAAGCGGGTTATACATAGAGCCCCATATAAGAAAAACGGTTCAGGACTCCGAGGGAGAATTGTCAAGAGGAATAGAACAATATATTGAGACCTTTGAGCAACTATAGTCTATCCAGGAATCGAGAATTCGTAGCTCAATCTCATCGATTGTTGGGTTTTGAATCCCCTTATTTTCTCAGAAAGGTGCGAGCCAGCCCATTACAACCCAGAGAACTGCTCTACATCTGCAAGCCACAGACCAGGTTCAGTCTTAGCAGGGAAATGACCGCTCCCCTCGTGTCGGTCAAGCCGATTACAACCCAGAGAAGAACTCCTCTACATCTGCAAGCCACAGAACAGGTTCAGTCTTAGCAGGGAAATGACCGCCCTTCTCGTGTCGCTTATAGAAAACTAGGTTTGCCGCTCTCTCGAGAACATGTTTCGGCTAATTTTTCGAGGTTAATGAATGGGTCATGCATGGTAATTAGGAATTACCTTCACTTACCGCATAGTTAATATCCTTAATCTCTGGGAAAGGACCGTCGGGAAACCCCCAGGCAGAAAATCCAGTAGGCACCTCAGTCCTCGGGAAATTGCGCATCTAAAATATGTCAGCATCTATCAATAGTGAAGCAAGGAGAACTCTGATCATTTACGGTGTAGATGGTGCGGTACGAGCGGATGTTGGCAAACGGTCCCGGAAACCAAAGCATCAATGCGTCCGTGATAGTGTCATGGAATTCCAAGGGATATCCATCGTTGGCGGTGCGCGTGAGATCCCACATCCAGCCAGCAAAACCCACAGGGCTATCGGCCATTGGGAGTGCCGCAGCGAGAGGCTTCTGTACGTGCAACTCCGAGTATGCTGAATGAGAGTTCGCCCACGCAACCGAGCTGTTGATCCAAGCGTTCTCCTCAGGCGTTGTCTCATTCTTAGCTTGTCGGGCGAGGTCATCCTGTGTGACTTCAGGCCAGTAAAAATCAGTGAAGTGGCCAATGATGTTACTGCTGTCAGCGACCATCCACATGCCAACGATCCATCCCAGATCTGTAGAAACAAGACCGTACTTGTCGTATCCGAGTTTCACCATAAGAGCATCGAATGCACCTCCCATTTCCCGTGGTCCCATGCCAGACTTGGTTGGAACAGGGCTGAATCCGAATCCTGGAAGATCAACGGCCACCACGTGATAGCCCTTTTGCGTCAAGGGCTCAATGACCTTGGCCCATTCCAGATGTGTAGAAGGCCAACCATGTACCAGGAGAAGAGGCGTGGCATTGGCCGCATCAGATCGGTGATGAACGAAATGAAGCGGGATGGGCTCCTGATAGTCCCTGTTGCCAGGGACTGTGATGGCGTAATGGGTGAAGTTATCGTTGATTTCCTTTTGGGTGGCTCTCCAGTCATATTGATCCGCCCAGAAGCTCGAAAGTTCCGAGATAGTGCCCTCAGATGGCCCTTCATCAGACCAGCCCTCATCAAATCCCTTTGATGGTCGGTAGCTGCATACTTTTTGGATCATTTCATCAATCAGATTATTATCGAATTTAACTTCGATGGGTACGGGAGTGAGACTCGACGGAAATTCATAAACCGGGTTTTTGACGTCTCGAGGCATACTTAATGCCAGAGCACTCGAGGCAAAGAGCGCGGAAGAGAGGTTGAGAATCATCGCGATGCTTGATGAGAGTCAGATGAAACGAAGATCTAGAACTTGTTGTTGTATTGTATGAAGCAACATTCTAGAACTTGTGTCATTTCCATCTTTATATAGGTATTTTGCATTTTTTCCCCTGGTATTGCAGATTTGCATGGCCCGTAGTCAAAATTACCTTTTTGTCAGCCAGTGTCGTTGATTCCTCCGATTTTGCCGACCATGGCCGGACCTTAACTGCCACAGCATTTATCAGCATGCATTTCTAAGCACTGTAAATGTGCCTGTGATATTTCAATGCGAAATTAATGACCCGCAATACACTCAAAGAAAATTCATTTTTGCGTGATTTGAAATCAATGATCACTGTCAAGATGCGGCTGGGAAGGCGAGGCGAAACTTTTCAACGTGCAGGCGAAGGAGTACAAGTTGGACGCTCAAATGGAACCCTGTTGGCCTTGTGGTATGAGCCTTAAGCTCCTGTGATAATTCTATTCTCCTCTAGGCGGTGTATCCGACTGAGTCTACTGTATCCTCGGACGACCATCTTGAATGAACCGACAAGAGCGCCGAAGAGCGTACTCTAGTCATGCAATATGCATTTATCACCTCTTCAAATTGCTCCCATGACAGACTTACACATTTCCAATGCATCTTGCTAGCATGGAGTTCTGGATTACGGACCTCCTCGTGTCTGAAGATCGCGGCGATTCCTTGTATTCTTAGTCCTTTCGCTCACTTATGACGCCAAGGCCAGTCACACCGCTAATATGAATCACTCTCATCATGCAAATTTCAAATTTTGGAAATGTGTCTGTAACGTTCTTAGTCCTAGTCGGAGCGATCGCCACGGTCTAAATTAAGCCTATCATATGATGAAACGGTCAACAACTTCTGGAGCTCCCTGACTAGTCAGCACGTTGATGACCTGGTCAAAGTCATGCCAGAAATAACAAACCGTAAGCAAATTTTCTTCAAGAGAGATCAAGTGTTACTACTTACCCATACTAACTCTGTTCACTGTGGGGAAGTGATCCGATTCTATTTAAAATGAAGGATTTCGGGTATAACAAGTTCTCCCTGTCATATTATATTTCATGTTAACTGTGCTCCCCCTACACTAAAGGAAAATAAAGGCTTTTTCATGAATAATATCCATCTTCCAAGAAAATCACATAGTAATTCGAAAACTATGATTATAAACGTCTCTCTGCTTCTTGAATTACAATTGTTTGAACTAATTAAGATGCTGATTACTGAAGTAGTGGAGTCTGGCTCATGAGAACTTTTTTTTACTGAGTCTCACCTCAGATGCGGGGTATTAGGTTAAAATTTCCTTCTTTAGCAATGTGGTTTCCCTGATGTGACTCGGGGTGAAGCAAGTAGAGCGAGCGCTCATTATACATAATAAACACAGCTCCAGGGTGCCAGTAACTTTAGGAGACTAGCTTGATGGCCGGTCAGAAGAGCAAACCGCTAACGATCAGCGGCGACGACTGTGGCAGATGCCGCCGAGCCATCGTGGACGCCTACTCGCTCGCGATGGACCAACCGCCAGGCTATGGGGACTGGGTCAATGTCTTTGCTAGTTTTGAACAGCTAGAAGCCTCAGCCCAGAGATGTAACCTCTGTCGCATCATTCGCCAGGAGATTGTCTACAACCTAACGGACCTTAGGGACCTCGACAACTGCACTCAACCAGTGGAGGCGTGCTGGCAGCTATCAGATACCGAGTACTCGCTCAGTACACTTAAATTTCAAGTCGGGCTGCCCCACGGTGAGGTATGCCAGGCAAACCTAGTGACGCCCCATCAACTCGAGGCTCTAGGACAAATTATTCGTGGGTATACACTCGTGTGGCTAGGATTTTCGTTGCTTGCGGTAACCTCCTAAGGTGACTTTGAGCTCGTCCATGCTAATGTCGTTCTTCTCATAAGCAAGTTTCAAGGAAGATTCACAGTTCGATTCTATTACCAGTACAATTCGCTGGTGGTTACAGAATTGCAACAAAAACCATGTCTCCTGTCAGCGTTCTAATGCTACGGACGACGAGAGCGGAACCGTATCGGATGGTTGCTTCCCTTTCTTGCCTACGCATGTAATCGACGTAAATCCGACGTTAGGGCAGCATCGAGATTTCGAAAATGAACCACGGGGGCCATATATTCGGCTAGTGCAGGGACAAGGCCGTCGAGAACAATATGTGACATTAAGCTATTGCTGGGGCACATCCGGCAAGAATTTCAAAACCACCAGCTCTAATCTAGCCCAGCAGCTCTTGGAGATTCCCTGGGATAAACTCCCGCAAACAATACAGGACGCTATCACAGTCACCCGCAAACTTGGCATTCGGTATCTCTGGGTCGACGCTCTGTGCATTATCCAGGCAAGGCATAGCGACGATAGTACATCGGACTGGCCAGTCGAAGCGACCAGGATGGGCCAGTACTACGAGAATGCTACATGCACGCTGGCCGCTAGCAGCTCACACGACTGTGCTGATGGAATGCTTCTCGACCGCCCCGCGCTTCGGTTTGGTACTGCAGAAGATGTCATCATTGATTTCGATGATGTATACCTTGGCAAGGTGACGCGGATGCATCTCGTAGGGTTGAGTGGTCCACCCGTCGAAGCCGCCATGGAGGAGTCCCATCTTCTCTCTAGGGGGTGGTGCGTCCAAGAACGGGCCCTATCTCCTCGGATATTGTACTTCGCCAGGGACGCACTGTTCTGGGAGTGTAATGAGCTCCGCGCTGGTGAATATAGTCCGTGTAAAAACCTGAAATTCATCCCGAAGCCCAAGACACACGGCATGTTGCACAACCAGTCGTGGCGTAGTGTCATCGGCGAATGGGACCTACTCGGCGCGGGACTCAGGAAGCTCGTCCGAGACAACGAAAACTCTAGTGAAGGGTTGTCGGTCTCGGATCTTGAGTTAATACTAGGTCCCTCGTGGATGGGTTTGATTGAGAGATACAGTTCTTGCAAATTCACGAACTACTCGGACAGACTGGTGGCTCTCTCGTCCCTCACGGAGAAGCTATGCAGGATAACAGGGGCGGTCAATATAGCTGGGCACTGGCGGGAGACGCTTGGCCGTAGCCTTTCCTGGACGGCAATTTCTCCTACCAGGACGAGAGAGATATGCGGTGAGCGCAGTTGTCCCTCATGGGCGTGGGCATCAACTGACTGGGGTGTAACATTTGAGGGCCTCGATGGGGTGTGGCACGAAAGCATGGTGGTGGAAGATATCTGGCAAGAGCCTACAAGGGCCACGAACAGGCGCTCTAGACACATACTGAGAATGAGTGGCACATTCTGCGAAATGCCTCTAGCTCAGTGGGGTCTAAGAGAGCCTCGTAAAGGCAATGCAACGTACAGGACTTCATCTTATGTCGAGTCTGTAGCATGGGATCACATACCGATCACCTTCGATAAGACGAAGCTCTTGGCGTGTATCTTCATTGGATTTGTGCGCGAGAGCGATTATGTGTCAGACACTGTCGGGCTTGTCATCGAGCGAACGGGCAAATTCAATGACAGCCAAATTGAAGAATTCGAACGTGTTGGCTTGCTGAGGTTTGAGAATCTTTCTAGTGAAAGGTTGCTAGGGAAGGTGTGGAGAACAATAGATGTTGCTTGATTAACAGAAGAATCAGCAAGCCGCGTGTGTTTTATTATACCAACAATATGTAAGGTTTTTCATGTTAGTCCAAATTAATTAATTTTGCATATCCTGTTACATAGACGCAATATATTAGAGGTGCATTTGATCTCGAGAGGGGTAAAGAATATTTTTGATATACAAGTCTCCAGAGATGTCTATTGGTGTCTTACTGTCGCTTAGTTAAATCGCTTCCAGAGGAAACTGGGAGGTGTCTAGCGGCTTGCAAGAGTAGAGGCTCTAGTAGAATTTAAGATCCTTTGACACATCGAGATTATACTAAAATTGAGAAAGTATCTAGGACATAAAGATCACCTTGCAGAAGAATTGATGAGAGTAAACCGATCACGGACATCCTCTCCAATGAGAATATTCCCCAAAAGCATCAATCTCACGGGGGAATGGCCGCATCACCTTATCGGCCCATCCTTCCTCACGCCAAGGGTGATCATACTCAACCCCGTACAGAAGTTTACAGTATTCCCAGTACTCTGGATACCAGCCTGCTTGCTCCCAGTCAATAATCCCAACAATCCGATAAGCTCCTGGGGGGCCTGAAACGATAATATTTCCAACGGTCAGATCGCCATGGGTAAAATAAATTTGACCTTCATCAGAAAGATAATCCCGGAGGAGTCCATCGGGGAATTTTAGTTCCTCTTTTTCAGGATTCTGGCGAGTAGCAGCGGCGAAGAGCCAATCATTATATGATTTGATGGAAAGGAACGGACCACCTTCGTAATCATAGCGAAAATATCTATCCTGTAGAGTACCTCCATTAATCGACCCTAATACGGTTGAGCATTTAGTAAGGCTTACAATTGCATCTAGCAAGCTGAAGAGAAATAACTCACCAATGAATTGCGGAGTGTCTGGTTTAATGCTTCGGAGAGCTGTTACAATTTGGCTCAGCTGGACGCAAATTGACGTTTTATCATCTGTTTGAAGATCATCCCAGGCTTCTCGTAGTGTCTTGCCGGAAATCAGACTCATATATATAAAGGTCATATCACCATGTTTTCGCCAACCGAAAAGCTCTGGAACCGGCACCTCACTCGTTGGAAAAGCATGTCTAATACCATATATTACCTGTGCTTCCTCAAGGTGAAGTTCGGAGGAGCCTCCGACTTTGATTACAAGGTTCTGGTCGCTGAACTTAAGGACACCAGCTCCAAGATCTGGATACTGCCGGAGAAGTGAGGCTGGCGTTGGCAGCTCTGCCGACTGATGTCGGAAGAAAGAGGTATCGCGAAAATCCATCTCCGGCTGAGAAATATCAGGGAGAGAATAAATATCAATTTTCGGTGAATTCGCCATCTTGTTCCGTCTCCGACCCTTGACACTCAGAATTTTAGTTGTGTGAAGGCCAACATGCGGCAAGGTTATGTGAATTGGTCGATCACATGACGAATCACATGACGGGATGGGGGATTCAATGTCAATCCAACGCTCAGCCACTCCTCGTACCTGCCCCACCTTTTTCGGGGCGGTTGCCAAGGGCGGTGATTTTACGAGCCCCTGAAAATGTGGGGCGAGTGTTCTAGCCCCTTCTGAGCAAGCGCTAGAGGAGAGTGAGCCTGGAATAAGCAATCTGCGTATCCCCGTTCTAGATTTCTCTCAGCGAGGTATAACCTGGAATTAAATGGAAGCGAGCAAACGTCATGGTCTATCTGTTTAGCTCTGGATTCATTATGAGTGGTTCAAAGACGTGAAATAACGTCGAGAAATTGATGCGTTTGCGGAGACTAATCTTTCTCCGAGGTGATCTGGAGTGCTGGATTTCCATCGATCACTGCGTCGGGTTCATCCACGCTTATCCTGAAATCCACAACCCTGCATTCCCACCACTCTAGTTTTCTATTTAAGCACCTCTTAAATAGCAAAGTTTCTTCATTGATGTTAGTAACACTATGCGTTAAATCTTTCATCATCTGAGCTGTCTTGAGTGGGAGATTGTGCACGGAAGGTGTTATAGGGTAGCAAAATCTGCAGTGTTTCATAAAAAAGAAATACACGCAAAAAGTGGAGCACTGGTACGAGGATCGCGAGAATAATCGCATCTTTCGTGTCGAGCAGTTCTTGCCGAATTATCTTTGGGTATGAGACCCACTTTCGTGAAACTCGTATAAATTCTCTTTATACGAGCACAAACCCGACTCAATATCACGATCTCAAGAACATCATATTGACCATGGATCAGCGTTACAACGCGGGAATGGTACATCCGGGTGGACGATGTCATACCCCAAAACTGTTGAGTAATTCGATCACTCTCATTCGCTCTTTCAGCAGCCTCGTGTTTACTAAAGAGGGACAATTTCCCGAATTGTGAATTTCTGTTGATGATCCCTTACGTGGCATATAACGTTGCAAGCGAATAGGAGGCTGTCATTGTCTCCTTGGTTGCAACCAGAAGGTTTCACCGGGCACCCTAGGAGGTATGTTCATGCTTCCAAATTGCCAGTCGCCATGCAGGACGCGAATAAGGGCAATTGATCTGCTCGATTCCTCTCTGCGTGGCTTTCGATAGGTCGCCCACGGGCCATTGGAGAGCGAAGCATAATCATAGCAGATGAAACCTTCTAATTTATAAACTAGGTGGGTTACGAATAGCCGAGTTACTTACCAAATTCAATAGAGCGCTGGCGACGACGATCTATATAAATGGCTCTTTCCCACCACGTTCGAGATACAAGGAGACTCTTGCCTTTGATTATCATCATTTCAAGTCTATTTTTTATATTGGCTCTTTCGCACAGACTTATAGTCACCATGAAGCTTGCCACATGCTTGGTTACTCTTACAACAGCCTGGGGCACGGCTGCCCAGCACCCTCATCTAGAGGAGGGCAAGTGGAAAGCTCCGGGATCAGATGATTGTGCGTAAACAGAAGGATCAAATTTAGATTTTGACTAATCCAATGTAGTTCGCGGGTTAGAAATCACCTTTTCACCGACACCACCCGACAGTCTCCTATCTGGAAGCTAATATTGTGCAGACCCTGTCCTATGATGAACACCCTGGCCAACCATGGATATATTCCCCGCGATGGAAGGAACATTACGAGACCCAATATTATTGCGGGCTTAGCAACAGGGCTTAACTTCAACGAGTCTCTCGCAAGTCTAATGTTCGACATGGCTATCGTTGCTAACCCCGAGCCGAACGCAACATACTTTACGCTGTAGGGCTGTACGGATAAAATCTCTGCCAATACCTCTCTAACTTGAGGTTTCTTAGTGACCATCTGAACCAACACAACGTCCTTGAGCACGATGCGAGCCTCAGGTTAGTCATCACGGCAAGTATTTCCTTGTGGGTACGTGACTTGCTGATGTTTGCTAGCCGCACTGATTCTTATTTCGGGAGCAACCATATTTTCAATTGGACCATCTATGAAAAGTCAAAGGCTTACTGGACAGACCCTATCATCACGGCTCAGATGCTGGCCAACAGCAAACTCGCCCGCCAAGTTGAATCCAGAGCGTTTAACCCGACGTATAGATTCACCGCCGATACGGAAAACTTTAGTCTAGGAGAGATTGCTGCACCCATTATCGCATTTGGGGACATGGCCCTTGGCGAAGTCAATCGTGCCCTGGTAGATTACTTTTTCGGTGTGTCCCTACCTACATTTTCATACATGATCAAATCACTGATAACTCCCTAGTCAATGAGCGACTGCCCGCCGAATTAGGATGGCACAAGAAGGAAGTGGCCATTGGCGTTGAGGATATCCTCAAAGTATCTGACATGATTAAGGCCGCGACTAGTCTTATCACTGGCCCTGATCAATCTAAATCTGCGAACAAACGGGATTTACACGCTGGTATATACGTCTAAGGAAAGACTCTATGCTGTCTCGGGGTCGCCGCTTCTCGTAGTTGAGAGGTCGAATATAACTGTCTTCAGTCACCAGTAATGGTATGAAATTCATTTGATTTAAAGATAACATTTGAAAATCTTCCTTTCTCTTGAAGAACAAAGGGTCAACGTGGTACGTTACCAAAGTGCGAGATAAATCAGAGTGGGGGAGGCCTCGATGGTTATGCCTGAGTTATGTTATCTATGTGGGCGCCACGCGTTGCTTCTGCTACTCTACTAGGATAATCTTGCTCTCGGGCTTCTGTTAAATATGACCCCAAGCTTTACTAACACCGATCTAAACTGCGTCACACATTGATGATACGACACTGTAAGATATACTTCAATTATAGCTACTTTGCTATACCTTGATGCTGCCTGAACAATTTCCTTCTTACTTGATCGGACGTGTTCGTCAGCTGTAGAGTAAAGATGGGATACTACCGACAGACGAAAAGTATCCGTAGGGAAGGGATGGGCCTTTGTATGATATTAATTAACTTCTCTTGAGCATAGACAATAGAGGAAGCACTGTCTCATGTAAGGTCTATCGAATGCCTGCCCCTGAATATATACATGATATTGATATGTGCAGCTGTCTGTGGTCAATATACAAGCCCTCAGATTACTGCTGAACTACCTTCTTCACTATCTCAGCAACCTGCTCCTCGGTCAGACCCTTGATGCCAAACAACTCATTATCAGTCTTCTCAAAATTCCCGCCGTACGCCGGGTCGAGAATAGCGCGGAAAAGGTAGGGGATAAACGTTTGGGCGTCGAAAAGACCTTGAGCAAGGCGAGCATCAGCTTGGGCAGTCAGATCATCGACCTTTAATTCAATGGGCTCCCAGGTTTTATTGGGAGTGGCCTCGCGCGCAATCTTTAGAAGTTGATTCTGCGTAATCTTAGCGTCCTCGACGTAGACGGCGCGATTTTTGGTCTCCTCGAGATGAGAGAGGATACCGACGACGGCATCGCCGATAGTGGCAAGCGTAGTAGCGGAGAAAACGCTGTCACCACCATCCAGAATCTTCGGCTTGCCATCAATGTGCGAGAGGAGAAAACCATGGTCAAGGCCCCAATCAAGGAAGGCGGAGTTGTAGACCAAAGAGTACGTAATGGAGTTAGCCTTCGCCTTCTCAATAAGATACTCCTGGATTTCAATTTTCTTCGCAAAGACAGGCAACTTTCGAGTTTTGGGATTATCCAAGTTTGAACCGAAGTCGGAAGGAATAAATCGCTTTACACCAGCCGCGATGGCAGCATCAATGAGAACCTTTTGCCCAGGGATCTGGAGGGTCCCAACGGCAGAGATAAAGGCGTCCTGGCCCTTCAAGGCCGCAGTAAGGGCGTCGACAGACGTAAGATCAATGTCGACAACCTTGGTGTTATCGGGGAATGTCGAAGAAGAACCGTTGCGGCGGAAAACAGTGACATTGAACTTGTCAGAGGCGTTGAGGCGATCAAGAATGATCTTGCCGAGGTTGCCGGAGGCACCGGTAATGACGACGTTCTTGATGGCAGACATTTTTGTACGTGAAATTAATGAAGTGTAGATATATCTTTGGTGTGAGGTCGGAAGGATTAGACAAGATACGAAGGTGAGTCTGATGATGTTGATGTGACCCAAGAAACAAACCTCGGGGGAGATGGCAGCTTAAATATCAGCAGGATCCATACCCTAATGCTCTTACTATCGACTCAAAATTCGTCTTCAAGCTGCTGGTTGATTATTGAGCCAATATCAAGAAAGTCTCCGGTATTAGTCCGTCTCATCATTGCAGGCAAGATGGCGAGATTCATAATTTCGTTTGTCATCTCGGTGGGTGACGGTGAGAGAGAGGTACTTGTCCTTGGCGTGGTTCCTAGTGCAAGTGCAGGTACCTCTTTGCCTTGCCTTTTGCGTGCATCATCCCACCCATCCCTCCGACCAAAGCCGACATCCAGCTCCCACCCCCACTCCGAGTCAGTTGTCAGCGTTGCTCTAGTCTTGATGGGGCCGAGTCGTTATCTGGGGAATTGGTTCTCACGACGACGATGCATCTGTCTTCCGCTTCATGCCAAGCTTCTCTCAGCGCTCCTGGGTTTTAATTATAACTCCAAGTATAAGCAAGTTAATCTAACAAAATTATCGTATTATTATAAGTGGTTTATTAGTAATTAGGCGGTGAAGCAGGTAAAAAAGAAGTTAGGCAGTGTTTTTTTTATACAGCCGCACGTGGTACCTAACTTGGGAAGTATTCCTTGCCGCAACGGGAATAGCCGGTCAACCTGCAGAACCAAATTCCGCTTACCTCATTTCGAGAGTGTTTCCCTCATGTTCTCTTACTTCCTGCCTGCGAGACGGAGCAAAGTATGGAGCGTGGGCATTCCGAATGAGTGGATCTACTCTTCAACTTTTTGTTTATTCCTGCTCCTCCTATTCCTCCCAAAGATGGATGCCGACCGGACGCGACATACCTGCCACTGTGGCAAGAGTTTCGTTCGCAGAGAGCACCTGCGAAGACACCAGGCCACACACGGCGAGCGTCAACATGTCTGTTCGATCTGCCAACGGCCCTTTACTCGAAGGTTAGCCAATCATCTCACTCGTCCAAACTTTTCATATTCTGCATAATGAAATCGTCTCACGCAACATTCCATCCAGCGACTTGTTAAAACGCCATCTCTCCACGCACACTGCTTCAGAGCAGGGCCCATTGAGGACAGTGCAGGCTTGTGATGCCTGCTACGAAAACAAGACGAAATGTGATGGTGGGGAACGATGTTCCCTTTGCACTAGACGCGGCATCACATGTATCGTTTCACGCGGCAGACCCTCAAACCAGAAGGCGGGGCCTACAGAAGAGGAGGACGCCATTGTGTCAGAGGATGTAGACGGTATTCATGAGGTCAATTATGTTCAAGAGTGCCAAGATACATCCGTGAAACAGAGGTCCTTTTTTGACGAAGACACTTCTCACCTCAGCAGCGATGGCCTAGCACGGGCTGGAATGAGCCAAATTCTCGAACTTTTACGAGCAGCTTCTGCATGCAAAGACACCCCCACGCTATCTGTCTCTGACTCCGTCAGGAAGTGGGTTTCATTGTGTACTGAGGCCTACTTTGGGCCATTTCACGATCGATGGGCCCTTATCCATGCTCCTCTATTTGATGAAACAGAAGACGACCTGTTCATCGTTTCTACCGTTGTGATGATCGGATCGATCCTGCGTGATAAAGTTTCGATCGTTCGCGATTTAACCCTAGAGGTTCACAGTCATCTACATGACTACTGCATAAAATCTCTTGTAGCCACCCTCAAAGAATTGATCACCCCCTTTATTGGATCGACAATCTAACACTCTATAGACTGCCACGCAAGATGAGGATCTAAAAGACTCCATTTGGCCTTATGAGACTTATCAGCTAGCGCTCCTCAATATCATCGCAGCATTAGAACTTGGGGTAAGACTTTCTTGGTCTCACCCTGTCTTCTTTCACGAACCTTAACTAAATACCAATATGATCAAATCAGAAACCAAGCGCTATTCGGAATGCAAACAGACTTCTAAGCTTCATCATAATATCTATGCGAGAGAACAACATATTTAGCGCTGAATCTGTGGAACGCCACCAATCTAAGCATTTCCCTGGGACTTTTGGCCCTTGGATATACATGGGGCGTGACCGATGGAGATGGTTAGTGAATACCATGACCCGTAACCAGAAATTCAAACAAGATGGGCATGGCTGACTCGACTTGTGGTGTGCAGGCAAGCTTCTGTGATTCTTCAGCTAGATGCGTACATGTCGCTTTTTACCTCCCACCCTCCATTTCTGCGGCTCGAGGAGCTTGATCTCGGCTTGCTCGCCACATACACTCTTCGTAATTCACACGGACTGGATATGTTCTTCCAGCGCGTGCCTTATGAGCCAAAGGACAGGCAACGGACAAAAATTTCAGACGTGGCACAAAACCCACGGGGACTGCCCGCCTCAGGACCTTTGGTAGAAGACATCCAAATGGGCTTGTCCGGCATCGTAACAAGGCTGTGGGTGTGGAGGCGGAACGTGCAACCCTCGTCCACCCCCTCACCTACCGAGGTTGAAGAGAGACTTCAGATTGAAAATGAGCTCGACGAGTGGGAAAGTAAGATATGCCAACTATTTGAGTTATTGCAAGCCCCGGAGACCAATCCCCAGGCGGTTTCGTTCCTCTTCCACGCCTATACTGGTAAAGAGGATCCAAGAAAAGACGGCTGGGAAGGGCCAGTTGTGGCCAGAATATCTGATCTTTTGTTCGACATCTCCATGTTTTATTACTGCCTCGGTCTGCATCTCTTTGCTGCAGCTCCAGTCATACACCATGTTGGCGCCATGTCAACGGAAGATGATGAAACGCGGGCTTTGCTCCTACAGTGGACGTCTTCAAGTTCAGCGAGGCAAGCTGTATGTTTTGCCGTGCGAGCGCTCCAAACATGCGAAAGGACCTTTTTACAGAACTCCCAGACCAATTTGGTGCTCAGTCCGATGACCAAGCTTTGTTTAACTACGGCATGCGTCATCCTTCACGCCTGGGTCACGAGTCCTCATCGCACTTGCACATGCCACCTTGGCAATGGCGCGACTATGCCGAATGTCGACCTCAATGATAGAGAGGCTCGCCAACAATGGACACTAGTGGGAGGCCCAATATCAGTGGAAGACACTTCATTATGTAGCTGCGTGTCTAACGTATGGGTGGCTCGATTCACATCGGTCTTGGCCTGTGATCCGCGCATATGGGAATTCGGTATTGAAGCGTTGCGTAATATAGGTTTATAAAATATAAAAAGCCTAGTAATGCAGCATCTCGTTGCTATCATAGCTGAAACAGATTAACTATCAAGATGAGATTGCCCCCCGGGCTCGGAATATTTGTACATAATTCCTAGGACTACCTCATTCAAAGCGGGGTGGTAACAATATAATCCTATAAAAGGATGAATCTCTCAAATTCTTCTAGTATAAAAATAAGAACATTGTGAGGACCTTGAGGAGTTCACATCAGGCTTTTCCCAGTGCAAGCATGAAAACTTATGCTCTCTAGGAGGATCTTTATTATGTTCACAGTGATGCTTTTAAGATGTTTGAGTAGAGCATTTAGGTACTAAGAAAGTTCGATGGTAGCGAAAACTGACAATCATTCACTATATTGATTTTACCAATCAAGCGCTGGGCCGGTTTCAAGATATGTGTTGAGATGGGGGCATTGTCATAGACGACGACTCCGTGTTAGCCGGCGGTGGATCGCAGCCTTAAATAGTGCGATACTTTAATATCAAACAGCCGAAGGGCATGTTGGGTATTTTCTTTCAACATAGCTACGATGGTTTTCCCCAATGCGTAGCTCATATTGTTGCTACCCAGGACGTACTCCTTCTTGCTGCTTCTCTCAGCTCATTTAGAACGTCGTTGGCGAAGTATGATTGGGATTTCACCGAGCTCTCGATCTCTGACAATCTTACCCATTTGAGTAGCCAGGACTCAGGGGTGTGGAGCGAGGCAGTGCATACGCAACGACGTTTCACTTTCACATGACTTCGGCCCGCATTTGACCATTTATCCATGGGTAGATAGTATTCATGTAGGACATCTGGTCCACAAGCCCAACTTTGCATTCGCACAGGAGCACAGCAGATTTGAGGATTGGGCTTTCATTTGCAACTGATCCTCGCGCCTTGAGTAGCTTTCACGACTGACGACTCACAAAGGGAGAGACTCGCTGCAATGTCCAACTCACGGGTTCTGATAGCTGCCTTGGCCGTGATTGCCAGTGTAGAATTCGTTTTCGCTCGGCCAAACTTCCTTTTCGTTCTGACTGATGATCAAGATACACACATGGAATCGCTAAAGTACATGCCTCAAGTCCAAGAGCATCTTATTTCCAAGGGCGCCACCTTTAACAAGCACTACTGCACAGGTATAAGAGACGCATTGCTGAAACTTTAGAGAACGTTGATGCTGACTTTTTAAACCATAGTTGCTGTTTGCTGCCCAAGCCGAGCCAACATTTGGACAGGCCAGTTATCCCACAATACCAACATTACGAACGTGCAATTACCATGGGGTAAGTGAACGGGTCCCAACCAAATCTGCCCACTGTCTACGGTGAAATAGCACTAACTAGTAATTGAGGCGGCTACTCTAAGTTCATCCAGGGCGGCTATAACGACAAGCACCTGGCCCTGTGGCTTAACCAAGCGGGCTACAGCACCTACTACGCGGGGAAACTTTTCAATGGCCACACAATCAAGAACTATGATAACCCTCATATGAGCGGATACAATGATTCCGCCTTCTTCCTGGAGCCTTACACTTATCAGTATTTCAACGTGAGCTATAGTCGGAACGGCCAGAAGCCTACGAATCCCGAAGGCAAATACTCAACAGATCTTCTATCCAATCTGACCAGAGGGTTTATTGATGACGCACTCGATAATTCAAACAACCCGTTTTTCATCACGGTCGCACCCGTTGCTCCTCACGGCTGGTTGACCGAATGGCAGACTAACGCCTCGTTTGGACCGCCTTTGCCTGCTCCCCGGCACAAGGGTCTATTTAAAGACTACAAAATCCCACGAACAGAAAACTTCAATCCAGAGGAGGCGAGCAGCGTGAATTGGATATCCAAGCTTGAACGGCTCAACGACACAGTGATTGAGTATAATGATGAGTTCCAGCGGCTACGTCTACGGTCATTGGCTGCTGTGGACGACATGGTCGGCGACGTTGTGCGGAAGCTGGAAGAAAAAGGTGTTCTGGACAACACCTACTTCATCTACTCTTCTGATAACGGATTTCACATCAGCCAACACCGCATGCATCCTGGGAAGATGTGCGGCCTGGAAACGGACATCAATGTGCCAATGATCATCCGCGGTCCGGGAATCGAAGCAGGCAGTACGCGCTCTATTCCATCCTCCCACACTGATCTGGCCCCAACGCTGTTACAACTGGCCGGCGAGAGCATTGGAAATAAAGAGTTGGATGGTGCACCGATGGATCTCGGCCTTCCAAGCGCAAACTATTCTGCCCCAGCGCGGACCGAGCACGTTGCGGTGGAATTCTGGGGTCCAGGGCTTGGCGAGAGCAAGTTTGCTAAACCCAAGCACTACAAAAACAATACGTACAAGGGACTTCGCCTTGAGTCTGACGCATATGGGTTTTATTATTCCGTATGGTGCAATAATGCTAGAGAATTGTATAACATGAAAGTTAGTAAACACCATGAGTTCGGGATTGGCATACATCAGCCCATGGAAACAAGCTGACAATACAGAATGACTCCGGCCAACTCAACAATTTGCTCTCATCGAGCTCTGAAGATGGAAACAAATTCACGCTGTTTGATCAGAATGTTGATGTTATTTCTAATCGCCTGGACGCGCTGCTTATGGTTTTGAAGTCTTGTAAAGAAGATTCTTGTCGAGATCCTTGGCGCTCCTTACATCCGGATGGCAAAGTCAGCAACTTGAGTGATGCACTGCGGGCAGAATTTGACTCTTTCTATAAGGATCAACCGAAAATTGCCTTTGATTACTGCGCGAATGGACTACTTATGAGCGCAGAAGGCCCCCAGAACTACACTGCATTCGGCGCTGATGCAAAGGATGGATCAGACGGGGAGCAGAAGAGGTTCATGATTGATGGGAGGCTGGTGTGGACGTAAGTGAAGAATGACACAGATTGCTTTTCCAGTTACCTTGAGGTCTAACAATTGCCACAGGACGGTTCTGGTGCTCATTGCCATATATGTCATATAGCAGGTTAATCAAACGTGTCATCGGCCGCTTATGCTTCCCACTTGGTACCATTATGCTAAGTGGGTTCTTATACAGTAGATATAGTATTGGATGCTGATCGGGCGAAGTATGGGAAGAACACAGAGGAGGCTCCTCATGATTCATAGTTGACATGTTGGTAGATAAATGAGATAATTGAATAATATAACCCTCCCTCTTGGGCGCAAATTTTACTTTAAGGAATATTCTGACCCGAAATTAACTGTAAGCTAGAAAAACAGTCATTATTTGACTTGAGATCGGGACACGGATAAAAATTCGCAAGAGTCCTTCAACACCAGGGTTTGAGCATCATATTGCGGAGACCATCAACAAGAGCCGCAGTCCCGAACAGTTATCTCAGCAGATCCGGAGCTGTGGTAACCCTCAACAGCTACAATCTGATAGTCGTGACTGCCCATCGCCAATCCAGCTTTGCTCCAAGCATCAAAATGACACCCAGTTTGAACGGTACCGCCAGTGCGCTTGCTCTTCCGGACCGACCAGTATTGCGGAAAGGTCTTGGTCCCCTCGATGCTCGGCGCGTTATATCGCATACTTTTCGCCAAAGTATACTCAGCGCCATCGCAAGTCACTGTTCCAATGACTGTGGCCCCCGAAGATGGATCATAGGTACCAAAGTTTTCAACAATATAATACTCAACGAGTGGGTTGCGCATCCAACCATATATAGCGAGGTAGCTATTCCCATTCGGACTGTATGATCCTGAGTACCCAATACCTCTGTAGAACCATTAGGACCTTTCCGCAAAGAATAGTTATCGATGACATACCTCGCAGACCTGCCGGGATTCCACCCCTTACCACCTACGGTATTGCCGTTTCCAGACCATGAAACTCTATACTTTCCTGCAGCGAGGTTCTCATAAGATGACGAGCCTCCACCATCAGTCCACCAGGAATAATAAAAGCCATCTAACATGACGCGTTAATTCATTTTCCTCTTGCTCTGCGTTTTTTCTTTTTTTAAAAAACATACCATGAGTTCCAGCACTGTTTGGGGTGTTTGCACGCTTATCAAGGCTATTGGCTTCCTTGGCCTCCGTACTGGGAGCTGCAATAGCACCCACGGCGGCAATCGCGGCCACAGCAAGACAAGTCAAAGACTTCATTCTTTTCTTAGGCTAGTATTCGAAGGGTACACGGGAATTTTTTGATAGTACGATTTTGTTGGAGAATGCGATGCTATATTCATTCAATTTTAGGAAAGATCAGACTGGTGAGATATGGGATGGGGAGTTTATTTAAGCATAATTATGACGGCTGATTACAGGAATACATGTTCGGCTGTTCGGGTACTCATGGTCCGCATAATGCTTTTAAACAGGGGATCTGGATAAATGCTGGCTTACTTCTCGTATTCGCAGCATGGCTTCCGTTCCAGAAGTAGTATAATTAGAAGCGATGTTGCAATAGGATGCCAAATATTCTACCTAAGTCTTCCTGGCTATGCCGCTGCTACCCTTCTCAGACTACATTAGCTTTGGACAAGGTGCTATCCTAACAGCCCAATATTTCAGTGCTGTGGCGGCTATAGGGAAGCAGCATTATAGGCTGTGGTGATCTTAGAATAGATCCTGATGTCACCTAATCTTCCATTCTCCACCCGACTATTAGTTCAAGGGATAATCTCCATCAAGAAGTTTATGGCCGAAGGATATCTCATTATCTACACTGTCGGAGTGTTGGAATATTTGGGCCTATTTGTTAAGTTTTAAGAGTGCGAAACAAGCCCACTTCAAATTGTTATATCTCTACCCTCAAAAAGGGACAGATCCTTCTGACATTTTCAATGGGAATGGCACGAGATTCTATGCTTAAGATGCAGGAGATTATAGCCAAAGACTATTCAGCCTGATGGGCAAGCCTTGTTGTTATTAGCATGCAGTCAAATGGGCTCATCGGTTTGAAATACCCGGGTCTTGGTATTATTCATTCTCTTGTTAGTTCTAGTCCTGACTTTGTACGATAGGGTCTCACTACAACTTTGGTATGATATTGGCGGCTATTACCAATCACTAATTTAGGCTATTCTATACCCAGGTTATTTTAACCATCTTATTGCACTACTATATCTTTCCCGGGTGGTGGTACTATTTTCACATGCTTGTCGTAAGATATGGCATCCGACTTTTTCTATGTTGATGCACCACGTTCGACAAGTGATTCTCATTCCGGCTAGCAGAACGCTGGATGCTGGCCTCTGATGAGTCGATATCTGTCAATTGATAATGCCACCTTATTGTCTGAACATACGCCCATACTATCTCCACATACTCCTAGTAGTTACTTAAGACACCGACGAGTCTACCCTATTACAGAGTGGAAAGGGCCCGCCGCAATCTCCTGTTTTAACTCGGGGATCTCAAAACATAATAAACAACTAATTGAAACACAGATTTTAAATGAATAATATTGATATAGTATCCTCCTTCGAAAATTTATCAGTTGTGACAGTATGATTCTAGTAATCTCAGGTCTGTCAAGATATGTATTCTGAGATCCGCAATGCTTGTTCTTTGATAGAATGAGGCAATCACCATGAAATAGTGTCTACTAGATAAGTTTCATAAGGGTAGCAGTCAGACCGCTCGACATTTGTGGTAGAGTTATACTTCTCCGAGTGGACATAATATATTCAGTCTATACAGAAGAAAAGAGTCTTGACTGTCAAGGCTTCAGTCATAAAAACGCATACATTACCCATGCCCTACATAAGTATTGTTAACATGTGACTAATAGGCGTGCCGAAAAATATTCCGTCAAAAGTCTACTAATGTTATGACCCTACGTTGACTAATTAATTTGCTGAAAAAGTTTCTGATGGCGGGCCCCTTGTGTGTATTAGCCAGCTGGGAAAAGGGGCACACCACCATAAGAAGCCCTCTAAAATAGGAAGTGTCCTTGAAGAGGAGAAATACAAGCAACATCAGGCTGTGTTTGAAATTTTATTTAAATAGTAAATCAGCATTTAACAAGTCACGACCAACTAGATTGTTCCCTTCGAATTTTTCAGTAAGCCACCATTTTATCCAGCCCACTTAACTCTCGGTCCCAAGACCTATGCTGGCTTATGGCGTAAAAGAACTTTTCCACAAAACCCTTTGCATTTTTGGCAATAGTAAAAGCACCTTGTATGCTTTCAGGCTCACAGTTTCGTAGTGTGACGACGCCATAACTCTCCTGAGCTTCATTATTAGATGACAAATGAATCTGGGGAAGCTGAATTGCTTTCTCAACAAGATCCACAGCTTCGCCGGTGGCGGCAATAGGCTTGAGATGGCCAAAGGCCTCCCTGATATAGTGCAGCGCCCGGCCACTCTTGGATAGAGTCAGAATAGAGTTTTTCCCCCCTGGGATCACAAGAGCGTCAAACATCGTACTCCTCTGACCTTCAAGGTGATGCTCAGGAACGACTCCTTTGTTTTCTGAACGATCTTCTCCATCCGCAAAGATGGCAGACCTACGAACACCGAGAACTATAGGGATGGCCGATGCGAGCTTTAGGCCCGTTAATAAGGCCTTGAAGGCGACGGAGTCGTAGCCGTCTGCAATGATGATACCGACCCGGCGCGAGGCGATAGTCGGATTTTCTGGAAGATAACCCAGCTGGCTCAGCCCAGTTGCCTTTCTCCCATGATTGGGCTTCCCGGCCTTCTCAGGTTTCGGCCCCCCAACCATCTGAGCGACAGCTTGCGCAAGACCAAGGTCGATGTCAGCCAGACGCTGGGTCAGTCGTTCATATACTATAGCCTCGTCACAGTGGTCCAACTCAAATGAGAGTGCTGATCTCACATGAGCTTGCTCAACGTCAGAGAGAGAGTTAAAGAAAAGCTGGGCTTGGGATGTATGCTCCGAAAATTTGGCACTCTTTGACCTTTCTTTGATCCCTGCAACCTTTTGAGGATAGTCGATATAGCCACCCTCTTCCTTGCTTGCTGGGGGCTGATTCTCATAGCGATTGGGCCAATAGTTGACCTTGCCTCTCGAAATTGTATGGCGCATGGCGCCATCGCGATTGAAGTTCATAACTGGACATACTGGTTTGTTGATAGGAAGTTCTTGCCAATTCACCCCTAGCCGGCTCAATTGGGTATCGAAATATGAGAAATTGCGACCTTGAAGGAGAGGGTCATCTGAGAATCCAATGCCCGGAACGATGTGACTAGTGCAGAAAGCCACTTGTTCTGTCTGTGTAAAATACTCGTCGACATTGCGGTTGAGCTCCAATTGTCCGATATACCGGATGGGAACTTGATCTTCGGGCCACACTTTGGTCGCATCAAGAATGTCAAAATCAAATTCATGCTCGTCAGACTCAGGGATTGTCTGGATGCCAAACTTCCAACGTGGGTATGCGCCGTTTTCAATGGCTTCCATCAAGTCCTTGCGATGAAAGTCGGGGTCCTGGCCGGCCAGTTTCAAGGCCTCATCCCAAACCAAGGAATGGACACCCAGCTCGGGCGTGAAGTGGAACTTGACAAAGTGGCGTTCTCCTTTGGCGTTTATCAAAGTGAACGTGTTGACACCGAATCCTTGCATCATGCGGTATGAGCGAGGGATGGTACGATCAGACATGGCCCACATGAACATATGAGTGGCCTCGGAATGCATGTACATGAAATCCCAGAAGTTGTTGTGGGCACTTTGAGCTTGGGGAACTTCGTTATGAGGCTCAGGTTTCCCTGCATGGATGATGTCGGGGAATTTCATGGCATCCTGAATGAAGAAGACGGGTATATTGTTTCCAACAATATCCCAGTTGCCCTCCTCTGTGTAAAATTTGACAGCGAAACCTCGCACGTCCCTCACGGTATCCGCAGACCCACGACTGCCAAGAACGGTTGAAAACCGCACAAAAACAGGAGTCTCGCGCGATGTGTCGGTCAGGATACCAGCGTGGGAAACGTCATCAGCCGATTCAAAGAGTTTGAAAGTACCGAATGCTCCCGCCCCGCGCGCATGCACTACGCGTTCCGGGATTCTTTCATGATCAAATCGATGAATCTAGACCCTATTAGCGAGGCAATACATATGTATGAGGGTGCATTTCTCACCTTTTCGCGGGCAAAGCCATCCTCCAACAGCATCGGCCCAGTTTGATTACCATCATTTACACGGAGCCAGTCATCTGTATTGGATTGTTTTGTACCAAAGTCGGTAGTAATTCTTGTGTTCGTGGAAGGCTCGACCACGTCAGCGTTGAGCTGCTTGCCCTTGGCGTCATTGGTTGCCATCGTGAATGCGTGTTTTATAGCTTGGGGGATCGCCTGGGCCATTCTCTTTGCAAACGAAACCAATGCCTCTGGCTAGTGTGAGAAGCTCGATTACGTCGGAACACGGAGATTAAAAAAGCGAAGAAGCGAGTGTTGGCCAGAGAAATGGGGGTTTTTATCCTTCTGGGCGCTCAGTATTTCGCAATGATAATGTCTGTCGTCAGGATGGCATCAACATTGGTAAGGTAGTATCATTCAATAACAGCCAAATTTTAGTGACGCCATAGGTTTAAAGTTGGCCAATTATATGCGAAAAATAAGAATACATCGGCGATGGCTGTTGAGTGTGTTGGGTAACAGTGGGCTAATACCCACGACCTTGTCGTCATGGATTGTATGAATTAGAAATCTCGACGTCCTGATAGGTGGCTCACCCTCGCGCTTAACTTCCTCTTTTTAGAAGCAGTGCTCGTAACTATTCACACCCAAAATGGCCTGAGCAATGGATGCTTATTACACTACGCTCGCTAAGATATCTAACCACTCGACGCGGCTTATATATACTTTGTATAGGTCAGTATATAAGCGGCGACAGTCAAGTAAAGGTCAATACTATATTTAAGCTACCTAATTAAATTAAAACAATCCACTAAATGTAAAGTACAATTTATTCCCGACTACACCCGTGCACTAAGATGTCGGCGATAACAGACCTCACACCTCGCTATTTTGGGTATTCTTGATATAATGCCCGCTTCTACCAGGCCTAGCTGCAGCAGTGCAAAGCTGGCCCTGCTTGTCCTTTGCCGCAATCTTCTTGAAGAAAGCATCGGCCTCTCCAAGTTATCGGGGCTGCCGCCTCGTGTTATAGACGGACCTGATCTAGCGCTCTAGTAACCCTTCGACACACCGCAGCCGATGAAATAGATGCCATCCTCCTTAAGCCCTTGCTGGCGCCGTTCCGTGTTGTGGTAGGCCTCATTAGGGTGTCAATTGTACCACCGTCTTTCTTCAGGTGCGGCCGAATGGCATCGATAGACTTGTCAATGCCAGATCCACGTGGCGTTGACAAATACCATCATCTCTGACGCTGCTGCAGATATCCCTTGTGTGTGGCTCATCGACAGACTGCAGCGCCCAGACTCAGGTTTTTGGCGTCAAAGACCAGTTTCCGCGCATTGCCGTCACCTGTGTCGGCCAACCGGTACGAGATAAACTAATCGCCGGCCTCATCTGAACCTACTTGAGTTGTAAAAGCAAACTGGGTACTCATTCTTGCCCAAGAGAAGGCACAGGGCCGCACCCATATCCCCAGCCCCAATCACACCAATCTGAGGATCCCAGTCAGCCATTGTTTCCCGATTACGCAAGCCTTTACTATCTATGCGTCTGCTTTGGTGAATCCCAGACCCTGTGTTGACATCTTGATTTGTGAATATACGTGTGCTATAGTTCTCTTTGAAGCCCCAGCTTACTCTGACCCGTGCTGCTCATAATACCTTTTCTAAATAGTCCATATTTCTAAAAATCTTTTTAAGCTTTTTGAAACACTAGAACTGTTGTAAGTACTCGCCAAGGGATCTGGGGTTCGCCTTGTTGGGACTTGGCCTCATTACGAGCAACAGATTTCTCCAATTTTCCCTAGACATATATCGGCGTGGCAGGATGTGAGGTGTTCCTTGGTCGTTCTCTCACATGCACTACAGACATATACCATAGCGGGTCGACTTGGAAGTTGAATGTATGGCCTGGAGCCTTTTATTTCTTCGGCGGTATTGATAGTCATAATATGACGCTTGTTCCTGCTACAATCATGGCAAAATACACTCGGCTTAAATGTATTATGGTGTCATCAGCTTAATTAGGAACACAATTTATCCTGTGAAACAAAATCTGCTATGAGAGATATACTATGGATTGAAGACAATTTAGTAGGGTCATCGAGGTATATGTCTAATTGGACATCAATTTCAATTGCCAAGGCCTCCTTCAAACCAATGTGGGTGGTAGAACTGGGGGGTTATATACGATGTGATGACCAATTTGCCACTGTTGTTATAGGCGCAGCTGATATACGTTTGCACACCGTTTGACTCGCTCATACTCTCTCCTATCGCTAGAGTCTCTAGCGTTTCGAGATATTGCTGTGTATAAGCACCCCGACCCTGACTGTTCAAGTATTGAACTAAGCCATTGGCGGACACCTCGTCACTGGGAGCATAGTGCCTCACTGGAATATAAACTTTAACGTCAGGGAGGGCCCGTTTATCAGGTGCTACATCGAAGTAGAAGAGTACTCCCGCTGTCTCGTGTGAGTTAAAGGGGAGCTCTTTGTTGACGGGGAAGTCGTCGGGTAAGCCCAAGGTCAGCTTCCAGAGCTGATGAAGCTCCTTCTCGGCCTCTTCGAGGCCCCGGCGTTGACCGCCAACGGACATGACACGACGGACCATATCAAAGCTGGTGGCCCGGGAACGCGAGTATATCTTTAGGCGGGACTTTGTGGAACTGACACAATCAATGCCCAGCATGAAGGGCCTGATGGTGCGGCCGTGGACATCGTCACAGAGAAAGCCCTGCAGCTGATTGACAGCCACGAGGTTGGGACAGGTGGAGGCTATAGCCCGAAAGATCTGCTCGCTGCTGCTGTTGCCAGGGGCATCCACGGGAAGAAAGTAGGCCTTGACACCTACAGGACGAGCGGCATCGGCAATCTCAAAGGACATGAAGAGAGTGGATTGAGACAGGTTTGCGGCCTTGGACTTGAAGGCTGGGGTTCCGGGGCCCAGGAGGGCGTGCTTGAAGTGATTGAACCAGTCCAGATCGAGCCCCTGAAGCCGGCTGCGGTGGAGCTGCGTGAGGAGTTCACAGGTGGCTTTTTGATTGAGGATATCCCGTGTGCCTGCATGGCAACCGATCGGCTCGATGCTATAGCGGACGGCAGGCGCATCGTCGCCAAACCCCCATTTCCAGGAATACTCAACAGGGGAGTGATCATCCGTCATGAAACTCTTCCAGTCGGCCTTGGAGCTAGTCGGCCTAGGACCCAGGCGGGGCGACACCCAGTGATAGAAGAATAAGAGAGCTATAGACTGGTCGGTGATAGAGTAGCCAGCAGCGGAGAGCATGGTCTCGAGATGACCACCCATAATCTCCCACCACCAGTCACCATCTGCAGATCGTGGATGGAACCATTTGGCCAGAGAGTCAAGAACTTCTGGGTCGAAGGAGAGCTCTAGTGGGACCATGGGCGGTGCGACTTTCTCATTGGCATTTGCAGCCGAGGTGATAATAATGGAGGAAGACATTATCTTTACGTGTGGGTAAAGAAAGCAGTAGTTTCGGTAGACGAGCAAGGTCGACAAGCTAAGTTAAGAAGGAAGAGCAGAGTAAAGGGGAAGACAGCGGGTGAAACGGCCGAAGAGTAATGAATGCCCATGATGTCTCGAACTAATCTAACGGGGTATCGATTTAACCCCGTTGCCAGCAACGCACGTGTAGACATCTGAAGAGATACATACGGAGGATCTCAAGAATCTAACCGAACCCCACACGCTTGTTAACCTTGGATGCTGTGCAACCATTAGGTCTGGGGGAGTGTTGTTCTGATGGCGGTGAGCCTCCACCCAGCTGCCCCCATGTCAGCTTACATGGGACCGGCAGTTACATTGTTCGTCGTCGGGCCGGGCGGCGATCTGATCAACTTAGCCGTGTAACGACCATTTCTAGCTCGACGTGGGGATACCATTGGCCAGTCTTGATAGTAGCACGGTCAGGCTCTAAGCAACTGCACACGATCCTGGCACAGTCATGATCTCACACGCAAATTAGGAAATAACGGAGGGCATGTATGTAACAATCGTACGAGTAAGCCGCAGACTGTGTGCATCTTACTAGCCGCCTGTAAACCTTAAGCCGCCAAGTTGATGTACGAACAGTGCAATGAAACCTCGCGTAACGAGAGGGAGGGGACAATAGCAAATCAACTGGCCTCATGCATACATGCATGGTGAAAAGTTTGACTTGCTCGGGGCTTTTCATGTCTCGGTGCTTTTCATGTCTCGTCCCAAAGGTACTCTGACTGCTTGCATGTGGGACGTTTAGGCAGGGTGACGTTGTCCAAGCTGAGAAAACGTTGAATACCCATTTTTGCTCACCCGAAACGCCGATCAAAGGACTCAATAGGAAATATGGCGCTGTCACCATCTGCCGCCACGGAGCTGAAGTACCAACGAATGTCTTGCCGTGACGTAAACACGGGCTAATCTTATCACGGAAGCCCTTCTACAACATGGCTCACTGTGAGTTTCATGCGAGGCCGTTCACTTGAAGGCCTACCCCTCAAGTAAGCATGTGCTATGATCATGCCTGAATTGGGTAAATGTACCGAGTATTGATGGGATAGTATCGGTAGCAGAGAAAATGGAGGCCTCGTATCCTGCCATGCCTATGCCTACATGCAACTAAGGAAACGGATCTGGTACTGGTGGCCAACCCAGTCTCATCTCAAATTCCCCTGCCTGGATATGAACTTAAACTTGAATGCCGTGCACGAACAAACAGCAACGTTTGCAAACACGCAGGACATTTGAGACGAAACTAGATAACGAGAAGCCCTTAAAGGTCCGCCAAGATGGGACTAGTCCAGCGAGAATCAGCAATTAACGGACAGTCCAAGCCGGCCAATGATTTAGAGCATTCGCAAAGTCTTTACTCACAGGCCGCTCAGTATTACGGCCTGGACCACCGTCAGATAGAGACCATACTGCCATGTACGCCGTTCCAGCGCGATGTGCTGCGTTGGGCTGCCAACGACAAGCGACAGCTGGTTAGCCATGCTGTCTATGAGGTTCCGAAGAATGTCGATATCAAGGCTCTAGCTGAAGCTTGGAGGGAGGTTGTGCATCAGACGCCTGCCCTGCGGACGTGCACATTCCCACACTCTGATGATCACTTTCAGGTTGTACTCGCACAGAGCTTCATATGGATGAATTTGACCGTAGTTCGTCCCGACATGAGAAAGGAGGCGGTGATCAAGGAGGAGGCAACCGCAGCAGCAGCTGAAGCTCACTGCAATCGCTACGCCCTACTGGAGAACCCGAGTACAAAGCAACGTCTGCTCATCTGGACATTTAGCAATGCCTTGATGGACAGAGCTCTGGAAGAGCGCATCCTTGGACAGGTACTCGCAGTTTACGAGGGCGGAAAAGTCCAACGCTCTACGGAGATCGGGATGCTCGCGGACCCTGTGACCAAAGATCCAGAACGTATAGTCCAGTTTTGGCACAAATACTTTCAAGACCTGAGCGCATCCACCTTTCCTGCCGTGCCGTCATCGTCGTCTACTGTTCCCCGTCACTATTTAGAGGCGGAGCATCGCGTTTCCTTGCCAGACTCCAGCAGCCGCCAGCAGCAACAAGGGTTAGGAGACAACGCCATCATCTGTCAGGCAGCGCTTGCGGTGCTCCTCTCTCGATACACAAACGCTTCCGAGGCACTCTTCGGCGTCGTGACAGAGCGCGGGCAGTGCCCAACAGGCGGTCCAACACGGACTGTCGTGCCCACCCGCGTATCCTGCGCTCCTCACCAATCGGTGCTGGGTCTTGTACAGTCGCTTACTGCCCACGATGCTGCCGTGGCCGAGTTTGAGCAGACTGGCCTCGACGGGATCCGCCACGCCAGCGGAGAGCTTGGTGCTGTCGCTTGCGAGTTCCAGACGGTGCTCGTAGTGACGACCGATGACCCTCATCCACATCCGTCTTCTAGGCTTCATCGGACCGTTGCATCGCCGGACAGGTTCCTCCCTTGGAATGACCGCGCCCTATTGCTTCACTGCCAAGTGACTGAAAACCCGTCGGCGGTGGTGTTGCACGCACGCTACGACCCGACCGCCATCGACGACCGTCAAATGGCTCGTTTCCTAAGACAAATCGTGTGTTTGATCCAGGACTTTAAGAGTAGGAGCCGTACAGATGAAACAACTATCGCCGAACTGGAGCTTGTTACGGCAGAGGACCGAGCAGAAATGGATGCTTGGAACTCGGGACAGCTTGAAACGCACGATGTCTGCATCCACAATGTCATTGCAGAGAGAGCTGCTCACTCCCCGAGTCAACCTGCTGTATTGGCATGGGATGGCGAGTGGTCGTACGCTGAGCTGGACAGTACATCATCTCGGCTCGCTCACTACATTCAGTCGTTGAACTTGGACTTTGGCAAAGCGGTACCGCTGTGTATGGACAAGTCCAAGTGCGTGGTAGCCTCGATCCTCGCCCTGCTCAAGCTTGGCCGAGCATTCACTCTCATTGATCCTTCTAGTCCGCTAGCTAGGATTGCTCAAATATGTAGACAGACCTCTGCTACCGTTGCGCTCGCGAGCAAGATCTACAGCCAGAGTATGGGGGAGTTTGTGGCCCAATGCATTGTCATAGACGACGAGCTCTTGGGGTCCCTTCCGCCACACACCCATCATCAATTCATCAGTCCCACAAGACCAGAGGATCTAGCATATGTACTCTTCACTTCGGGCAGCACGGGCGAGCCCAAGGGCAGTCTGATTGAGCACCGAGGTTTTGCATCATGCTCCCTCGGATTTGGTCCCGCCTTCGGTATCAACAAGTACTCCCGCACCCTCCAGTTCGCGTCCTATGCCTTTGGCGCATGTCTGGTAGAGATTCTAACTACCTTGATGCATGGCGGCTGCGTCTGTATTCCTTCCGAAGACCAACGCATAAACGACATTCCAGCCTTCATCCGCTCCTCAGGGGTCAACTGGGCACTCTTCACCCCTTCTTTTATCGGGGCGGTTGAGCCAGAAAGCGTCTCTTGTTTAGAAACGCTCGTACTAGTGGGAGAACCCATCTCGGTGGAAATGAGAGACGCCTGGGCTTCTCGCGTCCAGCTCCTCTACGGTTACGGTCAGAGTGAGAGCTCATCTGCCTGCAGCGTGGCTCGTGTCAGCGCAGACACGGTCGACCTACAGAATATTGGCCCCGGTGCAGGCGCCCGCCTCTGGATCACCGACCCCAATGACCCCGACCGGCTCGCAGCTGTCGGATGCATCGGCGAACTGATAGTCGAAAGCCCCGGCATTGCAAGAGGATACATCGTCTCCCCCCAGCAGCAGCAAGTCTCTTCTGCATTCCTTACGGCGGCCCCTGCCTGGTACCCTTCCGTGAAGCAGCAACCCGACTACGTCAGATTCTACAGGACCGGAGATCTCGTGTCTTACAGGTCGGACGGTACGATTGCATACCTCGGACGGAAGGACTCACAGGTCAAAATCAGAGGACAGCGCGTCGAACTTGGCGACGTGGCTTATCATCTAGGCAAGCAGTTGCCAAGCCATCTCATGGTTGTCGTTGACGTTGTCAAACAATCCGAAACATTGCCAGGTGAGGCGATCCTCGTGGCGTTCCTGATAGGACCATCCCAGCCTGTAGACAAAGCAGCCCCCAATGCCATGTTGGGTAAGGATGCGTATATACTGGATAACAATGCCGCGGATCGTATAAGCACGCCCTTGCAGCAGGCTCTTCCCAAGTATTCTGTCCCATCGTACTATGTTCGCATGAGCGACCTTCCAACCACCGCAACTGGAAAGGCAGATCGCAGGAAACTTCGATCCATAGGTGGCACCTTGTTGAATAAGCTCCTTGGCAAGACAACATCATCTTCAACCCAGCCAGCGGCAGACATGAGCTCTTCGCGTGCCACTCCAGAAGAGAAGCTGCGGCATTGTTGGTTCCAAAGCTTAAGAGTTGATCCCAGCACAAACAGTCACGCTGCCAGCTTCTTCGAGCTCGGGGGAGACTCCATCGCAGCGATCAAGATGGTCAACATGGCGAGGTCGCTGGGGTTGATGCTTACCGTGGCCGACCTCTTCCGGAACCCAACCCTTACTGGCCTGGCAGTGACGATTCGTGGCGCGTCAGACCAGCACGAACCGATCCCATCAACAGTCTACCGTGGACCTATTGAACAGTCCTTCGCGCAGGGGCGCCTCTGGTTTCTAGAACAGCTTAACACGGGGGCGTCGTCGTATCTGGTGCCGCTCGCGGCTCGTATGAGAGGACCGCTCAAGGTCGAAGCGCTCAATGCGGCGCTGGGTGCTGTGCAGGAGCGGCATGAGAGCTTGCGAACAGTGTTTCGAGAGCAGGACGGTGTTGGTATGCAAATAATCCACGACTACAGTCCCAAGGCCACGGTTGAAGCTGTGGATATATCAGCTGAGAAGGTTGACCGTGATGGCGGCTCTATCAAGGTGCTATTGCAGGAGCAGATTGAACCTTTTGATCTAGCATCCGAGCCGGCCTGGAGAGTCTTATTGCTACGGCTCGGAGAACAAGACCATATCCTGTCGGTCGTCATGCATCATATCATCGCTGACGGCTGGTCTGTTGATCTTTTTTGCAGAGAGCTCAGCCAATTCTATGCTGCTGCCGTGCAGGGTCAAGACCTTCACGTCCTGTCCCTCGAGATGCGCCTCTCCATCCAATACCGGGACTTCTCCGCATGGCAGAGGCAGGATGCACAAGCAGCAGAGCATGAGCGTCAGCTCAAGTACTGGACGCAGCAGCTGGATGGATCTCAGCCAGCAACCCTCCTCTGCGACAAGCCTCGGCCGGCCACGCCATCGGGCGCCGCCGGTGTTATCCCGCTTCGCATCCAAGGGTCTGTATACCAGAGTCTCCAAGCCATCTGCCTAGCCCGACAGGCCACTCCATTCACCGTGCTTTTGGCCGCCTTCCGAGCCGCGCACTACCGGCTCACAGGTGTCAACGATGCTAGTATAGGCACCGCCATTGCCAACCGTACTCGGCCTGAGCTAGAACAAGTCATTGGTTTCTTTGCCAACACGCAGTGCATGAGGATCGTCGTGGAGCAAGAAGAGACGACGTTGGATAAGCTCATCCAGCAGGTTCACTCTACGATAACCGCCGCCTTTGACAATCAAGATGTGCCCTTTGAACGCATTGTGTCGACACTCCTGCCCGGGCCGAGGGATATGTCCCGGAACCCATTGGTGCAGATCTTGTTTGCGGTGCACTCCCAGAAGGATCTTGGTCAACTGCGGCTAGATGGCCTGACAAGCGAGGCTTTGATAACTCCGGTCATGACTCGATTCGACCTAGAAGTTCACCTAATGCAGGAGGAAGACGGTTTCGTCGGCGATGTGCTATTTTCTACAGACTTGTTTGAAACGGAGACCATCCATGGCGTGGTCAACACCTTCCAGGAAGTCCTCCGTCGTGGCCTCGACCAACCTCACACGCCCATTGCAGTGCTGCCACTCACTGACCGGCTGGCAGAGCTCCAGAGCATGAGCCTCCTTGAAATTGAGAGGACCGAGTACCCGCGAGATCGAAGCGTAGTGGACATCTTCCGTGACCTCTTGCCTGTCTACATGGACTCCATTGCAGTCGTAGACTCGGCCTCGCAGCTGACCTACTCGCAGCTAGATCAACAGTCTGACGAGGTTGCCGCATGGCTATGCTGCCGCCAGTTTCCGCCTGAGACTCCGGTTGGCGTGCTGGCACCTCGGTCATGCGAGGCCATCATCGCCCTCTTGGGCATCCTCAAAGCCAACCTAGCATATGTCCCGCTAGATGTCAACGCCCCCACAGCCCGGGCAGAAGTCATCCTGTCAAGTTTGACCTGTCAGAAGAAGCTGGTTCTGCTTGGTAAGGATGTACCTGTTCCAGATATCCAACTGCCAGGCACCCAACTGCATCGAATCAGCGACGCCCTGGGATGCCGTGATCTCTGTGATATGGGCCAAGTCTCGCCGTCTCCGACAAGCCTGGCTTACATCATGTTCACGTCGGGGTCCACGGGCCGTCCGAAGGGCGTCATGGTCGACCACCGCGCTACTGTGCGGCTCATGAAGCAGAGCAGTGTCTCATCAAAGCTTCCATCTCCATCCACCATGCGGGTAGCGCACCTGACCAATATTGCGTTTGATGTGTCGCTGTGGGAGGTGCTCACTCCTCTCCTCAATGGAGGAACTGTGGTCTGTATCGACTACCTCGCCGTCATAGACAGTAGGGCTCTGGAGACTGTGTTTGCGCAACAGCGCGTTAATGTAGCCATGGTCTCGCCTGTATTGTTGAAGCAGTTCTTGGCTGATATCCCCGCCACGGTTGGTGCCCTCGACGCTCTCTTTGTTGCCGGAGATCGATTCGACAGCCGCGATGCGGTTGAAGCGCGTAATATTCTCCCGAGCGGTCTCTACAATGCGTATGGCCCTACGGAGACTCATATATTAACTCTATATCACGTCGGGGACTATCAAAACACGCCTAATGGCGTTCCCATCGGACGTGCCGTGAGTGATGCCGGCGCACTCATCATGGATACGCAGCAGCAGCTTGTCCCAGCCGGCATCATTGGAGAGCTCGTTGCTGTAGGTGACGGGCTGGCACGAGGGTATACTGATCCCTCCCTCGATCGTGGCAGATTCGTCGACGTCAGCATCAGCGGCCAGACTCTAAGGGCGTACCGGACTGGCGACCGTGCTCGCTATCGCCCCAAGGACGGCCAGATTGAGTTCTTCGGCCGTATGGATCAGCAGGTTAAGATCCGGGGTCACCGTATTGAACCGGCAGAGGTTGAGCAGGCAATGCTTGGTAGCCATGATGCGGTCCGCGATGCGTCCGTCATTGTCCGCACAAGAGATGGACACGATCCTGAACTGGTTGGGTTTGTCGCCGCACAGAATGACAGATCTAGCAATGAGGACGAAGAGTTCTCCATGCGGATACAAAGGCATGTTCTCAACCACTTGCAAACCGTCCTGCCACCCTACATGGTCCCAACGGACATCATAATTCTTCTCGGTCAGATGCCCGTCAATGCCAACGGCAAGGTCGACCGTCGAAAGCTGATTCAAGTGGCACACGCAACGCCGATAAGCAGCAAGGGAGCATCCGTCTATGTCGCCCCCCGAAACGAGGTGGAAGCCGCGGTCTGCGCCCAGTTTGCCGATGTATTTGGTCTTGACAAGATCGGAACCACGGACAACTTCTTTGGTCTAGGCGGCCACTCGTTATTAGCAACAAAGCTTGCGGCACGCATTGCTCGTCGACTGAATGCTCGCGTGTCTGTTAAAGATGTCTTCGACCAACCTGTTGTGGCTGACCTGGCAAAGATCATTAAGCCAGGCTCCGCCCAGCATAAACCAATCCCATCAGAAGTATATGGCGGGCAGCCAGTCGAGCAATCATTCGCTCAGGGCCGCCTCTGGTTCCTAGACCAGTTCAATATTGGTTCATCCTGGTATGTCATGCAGCTTGCCGTACGTATACGTGGACCACTCGACATAGATGCCCTCGCCGTTGCATTACATTCATTAGAAAAGCGACATGAAACCCTACGGACAACGTTCCAGGAAGAAGATGGCATTGGCACGCAGTTGATACACCCGGTGAAATCCAAGAAGCTTAGGGTAGTAGACGCCGCAGCCGAGCATGACGATGACTCTGTAAAGGGGCTATTATGCCTGAGTCGAGCAACTCCCTTCAACCTAACATCCGAGACAGGGTGGAGACCGTCGCTACTACGGCTTGGTGACAGCAACAGTGACTTTATTCTCTCCATTGTAATACACCATATTATTTCAGATGGCTGGTCCATTGACATCATCCGGCAAGAATTAGGCCAGTTCTATGCCGCGGCGCTCGAGGGCCGTGATCCTTTATTAGCGACAAGCCCTATGCCTATCCAGTATCGAGACTTTGCAGTTTGGCAGAAACAAGAAGCTCAGGTAGCCGACCAGGAACGACAACTTGACTATTGGACCAAGCAGTTATCAGGAAGTACCCCAGCCCAACTTCTTTGCGATAAGTCCAGGCCGGCCTTTCTATCGGGCAATGCAGGCATGATACCCCTGGCCGTTGAAGGCGATTTGTACAAGAGCCTACAATCATTCTGCCTGGAGCACCAGGTGACGGCCTTTACAGTGCTCCTCGCGGCGTTCCGTACAACTCACTATCGCCTTACAGCAGTACAAGATGCAACAATAGCCGTACCTATTGCGAACCGTAACCGGATGGAGCTTGAGAATATCATTGGCTTCTTTGTCAATATCCAGTGTATGCGTATTACGGTCAGCGAGAATGACACCTTCGACGACTTGGTGCAGCAGGTCCGATCAACAACAACAGCAGCGTTTGACAACCAAGATGTGCCTTTTGAGCGTATTGTATCGTCGGTACTACCTGGGTCGAGAGACACATCCCGGAATCCGCTTGTGCAACTCATGTTTGCCCTCCACTCTCAACAGAACTTGGGGGAAATCCAGTTGAAGGGAGTAGACTGTACGCCGGTGCCACCTAGCCCGACTACCAGGTTCGATCTAGAGTTCCACCTCTACCAAGAGGCAGACAAACTAAGCGGCAATATCCTATTTTCAACGGATCTGTTTGAGGCTAAGACTGTGCATATCCTGGTTGGCACCTTCCAAGAGGTTCTTCGCCGCGCCCTGAACCAGCCGCAAACTCCGCTCGCTATACTCCCTCTAACCGACAGATTGGCCGAACTAGATAATATGGACCTACTCAAGATCAAGCGGACCGATTATGGTACGGACTCAAGTCTTGTTGATGCTTTCCGCGAGCAGGTATTAGCTTGCCCGCAGGCAGTTGCTGTCATCGAATCGAATTCATCTTCATATCTTACCTACGCTCAGCTAGACGAACAATCTGAGAAACTTGCAATGTGGTTGCGGCAACGGCGACTTGCACCCGAGACTCTAGTTGGTGTTTTGGCGAGCCGGTCATGTCAGGCCACCGTGGCCATCATCGGAATCCTTAAAGCAAACCTGGCCTATTTACCTCTGGACATCAACGTTCCGCCCGCTCGGATTGAGTCGATCCTGTCGTTGATCCCGAATCACAAGTTGATCTTATATGGTGACGGTGTGTCTTTGCCTGAGAAACACATACCTGACGTTGAGCTGGTCCGCATCGGTGCAGCAGTAGGCCAAAATGATTCGAACGCTGCAATAGAGGACGCAGTAAATCCCTCGTCAAGAAGCCTTGCTTGTGTCCTCTTTACTTCCGGGTCTACCGGCAGACCAAAGGGCGTCATGATCGAACACCGGTGTATCCTACGGCTCACAAAGCGGAGCAACATTGTATCAAAACTTCCCTCCGATATTCGGATGGCACATGTAGCCAATATAGGCTTTGACGTATCACTGTGGGAGATTTTTAAAACCCTTTTGAATGGAGGGACCTTGGTTTGCGTCGACTACTTTAGTATTTTGGATACCAGGGCTCTTGACAGTGTGTTCAGACAACACCAGATCAATGCAGCCATGCTCTCACCTGCACTACTCAAGCAGTGTCTGTTGAATGTCCCGGATATAATTCGTGGCCTCGATGCCCTACTCGTTACTGGCGACCGATTTGATAGTTGTGATGCAATCAAAGCGCAATCACTAGTCCGAGGGGGCGTGTATAACGCATATGGTCCTACTGAAAATACGACCCTTAGCACCATGTCTGAGGTTATTAAGAAGGACGATGTATTTGCCAATGGTGTGCCGATCGGGCGGGCCATCAGTAACACCGGCGTCTACATTATGGATCTTGCCCAACAGCCTGTTCCTATTGGTATTATGGGAGAGCTTGTTGTAACGGGTGACGGTCTTGCTCGGGGCTATACTGATGCAGTACTAAATCTCAATCGGTTCATACAGATCAGCATCGATGGTCAAAATGTGAGGGCTTATCGAACTGGCGATCGGGCACGTTACCGGCCAAAAGATGGACAGGTTGAATTCTTTGGACGTATTGATCAACAGATCAAGATTCGCGGGCACCGTATTGAGCCGGCTGAGGTGGAACATGCGATCCTTGGTCATAGCTTAGTTCGAGACGCGGCGATTGTCACCCGAGAACGAGATGGATTTGAACGGGAATTGGTTGCCTTCGTGATAGGCCACAAAGGAGAAGTGGCAACGGACATGGGCGAACAGGTCCGTCAACGCCTTCAGGCATTACTTCCGTCGTACATGGTCCCGGCCGAGATCACCGTGTTGGATCAGATGCCACTCAACGCCAACGGCAAGGTCGATCGGCGTGAGCTGAAACTGAGGGCCCAAAACAGCACTCCTAGAGGCCAGATCATGTCCACACGCGTAGCCCCGCGCAATGAGGTGGAAGCTGCACTGTGCGAAGAGTTTGCGGATATACTCGGAGTAGATGTCAGTGTGACGGACAACTTTTTCAATCTCGGGGGACACTCCCTCCTAGCAATGAGGCTTGCAGCGAGAATCAGCCGCCGACTGAATACTCGCATCTCGGTCAAGGATATCTTCGATCAACCAGTGCTTGTCCAACTTGCGGCGAGTGTCAAGCCGGGGTCAGCTAAACACCGTCCAATCCCACCCTCGGCCTATTCCGGTCGAGTTGAACAATCCTTCGCGCAGGGCCGTCTCTGGTTCCTGGACCAGCTCTACCATGGCAAAGCGTGGTATCTCATGCCACTTGCAGCGCGCTTGAAGGGAAGACTCAACATTGACGCCCTCGATGCTGCTTTAGCCACATTGGAGGAGCGTCACGAAACGCTGCGGACAACCTTTCACGAACAGGACGGTGTAGGTGTGCAAGCTGTGCACCCAAATCGTTCCAAAGTACTCAAAATCACTGATGTACCGTATGAAAGCTATCCTGACTGGATTCGAGAAGAGCAGTCAACTCCGTTTGATCTGACGTCCGAGTCAGGGTGGCGGGCCACATTGCTGCGGCTGGGTGAGGACGATTACATTCTATCGATCGTGATGCACCACATCATCTCCGACGGTTGGTCTCTCGATGTTCTACGTCAGGAACTGGCTTTTCTCTATAAATCAATGATTCATAGTGGAGAAAACATCTCTGGGCTGCCACCCCTTCCCATACAGTACCGAGACTTTGCTCTTTGGCAGAGGCATGAGAGCCAGGCTCTCATACATCAGCAACAGCTTGACTATTGGGTCAAGCAGCTAGCAGATAGTTCTCCAGCCGAGTTCTTGTGTGATAAGCCCCGGCCAGCCATATTATCTGGTGAAGCTGGCATTGTCCAGTTCCACATCGAGGGGACATTATACGAGGATCTCCAGGCCTTCTGTCTAGCCAACCAGGTCACCACCTTCACAGTCTTGCTCGCCGCCTTCCGCATAGCGCATTATCGTATCACTGGAGTGAAAGATGCTGTCATTGGGGCGCCAGTTGCTAATCGTAACCGGGCAGAGCTGGAAAATATGATTGGATTCTTTGTGAATACGCAGTGTATAAGAATTACAGTTGAAGACGACACATTTAATGATCTGGTGCAACAAGTAAGACAGACGGCGGCCGCTGCCTTTGAGAACCAAGATGTACCCTTTGAACGGATTATCTCAGCGCTCGACCTGGGGTTGAAGGATGTATCCCGTAATCCGCTTGTACAGCTCATGTTTGCTCTACATTCGCAGAAGGATCTTGGTAAGATTCAACTAGAGGGTCTTGATAGCGAAAGCTTACCTATGGCAACTACAACTCGATTTGATCTTGAATTCCACCTCTTTCAAGAGGAAGGCCGGCTAGGCGGCAATGTTCTCTTTGCCACGGACCTCTTTCTGATCGAGACAATCACCAGTGTAGTCAACATCTTCCAAGAAGTGCTACGCCGCGGACTCAGCCAACCGGACACTTCGATTCCGGTCCTACCATTGACTGAAGGACTTGACAATACATGCCTGCTACACCCAAGTGCCTACCCTCGAGAGTCAAGTGTTATCGATGTTTTCCGCGAGCAGGTATCCAACTGTCTGGATGCTATCGCCGTCACAGATTCGACCTCACGGCTGACGTACTCCGAGCTAGATCAGCAGTCTGAGCAACTTGCTGCATGGCTGAGGCAACGGCGGCTCAAGGCTGAGGTGCTAGTCGGTGTCTTGGCACCTCGGTCACACCAAACTATCATTGCCTTCCTCGGGATCCTCAAGGCGAATCTAGCCTATCTTCCACTTGACATTGACATCCCTGCCTCACGGACTCAGGGAATCCTCTCGGCCATTCCCGGCCGAAAGATTGTACTGGTTGGCAGGCTTGGTGCCGCATCTCTTGCTGATCATGAACGGCTGCAGGACGTCGAGATGGTAGAAATCAGCGATATCCTAAGCCAGCATGGCGGCCAAGGTGATGTGACGGCAGGCATTCCGGTCGTCAAGCCGTCTGCTTCAAGCCTCGCATATGTCATCTTCACCTCGGGATCTTCTGGGAAGCCAAAGGGCGTCATGGTTGAGCACCGTAGTATTGTCCGGCTTGTCAAGAATACCAACCTGATCGCAGACTCGAGGACGATTGCCCGCGTTGCCCACATGTCCAATCTAGCGTTTGATGCCGCTACGTGGGAGATCTACGCGCCGCTTCTGAACGGCGGGACGGTGGTATCTATCGACCGCATGACCGTCCTGGACTCTGCCGCGCTTGGTCGGGTTTTTCTAAACGAGGACATCACAGCTGCTTTCTTTACAACAGCTTTACTAAAACAGCGCCTGGAGGAAATGCCGTCGCTCATCAGTAATTTGCATGTCCTCCTCACCGGGGGTGACACAATGCGGCCGCAGGATGCACACAAGGCCCGGCAGATGCTACCACGAGGGAGCCTGTACAATGTGTACGGACCAACAGAGAACACGACTTTCAGTACTTTATACCCCATGGGCAGCAGCGAGCCTTATGCAAACGGCGTCCCCATCGGGCTTCCTGTGAGCCACTCGGACGCCTATATCATGGATCCGCATCAGCAACCCGTGTCTAACGGTGTCATGGGAGAGCTCGTGGTGGTAGGTGATGGACTGGCTCGAGGGTATACCGACCCAGCCCTCGACCAAGATCGTTTCTTGCAAATCACCGTGAACGTGAACGGGAAAGAACAAAGTTTGAGGGCATATCGAACCGGAGACCGCGCGCGCAAACGGGTTACAGACGGCCAGATCGAATTCTTCGGTCGTATGGATCATCAGATCAAGATTCGGGGCCACCGCATCGAGCCAGCCGAGGTCGAGCATGCAGCAATAAATCAGAATGTAGTCCGAGATGCGGCTGTAGTTGTTCGACGCTGCGACGGCGATCAAGAGCCTGAGATGGTCCTCTTTGTCACAACTTCTGACGACATGTCCATAACGGACGAAGCCAACAAGCAGGTACAAGGTTGGGGAGATCACTTCGAGATGAACACGTATTCGCAAATTAAAACTATTGATCAGTCTGCTCTGGGTAGTGATTTTATGGGATGGACATCCATGTATGACGGTAGTGAGATCGACAAGGGTGAGATGCAAGAATGGCTCAATGATACGATGCAGACACTTCTTGATGGCCAGCCTGCAGGCCACGTGCTCGAGATCGGTAGCGGTACCGGCATGATTCTCTTCAATTTGGGCCAAGGTCTGCAGAGCTATATCGGGGTTGATCCCTCCTCTTCGTCGGCCGCATTTGTCAACAATGCGATTGAATCCATATCAGCTCTAGCAGGCAAAGGTAAGGTATATGTCGGTACGGCAGCAGATAAAGACCGGCTCAGTGAGATTGTACCAAAACAACCAGGACCAGAGCTAATAGTACTCAATTCTGTGGTCCAGTACTTTCCTACTATGGAGTACTTGAAAGAAGTCGTCGATATCCTTATGGAGATTCCGGGAGCCCAACGTGTGTTCTTCGGCGACATTCGAAGTTATGCAATCAACAGGGACTTCCTCGCGGCGAGAGCCATCCGTTCGTTGGGTCAAGAAGCAACCAAAGACAGTTTAGAGCGGAAGATGAGAGAGTCGGAGGAACGCGAAGAGGAGCTGCTCGTTGATCCAGCTTTCTTTACCGGACTTATAAGGCAGTTTCCTGATAGAGTCAAGCACGTGGAAATACTGCCAAAGTGTATGAAAGCAACCAATGAGTTGAGTGCGTATCGATACGCCGCCGTCATACACTTGCGTGGGCCAGACGACCTGGTACAGGATGTATATACAACACAAGCAGAGGCCTGGATGGACTTCAAAGCTTCTCACATGGATCGCGATAGTCTCGTCCACATGCTGAAAAACTCCCCAGACACGCCAACCGTCGCTGTTAGCAACATCCCCTACGCGAAGACTATTTTTGAGCGATGTATCGTGGAGACGTTGGATGCCGTGGAAACAGAGGGCTCACTAGATGGCACAGCTTGGATTTCAACTATGCGCGAGAAAGCCAATGAATGTGCATCGCTATCCGCAACGGATCTGGTGGAGATAGGGCAAGACGCTGGCTTTTCCGTCGAACTCAGCTGGGCTCGACAGCGGTCCCAGCACGGTGGGCTTGACGCCATTTTCCACCATTATCAAGCTGGCAAGGAAGGGAGACGTGTCATGGTTCAGTTCCCAACTGACGACGAAAATCAGCCCGTGTCTGCTACTACCTTGACGAACCGGCCTCTACAGCGGTCACAGAGTCGCCGGGTCGAGGTTGAGCTTCGAGAGCAGCTGCAGACCTTGCTGCCAGCTTATATGATCCCATCCCAGATAATAAGAGTAGATGAGATGCCTATTAACAACAACGGCAAAGTTGATCGACGAGAACTAACACGACGAGCACAGACGGCACCAAGGATCCAGGCAGCTTCCTTAGCACGTGTGGCGCCACGCAACGAGGTCGAGGCCGCACTATGCGAAGAATATACTGATGTACTCGGCACCGAGACTGGTATAACTGATAGCTTCTTTGCGCTCGGTGGGCATTCATTGATGGCAACAAAACTAGTAGCGCGGATTAGTCGCCGACTTGATGCTATTCTTTCAGTAAGGGATATCTTCGACCGGCCCATCATCGCTGACCTTGCAACGATTATCTGCCAAGGATCAAATCAACACAATCCAATCCCACCAACAGTATATTGTGGGCCAGTCGAGCAGTCCTTCGCACAGGGCCGCCTCTGGTTCCTCCACCAGCTCAGCCTTGGCCCAGAATCAGGACATGTGATGCCGCTTGCAACTCGAATGAGGGGACCACTCAATATTGAGGCACTGGATATGGCTTTAGGCGCGTTGGAGGACCGACACGAGACCCTCCGGACGACATTCCACGAGCAAGATGGGGTCGGTTTACAGCAAGTCCATGCCAGGCGCCACGGGGGACTCAGGGTAATAGACGTGCCAGCTGAGAATGATGGCTACCTCAAGACACTAGATCAAGAGCAGAAGGCTCCCTTTGATCTTGCATCCCAACCTGGGTGGCGTGTCTCACTACTACGACTCGGTCGGGATGATCATATCCTGTCGATCGTTATGCATCATATCATCTACGATGCCTGGTCTCTTGAAATCTTGCATCGCGAGTTAACCCAGTTCTACAGTCTAGCTCTTGGGGGGCGTGACCCATTATCAGAAGTGGCCCCTCTACCTATTCAATATCGAGATTTTGCAATCTGGCAAAAGCAGGAGGCCCAGGTGGCTGAGCAGGAGAAGCAGCTAAAGTATTGGGCGACACAGCTCGCTGGAAGCTCTCCTGGTCAGCTTCTGTGTGATAAACACCGGCCGAGTAAGCTCTCGGGCAGTGCAGGCATTGTCCGATTCGCAATCGAAGGCGAGCTTTATGACAGGCTACAGGCGTTTTGCCTAACTTGTCAGACTACGACCTTTACTGTGTTGCTCTCGGCATTTCGTGCCGCACATTATCGCCTCACCGGTGCAGAAGATGCTACTATCGGAACCCCCATCGCTAATCGCAATCGGCCAGAGCTAGAAGGCATATTTGGTTTCTTTGTTAATACCCAATGTATGAGAATTGTGGTTACAGATGAAGATAGTTTCAGCGACCTAGTACAGGAAGTCCGAGCTACAGCAATAGCAGCATTCGAGAACCAAGACGTTCCTTTTGAACGCATTGTATCGACAATCATGCCCGGGTCGAGGGATACGTCCCGAAACCCACTGGCCCAGCTAGTATTTGCTGTTCACTCACAGGAAAATATTGGTCAAGCTGTCCAGCTAGAAGGTCTAGCCAGCGAGACCATGCCATCGACCCCGACTATTACATCGGATCTCGAGTTCCACTTGTTCCAAGAAACACGAAGACTTGCCGGTGATGTACGGTTTTCTACAGACCTCTTTGAGCCTGAAACTATCCGCGGCCTCGTTGATACATTCCAAGAGGTGCTTCGCCACGGCTTAAACAATCCTCACACCCCAATCTCTGTGCTGCCGCTCACCGACGGCGTGGCTGAGCTCGAGATCGAGAGGACGGACTATCCCCGAGATTCCACTGTGGTTGATGTCTTCCGCGAGCAGGCATCGGTGTATCCAGACCGAGTTGCTGTTACCGACTCATCGTCACAACTAACCTATGCTGAGCTAGACCATCAGTCAGACGAGCTTGCATTATGGCTTCACCAACGTAATCTTCCTCCAGAAAGCCTCATCGCGGTCCTCACGCCGCGGTCCTGTCATACGATTGTTGCCTTGCTGGGTATTTTAAAGGCAAGCTTGGCTTACCTCCCGTTGGATATCAACTCACCCAGGGCCAGGAATGAAGCGATCTTGTCAAGCATAGCCGGCCAGAAACTTGTACTCGTGGGTAGTGATATAGATCCGGATATCCAGCTACCAGACGCCGAACTGGTACGGATACCCGACATTCTTGATCAGTACAACTATGTGAATGCAGCAGATATCCCAGTTATCACAGCGTCGGCGACGAGTCTTGCATATGTCATTTTCACCTCTGGGTCTACAGGCCAGCCCAAAGGAGTCCAGGTAGAGCACCGCGGCATCTTGCGGTTTGCAAAGCAAGCCAAAATCAGGTCCATGCTTCCTTCAAGTATCCGGATGGCACTTATGACAAATATTGCGTTTGATGTGTCCGCTGCCGAGATGTTTGTGACGCTCCTCAATGCCGGCACTCTGGTCTGTATTGATTACTTCACATCTCTAGGCGGGAAAGCCCTCGAAACTGTCTTTGTGGAAGAAAAGATCAACACGGCTGTACTTTCACCAGTGTTGCTAAAGGCTTGTTTGGCTAATACACCCAATGCGCTCAGGAACATTGATGCTCTATTCGTGGGGGGCGATCGATTCGATGGCCGCGACGCCATCAGGGCCCAGGCAGTGGTGCGAGGCATTGTTTATAATTCATACGGTCCAACAGAGAATACAATGGTCAGCACGATATACAAGACTAGTCGGGAGGAGTTCGTGAATGGAGTTCCTGTCGGACAGTCTATTGATAACTCTGGAGCCTTTGTCATGGATGGAAAACTACAACCCGTCTTGGCCGGAGTAATAGGAGAACTCGTCGTCACGGGAGATGGGCTTGCTCGAGGCTACACTGATCCATCGCTAGACCTTGATAAGTTTGTCGAGGTCATTATGAAGAACGGCCAGACAGTGAGGGCTTATCGAACAGGGGACCGGGCGCGATATCGACCAAAGGATGGCCAGCTTGAACTCTTTGGGCGCATGGACGACCAGATCAAGATTCGAGGCCACCGCATTGAGCCTGGTGAAGTTGAACGGGCAATGCTTAGCCAGGACGCAGTTCACGATGCAGCTGTGGTTGTCCGCATGCAGGATAACATCAGTCATGATGCAGAGCTCATTGGTTTCATCGCCGCCAAGCAAGACAAGGCCGTGGCCGAGTTGGAGAGAGACGTGCAAAAGCATCTTCAGGTCTCTCTTCCCTCATATATGATCCCAACACAGATCGTACTGGTAGACCAGATGCCTCTCAACGCTAACGGTAAAGTTGATCGGCGTCAGCTCACGCACATGGCACGGACCGTCCCGAGAAACAAGTCGATGGCTACCTCCGCGCGAGTGGCCCCTCGTAACGAGGTTGAAGCCACGCTCTGCGAGGTCTTTGCTGACGTCGTTGGTGTCGAGTTTAGCATAACGGACAATTTCTTCGACCTAGGCGGGCACTCTCTCATGGCAATGAGGCTGGCGGCACGTATCAGTAGCCGCCTGGATGTCCGTATATCCATCAAGGATGTGTTCGATCACCCCATCCTTGCCGATCTTGCGTCTACTATTCGGCAGGGCTCAGCTCGGCATCGCCCGATTATCCCAACAAGTTACCAAGGGCCGGTCGAGCAGTCTTTTGCCCAGGGACGTATCTGGTTCCTAGATCAACTCAATCTCAGCACAGGCGCGTCGTCGTACTTGATCCCGCTAGCGGCACATTTGCGTGGGCCACTTCACGTTGATGCTCTCAATACCGCCATACTTATGCTAGAGGCGCGACATGAGACACTCAGGACAACCTTTGAGGATCAGGATGGCGTTGGCGTTCAAGTCATTCACCCGGGCTACGGTGTAGGTCTCAGAGTGATCGATATAGAACCTGATCGTGATACCTATACAGAGTGGTTACGCCAGGAACAAACGACTCCGTTCGACTTGACCTCTGAGCCAGCCTGGAGAGTATCACTGCTCCGGCTAGGGGAGGATGACTACATCTTATCCGTAGTGATGCATCATATTATATCTGATGGGTGGTCCGCTGATGTCCTACGCCACGAGCTCGGCCACTTCTACGCTGCGGCACTCAAAGGCGAGCCGCCTTCGCTGCCACCCCTGCCCATCAACTACCGCGATTTCGGGATGTGGCAGAAGCAAGATGAGCAGATGAAAGAACACAGACGTCAGCTTGAGTACTGGACCGAGCAACTGATGGACAGTGCTCCCGCCGAGCTACTATGTGACAAGCCCCGACCAGCTACACCATCCGGAAACGCAGAGGCTGTGCAGGTTATCATCGACGGTGCCGTGTATGAGGCACTACAAGCATTCTGCCTAACTCATCGGGTAACAGCCTTCACAGTCCTTCTCGCAGCCTTTCGCATTACGCATTATCGTCTGACTGGCGCCGAGGATGCCACAATCGGTACGCCTATTGCTAATCGCAACCGTCCAGAATTAGAGAATATTATCGGATTCTTCGTCAATACACAATGTATTAGGATTGTTATCAAGGATAGTGATACATTTGAGGATATTGTACGTCAAACTCGATCAACGACAACAGCAGCGTTTGATAAACAGGATGTTCCATTTGAACGAATTGTTTCAGCAGTCTTGCCCGGCTCTAGAGATACTTCTCGCAACCCGCTGGTGCAGCTCTTGTTCGCGCTTCACTCTCAGCAGAGCCTCGGCCAGATCCAGCTGGATGGTTTGACCAGTGAATCAATTCCAGTGGCGGCCAGCACTCGATTTGACCTGGAATTTCACCTGTCTCAGGATGATAACCGGTTGCTCGGTAGCGTCCTATATGCTACAGATTTGTTCGAGTCCAAGACAATCAACGGGATAGTTGCCGTCTTTCAAGAGGTGCTTAAGGCCAGTCTTGCTCAGCCACACACTCCAATTGCTGTGCTACCGTTATTGGGGGAGGGGATGGCGGAGCTGCAAAGCATGAACTTGCTGGAGATTCAGACAGCGGACTATCCCCGAGAGTCAAGCGTGGTCGACGTCTTCCGCGAGCAAGCATTTGCTTTTCCAGACCGGATCGCCATCTCGGATTCAACATTAGGTTCGCAGCTGACCTACAAGCAACTTGATCAACAATCCGACCAACTTGCCGCTTGGCTGCGACGACGACAGCTACTTGCTGGGACGCTGGTTGGTGTTCTAGCCCCCCGCTCATGGCAAACAATTCTGGCCTGCCTGAGCATCCTCAAAGCCAACTTGGCATATCTACCGCTCGATACTAATATTCCGACTGCACGGATTGAGGCAATTCTATCGGCGGTGCCTGGTCAGAAGTTGGTGTTGGTCGGTCCTGACGTGACTGTGCCAGATGTCCAGCTTCCAAATGTCGAGATGGTGCCTGTAGCTGATGCTCTCATCCAGCAAGTGCTGCTCGATGCTGATCTTGAACTCGACGCGGCAACCATCTCAATTCAGCCTTCTGCGACGAGCCTTGCCTATGTCATCTTCACCTCTGGGTCCACGGGTCGCCCGAAAGGTGTTATAATTGAGCACCGCAGCCTTCTCAGCTTAGTGAAGCAGAGCGATCTCGCATCTACGCTCCCACCCAGGTTCCGAATGGCGCAAGTAACCAATATTGGCTTTGACGTCTCGCTTTGGGAGATCTTCAGCACGCTTCTCAACGCAGGCACCTTGGTCTGTATAAACTACTTTACAACCCTGGACAGTGCAGCCCTCGAGGCAACTTTTGCAAGGGAACAAATCAACACGGGCATATTTTCGCCTACTTTATTAAAGCAGTGCCTAAATAACGTACCTACTCTCTTCAATACCATGGATCTACTTTTAGTGGCCGGCGACCGATTTGACGGCCACGACGCAGTCAAGGCCCAGTCACTGGTTCGAGGCAGTGTCCTCAACGGCTATGGCCCTACCGAGAACACGATCCTGAGCACGACGTATCGAATTCTCGAAAATGAGTTATTTGTTAACGGGGTTCCTATTGGAAGAGCTGTCAGCAATACCGGGGCTTACATTATGGATCGACATCAACAACTTGTTCCGATCGGCGTCCTAGGGGAGCTTGTGGTTGCAGGTGATGGGCTTGGGCGAGGATATATCGACCCAGCACTCAATGAGGGGCGTTTTGTACGCATAAATATCAACGGCCAGGTGGTAAGAGCATACCGCACCGGCGATCGGGTGCGCCATCGGCCAAAGGATGGCCAAATTGAGTTCTTCGGGCGTCTAGATCAACAGGTTAAGATTCGGGGCCACCGCATTGAGCCGGGCGAGATTGAACACGCTATGCTAGGGCATCCCAACGTTAGCGATGCGGCTATTGTTGTACGAAAGGAAGATGATAACGACCCAGAGTTGGTTGGTTTCGTCGCCGGCCAGTGGGCCGATGGTGATTCTGCTGAGGACGACGAGGCTAGTAGTCAGGTAGAAGGTTGGGGAAATCACTTCGAGATGGGCGCTTATGCAGACATTGACAAGAGCATTGACGAGGCCATTATCGGAAATGACTTTGTGGGGTGGACGTCAATGTACGATGGGAGCAAGATTGATACCGGCGAGATGGAAGACTGGCTCAGCGACACGATACACACTCTCCTTGACGGACAACCGGCGGGCCATGTTCTCGAGATCGGCACTGGGACTGGTATGATCCTCTTCAATCTAGCCCAACAAGGTCGCGGCCTCGAGAGCTACGTCGGGCTTGACCCGTCTAGAAAGGCGGTCGCGTTTGCCAACCGTACAATAGAATCTATACCGAGTCTGGCCGGTAAAGCCAAAGTTCACGTCGGCACGGCCATGGACGTTGGTCGGCTCCAGGGACTCCGGCCGGACGTTGTTGTTATCAACTCTGTCGCACAGTATTTTCCTTCATCCGAGTATCTTCAACAGGTGGTTGACTGCCTGACTCGGATTCACGGCATCAAACGCATATTCTTTGGGGACGTGCGAAGCCTCGCCGTGAACAGAGACTTCCTTGCGGCAAGGGTTATCTATGCGTTGGGTGACCAAAAAGCGTCCAAAGAAACTGTTGCGAGGAACATGGCAGAGCTAGAAGAACGTGAAGAGGAACTGCTTGTTGACCCGGCATTCTTCACAGGGCTCATGAAACAACTGCCTGGTAAAATCAAGCACGTCGAGGTTCTGCCGAAGCGGATGGAAGTTTCTAACGAGTTGAGCTCCTATCGATATGCGGCCATTATACATTTGCACAGCGCAGATAATCAGCTTCTGTCTCAGTCTATACACACGGTTAACCCGGACGCTTGGCTAGACTTTGAAGCCGCCCGGATGAACAAGAACGCGCTTTTGCATGTCCTCCAAAGCTCGCCAGACGCCCTGACCGTCTCCGTCAGCAACATCCCTTACGCAAAAACCATCTTTGAGCGGCACGTTGTAGAGTCGCTTGATGATACGACTATAGAGCGCTCGCAACCGGATAATGCACCGAGTGGGACATCGTGGATCTCGGATATCCGCAAGACAGCCCAAAACTACGCATCCCTCTCTGCTACGGACCTCGCAGCAGTAGGGCAAGAGGCGGGTTTCCACGTGGCGCTCAGCTGTGCTCGACAACGGTCCCAACATGGCGGTTTAGATGCCGTCTTCCACCGTTATCAGGGCCCTGTCCTGATTCAGTTCCCGGTGGAAGAACTATCGCCTTCTCATGCCCTAACAAATAGACCGCTGCGGAGGCTGCAGAGCCGCCGGGTGGAGATGCAAGTCCGAGAGCGGCTACAGGCACTGCTCCCATCTTACATGATTCCAACGCAGATCATGGTAGTACCAGAGATGCCCATCAATAGCAACGGCAAAGTTGATCGGCGAGAACTTAGTCGGCGAGCCCGGACCACCCCGAGAGCCAAGCCGGCTTCGCAGCACGTGGCCCCTCGCAACGAAGTGGAAGCCACGCTGTGCGAGATATTTGGCCATGTACTTGGCGTTAACGTTGGCGCCACGGATAACTTCTTTGATCTCGGCGGACACTCCCTTACCGCGACGAAGCTTGCGGCACGGATCGGCCGTCGGCTGCATACCCATGTCTCTATCAAAGACATCTTCAACTCACCAGTCCCTGCTGACCTTGCGAACAAGATCAGGAGCAATCAACTAAATGGGAACGCAGAGAGCAATGGAGTCTCACACACAGAGCACTACGTTCCATTTCAGCTGCTGGCTGAAGATCCGCAGGAATTCATCTTGCGCGAGATTTCTCCCCATCTTAATCACGGCCACGGCCGAATTGTGGACATATATCCCGCTACGTCGCTCCAGAAAAGCTTTGTTCATAATCCAGCGACGGGAGAACCACGCCCTCCGTTGCTTTTCTTTATGGATTTCCCCGCTGGCTCTGACTCTGACTCGTTAGCCCGCACGGTTGAGGCCTTGATCCGCCATTTTGATATCTTTAGGACCGTGTTCCTTTTAGCATCAGGGATTTTCTATCAAGTGGTCCTAGAGCATCTCGAAGTGCCCATCGAAGTAAGGAATGTTGAGGGGGATCTCACCAGTGCGACGCGTGCTCTAGTCGATCAAGATCTAGAACAGCCTCTCCGTTTAGGGCAGCCGATGCTACGTGTCACTATCCTAAAACAGCCAGATTCAGCGGTACGAATAACACTTCGAATGTCCCATGCGTTGTATGACGGCTTGAGCTTCGAGCCCATCGTACGCGCCTTTCACGCTCTGCACAACGGCATTCACCTTCCAACACCGCCCACGTTCGGACGATATGTTCAACACGTGTCTGAAAGTCGCAAGGACGGTTACGAGTTCTGGCGCTCCATCTTGCAAGCTTCGTCGATGACAGTCGTCGGTAGTCATGAAGAGTCACACCCCGAACGTAACGGCACATGGATCGTAGACAAGGTCATCAAGGTCCCCTTCCAACCGAATGCAGACGGTATTACGCCAGCCAACATCTTCACTGCTGCCTGTGCTCTCATGTTATTAAAGGAGACAGAATCAAACGACGTCGTTTTCGGTCGAGTCGTGTCCGGGCGGCAGTGCTTACCGACAAGTTACCAGCAAGTCGTCGGTCCTTGCACCAATGCTGTTCCTGTGCGCGTCCAGATAGATGGTGAAGGGAACCCGAAGCCGAGAGAATTGCTCCGGAACGTGCAAGACCAGTATCTCAACAGCTTACCCTTTGAAACACTAGGACTGGATGAAATCAAGCAGAATTGCACAAACTGGCCAGAGACGACCACGGAGTTCGGTTGCTGCACGGTGTATCAGAACTTCGATACACAGCCCGAAAGTCGGATCCAGGACAAGCAGATCCGGCTAGAGCATCTGCCCATAAAAACTTGGGCCGCCGAGTCCAACGAGTCCGACAGTACTCTAAAACGAAATCCGATTAGCCAAGCCGTGATCCACGACATGTACATTGAAGGAAAGCCAGATGCCGATGGACGTCACCTCCAACTAACCATCGGGGCGAGCCAGAGACTTTTTAAACAAGAGATGGTGGAACGCATGGTCAATTACCTCTGCGAGAGGATTCAGAGCTTGAGTTCGGCCTTGCAAGATCCAGTCCCCAACGGTAACAGCAGCAGCAACACGCCAATTTACATTCTTGGGGTGGGCAGCATGGGTAAGTTTGCGGCCAGTGCTCTGAGGAGGCACCACCCTCAGTTGCCCATCACACTGCTTCTCCATCGCGATGATCTCATCTCAGAATGGGATGAGGGGGGTAGAGCCATCGAATGCATTACGGACAGTAAATCCGTCAAGGCAACAGACTTTGAGGTTGAGCTTCTGTCCCAAGAGCTGCAAACCCCAATCAGGAACCTAATTGTTGCTACCAAAACATATTCAGTGGTCTCGGCGGTTGGGATGGTGAAGCATCGCCTTGGAAGCGAATCCACCATTCTGTTCTTGCAGAATGGAAAAGGTAACGATACATGACAAACCCTTTCAACGCCTAACAATGAGCTAACCGAGTCTAGGTACCATGGGCGAAGTCAACAACTTGGTATTCAGTGATACCGTGTCGCGGCCATCCTACTGGGCCGGAATTTGCAGTTGCGGCGTGTATTCCACCTCCCCATTCTCCATCATCCATGCTGGCCGAGGCCCCATGACGCTGGGGCCCCTTTCCGAGGACGACTCTTCGCCGATGCCAGCCATGATTCAATCTTTGCTGGAGACACCTGATCTCCAAGCAACAATAGAAACACCAGACGGCATCAAGGAAGCACAGCTACTAAAGCTGGCAGTTAATGCTCTGGTCAATCCCTTGACTGTCATCTTCAGGTGTAAAATGGGGCAGTTGTTTGATCAACCACCAAGGCTTGCCTTGATGAAGGCGCTCCTGAAAGAGGCCGGGGAGATTCTCAGGGCAATGCAAGCACGAGCATCTCAGAAGCGAGCAAATCCAGTGTTTACTGACGAGAGCTTACTGGCTTTGGTCTTGAAGGCCACGGAGAGGGTGAAGGAAAGCAAGAGCTCAATGCTACAAGACATAGAGGCTGGGCGGAGAACCGAAATTGATTATATCAACGGATATCTGGTCGGGCATGCAAAACGACTAGGTATTCGTTGTAACAATCATCGTACTATTGTTGAAATGGTCAAACAACGGCAAGTCATTGAAAATGAGCACATTTGGGCCCTATTTGATATGACAAAGTAGCATTGGGCTTTGTATATACATTTGCGCTAGATAATAGGGTAGATGATTCTATATTCAACATAGGCTGTTCAATCGCGACAGTTGGTAAAGCAGTCGCGGTCGGGCTTTTCAATAAAGACGGGTTGTTAGGGGGGGAAATGGCCATTATATTTAGGGGCTAGATAGGTTATTAGATAATATCTAATTAGTACCTCTATTGTCGTCCGTTTCACCTGTGACTCCTTGGCAATTAAGTACTCGGCCGCAGTCCTGGTGATGGTTGACTAGCAAAAGGTGGTGGTTTGATAGAAATATCTTAAATCAATCCTTGTTTGCGAGCATGCCCAGCAGTTTTGTGCATTTGCATCGCTACGAGTGTAATGATGTTTACATCTTACTCCCGAAGCTGAACTACTTGTTCCGCAACAACCTTCTCGACGTCGCGGTCAGACTTGTCGTCGTTCCGCATGTCAACCGCATCGTGGTCGATACGTGGCTGCTTAGACCACTCCGTGACGAGAATGCGCTGTTGAAATTGCTGCGAATCGATGCTGGTGCAACATCCTAAAAGGGAATGTCCTCGTCAGCGACCGTTCAACTGTAATTGTTCATAGAAGGCTGGCTGGCCGCACTACTAACAGCAATGTAAAGGGGCGAAGTGGCGCAGAAGGCACCGACACCGAATCCCAAGACGGCTCTACCGCCCGAAATAATGGCTTGGCTCGAGCTTGTCACCAACTGTAGCACGACACCGATTGTGACGAAAAGGGATCCCACAATCCAAGCTCCCTTTCGACCTAGATAGTCGTTGATGGGGGCCGAGCCGAGCGAGCCAACCAGCTCGCCAACTTGAATCATCGAGGTCATGGCCGACAAGTCTGATGGTCGGATGGAATAAGTACCATCTGGTTGCAATGTACCAAAACTTTTGACAAAGACGCCTACGTTTTGCACCCCGTCAGCAAACTATTTTCCACGTGAGGAAGAATTAGAGTGTCATCTTGACATACCAAGGGCCACAACACCAGTAAAGTACACTCCGTCGTAGCCATAGAGCCATGCTCCAAGAGTTGCAAACCCGCAGATGAGCCAGGCATAGATGTGTTTGGGCGGTGCCATTGTGAGTTGTGGTTGATGGTTGTGATGAGCAAGGTCTGTATCCCCATGATTGGCACAAGGGAGTCGTCCTACTTTACACCTACATTACTCATGTGCACTTGTCTCAACTCCTGGACCTCTAGCCCCAGCTCTCCCCCACATCCACTAGTCAACTGGGTTCCGTTACCACCAGCTCGGAGAGCAAATCGCGGAGGAGTCACCTCTCACCACTATGCCGGTGCCAGACTCCCCAAGCCCCATACTCCAGAGGTACTCCAGAGTCCAGGGTCCAAACAAATTCCACTTAGTTGCCTGCAGAGTACAGTCGACTTTGTATGAAAGTCAGCTAATGCAGAATCTGCTTCGGCATGTTGCTGAAGGCACAGGGCCGCACCTATATCCCCAACCCTAATCACACTAATCTGAAGATCCTAGTCAGCTATTAAATAGTTTCCTGAATATATAAGCCTATACTATATATATATATCTACTTTAGTGAATCCTAGGTCCTATATTAACACCTCAATTTATGAATAATATATATAATATAATTCTCTTCAAGGGCCTTGGGGCCCAGGTTACTCTAACCCATGCTGCTCAAATCTCCCACAGGCATGGGAAGCTACAGTGAAGTATTTTCTCCACTTACTTATCCTACAGTATACCAAGGACACTAGAAGATACTAAAAGAGGCCCTGGAATATCGAATTATCTCTTTGGTGCATCGGAAGCTACAGAAAGTAACTTGCAGGGTACTGATTCGTCTGGTAGAGCTCGGTTAATAGATACTTTATATATCACCTATTTAGTATGTATCTTGATGTATTGTTGATCAGTGCTCTACCAGGGTGAACTTCGCCACTAACCAGAATTGCACCTACAATTCGATGTTCCAGGGCCTCTTTTGGTTTCTTCTCGTACGCTTTGTACCATATAAATAAGTGGAGAAAATACCTTGCTGTAGTCTCCCATGCACCAAGGAGATAGGCGTAATTCTTGCTAGTGGCGAGGTTCACCTTAGTAAAGTACTGATCAACAATACCTCAGTCTTCACCTTAAATAAATTGTACACTAAGTACCTCTTAGCCTGTTTCTCTCAGGCGAATGATAACCCTGTAAGTTCCTTGTTGTCGCTTCCGATGCCTCCAAGAGATAGCCAGTCAGCACGATATTGATTAATAAGGCCAGCCTATGGGAAGCGATCAAGCCGTTCATAGCTTGTACCGTAGAGGGATTTTAGGAACCTCCAATTCATCATGACGTCTACCAAGCACCATTGCCTACCCTCTGTCTGACGTCAAGGATATATCACAATTTACAACGAAAAAACGGCCCACATTTTCCCTCATTCAACCGTTACCCCATGGCGTGCATCACTTCGAGCTGCTGCTGTTGAAGCACGACTGGACATATATATTTGGCTTATTCCGAGTCGGCTTCTAGATTTATTAATTGTAGACATTAAAATATTTGCCATCCCTATTCTAAGCGAGATGGCGTCGGCACCCCGTATTTTCCAGCTCGTTGGCACCTGCAACAACTATCACTGGGGGAAGAAGGGACGCAATTCCCTTGCAGCACGCATGTGCGAGAAGGCAACACCCACGGGTTTCGAAATAATAGATGACGAACCCTATTCGGAGATGTGGTTCGGTGACTATCCAGACTTCCCCGGCCGAGTTGCAGAAACAGGCGAGCCATTGGGCGACTATCTTGGCAAGCATAAAGAGGAACTCCTCGGAGCCAAAATAGTGAAAGATTTCGATGCACAGCTTCCGTTCCTACCAAAGGTATGCACTATGCCTGGTACTTAGGTCGTCTAGTCCTTTCCTCACACTGCCTCCAGATCCTGTCTATAGCGAAGGCGCTCCCTCTGCAAATCCACCCGAACAAACAGCTGTCGGAGAGGCTGCATCAGAAACAACCGGACAAGTTCACCGACCCGAATCACAAGCCTGAGATCGCGATCGCCCTCTCGAGGTTCGAGGTCTTTGCTGGCTGGAAACGCGTTTCCCACATCTCACCACTATTCAAGAATCCGGCTTTGGCTCAGTTTGTCCCCTCGGGCACTGGGGAATGGACTAATGACACGCTAAGGCAAGTGGTTCGCAAACTCTTGAAGGCCGACGAGGAGACAGTCATGACAGTTGAGAATGAGATTGCAAGACTTTCCAAGAATGACCTCCGAAAGGCCATCGGCGAGGACTACATGGCGGACTTGATACCCCGGCTACAGATGGAGTACGGGAGCACCGACCCCGGCACACTTGTCGCGCTCCTATGCATGAATTTCCTAGTTCTCGAGCCAGGGGAAGCCCTGTATATTCCGGCGGATGGAATTCACGCCTACCTATCAGGTGACATTGTTGAGTGCATGGCTCGCTCCAACAACGTGCTTAACGTGGGATTCTGTCCGCCCGCAGACCGCGACAACGCTGATCTTTTCACGGAGATGCTCACTTTCGGCCCGGATACTAGAGGTGATATCACACTTCCGAGACAGAAGAGCGACGCTGGCCTCAAGGGGCGGACCTCGGTTTACCAACCCCCGATACGCGAATTCGACATGCTCAGAATCGATCTAGGTCCGGACGAGGACGAAGAAATCCAGGCGCTGGAGGGTCCGGGCATCGCCATAGTGACGCGTGGGACAGGGATCTTGCATGGGAACGATGAGGAGATAGCGGTTAAGGAAGCTGACATCCTCTATGTTGCGCCCCAGGTGCAAACAGAATGGAGAACCAGCTCGGATTTGCAAGTACATATGGCGGTTTCCGGGCTACAGTAGGAGTTTACTATCGGTCGTTATACGTCACTTCAAAGGATTTAAGCATTTCAGGGCAGCGGCATGGGCGTGAGCTATCGCGCGCAGTCCAGTGGATGGATTTTCGTGGGCGATAAAGCAACAAATGGGCCAGATAACCAAAGCCAAATTCCTTGTACGATATGACTTAATTGATGACGCGCGCATTGTCTAAAACTCTGGGTTTATACGGCTCATTTTTGCATCATTGACTCCATCTGGACTCCGCCAGACACGGCCATGAGCGCTAGTGGTGGGGTGCTGCTACCACACACTACCTACCTATATCAAATATAATGAAACGAGTATCCTCGGAGTTCATAAAAGTCTACAGCAGTCCGAGATTCAATTGCCCCCCAAAGGCTCGTCATTGCAATAATTAGAAGATATTGTCGTCAAGCAATAATTAAACATACTGTCGCCAAAACATGTCGGGCGAGCAGTTCCAGCAGGGTACGTAGGTCTTCTACTGGCGGCTTTGGAGATTCCTCGCTGATTGCATGCGTAGGCCACCGCGTCCCAGTGACGCAGCAGGACTTCCCAGGCACCGAGGGAGAGATGCCTAACCCCGATCCGCAGTTTCAGAACATCCCTACAGAAGAAGGCCAGTATCAGAAATACAGGGCCGCCGGGAAGCTCAAGGGCAAGAAGGCACTCATCACCGGGGGGGATTCCGGTATAGGGCGAGCGACGGCTGTCTTGTTTGCTATGGAGGGAGCCGATTCCTTTATTACTTACTTGCCAGGTGAGAGACAGGATGCGCAAAAAACCAAGGAGATGGTTGAAGAACACGGCCGGCATTGCTACCTCTACGAAGTCGATTTATCGGAACTGAAGAACTGCAGAGACGTAGTAGATAAGGCTATATCTAGGCTCGGCGGCATCGATATACTGTTCAACAACGCTGCTTATCAAATGATGGTCGAGTCTATCAGCGACCTCCCCGAGTGAGATGATGATGTTACACCAATGAAGTATAGAAACAGTTCTAACAGTCGGGCAGTGACCAATGGATTCATACCTTCAACACAAACATCCATCCGTTCTTTTACATCTCCAAATATGCGCTTCCACACCTGAAGGCTGGAGCTAGCATTATCAATAACGCTAGCATCAACGCCTACATCGGCCGTCCAGACCTTCTAGACTACACATCGACAAAGGGCGCCATCATCTCCTTCACACGCGGCCTGAGCAACCAGTTGGTTGGAAAGGGTATTCGCGTGAATGCCATCGCGCCTGGCCCAGTTTGGACCCCGCTCATCCCTGCAACTATGAGTGAGAAGGCTATCAAGGAGTTCACGAGCCCAATGGGGCGGCCTGGACAGCCTTCCGAGATAGCGACATGCGTGGTCTTTTTGGCTTCAACAGATAGTTCCTTCATTAGCGGCCAGACTATTCACTGTAACGGTGGCGTTGTGGTAAATGGTTGAGATGAAACGTCGAATTCTAAAGCTGGAAAGCTTCTTGCCGCACACACCACAGCCGCTAGTAAATTCAACACTAATCTACTGATATCTCTTTCTGGACCCTAATGTTGTTCGATGGCAACGGCTCCAGCCCGTATTCTGCGTCGCGGATTCCTTCGTTTCCTGCTGAGATTTGAGTCTTACTTTTTCCCTGCAATTCTGCCGAGTCAACCCAAGGACCATCAGCTGCTCGACTAGTGTTTTCTGTAATCCTAAACGCGGACGTGCCGCCTGTTCTGCTGCGAAAAGAATTATACTCGCTGCTTCTTGGGTACGAACTAAGCTTCTTCTTGTGCTTCAAGAGCGCACCGAGTAATGGTAAGCAGCTACAGACAATGGCCAACCCAAGTTGCATGCAGGACCAGAAGAACATCCCAGCATGGTCACCTGCAATAAGCCGGATTAGTTTAACTTTTACCTATGCAATGGAGCCCTGGAGGAGAAAGAAGGATGCTGCTCACTTTTCGTAATACCAATGATGCGCGCAACGCTAGCCACGCAGACTCTATTCAGGTTTTGTTAGCATATCTAGATTTATATTCTTTATATGTTCAAAAGATTTAGATTAAAAGGAAAGAAGATATACTTACGACACTCCAACTAAAAATATTCCAATAACTGATACCTTCTTCTTCGTGGAAAGATTAAGTTTCCCAATAGTGAAGACAGGTATGCATAGGACTAGAATATCCAGCACCAAGTTAGTTGACTCCAATGGGAGAAAAATATCGGGAGCTGGGATACAACTGCCGGGAGGGGCTGACGGTTTCCATGCGTTGGTCGGCGGGCGACACCTGAAGGCTGCCAGAAAGGTGAATATAATCCACCACAGGATGCACCCTGTTGTGATAGATAATATGGCAACCTTCATCTTCTTCTCAACCCCAAAGAGGCTCCAATAAAACGCCAAGATGCTAAGCTTCACTATCGAAATAGAAAATGTGAAGAGGACCTGCTCCACGTACAATATCTGAAAAGAAAGTTGTCAGTCACTGAAGACATTGCCATCCCAATCTTGTCCGATTTTCTCTAGGATAACAGATATATGTTGAAATGGACATGTGGTCTTGAGTACCTTGAGAAATTCGATGAGATTCAGGGACGACGTGGGCATAAAAGGGTCGCTGCCCGCAATGTCGAAAACATCTACGAAAAGAAATTAATACATCTCATCACAATAATAAAGGGCTGTATACGCGGTGATCTCCATGGATTACATGAACTCATGTCGCGAACTTGAAGAAGACTCTCTTACAGTGAAGCATCACCCCTGCATAAGCGCAGAACAGGAGGAAAGAAATGAAGCATAGGCCATCGGAAAGGTATGAGAATTGTCGGGCCTTTACACGAGCAATGATTCGCAACGTGATCACTGTGGATGTCAAAACGATGAAAACAACAGCCGTAACGAAGACTCGATGCGTTGAGGAATGTAGCTCAATCATCATCACCTGAAAGTCTGTTCACATGGCGTAACCATAGAGGCTCGGTGAAAAAGATTAGAATAACTTCATTATGAAAAGTAACGTTATGCTTTTCGGACCACAGCGGGGGGTTGCCGAGTTTTAGTGCCATCCCTGGTAGCAATCCTACCCTCGCCAGGCGGTTATCCGTAGTAATAGCCTCAGTTCCAGAGGAGCCATGGCCATCCGTCGCGATCATGTGGGCAGGGGAGGAGATCCTACATCCACTATATGATCACTGCATGGCCAAGACGCCACTATTGGGTATTCATACTGGTGCTTGCCGGACTTTAGCCTATGACGGCGCTCTGCCCTACCAGGAGCAGATGAATAGGATCCAGCCCACTTCCGCACAACCCTTTCATTTTCTCGCGCATCCTACTGTGACATCAACTTCTCGCAGTTAGAGTAAGCCCCCACAGGTCGACGCTGTATGTCGCGTACAAGAGATGGAGATCCTTGGGTCTCCTGCCGCTGATCTGTTCTCATGGCAGGGTATTGCAGATTCATGTTTATTCGATTGGTAAGCACTTTGATGGCTTGCCTGCTCAAAAAACATCATCAAATGGCATTTACAATATAGAACTTGGACTGTGCACCGAATCACGTAAGAAGGAAGAGGCCAGCTGCCAGATTGGACCTTCTTATGGTAAGTGCCACAAGTGTAAGACAGGGGTTTTCTCCCAAATTCCTTGGCGACCACCCGTCCCGGCCGTTATCCGTTACGATAGAGATCGACCAATACCTAAGCACACCGCCGTTCCCGAAATCTAAAATTACATTAAAAGAGTATTAGTAACTATTTGAAAGCGAAATCGTCAATCTCTGCTTGTAACTCCTTCCTAGTTGGTTAGGCTGTAGAGCGATAGCGATTCGAGCTGGGCATGGGAGATGCTTACTCATCGTATTGACATGATACTATTAAATCACACTTTCTACCATTAACTTCGTCGCTTAGCTCAAGAATAAGTGATTACAAGCCATCATCAACTGTTATAACAGTTTGACACGCCCTAAAATCCGGTATATAACCAACTTCGCTGATGGCAAGAGGTGGGTAAGATGTTCTAAGGCTCTAGGTTCGTTATATCATTGAAGTAAAGCCTGTTGTGCGATATCTCCACGTTAATAATAAGGAATGAATAGCGTTGCTATTCGTTAGAGTACGTCTATTACATTCGCCTCACTATAGTGGCTTGATATTTCCCTGGCTCTAGCCGTAGTATGCATGCCTAGATTTTTACTGAATATTCAAATTATCTTCTCTTGGGTTTTGATTAATATGAAAGATCTTATTCTTAACCTTGGCCAAAATTAATTCTCGTATCTACCCCTATTACTTACAATTAAAACTAAAGTTGCTGCATAATTTCTTCTTTTCTAACTTAGAGATTGAGGCACTGTATCCATTATCATGCTGACCGACCACAAGGCGCCTCTGCACGAGCCCGAACAGATTAGGCCTAAGAGGGTTAGGGGACCAAAGATAAATACCACGGTGAAAAGCCTATATGGTCTTGATAAAGAAACAAGAAGCATTATCGATTCCCTTAAAAAGTAGAGCAAGGTATGCAGATAGCTAGCTTGGGAAGAAACAGGAAAATAGGGGTTCACTAAGATAAGCCTGCCGGCGGAGGAGTTATGATGCCAAAATGTTAACCACGGCCATCTCCAGCTGTTTCTCTTCTCGGGTGAGAATAAGTGACCGCTTGGATCTCTGACTTATATCAATTGCGTCAATGCCTGGGTGGCCTTTGTCCTATCTGCGCTCCCATTGTGAACGATGATCTCAGCATTTCCACCAGACGAATCACTTCATCATGCGGCCAGAGCGGCAAGGAGTATTGATTTCTTACGTGATCCTTTAACAGGTTACGAGCTAGGAGTGTGCTTCGACGATTAGATCCTCGACTTTAGTCTGGTGTGAGTCCAGACAACGAGTACATCAAAAGCTTTCATTCAGACTTTACCAAGCTAACATCGCTCGCCGCCTGCCAATAGCCAGTGTAGTTGGGTCTGGGCACTACGTAAAAGAGGCAGCCACCAGTCAATCCGTATTTTTGGTAGAAATTTGTGCTAGGAGAGCCCAAAGACCTCTACTCATGATCACGCCCGGCTGCTGAACTAAAATTCAACTAATATGTCTCCTCCAACCTGTGTTCCTCTTCACCATTATGTCCACCAAAGTAGTTGTTTGTTTCTCTTAACTTCGTGTCTTTGTTGATCAAAGCGTGCTGATTGCGAATTTGTTACATGGGACTCAGCATAGCATGCTAATGTATTTATCTACATGCCTGTCACAGGATGACCTGCTCGACCAGATCCATTTCTTCCTGTCTAATCTTAGCAATAATATTGTACTAGGTGCGATTATCAATATGGCCACGCCAAGGTACCGTGTAAATCCCTCAGGATAATCTTATCAACGGGTTATCATTAATTTATTAAATATGCTAATATCCACCGTTTCCAAGGGCGGAGATTGAGTTCCAAAACCTTCCATGGAGAATCAAACGCTAAGCTAATACAATGCGAAATGCAGGCTGCGCTCATATGGCATCTTCAAATTAAACACTTCTCACATCCACCTCAAGAGAACTTGTCCTTTTTTATCTCCTGTGCAACAGTCCAGGACGTTCCGTCTAGCCGAGCCTCCATGACAGCGCCGCCTTTCATGAAGAAACAACTGTTAAGGTCCGACACTGACTCGAGGAGCCTCTCGCCAAGTTCGGGTACCGTCTGCCAAGTAGGCGTCGTCGCGCAGGATATGCTGGCCCCTTTGTCGGCACCTTTAAATGCGTCTGGTGTAGACTGCTGCCATTCATTCTTCTCGCCATCTCTGAATATTTGCTGAATAGTACCGGAATCGTCTTGGTAGAGAATGAATGCGTTGATTTCTTTTTTGGATGCATCAGACGACGATGCAGCCACTGAGAAAGCTGCGATCGAAGCCAGTTCGTCTGTGACAATATTTGGAAAAGCTGCAAAGATTAGCACGGCGTGATCATAGTGTCAAAAGTTTGATGAATAAACTCGACTTACATGAGTCCCACCATTTTGAGCTATCATCTTGGTCAGAGTAAGTTTTCCTTGCCCCCTGATTTGCGGGATCCTCTAGTGTTATAATCTTGCCATCTTCATTCTGATACACCAAGGCCCATCGGCCATAATCTTGGATTTCCGTGAAGTTTCTCGATGTTGGGATCAAAGCAAGCCTCGATCCATGCTTGGCCCGAATCTTGAGATCCTTATTTTTCCATGGATAGATGATAAGCTGGAGAATACCGTCGATTGATTGGTAGGCAATATATGGCCAGTAAGCAGCCAGGTCGCTCCCATCGATGGCGTTCTTAAAAGTCTCGTTGTTGACGCTATCCGGGTTGAAGCCATTTGAGCGGACAAAGTTGATGCCGTTGACCGAAGAGCTGTCGTTGAGGAAAAACATTTCGACTTGAACCTATGAGAGGGAAAACATGAGCACATGCACCATTTGAGTTGCCAAAATTAAACCACTAACAGTTGGATCGCTGACAATCATAGGAAGAAGCCCGACGGCTATGCCTGTGTTGTTCTTCACCGAGTATTCTGGTGTCAGCTTGCTTGGGTTTCCCCATGTAGCTTTATCGACCGTGTCCGACCCGGCAGCGAGTGATTGTCGAAGTGTCCCATTTGAGTCTTGGTAGAAGAGGAATCGAGTAAAACTTCCATCGGCCTGCCATGCGACCGCGGCAAGATGGGATTTGGGTGCAATCGCTACTTGTGATGGGGCGGTCGTGGGCGAACTCGATGCGGTGGACGCAGTTGAGGTCGAGGATCGTTGATCTGAACTGCTGCTGTCGGATGAACTATTGTCAGATGTACTTTTGTTTGACTGCGCCGCCCTTGAACCTAGAACACCACCCAAGACCGCCGCAAGAATAACGACGATAGCCACCAATACTCCGATGATGATGTACATTCGTCGATGAGACTTGGGACTGGGTTCTTCTCGTACTGCTTCTGGCGCCGCTGCTGGATCGAACTCGGATGTGGCCCTGCCGTCTACAGTCCTGCCCTCGGTGGTGATGGTCCTCCCATCCGACGGAAATGTGCTCCCATCGCTGGCTGCATGTGGTTTTGCGGCATCCGGCCCATAGAATCCGTACAATATTTTGCCCTCTTCAGGCCGCACTTCAGGCGCCGTCGAGTCATGAACGACCTGCAGCCCTGCACTGTCTGGATACTGGTGGCTCGAGGGCATAGAGTATTGTGACATGATGCCAACTTCACACGGCGGCGCTAGCGCTTCTGGCACAGTGTGGGATATTCCACAGGGCTGAAAGTTAATTGTAAAGGAGAAGAAAACAAATGGAGAAGGTGAGGGGAAAAGGCAGAGCCGGAAATTGCAACGTCCCCCTGGCGGCTGCCTCGGGCGTACCAGTCCTTCAACCCTCAATCCTTTCCAGGCCATCAAATTACAAGTGATCGATCCTAAAAGCGGACTGGGCGTTTACAAGCAGTCCTGATTGGGCTATAGCACTTGTAATATAGCACCACATCCCTTAATCCCAAACACTAATGGAGACCTGCGGGAACTGCCACGTGCAACCTGAACGGCTTGGCCAGTATTTCGCCGCTGATTTCGTAACCGCCGATGAATGATCCTATCTTTATTTCCAGCATAGACTCCCTCTGAGGCTCTTGAAGACGGCCGCGGACCCAGGTTGCATGTACATTCAAAGTGGTACTGTGAAATTGGCTAATATTACAGTACCATTTAGCACAGAGGCCAGCAAATCGGTGCTCGAAATTAACCACCATATCAGGTTAGGCTGATCTTGATTATGTCAGAATTGTCTGGACGGCCTCATGATTTTCCCTGAGCCCTTACTCGGTTCAGCCAAGCTCCTTTGCCAAGCTGTTTCACCAGCCCTGCCAAATAATGTGGATATCACGGTAAGGCACATTTGCCTGCCTTGCCCTTTCTAGACTTCGCTTCAACTGGTGGTTTCGCAACAACTCATTCTGATGTGCAAATTGGCAATCGATAATATCCAACCAGCAGAGTCTAAAAGCCGATTATCCTTTGAGCAAGATATTTCAAGATACTGAGAAACTTAAAACTATACTAAAAATTCACTCCCCTAATTAACTAAGATATTAGAGGAACACAAAGGCTATTTAAGAAAGCGGCCATACTAGATATTACGAAACTCTACGCTGTCACTACTCTATGTGAGAATTGACAGAACATTGAAGTTAAAAATTAGTTTTCTTATTTCATCTACGCATCCGTGCATTTATTCCATCTATTTGTTCTCATCATTTATACATCAATAGGATTTTGGTATGGTGATGCAGCTTATGTCCTTATTCCTTCTCTACAGTGCTATAGGGTAGCCCTCTGTATCAACGTAAATTTCGAGGACAGCAGGTTATTGAAATTACTCTCGATAGAAAAGAGAGAGCCAGGAATATTGCTTGATCAGACGAAAGATATAGGTCCTATACAATGGCAATGATGCATGTCGGCTTAAATCATATCTTGACCATCAGTGCATATTCTCGTCCATTGTGTTGTCATGGGAATCACGTGACCACCGACTAGTCACATCAGAGCGGCCCTTTTCCAAATTGGGTAATAGTCCGACGGCTTCAACAGTTCCCCTCCTACCATCATCACTCGTTCAAACGCAGACCGGCATGTCCGCAATGGATGAGCAAGGTATTCGGCGGACAAGATCTGTGTCCAAAAAGGGTGGCTCCTTTCACATTTGGACCGCTGATGACTTTATTTCTGAGCAACAAGTGTCAGCGAAACGGAGGGCTTGGCATTCAACCGCTTGCCAAAGATGCCGGTACCGCAAGGCCAAATGCATTGTGAGCACGGCTTCATCGCAACTGCCCACCACGTTACCTCGACCGCCTTGCCAACTATGTCAGCGAATGAATGTTGAGTGTGTGTGGGACACAACTGATAAACGGAGGCGGAAGCGTAACCAAGCTCTGCCTAAAGAAAGCACCGCTGCCCAAGTCCAACGCGTGGCGGGTGACGAGGAAGCGTACCACAACAGGGATCAGGTTGTCACATCCGAAAAAGCTTCTTCTCAGCTACACATTCATGATCAAAATGAGACGGTCGACGAAAGAGACACCTCGGATGCTCGCTCAAATGAAACCCAGCACGACAATCACCCCGGCCCTCAACCCAACATGGGTGAGTCGGCGGACGTGTCGTGGTGGGATGATGGGAGCCTCGATCTTGGGAGTATCTGCATCCCTCAAGATTTTGTGGAAAACGCGAATTCTGAGTACAGCTTTGAGTTGCCGCGCAACTGGCCCTCGGATGTTCAGGATTTCACGCTAGGGCTAGATTTTATCGAACAATCTCTTGTTGGGCGCTCCCCGGATCCAGTTCAGCAAAGTTTTGAAGCTCAAGCCATGGGCGGGGACAACTCGGTCGCCAAGTCTCGAATACTCCGTTTGCGCTGCTACAGACGACTAGGGCCTACCGCAGCGGCGCCTGGTGTACGGAGGCTCTTTGTAGCAGTTCAGCCATATCCAACTCTGCCAGCAGGCCAAGGGAGAGATGACTCAAAAACAGAATCGTCCCCCAGTGGCCTTTCTATATCTACACCACGATCTACCTTGTCGGTCTATAGTGATCTCTTTGATTCACAAGCCCAGAGACCGCATTCGCTGATTCTTCCCATCATTCTCGACGTCTTCTTCGATCACTTTGGTGGGCATTTCCCATTCCTTCAAAGGCGTGTTCTCAATTATCACGTGCAAACAGGAGAAGCCTCCAGCTTTTTGCTAAATGCAATCTCGGCTTTGACGGCACGCTTCTGTCCCTTAGATGGCCCATTGGCAATTCTCAAGGATAGATTTAAGAGCAAATGGCGACAAGGAGCCCCATTCTTAGAAAAAGCAAAGGATCAACTGGCTTCGCTTCTTAGCATTCCAGCCTCCGATGTTGTGGCTGGATTGGTCATTATGGCTTGGGTTGAGTTTGGGGACAATAACGAAGCAGGTTAGTATGAGACCCCAGAGCGAGGAAAACTCTTTTGTATCGGTATTGAAAGCTCACCTTTGGTCATAGGAATGTGGATGTATTCGGGAATGGCAATAAGAATGGCGCAAGATCTTGGTTATCATCGTCGACTTGAGGCAGTCGCTGACCCCGGGCAAGTGTTTCGCGACTTTTCGAACACAACGGGCGATCTCAACCTAACAGATGACCAGGCAGCACTTCACCAACACAAGGCTCAACTAGTCTTGTTCTGGACTGCATTCAGCCTGGATGTCTATGTATCACTTGTCACCGGCCGGCCCACCACTCTTCAGAGAAATGAAATCGACGCTCCGATTCCAGCAGCAGAAGATATGAATGTGACACAACTTGAATGGAGCAACTCGGACCCAATGAGGAACAGGGTATTCCCCGAGGTTGTCGCATTCATGCTGCATTTCTCAGAATCCCTTAAAATATTGAACCGAATGACGACCATGAGCACTGCGAGTTTAGACGGCGACGAAAATCTTCCCTATTCCTCATCAAAAGAATTCTCTCAAGCTAGATCGAATCTTTTAGGACGTTACAAATCGCTCCCTCGTCAGCTCACCTTTGGGGTAGATACATATAAGAGGTCATTAGCCAGCAACCAAAGTGGTCTTTTCATCACTCTCCATCTTTTCTTTTACACTTTCATCATATTGCTGTCACGCAAAGACCCGTGTAGCACTAGACGGAGATTACATAATCCTTCTGATGAGTCGTTTCAGCCATCCTGGAACCAGGACCAAGGGGATACGGTTGCGTTGCATGGAACCCAACTTGAGGAGCAGCAAAATCTGGAGATATCCAGAATGGCTTGCCAAAAGATGGCACATATTTTGACAGTCGCAGACGTCGTCCAGAAAACTGGTTACTTGGCATCGCCTTTCACGAACCATTGCTTCTTTGTCGCAGCATCATCGATTTTGCATGATGAAGCAAAGCTAGGCCAGGGGGGGTTCCGAGATACTTTTATGTCATCAACTACAGAGAATGACTTTGATATGTTTAGAGACAAGCTGAGGGAGCAGAGTGAGTATTTCCGAGCTATTGGCTCCGTGCTCTGTACCCTGATGCAGCAGAAGAATGTCTCGGCAGGTGAAGAGGATGGTGGGCAGTCAACCGGTGACGAGGATGGTGATAACAGTTTGGGGAGGGTTGTCGAGGATCCTGGAATTGTGACACGGTACTCCATACGATGAGACCGAAAAGGAGGGTTGATGCTGGTTAAACACACGGACGACGTCGTGGCTATCGATGTCGGAGACAACAACATGATGATCGGGTTTCCAAATGGGGCAAGCATCCGAAGTTCACGGTCCCACAATATGGTCGACCTGTGATGAGATACATCTGGATCATCTGGACTGTCTGTGAGAAGGGAAACTTGATATTGGTATATCTGATTACCCCATAGGCAAAATTGGTTGATATTATTGTTGAGAGAATAAATTTCTGCCTCCCAAATTTGCCACTTCCTTCCCGAAAATGATCGTGATATCATCTGCCATTCATGCCCATTCCTCTTCCACCTTTGTTTGTGACCATATTTGCTTCTACATCCTGGCGAGATTTGTTGTACCGCCTTTCGATGTCTTCTAAGCTGTGTCCTTTCGTCTCTGTCATGTATACCACAATAACGATGGTACCTGCAAGTGTGAAGGCCGCATACAGAAAATAAGCACCGTACGAAGATCCTGATAGAAGGATCGGCGTCACAAGTGCTACTATATAGTTTGAAATCTATAAATTTGCCATCATCAGTACTGATTTTGAACAATGAAGAATCTGGGAAGAGAAAAAAACATACCCAGTTGCAGCTTTGTGCGAGACTCGACGCACTACTTCGAGTTTCCTTTGGCAAGCTCTCCACTAGAGAAGAACGCAAACAGACCGCCCATGTTGCGTTGTAAACGCCCGCAAATAGGTAGATGGACACGATGACTATCCACCTTCCTGGGCCTGAGTCCTCATGCACCGACTTGGCGGCATACAGTGAACCCATAAGAACCATAAGTATCGAGATCAAAATGCCACCGAGAATGCTTGCAGTTCTCCTACCCCAGTGATCTGCGAAGATAGCAGCCGGGACAGAGACAACAAGAATCACTAGGGCAGAGCATCCGGATGCTAAGAAAGATGCACTCTCATCACGTAGTCCAGCCTGCGCGAAGAGGGTAGGGGCGTAGTATAAAACACCGTCAATTCCAGAGAGCTGTTGCAATGCCATGAGAAAGCAACCGAAAAGAGTTCTTCCTCTAAAGGGGGCCTGGAATGCTTGTTTGAACTCTTTCTGTGTGTGATATACGATTTGGAGGAAAAAAGAGTTGCTAGTTTCCGCCTGGGCAGCTGGACTCTCAAACTGTGCAAACATCCCTTCCTGTTCCTTCTCATCAAGACTAAGTTTAGTGGCAATCAAGCGCGCCTCTTGAATCCGCCCCTTCGATAATAGCCAGCGCGGTGAAAGTGGAAGTATCCAATAGGACCCAGATAGCAAAACTCCAAGTCCACATCCAAGGGCGGGCGGAATCCTCCAGGCTGCGGGAGATTTGCCTAGACGAGCTGTCCCATAGCAGGTGAAGAATCCCAAAACAATTCCCGAGGCTACAAAGAATAGCGGCAAGGCATTCATAATGCCTCTAGTGTGATAGGGAGATGTCTCGGAGATCTGGACCCATACATTGCTCAAGAAGAGACCGATGCCTATACCTTTTATGAGGCGACCGAAGATGAAGCCTCCTAGGCTAGGTGTCCCGCACTCGATTGCGGAACCGACACCAGATATTAAGGAGCCAATGGCAATGATCTTGACATGTCCGAAACTATGGGCTAGTGGTCCAGCGACGAGGGACGTTATTGCACCGGGGATTAGAACAGAGGAGACGATGACACCGTGAACTGTCGCGCTAAACGTGCCGAAGCTGGATGAGAAGGCCGGCATAGTCGTGACCGGGCCGATCATGCCAGTGTCAAATCTAACCAACATAAATGCCGTCAGGTCTTTGATTTGAAATATTTAGAGAGAAAAAGACGAATTGCTCGATTTGACATACCCGAAGAGCATCGCAATAAGAGATGCGATTATGCCGACTTTAACGTAATATGGTATATTGAGTGACCACATGATGGTATACTTGGATTAGGGGGCCTAGTGAGAGGGAAGCCTTTTTTCTTCCAAAGGCTGTTCGTACTGCAAAGTACAAGACATCTAGCAAACTTGGACATCTAGCAAACTTGGACATCTAGCAAACTTGGATCAGACGATAATTAAGTACAAACTGGGATGCTCTTCCGGTTGATCAATAGGGCAAACCTCCGGTCCCATATTTTCCTCTCCTGGTCTCCCATTTTGGGCCGAACCGACAAGTTATTCTCCATTAATCATCAAGGAAGACTACCTGCGAGCACAATTTCTTCTCTAGTAAATGCCGGTAGGAGGTTTTGTGGACACTGGCAGGTTCCCTTGCGTCTACTTGGAAGCATCATGATACGAGATTACCGAACCGTAGCTCACCCTCCATTGCTATCCTCGTGAAGGTGCCGTGTCTGCGTCTGATCACCGGTAAAATCAATTATAGTCAAGGGCTTGTTACAATGCTGTCATCCAACATAGTCTCGCCGTGTGTAACATATCTCTGTCTATTCGCGCACAGTGCTTCTATTGTTCGCACCCATAGCTACGAAAACCAGGCCTCATAGTCTGAGTGAAGACAAATAGTCAAAGATGGTAAAAGTGTAATCGATTAAAACAATGTTTGCCCGCCGTCTATGATAATATCTGCGCCGTTAATATACCTTCCAGCAGAGCTGGCCAGAAGGATGACCGCGCCACACAATTCTTCGGGAGACCCAATGCGGCCATTGGGATTCCTTTCATTCCAAATAGTTCTCGCAGCTTGTAGCCCATCTCCTTCATTCAGAATGGTATCCATATATCCGGGACTAATGCTGTTGACGCGAATGCCATGCACAGCCCACTCAGCGGCAAGTGACTTGGTCATTGCCAAAACGGCAGCCTTGGAAGCGTTGTACGCGACCTGAGGCTGCGGGAAGTTGACGCGATGGGCCGAGATCGAGGCGACATGAACAATGGAACCGCCATTCCCCGATTTAACCATGACGTTTGCGACGGCCTTGGCACAAAGAAACGACCCGGTGGTATTGATATCGAAAGTCCGGCGCCACTCCTTGGCGGGCATGTCTTTTGCGTGATCGCAGCTGACAACACCTGCAAAGGTTAGGAGGACATCGATGCCTCCGACCATCTCCAAAGCCTCCTGCGACGCTTTTGTAACTTGCGCATCATCCGTAACATCTATGTTGGAAAACTCGATTCGAGCCGATGGGAACTTGGACCGCAAAGTCTCAATCTTTCTCGTAGACGCGGGCCCCTGCAAGTCCCAGACAAGCAGCGTGTCTAGGCCATGTTCAAGCAGGGCCTCGCAAGCGACACTGCCGAGATCACCGGTTCCCCCAGTCACGACTGCGACACCCGAGATCCGGAAGCGAGCGGCTGCTCTTTCTGCAGGAGACAGGTTTGCAGGCAATGGAAGTGGCTTGTTCAGCTTTGCCTGAGCCGAGCCCAAAGTCATCTCCGGGAGGAGCCGAGACGTGAGCTCTGAGCGATCCATGGCGAAGTACGAATGGTTGAGTTGGGACGAGAATAGATGGATCATGGAACTTAGAAGTCAATATTAACCGTCGGGCTGAAGAGACGCGGGCGATCTTCGTATGGTCTCTTCCTATGCTTTATTTCGCAGGAGTAAATAGCATGACAAGAGGTGAGGGGAATAACCACGTTCGGAAAGTCCGAGCCCTACAGCTCGACAGATGCACGCGGAATCCTTGAGGAGCAGGACCGTGGTGCGGGGAAGCTCGTCAAGGGGCTTTATTCATTGTTGTCATGTAAAAAAACAATCCGCTTGTCCTTGCACATGAGTTCAGAAGACATGCTGGAGAAAACTCAAAAATATTTGCAGGAAAATTGGTGGGACGGAAGCTAGAAGTTGCGACGCGTTTGCTCAACGCCGTTCATCATCGCAATCCCAATTGATAGCTTTCACTAGGTACCCACGGAACGGCCCGCTAGGCACACAGCTCATCGCCATGTTGGGGATAGCATGGACAAAGCTCTGAGGCGCGAAGACACGAGATCAGCCTTGGGTTTATTAACGTTAGCCTTAATCCCATTGCGCGTGTGACGGAGTTGGGAGCAATAATAAACAAAGACCATCAGCGCGTTCGGCTGAGACGCGACCTACCCTACACATAGCACAAGGTATGAACTTTTTAGGGACGCATAACCCCTGTATGGCACATGCTCTGCATTTTCATTATTGATAACTGGGAATGGCTAGATGAGGCGACTGGATGGTACTCCGGGACGATGGTGTTGAGTTAAGCTTTCCTGTGTCGTCCGTCGTAAGGTTTTCTTCGGTATCAGTATCACGATAATCGGTGGGCTGCGATGAAGTAATTGACAATTTGGTTACTAAGGTGCCTCCCAAGACTGCCAATGAGTTAGCAAGGTGTGATAGCCCATATCTGGCCTCTTCTACATGTTCAGACACCTATAGAGCTTTCCTGTTGGTCAGTTCTGCACAGCTTATGACACAATTTCAGGGAGCAGAGCACGGCCAGGAATTCCAGCAATCTCTTCATGTGGCTAAGGGGTGGGGATTTGTTGTCTCTGGTCAGAACTGTCGATCCCCCCACAAATCTACTAACCCAGAACACCGAACTCTTGACTGCGAGCTTGTTCTGGGCATGGCGTCGGTTGGGAACGCGAATCTTGGAAATCCTCGATGTTTCCAGCTAGCAGAGGGCACTGGTGGCTAGACCGCCTGGGCGATATTTTGGGAGAATTTTTATGTGGGTGGGAAGTCATGGCAGACAGCCTAGATCTGTCTCCGCGCATCGACTCGGAGTCTCCGCAGCAGGTATGTATTGAATATGAGGGTCTAGAACGCCAGCTATTGTTTAGTGGCTGGCTAGATGCCAGGCACGGAAAAGGGCTGGACACTACCCCTAGCTGGCTGTACCGAATGAAAAGGAGGAGTTTTCTGCCCCTTCTGTCCCACTCTGGATTTGTGGTTGTTGGCCCAGCACTTCTCCTGGAGGCCCTCCCTTTAAACAGCGGCCTAAAACCACCCCTTAATAACACCCGAGGGAGTCACAACAATATTATCTCTGTTCTTTTCCCATCATTTGCCACCACAATTTGCTATCCGCTCTAGCTGAAATGAAGGCTACAATTGCCGTGCTTGGCGCCCTTGCCGGTCTCGCGCTCGCTTGCGGTGAGGCGGGCTTGCACATCCGCTCAGCCATGGATGCCGAAGCCAGTGCCGCCTGTGAAGGAAGCAACCCGCCAATCTGGTGCCCTATGAAGTGCCAAAACTGCGGGGGGCAATATTGCATTAAAGGTTTCAAAGCCTGGCAATGTAATTCAGACCCGCACCACGGCGACCTCTGCCCAGGTGGCTGTGACGACTGCTCACCTCACCGGCAACATGATGCACCCAAGGGATGTGTGGGTGGAACAACAGGATTCAATGGTGTGGTAAGTGTAGCTCTCTCTTGCTACTATTTAAAGAGTCTATTTACTAACTATGCAACCAATGTAGGAATGCGTAAGTCCAACTGATCTCCCCCCCAAGACAGCTCTCGAGTACTGGAAATATGCTGACATAAATGCACTCTTAGCCACGGTGTTGAAGCGACTAAAAGCTCCAAGCATTTGTCCTTGCTTGATGAAAATCTGGGCTCCCATGCCTGGATGCTACGATGGATAGGAAGCTTGTTTGGAGGCGAGGAATAATATAGGATCGGTTAGCAGGAGTTTGAGCTTTGACCTCACGTCCGATCGCGCCCATTCATTGTGGACGCAATGTACGACCTGGAAGACTTGGATCCTCAAGCTGGAGTTATAAGAGCAGTCTTGTTTTACTTGGTTTGCGTGCGAATTCAGCTACTACCCCCGGGCACTTGGCATAGGGGCCCTTGTTTAATTTTCATTTTTACGATTTATGACTCGCCATAGAGGATAGAGATCAGAACAAATCGAAAGTCAGATAATATCTTCACAATTCGTGCCGTCTCGTTTATGGCGCTTCTGGGATTGCAAACCCTTTCCCAATCAGCTTAACGTTTTCGTGCTTTTCTCTTCCAACCCTGGATTTATGATGGTACTTTTTGAGACTGAGTTAAACTCCTTTCTGGTAAAAGAATTTCTTGGCGGATCCGGATAGCAGTCTGGAAATGCCCCTTCTCTCGAAGGATAACTCATGTCGTTGGACCTTTCGCGCCAACTCTAAGACTTACACATCCACAAATTTGTTACACTAGGAAGGATAAACAATCAGTCACGCATAAGTGTGTGCGGGTTTTGGCATCATGATAGGCCTCAGATACTGACTGGAACCAACTGGGTCTAGCCAACGTGGCCTGCAGTAGACCGATGTGTTCTTGGCTAGAGAAACGGACTGAGATCCAAGACCTGCATACATGGGCTGGCGTGGCCAGGTAATTTTCAGGTCTAGTTGCGAGATTTTGTTCCCTAAAAGGATACAGTTCCTCACTACTGTGTGGGTTGTTAGGCAGCCATCAATGCATTCATTCACGCACATCGTGAAGATCAGTTTACGAACCAGTCTACAGAAAACCACAATTATTTTTTAATCAACCACCATCCTTATATCGGCTTCATCTCTTATCTTTTGCGGGTAAAACTTAATTCCATGACCATCCAACTCCTATCGGACTTCATTTATTTATTCAATGAGTATTCTCACACTCTCTGACGATACGTTCACTGCTAGAATTATTCGATCGCGCAATTAGCAGTAATATTAGCATTAGTTTGCTAAGCTACCTGACTAGTAATATTGCTCTGTCGTGTGTTCAATGTTGATTGCTACCAAAGTCTTTGGATCACAAACTGATGCCGATATAAATTTATTCGTCAATCACAAGATCCTCAGCTCCCTCTAATATGGCTTCAAAAAAGACAGAAGTGGAACGGCAAATTTCCGAGAGGCCCCGTCGTAATAAACCCTCTGATGATGTCTTCCCAGAAAGATGGGAAGAAGCTGTTCTTGATGTCGAGAAATGTGAGTTCAATTATCCAACAAGATATATTATTCAACAAGATATGTTATTCAAGGCTAATGAGAGTGGTTAGGCCTCCTGCGCGTAAAATCTAAGCCTTCGAAAAAGAAGGGCGAAGATAAAGACGGTGCGGAGACCAAGGCGAATGAACATGTTAAGGAAAGGAACCGTACTCCTGCGAAAGAAATCAAGGAACAAGAATGGAGAGACTGGCCGGTGGATACGATCCTGAGCCTCGACCTTTCCGATAAAGTGAAAAGGCGTCTCAGGAGGTCCATACACTCCAAGGACCTGTATGTCGCTTTCAGATCAGGGAATTTAACCGTCGTCAAGCTCTTTGGCATGGCCAACGCCAACCTGGACATGGCTAATAAGAATGGGTGGACGCCGATCATCCATCTTTCAGGCACTAATAGTACTGATATTGTAGAATACCTCCTGGAAAGGAGAGTATCCGTCAACAAGCCCAGCCATGCAGGTGTCACGGCCCTCAATAATGCAGCTGACACCGGTCAGCTTGCGATGGTCAAGCTTCTTTGCAAATGGGAGGCTTCGATTGAAGCCGCATACAATGGGCAAACGCCTCTGTGGTCGGCTTCTGTGAGCGGACATCTGGACGTTGTCAAGTTTTTGTCCGATCAAGGGGCATCTACGGGAGTCATCGCCGATGATAATGGATGGACGCCACTCCACGCTGCCGCCAGGAATGGCCACCTTGAAGTGGCAAAGTTTCTTCTTGGGAAGGGGGTCCCAATCGATGCCCCATCTATCGCTGGAGATACGGCGCTCTGCCTAGCCGCAAACGAGGGCCATACCAATATTGCGGCATTTCTTATTTCTGAAGGAGCCCATATGACTGCCGCTACTGAGGATGGATAGGGGCCACTTGCGCTTGCTGCTGATACTGGTCATCTCGATGTCGTGAAGTTGATGATCGAAAAGGGGGCTCCTGTTGACAGTGAGACAACTGAAGGCTTCACTCCACTGCATGCAGCGGCACGTAGCGGACACTTGGATATCGTCAAATACCTCGTGGAACATGGTGGGGTGGTCGATCAGAAAAACAAGCTGGGATTTACACCTCTTTGTCTGGTTACGAGCGGGGGTCACTTCAAGATTGTCGAATATCTGGTTGATCAAGGTGCTTCTATCGAGGAGACAAGTGAATATGGCTGGACAGCGCTCAATCTTGCCGCTTCTTCTGGGCATCTCGATATTGTGAAGTTCCTTTCGAAACATGGCGCGACCCTCAATACGCAGAATCACTGCGGCTGGACACCCATTCTCAACGCGGCGTTTAATGGAAACGCTGAGCTTGTGCGGTTTCTCTGCGAAGAAAAGGCTTCCATCAATACGGTAGCAAATACTAGGCTGACGCCGCTCTTGGCAGCAACGGAAAATTCTGCCATTGACATAGTGAAGATTCTGGTTGAAAATGGCGCTGATCTCTCGGCAAAAGGACAGCAGGGTCTCACGGCGCTCCATATCGCGAGCCTGAATAACATGCCAGAGATTGTGAGCATCTTGCTGGCTGGAGGTGCTGACTCCGACTTGAAGTCAGACTTGGACTGGACACCTCTGTTCACCGCGGCCAGTGTCGGTAGCTTGGATTGTGTCAAAATCCTTGCTGAACGGATCACTGATATCAATTGCACTGCTTCGAAAGACAACACATTGCTACATCTCGCCTCAGCTCAAGGGCATGCCCAAGTAGTCCGGTATTTAGCTACAAAGGGGGCTGATCTAGAGAAGCAGACTCGGGGTGGCTATACATCGCTCGCATTGGCCGCCGACAAGGGTCATCTGGAAGTGGCAAGGGCACTAATTGAGTTGGGCGTCTCTCCAAATGCCATGAATAAGAGCGGTTCCACACCTCTTATCTTGGCTGCTGGGTCTGGACAACTTGAGATTGTGAGGTTGCTCGCTCGCAAGGGCGGAGATGTCAAGCTTAGGGATGACACTAAGCGGACTTCCCTTCATTTTGCCTGCGAGAAGGGCCATCTCGATATAGTAAGGTTTCTGGTCGGAGAAGGGGCCTGTGTCTTCTTGGAAGACGTCACTGGGAAGACGACTCTTCGCTATGCTTACGCAAATAAACACGAAGATGTCGTGCAATTTTTCGCTGATGGGGCTCGTCAGTCTCCAGAGGATTTGCAGATGACTCCGCTGCGATTGTTCACTGATGTAAAACTTCAAGCGCCTTTGTTAAGGTGGTCCAATGAGAAGAATGATGATGTGCCAGTGGAGCAGGTAGAGGATATCTCAGAGCTTTGCTATCGCAGTCTCCTGAATCAATTTGAAACATGGGAAGAAAAAAAGACCGGTGAGTTCAACAAGTGTTTCGCCTTAGAGGACACAAAGTAGTTTAGCCAAATATATCCTCTTGACATATGTATATTAAGTCTCCGAAATCATAATATCTATCAAAGAATACACTGGGGGAAAATATTAGATCTGGGATGAAGAGCCGGAGGTGGTTACGGCAATCCACTCCCGATGTCATATTTTTCGAGGGCAATGGCTAGATTTTCTTTAACGTCAAGGCAGGGGTAAAGTAATAATTAGCGATGTAGGATCAGATGTAGGGCGTCTAAATTATGGTAGTATTTTATTTGGGAATGATCCTATTGTAACCAAGATGGTGCTTTTGAACGGCAGCCCCCAGGTTGCAGTGAAGGCTGAAGATGAAGAAGGGGGGCAGAGTGTAAACTGTTATAGGCCACAAATGGAATCTTGCGGCGCACCTGACTTTAGTGAGCATCCATTCGCTTATTGGGGCGAAAATCTACGCATAACGGTTTCATTCTTCCTGCATTTCTGACTGGCCCCCCCCTGACAGTGTTTCTATGTTCGCACATCAATGGCCCTTAGTCGCCGGGACTTTTGGATACACTTACGATGAGTGAAATATACACGTAGTAGGCCCCACTGAATAATACCTTATATCCCATATCCCTAAAAGACCCCGAATATGACAACTCGCCACAAATATCTCGACCGGGATGTAGTCAATATATAACTACTGCCAACGCCCACCTCCTCTATTCTCACTCTATCTTTCGTAAACTTGGCTCCTTAGTCTAACTATTTTTGACAACAGTTATTGTTATTTGGAATAAGCTGGCGGTATGGATCCTTCACAATCAGACAAATGCACAGTACAGCCACCAAGGAGTATCAAGATAGCACAACTATGGAACTCTTGGCCTTGGGCTTTCGAGGTTGTAGCTCTGATACTATCGGCTTTGCAATTTATAGGCATGGTTGGTGTATTGGCCTATTTCGATGGGCGAGTGGCTCAAACATCAGCCATTATAACACCCAATACTATCGTTTCCATTCTTTCGACAGGGTCCAAAGCATCACTGCTCTCTGCTGCTGCGGGCTGTATTGGCCAATCAAACTGGGTGCTCTTTGCGGATCAGCCCCGACGCTTGTTAGACTTTGAGATGGTTGTTGATGCGAGTCGGGGGCCACTTGGAAGTATCCGGCTCCTCTTTAGTCAAAACTTTCGGGGAGGGTGAGTGAACCTTATCGCTTTATGACTGTCCTAAAAATTACTGAAAGTGATAATTTTACAGTTTACTTGTGCGACTGGGTGCTTTGATTACCCTCTTTACCATTGCCTTGGATCCCTTCGCACAACAGCTAGTTAAACTTCAGAATAAGCAAATATCAAGACCTGGGGGACAAATGTCCCAAGCTTCACGATACTCCCTTGGGAAAGAAATAGTCCCGACTATGAACCTCTTTGGCGGTAGGGTTTCCCTCTTTTTCACCACGGATAGTAGAGTATAGCTGACCAAAAGGAAAGTGAGCGATAATGGACGAATGCATTCAGAGCTGCCTATTACAGTAGACGCTGATTTTGCGTTGAAAGCAGCCGGTATGTTTGGGTTAGCAGCCGATTCCCAAAGCATTATCCAACAGACCGCCCTCAATTGCCCTGGAGAAGCCTGCGAATTTTCCAAAGTAGCCTCACTGGCGGTCTGTAGCAGATGTAATAATATCACATCGTTTCTGGAGCGAACAGACGATAAAGGGGAAACCCTTTACGAAAAGATCTCAACTGACATGAGGACGCTAAACAATCGTGATGGTTATAACATGACGCTGAGAACCCGGACCCGATACTCCTTGCCGAATGGACTTTGCCTGGATAATGAGGATGATGATTCTAGCCCAAGCCTTTTGTCCATGACGACTTCAGGGACAGGCAATCGCACCAAAACTTTCACCATGGCCGACATTGATGCTTTAATATGGTCACAAAACATAATTAAAGTGGTAAATGATACATCAGCAACTGAGCACATTCGTTGGCCTAACTATGAAGTTCATGCTTCTGAGTGTGCGTTGTACTACTGCGCCAGAGAGTACAACATTACATTTTACAATAGCACAAAGACAGAAATTTCAAGCTCTGAAATTACGGATGCTAAACGACATCCTGCATCTTGGCTACCTACCAGTTCTTGGATTGAGGACGGGGTCGCACCAGACGTTATCGATTCACTGGCATATCACCCAAATGATTCTTTTATATCACGGACTGACCTTCAACTGTATGTTGATGTTGAAAATGGGTTGGCCAGAAGCTGGAACATCTCAAAAGTTGCTGTGACGGGCATTAGCTATCTTGTCCAAACCCTATTTTCCACGTGTATTACCTCTTTCCAGAATTGCTCAGACTCACCGGATGAGTGGGTGGCCCCTACGGGGTATTATTATCACGACGGATCCAACGTTTCAAGTACTCAAGACGCATATGAACCTACAACATCCAAGATTTTTTGGGAAACGAAAGATATCAACACCACTTTTGCTAATATTGCAAGGAGCATGAGCAATGCGTTACAGGCTGGCGACGATACCAAAGACAGTCAAATAGGGACGGTCATTCAATCTGTTACCTCTTATCGTATTGAATGGGGGTGGATTGCTCTACACTGTACCACTGCCGTGGCTATGTTATCATTCTTCATCTTAACGCTCTTGTCTAGGGCTCCATCTGGTGCACGAGTCCCTGTTTGGAAAACGAGCAACTTGGCCATCTTCTCTAGGGGGCCTATAGTTTCCGATTTATTGTGGGATGGGCAAACGACTGAGCAATTGGAGAGACGAGCAAAGCTTGCACAGGTGAGCTTGCTGCAAGTCGGTCCTACAGATGTCATGTCCGCCATGGATGTAGAGCCGCAATCGCCAGAGCCAGTGGACGTGACCACAATTCAGAATTTCGGGAGTGCAAACAAGACCTGGCACAGACCTGCTCCGCCTTATGAACGTTTGCAATGACTTTGGTCAGTGCATGTAACATATAGATTAGAAGAAGATTGTGTATTTTCTTTCTTCGCAGAGTGATTCCTGGGGCATCTACAAAAAGGCTTTTTTGTAAGAACAAGAGAAGAGCTAGAAGAGAAATCTTGGTCATTAACGATTTCGGTTTCAAATACTTGATATCAATCTTGAATGATTTACCGGCCCATCCAACCACCATCAACGGTGAGAATTTCACCGCTGACGTACCTACATCCAGCACCTGCTAGATACACCGTGGCCCCCTCAAAATCCTGTGGAGAGCCCCATCGACCGGAGGGAATGCGCTCCAAGATACTTGCGGCGCGCTTCTCGTCATTGATCAATGCCTCATTCATGTCCGTGGCAATATAACCTGGTGCAATGGCATTGACATTAATGCCGTCAGCAGCCCACTGATTACTGAGAGATTTTGTCAATTGCGCCACGCCACCCTTTGCAGCGGCATATGCTGGTACGTTCAGACCGCCCTGGAAGGAGACAAGACTCGCTACATTAATGATGGCTCCCCGTCTTCCAGTGGCATCTGGTGTTCGGTTACGCATGTAGGCACCAAAGTCACGGCAGAGCGTCCAAACAGTCCGAAGGTTGACTTGCAGTACCTAGAGAAATAGAGATCAGCGGACAGCCACGGGAGGGAACTATGATCCTGGACTGGTTACCTCATCCCAATCATTCATAGGGAACTCGTGAGCAGGGTGTCGTCTTTGGATGCCAGCACATGTGATCAGAATATCAACATCATGACCATCCTGAAGAATCTTCTTTGTTAAAGCCGACACACTCTCCTGATCAGCAAGATCAGCTGTGTAGACGATGGCCTTACGGCCAAGCGATTCGATAAGGCTCTTTGTTTCAAGATTACTCTCGTTTCTTTGGACAAGAATGATGTCTGATCCGGCGCGGGCAAGGGCGAGGGCCATGGCCTGGCCGATACCACGGGTACCACCAGTGACAACGGCGAGGTGGCCGTGAAGTGAAAAGAGTTTCTCCAAGTAGCTGGCCATGACGACTGATAGTATCTGCGATTCGTTTACGAGAGGTGAAGAGGATCGAAGAGTCTTCCCAATCTAGTAATGTATGGAGGGCCAAAACTCCATAGATAGCTGTCCGATGACGGCTTCAGCCAGCCGGTCCGTCAGCGAGGCTATCCCTCCTTGAGACAGCAGACCCAGCCCCTATCCATGGGTTCCACCACGCTATGGAGGCACGTATTTGGACCATGTGTGGAGTGAACTGAGGCAAGCCCTGAACTCTAGTTGGGAAAGTGAACCCCCACGCCAAGCTCCATCATCATCTGTTTTGATGATGTACATATGATTCAGTCACGCAGTGGATGTTAAATTTTCGTTTAACCCCGCAAGTCTGGTGGCAGCTTGCCCCACACGTCTCCTCACGTCCGCGCGACGCGCACATTTGTCGTCGTCACACCCGAGGTGTGCGCCCTGGCTGGGGCAAAGGAGGCAATCCCCAGCTTATTTCCAAATCCCACTAACGCCTGACCTCGCTGGCCATGGGATACTCGGTTACAGCGGTGTAGGCTGGGCAGCCTGGACCCTCTTGGCGAAGGATGAGCTAGGGTCGACCCTGCTAAGGCATTTTCCCGGGGAAAATAATTCCACCACTACCTCGGGTGCGTGAAGTTCGTCGTACGATGCTGAGGCTTTTTTGGGGCTTTTTTGTGCTTGCCTCCTGTGAATTGAGTCCTCCAACAGCTAGAAAGCCGTGCTATAAGCATGTTATTATAGGAGAGAACCCGTCTGTAGTATCCAATGGACGCAGTAACTTGGAGAGACTGGCACCAAGGTGCGAGCCTAACCTTTCCAAATCGTGCCAGAATATCTGAAATTGCTTTCAAACAAAGGCCGCTGACTAACCAGGCCAACACATGCCTGGGAGACTAGCTAGTCATTCCACATGCCACAACAACACAACGCTACCTTGCCTTCAGATCGGCCGAAACCGGAGAAAACAGAAGGGACATTATGAAATAGAGAAGAAAAGCTAACGAAACCGGTGTATTCCGGCACGGCAATAAGCCCGACTGCGAGTTTCTGCCCTGGACAGCACAACCCTTCAGTGTGGAGAATTCTGGTCTGTGGAGAAGGAGTGTGGAGAAGAACCCGGGGTTTCTCCAAACATGAAGCGTGGGGGTCGTTTTCGTCGGGGAATCCTGCAGCTCGCACTTTTCCCCCCTTTTCTCTTCTGTTGAATACCGTCATTACCCCAAAACCACCACCTTGCGCAACCCCCAGAGACTCAAAGATATCTATCTAGGTCCTACCCCAATTTCACAAGTCCTCAACTTCACAGCAGATGTCCGCTTGCTGTTCGTGGTCTTGACTCTTAATTCCCCGCTTTCCATACACCACCCCCTCTTTACCCCAAGAACACCGACAGAAAAGCAATGGCAGAAAAGCAGGACATCGTGTCCGAGGAGGCTGAAAATGCCAAGGGATTTGACAAGCTTCAAGCCCTCGATGGCATCATTATGCCAGAAGAGATCGCCGCTCTCTCTGATGAGGACCGTGAGAAATTAGGGAAAAAGGCAACGTTCAAAATGGACATCGTCATCATGCCCGTATTGGTTATCATGTACATCCTCAATTACCTTGATCGTCAGAACATTGCGAGTGCCAAGCTCGCCAACATTGAGCAGGACCTCAGCATGTCCCCAGTTCAGTACCAGACGGCTGTCAGCATTCTGTTTTGCAGTTACAGTATGGATCTTCTCATTATTCTCTACCACTCTTCATATTGCTAACATCATCCAGTTCTCTTTCAGGTGCCATCGAATATGATTGCCAGTCGGATCAAGTGGCCCGGAGTGTACATCTGCCTCAGCATGGCGCTATGGGGAGCCATCTCTGCTGTCATGGCGTCGATCCATAACTTCGCTGGACTTATTGTCGCCCGCATTTTTCTCGGAGCTGTTGAGGCTGTGTTCTTCCCAGGTGCTATATACTTCCTATCTCTCTTTTACAGCCGAAAGCAATTTGCCCTTCGTATGGCGACTCTGTACAGCGGTTCGCAGCTCGGAAATGCATTTGGAGGACTGTTTGCCATCGGGATTCTGAAGCTTGATGGGGTCCATGGGATATCTGGATGGCGATGGGTATGTCTATGTTTGGCCTTCTGTTCAATTTGCGTCTCAGATTCCCCGGAGCTAACCATGTCTCATTCTAGCTGTTCCTCGTCGAAGGTGTGATGACTGTTGGGCTCGCCATCGTTTTCGCTTTTATTCTCCCTAACTCAAAGAATAAGATTCTCGGGGTCTCTAAGCTCGAGCTACAATGGATTCAATGGAATTTCAACCAAGACTCTGGTCAATCAGAAGAGACCAACGAGATGACTGCCATGCAAGGCCTCCAGGCCGCTGTCAGGGACCCGAAGACCTGGCTTTTCATTGGTATTCTCTATTGCGTAAGTAAACCTCCTCTTATTTTGGCAATGAGAAAAGCTTCTCTTATGGATCTCCAACTCACCTATTTCTCTAGACCTACATTGTTGGCGCTGTCTCCAACTTCTTCCCTTCGGTTGTTGGGGGCCTGGGCTATGACCGAAATATGACCTATCTACTGACAGCTCCCCCATTCCTTCTCTGCGTCATCACCATGCTTATCAACGGCTTCCATTCTGATCGAACCAGCGAACGCTTTTATCACGTCACGATAGCTCTCTGCGTCACCCTGGTAGCTAATATCATCGCGGTGTCGACGCTTAATATTGCAGCTCGCTACGTGGCCATGATGCTTCTCCCAGGCTCCTTTTACGCCTCAACTATTGTGACTCTTTCTTGGATCACTGGCTCTCTCTCACAACCTACAGCCAAGCGAGCTAGCGCGATTGCTTTCATTAATGCGATTTGCAACACACCCAACATTTGGTGCAGCTACCTCTACTCTGGCGGCCCGCGCTATGTTACTGCCTTTGCAGTAAACGCTGCTGCAACTGGTTTAGCCATCGCGTTTGCCATTGCTGCAAGAATCCACCTTAAACGCCTGAATAACAAGCTGGAAAGGGGTGAAGATGCCGGTAGACATGGTCCTACCCCTGCTCAGGTTGCCTCTGGTTATCGTTACATGCTGTAGAAGATGGAATAGAAGAGGCATTCTTTGTGTACTCTCTCAAATTAGCTTGAATACCCCTAGATTGACGCTACTCAAATAAAATTCTTGGATTCACGGTACCTCCTCTCCCGTCTCGGGTTTTCCAGATCATTGATAGACTATTACCTGGCCCTCACTTCAGTCATAATTGCTTTTAGTCTTCGGGTAACTTACGCACATGAGGCACCGCATTATCGTCCCCCTCTCCAACTCGGAGATTCCACCCACGAGGTTTCTCCAATTCAGCTCTAGATCTAGCGTTCCCACTTGCAACAGAGCGAAGTCTTTCGCTAACCCATTCTAGAGTAGGCGACGTGGCGTGGGTTGGGCATCGAATGCCGAGATTCAGTCCTTCCCCTCACAGGGGGTCATTGATCTAAGTGAGCGGCGCATGGATGATGCCGAGTGAGTCTATCCACTCTGAAAATCCCGCTTTCACACACATCAGGAATAGCATTGAACAGAATCGTGCGTGGGGGTCACTCGAGGCTGACATTGCGGGTAGTGCTTGAGCTAGATCGAGTGGAGATGGTGGAGTGCCGGAGGAAGAGGATGGAGGCGGGTTGGGTGGAGGCGAACGTGTCATGGAACGTCTTGGGGACATCTAAGAAAGCGTGGGGGTCACAGAGCAGCTTAGGAGAGCAATCTTGGAATTAAAGATACCTTGTTATCTTCTATGGGAGGATGAAGGCCTCTGTATCAATCCTTGCGACGGCTTCGTTCTGTGAATACCAGCTATCTTTCCACCATGTCGACCACAAATACAGGTACAATCTCAGCCTCTGTCCTTCATGGCGTGAGAGACCTAAGAATTGTTAGTAATCTTGGACTAGACCCAGCGAAATAAGGCCCATTGTTGACATATTTGCA